GCCACGGACACGACTCCTAAAGGGAGCGATGTAGACACGTCTCCCCTTTACACTCTTTGTAGCTCAATTTACATCAATTACGCCCAGCACCTGTGCTAACAGTGCTGACCCCGTAACAACGACGAGACGTTACTAGTGATGGGATGTAAAGTAGTCAATCAGAGTGATGAAAATACGGATACAAAGACGCTGTGATTGACGTGTTCTTGTGTGTTCCTAGGTAGACGGCGAAGAGCTCTATCGAAAAGAAAATACAAACTGCTCGAAATGCTTAGCGATCCTCCAGTCACACAGGCTGTTAGCTTAGCAACCTGAGACCGGTGCCCCTCTTGCATTGTGTATGTTCAATAGGGTTGACATGAAACTCATGGTCGAGTTCAGTGTTGCTAATAATATAAACAATACGTATATTGGCAATATGGACCCCTCGCAATATTATTGTATTGTCAAGAGGTGCGTATTGTATTGCGCAATATGCCATTGGTCCATATTGTATTGTATTGCCAGTGACCAAATATATTGCCAGTAAAACAATATATCCCGTATATCCCACGTGACCTCATTATTCAACCGTCGTTGCTGAAATATCGTCACCCTGAAAATCCTGTATCCCAAACCATGACTTCAAGCACTCAATGCCTGAATTACATCACTCCCAAGTCGATTTCGACGGTCTGTGATGGTTATTTTTGCCCCAGAGAAGAGTCTTTCGGGCTCAGCAGACATTGCGGGAATTGACAGTATATCCACCGCCATTTTGCTCAGGTATGGGTAGTTCTTTTGCTGTGTTTCCTCCAGCCACCATGCGAGGGCGCTTGTGAACCCATAAACCCGTTCAGACTTACAATATCGCTCGTACTCGTCTGTGATAAGTGCTGGTTGTAGGTGCTTGTTTCTCCAATTCAAGAACTCGTTCGTGGTCGTCAACGGAACCTCAGATAGAGAAGGCGGCTCCACAGGTTTATAATCATCCCACAGTGTCTCCATCAGCTTCTTTGACGAGTCAGCCCACTCCTTCTTCCAGTTTTCGTGTATGTAGTGCCATTTATGCGAAGGGTGAAGCACAATCGCAGCGACGTAGGCAGGCGATTCGTCAGTAAGACAATAGTACTTATCCATCTTCGCCCAGCCCGAGTTATACATTGGTGCCATAATCGGATCGTCGATATGTGCCTCTTTTCCTGCTTCGAATTGCGCCAATACGAAGTCCATAGCCAAGAGAACATTGTCAAGAGTTGCAAACGATGACTCAAGGGCCTTTGTCGTCATTTTAAGCTTCTCCAAGAAAGACTTGATCTTCTCGAGGATGACCCACCCTCGGAGAGAGCTCGTCTCCGGCACAATCTCCTTCCACCCATTTGTTGAAATATCCTCGACTGCGCCTCTAAGATGCAAGGCCGCTCGTAGCATGGTGTACCACGAACTCCACCTCGTGTCATTATCTCGCGCAAGCTTGCGATTATGGCTGATGGCCAGAAACTTTGGCGACGCTGAACACTACTTTGGACGAAAACCACGAAGTTGTGGAGCTTGCCAAGGGGACCCTTTTTCCGCCACGCCTCGATCTCTTTTAGTGTCACATTATGCCCATCACGTTCGTCGTCTTTGAGCTTCTCATTATCGGTAACGAAGAGGAAAGCTTTGGCGGCAAGGTTGATAATGTGACCTTGGCAGCGGAGTCGGTGAGATTTGGGATCGTATCGAATGTCATATCGACGTAGAAGGCCTGTAAATGTTAGGGCCAGTCAGAAAAACAGTGCGCCGTACTTACCAAGGAAAGAGATCTCATCATTGTATCGTTATTGCCTGCATTGTCCATCACAAAATATCCAAGGTTGGAAGCAAACCCCAGTCATCAACCACTTCAAAATTGCCCTTGCCAGGTGATATCCGTCGTGCTCACTGTCGATGTCTTTCAAAGCCAAGACATGGTGTTCCAACTGACTGTCTTCTGCAACGTAATGAGCAACTACGCCTAAGATGGCCAAAGAGTTGGGGAAGTCCATAGGTCGCAGCTGATATGAATTTTTGACTTTGCTGACTGGATGCGCTGCTTGACCTTCTCCTTCTGACCTTCGTACTGCCGCATAATCCATTTCTTGATGGTCTCGTGTGTATCTGGAAGCCAAGTATCGATATCGGCGTTGAGGTAGGCTAAGAATGCTCGGAATTCTGGGCATTCCACAAGCCTAAATGGGAGAGAACAGGACGTAATAAACCTTACGTATAAAGCTTCGAGCTGGTCTGGGTCGATCGAGTCTCCGGATTGATCGTTGAGCCGACGGCGTTTTCGGGGATGTTCTTTGGCCGTAACACGAGCTATCTCGAGAATAGTTCGTATATTCGTGACTTTGGCAGTTCGTGGCGCGCCTTTTGGGAGGCCGTGACCGTCAGGAGGAGGATCCGTAAGGTGCTTGGCTGGGGCCGCAGTTCCACCGGAACAGCAATACGTTTTGTCACAGTGTTTGCAGCGCCATTCTTCTTTCCGGTCCGCTGATTGTAGTATTTCGTCTCTATGTCCTCGTCTGGCATATGAGAAAAGACCCATGATGTTCTTGGCTTGGCCGAAGGGTTTATGGAGGCCGTGCGAGGTTGCGACGATTGGCATTCAGTGGTTTGGGTCTCATCTGGATCATGCAACCGTGGGCTGGAAATCTCCGAGTATTCGTCTGATATTGACGAATCCCGTCGCGGCGATGTTTGAACAAAAGGCAGGCGTTGTTGAGGCATCGAGATTGCTTGTAAGTCCTGGGGTGGGAAAGCGGGGTTGAGGAGGAAAACAGTGTTTGGACGGCGAGCCGCTACCCTGTAGGTCTGGATTTATACATACATTTACGCGTTTCCGTGCGCCAATAGGAAACTTTTACGTCCTGGAGGTCCGCCAGACGAAAAACAATACATAGAACATGCTTATATTTACGCGTGTTTTTTGACGCGTCATCATATTGGCGCGAATTGGGGAACGGAAAGGCGAATGACTACCAACCAATACAAACAATACAAGCCATATATTGCCAGTATGGAAGGCGCTATATTGTATCGTCACAATATGACGGCGAGCATATTGTATTGGTACAATATGAGAAATCGCGTATTGTATTGTATATACTGCAGTATACTACTTTATTGTCATATTATTAGCAACACTGGTTCATTGGAATGAGCCGGTTTCTAACCAGACAAAGCCAACTAGAGAGCAAGTAGTTGACCCATGGGAAAGTCACGTCACTGAATCTAAATGTGGTTCTCTTGATGCTCCAACCACGAACAGAGTAACCGGTTGCCAGTGGCGAGCAGAAGAGCGATGCAAATATGATCAAAGCCACATCTCTTGTTACGTGATCCACAGAGTAAACCCATTTTCTCGCCTTTCTCTAAGAATGGCGATTTTCGAAGCGATATAATAGTCGATGGAAATAGCAGGTACTCAGACCACAGTAGCCAGGAGAGGCGCTTACGGTGAGTCTATGCTCGAAAGGAATCTTTTCAACTTTGTCTAGCATTGCAAGTACCCTGTCACGCGGCTTTGGGCGATGCCATTCGAAGCCGTTGCGATAGTAAGCACGTTGTTCATTGCCTCATCTCTCACTTTGCCTCACATCTGCTCTCTTCAAAAAAAGAATTTGCCAGAATGTTGTGTCCCACATCAGGTATCGCGCCGGCAGTCGTGCAAAGCAGCCTGGACAGCACCAGTGAATTAATGCAAAATATCTAAAGAGCAAGAACCAAAAGGGCGGTTGCACGGAATCGTGCAGCTCTTTATGCACAAATAAAATCTCATTATCCATTTAGGCAGTAGCTTTAGCCTGCCAGGCAACGGTTGTGCTGATACGTGACAGGGAGTCTTTCGTCATTAGCACATCTACTTGGGTCTTCTTGCGTCGATATATCCTTTGACGGCTCCCCGCGGAGTCTGCCCAAACCAAAGATCTCCCTTCCTTCGGCAAAGGCTCATTCTGGGCAATATGGACTTGCCACTTGTCCTAGAATAAGTCCGGCTGATTATCCCTGTCCTTGTTGTCAAATAGGAGATCCCTAACCTCCTGTATCAACTTAGCAGTACGTACGGAACGAGCTATCTACACGCAGTGTTGGTGTACTTTGGCTAAGGTGAGCCTGGGCTCAGTCGTAAAGATTGCAGTGGGCCGGAGAGATCTTTGGGACCAGCTCTCACTTCCCTTGCCGTCTCTGAGTCGGTCTATTCGAAGCCCCTTTCTCTCAATGACTCCGGGTAAGGATTAGCCTTGAATATCGCCGTGAAGTTACGAACGAGTGACATGTGTCGAAGTATGGCTTTAGAGTGTAGGAGGTTGGCGTCACTGGGTACCTATATCAAGAAGTAAATGATGCCCCGTCTAATCCTGGCTTGGTCGAATCCGCCAACTGCTAGGATAACTATCACATACAAGCCGAGTACTTGAATGTACAATGCATTTAAGAAATCCGTGCAGAAAGCAGTGCTGGCAAGGAGCCAAGTGCGCATTCTCCTCCGGGTCCCAGGACAGGACAGCGCAGAAGCGTCGATTGCTTCAGCAGTCCTATCCTGTCTCGCCCACGTTGCCTGCCCGAGTACCTGAGTACCTAGGTAGGTGGACGTCAAGAGTGACGCGAGGGCGAACAATGAGCCGTGACAGCCCCCGCTCTCGGCGACTTGGCATGCGCAGACAGTCCAAGGAAATTCTCCCGAGACCCAGCAATGCCGCGGCAGGAGTGAAAATGGGGTGTGATTTGCAAAATACAGTCATGCCACATGATATTCGTCAATCGTCAGTTTCACAGTCAAGATCCAACGGCTCATCCACGTCCGTCACTCCCCAAACTCCAGGCAGATCCCACTTCGGAGCCATACATCCTAGTCGTGCATATCGGGCCGTCTGCGTTTGTGTGAGACTGTGAGACGCGGCGGCTTTAACCTTGTCGTCCGTCTATGAGTCGAGTTCTGCTTTCCTTGTGGGAGCCTCCTTATTAGTCCGGACCCCCCATGCGCCGTGTCTTGCTGCTCAAGTCTCCAGTGCGTTGTTTTCCTTGTCCCCAAGCTCCGGGGAAATCAACGACTTCTCCCACTCGTCCATCAGGCTATTGGCCGTTCGTTTCAAGTTTCTCGGAGACAGCCTGTTGACCACGTTAGGGATAATCTCCTCGAGCTTTGGGGATAAAGTTAATGCCTCGGCTTTGGCCGATTGCGTCTTGCTGCGAGCACACAGTCAGCCAAGGACGTCAGTCTCGCATCCATGCCACCAAACAAACGTACACGGGCGTTAGACTTTCTTCTCCCATCTCCGGGATGGGCCCAATGTCCTCTAACCCTGCACTGTTGATGGTAGAGTCGCTCCACCGAGGGGACTTTGTCGGTCCCGGCGACTCCCAGTTCGACCAGTCGCTGTCGTCCATGGAGTCGAATCCCAGCGGTGTCCACGAAAAGGGCTTGCTTTTGACGGGCTTGGGCTTCTCGAGACTTGGGGCCGCAAACCTGCTAGCTGGCGTGGGAGTCGCCAGGTTGGAGTTGGGGCCGATCGGTGCAAAGCTCGTCCTGGGCCTGCCCAAACCCCCGCCTGGCCCTCGGTTCATCGCACTGCCCTGCTGCAGGGCCGGCGGGCCACGGCGGGATGATTGGCCACTGATGGGCTCATCGCCAACCGTTATCTGCCGTATGTCCTCAACAAATGCTCGGAGTCCCAACTTGAAGTCCTCGACAATCTGAGGCACACTCGGAGAGTTTTGGGCTGACCGCGGCTGCCACGAAGCCCGCTTTAACGAAGCAGGATTGGCGGGCTGGACCGCCGTCGGGTCTGCCGGTCCCAGACCATGAGTCTCGTGGATGGAAAACTCGGAGTTTGATCTTGCCGGCGAGAGAAGGGACAGCGCGCGCGTGTGTCCGCCGCGAAAAAACCGGCGCCGATTACCCTGCGTGGGGGTACTCTGGTTCTGGCCCTGAAGCAAAAGTTTGCGGCGATCCAAGTCGACGCTGCGTCGTGGTCCAATTGCAGCATCGTCCAACGCTCCAGGGGTAGAATTCCCGTGTAGCTCCGCGTGATGAACCGCCCCAGGCTGGAAAAAGGGCTCCGTGGCAGTCCATTGCCTCTTGAGCGAGGCAAGGTCTGCTTCGGCCCGAGCCAGGTCCTCCCGCAGCTCCAGGACCCTGCGTTCCTGTGCGGCGATTGCTATTATGAATTCGTTCGCATCAGCGGGCAGAGGGATGGTCGGCGTCTCGACAGGAGTTGGCGGGACCGAGGGAGCCGCCGTGATGGGAGTGGGCCGCGACCGATCGCCGGTGTGCGGCGCGATTGGGAGAGTGAGCGAGAGGCGGTTCGTAGAACGGCAAGCACCAGAGTCGGAGCGCGACGGGCGCACCGCCGGGTCGGGTTCTGTTGACGCAGGTGGCGGCATCATTGCTGCTTCGTCATTTTTTGGCGTCTTGCTGTCCTGTGGCTTGGGACCCGCGCGGTGAGCCCTGGGCGCGTCAGGGGCCGGGGCAAAGGTGGTGGTGGTGGCCACTGCGTCGACGTTGGGGCAAAGTCGGTCAGCGGCAGAAGACCGACGACGTACTCGCTGGGGTGAGTCCACCATTGTGGAAGAAGGAGGAAAAGGTAAATGAGTGGAAATAAACTCGTGCGTCGGGAGCCTGCGTGCGGCTGCGGCGGGGATGAGAAGCGATAGCTTTCGCCGGCGAGAGGGATGAAAACGAATGGAAGAAGCCCGGGCGGCCTTTCGGTGCCGCTGACGGCCGGCCTTGGCTCTCGGGTGGGCCAGGGTCAAATGGCGATAGTCATGAGGGGTTCGAAGAGCGAGGTGATGGACAAGGCAGAGTCGAAGGAGAAAAGCCGTCATGAGGGAGCGAGAGACGAAGACAAGGGGAGCAGCAGGCACAGCAAATGGCGGCCCTGATGCTCATGATGGCTTGAGAGATGCAGCGATGGCCGATGGGATTGGTGGTGCGCAGACGACGACACCGGCACAACACTGAGCCATAGGCGCGTCGCAGCGACCGTGGACCACGAGACGATGGTGACCAGGGCCCGGGATGTGGTTGTGGTGGTGGTGGTGAGTGGATAACAAAACAACAGACGAAGCCAGAGACGACGGGGTGAGCTTCAGGGTACTGCAGCCAGGGATGTGGGTACAGGTACGACGAGTTTCGGGGCCCGAGAGGCGCCGTGACGGGCAGTGATGGCGGTGCTGGAGGGAGCTGGCACCCCCGGAGGCTCTTGTTGTTATCTGCTCCTTGGCATGTACTGTACATGGCAAGCTCTAGCTCCAGGGGCCAATGAGAGCGCTTCAGTCAAGCTGCCTGCAAGGCATATGGCATCAACACAAAAAAGCTCCCGGAGAGACGCCCCACCTCTGTTTACCGCTGGCTGCACGCTTTGCCCCTCTGGGAAACGCTGCTGCAAGGGCCCTGGTTGTCCCTGGTTAGCGGCTTTGGGCGGGTCAGGGGTGCAGAGAGCCTCTCCTTGCCGTCCTCCAGCGCCTCCACCCGAATAATACGGCGCTCGACCTCTATAAGGCTCTGCTGCACCTGCGCTGCAGCCCGGTTCCCTGCGCCATGCCACGTTGCCTTATTATTACTACTTTATACGAGCTAAGAATTGTTCAAGGGGGTAGGGAGGGATGTCTTTATTTTCTTGCAGGTCGGCAATACATGGTACTCCGCGTTGACAGGGTAACCGCGGAGGGTAACCGCGGAGGAGTGGGCGATGCGATGGACATGCATGCATATAAGCGAGACAAATTCAAGCCGAGTGATGTTATTCGCAGCCTCCGAGAAGCTGTGGCGAGCTGCCATGCGGCGAGACAGAGCGCACTGACCAAGCACTATACAGACATACCTAGCTATATACATATGTACGTACAGTACCTCTTATCACCTTGTGCAGCGCATAATGCGGGAGCTGCCCTACTTTCGATGGTGCATTGGCTGGCAAGCTTTTGGACGAACCTCATTTCCCGTCGAAATTGGCGACCAATCACATCTGCGCGGCTGTTTCGCCTGGCTAAATTTGGTGCTCGGGACTTGCTCCTTGTAATGTGGAGGCGATTTCTGTCCATTAAACCTGCCCACGTGACTGCCCGTCAACCTCGCGAGTACCCCCGCGCGTTTCAGTTGTCGTGCGCGCGCGTCTCGTCATGTCCTCGCCCCGGCTTCAACACTCGTCAGGCTCAACCTCGCGCCGGGGATGACGCTCCGAGCTGCCTGGTATTTGGCCTGATACGCACTCCTTTGTATACCGACGTGGCCAAAGTCTAATCCCACGGCCATGTAAGCTGCCTGTTGGCGAACCGCGACGCGCTCGAACCCGCCCTCCTGCCCGCCTTTCACTTTGCACCCAGAGCGTCATCATGCCCAAGCCGCCATTCATTCCCTGTTTCTTCTTTCTCGATAGTTACAATCTCTCCTGTCTTTACGAACTCCAGCCCCCGCTTCTCTCGCTTTTTGTTGCCAGGGGCATGGACTCAGACCCCCGGCAACGCCATGCCACTTCACTTCTCGCTCATCTGCGACCTCCTGGATGAATGCCAGCGGCTTCGCCTCGCTCGCAGGCCCAACAAGCAGGCTGTTTTCGCCTGGTTTGCCCGCCACCGTGGCCGCATCGATGCCCACGATACGGACCTGTCCGCGCTTCTGTCGACCCTACTCCCCGAAAAGAGGACGGACCGCGTCTTCTGCATACAAGCCCCTCGACTCGAAAAGATCATCGGCCGTGCGCTGATGCTAGGCTCTTCCAGGGTTGCAGAGCTCGCGAGATACAAGCAACCAGGCCTCGGGCTGGATCTGGCTGACTGTGTTGAGCGCATCCTTACTACCACTGTAAGCTGGGTCGCCCTGACTCCCTGAATCGCACGCTGAATCCCACTTTAGCCGAACCCCCGATACGCCCAAGATGGGAAAATAACCGTCGAGGAAATTGACGACGTCCTGCACGCTTTGGCCTCGAAGATCAGATGGAGCTCCCCTGCCGTTCGCTCCCGGACAGCAAGGACGCAGTGCCATCCAGACGTCCTGGCGGGAATCTACCGTCGACTCGGCGCAAAAGAGGCCAAGTGGTTCACCAGGCTGATTCTAAAGGACTTTCAGCCCCTCATCCTCGAATGCAACCTCGTTTATGGTTGCTGCCATCCTCTTTTGCCGCTCATTCTGAAGATACAAGATGACTTTGCTGCGGCTATCAAGGTCATCCAGGACGTCAGAGGGACAATGCTGCCCAACTCTACTCGCGCGTACCGAACAAACCGCGCTGCATTATTGTCGCTCAAACCGCAACTGGGAATAAAAGTCGGGAGGCAGAACTGGCTCAAGGCTCGAAGCATCAAACATTGCGTTAACATGGGCCATGGCTACATGAGTGTCGAGAAGAAGATTGATGGAGAATACTGTCAGATACACGTCGACACCAGTGGCCAGTCTCAAAGTATCCAGATCTTTTCCAAGAGCGGCAAAGACAGTACGGAAGACCGGCAGGGCCTTCGCGGGTAAGCCGCCACGCCCAACGGAGCCGTATCGTGCTCGGCTAACCTATATAGTGTCATTACGAAATCGCTTCAACTTGGCTTACCCAGCTCCAAAATTCGGAAGAAGTGTATCCTGGAAGGCGAGCTTGTTGTGTACAACGACCTTGTATGCTGCTGCTTACCTGAAATAACTGAGACTTGCACTGACTTCTGTTGCAGGAACAAAAGATCCTTCCCTTTCACACCATCAGAAACCATGTAGCCCGCAGAGGCCACTTCTTGAACACGGAGGACGATAGCCCGTAGGTGACCCCCAACCCCCTGTATCTCGTAGCCGCTGACGTGAACAGGCCAAAACCATGGGAGAGGTTGATGATAGTCTACTTTGACATCTTGCTCCTAGATGACCGATCGCTTCTCGATGTCCGTCACTCGGAAAGGTTCAAACTACTCGAGCAGGTTGTGCATCCGAGAAAAGGACGAGCGGAACTTGTCTCGAGGCACGTGATCGACATCAGACTTGCCTTTGCCGTTTCCGAGTTACGGAAAGTATTCGCGAATGTAATCATGGATAGGGGCGAAGGTCTGGTGCTGAAACCAGACGAGCCCTACTTCAACTTCCACCACAACGATGAACCGTTTGGCGGACGCTGCATCAAGCTCAAGAAAGAATACATCGGCAATTTCGGTGACGTCGGGGATTTCGCCGTCGTTGGGGCGGGCTTCGTAGCCTCAAAAGCAAAGACTTACGCCATTTCGAACTTGCAATGGACTCACTTCTACATCGGCTGTCTGGACAACAAGGAACAGGTGCAGCGGTGGAACGCGACACCAGAATTCACCGTCGTAAGCGTCGTCGAGCTGAACGAGGGCCAACTGGAAACCCTGCTCAAGTTTGGCAACTCCCTGACAGTCCCGCTCGCCGAAAACAACGCGACCAGGCTGAAAATTCCGAAAGGAATCGAGACTGGCCCTCCGCTGGCGTTTGCATTTTGCAACCCGCTCGTCTTCGATCTCAGGTGCTTTAGTTTTGATAAGCCAGGGAACACGGGCTTCTGGACCTTGAGATTTCCAGTGGTCTCCAAGATTCACTTCGATCGCGACTTTTCCGAGACCGTTTCCTTTGAAGAGCTCCAGCTAATGGCGGAGGATGCGACGACGGTTCCGGAGCTGGAAGACAGCCAGGAGAACCTCGCGTGGATAGCCAGGCTAGAACGTTCCGATCCTAGGGGTCTGCCCGTTGATGCAGTCAGTCAAATGACGGCGACTACGATGCAAACGCCATCTCCCACAAAGTCAGCCGCGGCGACTTCTGAGCGGGACCCGAGCGCATCGCCTGCTGCTGCCACCCAGACCCTACAAGCCTGCATGAGGCCCAGCAGACCGGGAGACTCTGCATGTAGTCAAGGGGGCGCGGTATCGGCCACGTCACGGATGTCTTTGATGGCGCCTCCGATGCTTCCACTACCACGGGAGACGACTTGGAGAAATGAGATCAGCAGCAGCCCCCGGAAACGATCAGCAGCCTATTCTACCAGCTTGTCACCGCCACACAAGCGTCGCAGGCCATCGGAACCTGAAGCCGCTTCCGCCGCTCAGGTCCAGAGCGGTCCTCGCCGGCCCCTAGTCGATGTGGATGGCAACGCGTCACAACACCCCGCCATGACATGCGATTCAAATGCCGCCGTGTACTCCCCGCCGGAGTGCCGCCTGAGAGACGACAACCAGTGTGCGCTAGATGAGCTACTCGTCGGCATTGATACTCCCGCACAAAAAAAAGGCACCGTCTCGGAAAACGAGGAGGCTTGCGAGGGCACTTCGGTCAAGGAGACGGCTCACGCCCTGGAGAACAAGCAGCCGCCGCCCTCGAGCTGTCCCGCTGTCGTATTGGGCTGTGCAACAAACGCAACAGCTGCAGGTGCGCGGGTCGGCTGCTCATATGCCGGGATGGGGTGTCATGTGGCCATGACCATGATACTAGTCTCTTCTCTGTTGCTCGCCGAGTCCACCGAGTCGGCGCAGCTTTTGAAAGCACATGGCGTTCTTGATGCCGCTACATCGGTGGATCAGTGGATAGAGCTGGCCAGAGCGGGAAGCACCCCTGGGGCAAGCTCCAAGAAAGACCGGGCCAAGATGCTCCTCGTTGACAGCGTGAAGGATCCCGTCGAGGCCAAAAATCTTCTGGCCCGCGTTGAGGAGGCCCGAAGCGGATTGTCGCGGCGGCAGCGGGACTTGATCACTGTATACGACTGGCGTGTGCTCCGGCACATTACAGTCTTGGAGGACAAGAGCATCACGAACAAGTACTACGATGGCTTTCGTGATCCTTGGCGGCGGTGGTATTGCGGAATCATCTGATGTCACCCAAGGTGCCGAAGCAACAAGAGGTTGCATTGTGTCGAGCAATGGACTTGGATTGTCGGGGAGCTACTCATTCATATTTGGCGGGAACTCTCGCGACAATGAACTCTAAGCTTTAGAAGCCTCGTCGTTGTCCAATGAAGCTCCGTAGCTGGCATTCAGCCTCATTGTCAAGTGCTCCGCGGCAGTCAGGACCTTCCTCTTGGCGTACGGATTCGCATCAGACGCGTTTCCAGCAGGCACGCAGCTCTGAACACGCTGGCTGGGCACCGGCTCCAGTCTGCTCGAGTCCACTGGATGGCAGAAGAAAGCGATGGAGTACCTGGTCCCCGAGCTCGACTCGCCCGCGACGGCTCCGGAGCCGGCCGTCGGGAAGACGACTCTGTGGACAGTGCTCCTAAATAGACCGTTTGTCCAGTAGGAGAGCAAGTCGCCAATGTTGACGAGGATGGGAGGGCCAGGGTCCGTCTCCGTGCCGGGGGGGCAGACGGGCACAGGGGCCCAGGTCTCATTTTTGTCGAGGACCTCGAGACCAGCCTGGCCCTTAAGGCGGAAGAGCAGCGTGATGGAGCCGTAGTCCGAGTGGGCGCCCGCGCGGACGTCTTGGCCGGAATGAGCCGCCGACTCGGCCGGCGGGTAGCAGAGGAAGCGAAGCGTGGTGCCCGAGTCGGGCTGGCCGGTGAAGTGGGCAGAGGAGAGGAACTCTCCAACCTAGCACGCGCTTGGTAAGAACTAGCAGCTTTGACCTGGCTCTTGTAGGGGGGAAATCAAGGATAAAAGCGAGATAGAAGAAGCTCTGCCGCTTACATCCAGGCCTAAGCCGAGCAGGTAGAGGATCTTGTGACAGAGCTTGCGGCACGAGTCTGCAAAGGCGCTGAAAAGGGGCTCCTTATCGGCGACCGTCGAAGGTAGTGGCTGCTGAGCCTTGCCGTCGACGAATTCGCCAAAGTTGAAGGCTCTGGGGCGCACGTTATGGCTGGTTAGTTGGCGGCGTCTCTCGTCGACAGGGCATCTCTCCTCACTCTTTGAAATCGCCAAGCTGATGCAACATACGTCAGGGCTAAGCTTTTGTCAGAGCACAGAGAGATGGACGCCTCACCTTCTGGTTCTTGGGGTCGAGCGCCTCTACATGCATGCCCGCCCACCCGCGGTTGTTCTTGATGGAGCATCTGCGCTTCTCGTCGGCGGGCGCATCGAACAGATCTCTGGACTGCGAGCCACGGTCAGCGAGCAGAGTCCTCGCGACGGTATCATTCTGTATCGCGACTTGCGAGTGCAAAGGCTCTGTCAACGTCGTCGGCGGTGATGTCGTTGTCCAAGTTCCTGATGTAGATGAAGCCGTGCTCTTGGGCGGCGGATACGAGCTGGCGGGCGACGTCGGCTTGGTCGCCGGCGAGGTCAATAACGGGAATGGCGGGGGCGGGCACGGGGGCTGTCATGTCTGGGTAGGAGGTGGGGATGAAGAGGCAACTCTCAAGATGTGATGATGACTTGTTTCATTCTGGCAGCCGCACTCAGCAGTCAGCAGTGCAGCACTCTGACATTGGCAACGGGACCTAGCGTCACGGGCTGACGACGGCGACGACGAGCGTTCGGTTCCTGCGGCTTAGGTAATCCGGCGCAATACGCGCTGGTGGAAAGTAGAGACCGCCAGGCTCTGACAGTTGCCATGTCTGCATTCAACCCTGTTCCTTGGCTGCTGGTAATTAGAGCCCATGTCGAGTTCAACATATACAGTATGTACGTACAGAGTACAGTACATGTAGAGTCGGCCGGAAGGGTCAATTGGCTTCATTGCGGCAGCAAAGGAAATATATACTCATTAGCCACAGGCCCACAGTCCATTCGCAACCGGGCGGGTACCGGCTGTGGCGCGTGCACCCGTCTCGCTGCTCCACGGTTGGGCAAGCGCTTTCGGGCACAGGCCTGCTGCGTGTGCGTGTGGCGCGCGCCTTGCACCCACCCTTGTTGCCCATCAACACCCTACCTAGGACAGCTGCTTCTCTCGAACCACCGCCATCACCGACCACGCATCCTCCTCTCCCCTCGTTCCGAGACTCCGCCACAGAAGCTTCTCTCGGCCCCGTCTCCATCCTCGACCGCCCGGCACTTCTCATGTCCGTCTCTGCGTCGCCTGCCTGAGTCCTGAAGCGGCCAAGCTATCTCGTCGGTCGCCCAACTTTTCCCTCTGGGGGTGGGTGGGAGACGCGGTCTGTGTCCTCAACCTACCACTACTCCGAGCCGAGGCAAGGAACAAGGGCGCCTCTGTCGCCGCGCCTTGGGTCGAAATGCCATGTTAGTGTTTCTCCCCGTTTTTCTTGGCACCGTGGTGTCGACGCCATCGCAACCCTCCGTCGAGGCGCTGTGCGCCTCGTGAGCTTCACTTTCAACTCTGGAAGCTCTGCAAGAAACCTCTAGCTTCCCAGACACCTGCCTGTACCAAGGCCGTCCAGACTCGACCACGAGCTCAAATCCCTCTGCGGTCCCGGCTGAGCAGTGCTGCCTGCTGTGGGTCCAGCGTCTGCGATACACCTCGCCCAAGCGCTTTCGCTCGACAGCCTCTCAACAACTCACCCGTGGCTCTACTTGGTGTATTTACGTCGTGCTCTTGAACATATACTGACGTATATTGTGTCTGCAGTCCTTCTCGAGGATTCCTGGATTAATGACCAGTCTACGTATGCTTGCCTTCCTCGCTCTCTCGATTCTGTGCCCCCAACAAGAAGCTCGTCGACGCTGACCCTCGGGCTCCGCTGCAGGACATGTGATGTTGCCGAGCTCGAAGACTGTGCCATCGCCGTCGATGCAACCTACTACCTCAACCACCTGCTCGACACTCCGCCCGCCCATGAGCCACTGCTCTCCGCCCTGGGCGGGCTCACCGGCATCCAAACCCACATCAACGAGAATCTAGACCTGTGGGATAAGAACCGCATCGTGCCCCTTTTCGTCTTTGATGGTCAATCCATCACGGGTCAGGACGATGTCTCTCTCGGCCGCCGTCGAGCGGCGAACCACAAGACGGACGATGCCTGGAACCTATACTCGCAGTCTCAGGCCGAGCAGGCGGTGGCTACGTTTGGCGCCAACCCTGGTCAGCCCTTCACCGCCCCCTGCCCTGCAACGTGGTGCTAATCTTGCTGGCTATTGACAGGCGCCTATTGTGTTCAGAACCTCTATCCCCTGCTGCAGAGTATACTCAAGGAACGGGGCTTGCACTTTTTGGTGCCTCCCTACAACGCCTGTGCTCAGGTCAGCACCTCTCATAGGTCGCGTCAGACGACACGAGCATACTTGCTGACTGCTTGCAGCTCGCCTACTTCGAAATGATAGACTCAAACCAGTGTGCAGGTGTCATGGGTCCCCAGGAGCTCCTCCTCTATCCCATCAAGGACTCGGTAATCCGGAGCTTTGATTGGGATGCCAAGACTGTGACGGCTCTCTCCAAGAAGAAGGCCATGCGCGCACTCGGCGTGGGCGAGCCCATGTTCGTCGATGCCATGCTCATGACGGGCACCTCGTTCCTCGCGCCGTTCCCTCCGCTTCAAGACTCGTCCATGTATCCAAACCCCTTCACCGTCATGGATGCGGTCAACATGCTGCGGACGTCTGACAAGTCCATCGCCACCGCCTGTGCCTCGTTCAACGACATTCTGCAGGCTCAGGACCCGGATTGGCTCGACAAGTACCGCAAGGCGCGGATGGCCGTCCACCACTTCATCTTCATTGCGGAAAACGGCGAGGTTCTCGTCAACGATATTGAGCGGCTCACCAAGGACAACCACGAGTACCTCGGCCTCCAGCTACCCGCCGAGCTGTTCCACTACCTCAACACGGGCCTTATTGGCGCCCGGAATCTCAGCTGTATAACGCACAGTCAGATTGTGGTGCAGCCGACGCTAGACGGCGGCGCCTCGGACGAGTACAAGAAACTCGTCACCGACAAGATCTTGCCCCTCAAGGAACAGGCTCTCGGCCTCATCATCCCCCGGGTTCATCGCGGCATAGGCCACAAGGAAATCACGATGCGCGTCTGGTTCGATCCCAAGTTCGCCCATACGATTAACCATCGTTCTTTGCAGCCGCCTCCGTCGCAGCGCGTAGGCACTTGGGATGTCAAGGAGTCGGACCTGCGCAAGTTCTTCCCCGCCGACTTCGTCGGCCCCATCTATCTGGAAGTGCTCGCCCTGGCGAATCCCGACTTTGTCGAGATGACAAAGGCCAAGCAGAAGCTCATCAGGGGCATCGACAGCTCCGAGATGGTGACGTCTGTTGCCATCTGGCGCTTCCTGCACCTGCGAGGCTACGTCAATGACGAGCACAAGCTGACGAAATGGGGAAACGCGCTGGCAACCACTCTTCTCGCGCTCAAGGAGGCAAACGAGAACCGTCCCGAGATTCCGGGCGTCGACGAAGCCGCCCTTCTCGCCTTTGAGCTGATCAGATTTGGCCTGCTCGGCGGGAAACACGGCGGCGACTTGCCTGGCATGCCACGCAGGGGGAGCGAGGAAGAAAAGTCGAGCTTGATCTTGATCAGCCAATGCGCGACACTCTTGAAGCTGAGGCATCAGGTTTACGGATACACTGGACCGCTGAACAAGAGTCTTTTGGCTTTCCGCTCTCTCTCTTCGGCGGTGCGAGAAGCCGACCGAGACTTGATTGAGGCCATCGTTGCGTCCATGTTCATGTACGGGCAGTGCAAGCGAGAAAGGGATGATTACTTGGATATTAGCCAGAGGTGCGTGCTGTGCCGCGGGAATATTTAACACGCAGAGACGGACCAGGTATTGACAATGCTCGCAGGCTTCCCTTCCTCCAAGAACCGGACATTGGACTTGGCATCGCGATCCGGACATTTTTCGACGAAGATGAAGCGAGCGACAGCAAGGAGGCGCGAGCCACTAAGCTGGCAGAATTTCCGAAGACGTTTGTGCCCTTTGCAGAAGCTTTGGCAGACGACTTTCGCCTGTGCACAGACTTCGTCAGCGCCATCAACCAAGGTGTCCAGACCATTGACAGCAAGGAGCTTGCGGCGGCGGACAAGGCTGCATGGGCCAAGGCCCAGGATTACTTGGATGCCAGACCATTCTGAGCATCGCAAGCCGTGTCGGTCATGTTGGCGGCTACGATAGGGAGCAAGGTGACGGCGGATCAAGATGCGAAAACAGAACCGGGCTGGGGTTTGGGAGCCAAAGGGGGGGCCATGTTGGAAACATTTTTTGTTTTCAATCACGGCCTCGACTCGCTTGGGGGCCAATAATACGGTGACCCGTCCGCGTGGCCGCCACCTTCTGTTGACGAGACGACGGGGGCAGTTATGAGCGTGGGCGAGAGGGATTGTGGGTAGGTGAGGGAATATGGGTTTGGCTGAAGTGTCTGGTCTGTATAGGTTCTGGCGCAGCCGACTGGGGCCTATGTGGGTGAGAGGAGATAAGCGCGGGCTCGGTTGAAGCAGGAATAGCAGGTCGCCGGGGGAAGGGGACGACTCTGGCAGGCCGTCTAGCATCTCACACGAGTCTTAGTGTGCGGGCGCACAAAAAAACGAGAATAAAAAATCAAGATATGCAAAACTTGGGGCCCTGCGCTTGGACACCAGCAGACGAGCGGGTTTAAAACGGAGCATGCACCAAGCAAGGTTGGCGGGCCGTCCATGCCATAGATCACGGGGGAAAGCTCCACTCTGGAGGGGGAGTCGGCACGGGCTTGTCCGCCTGGGCATGCTGGCACGGGTGGCCCTCTTGCCGGCCTCGCGGGAGTTTCAGCCCGTTTAGACCCGGCCGGGCCCCCTCCTCCGCCCCCACCCGCCTTATTTAGCCGCATTGCGAGATGGAGATTCCAGGATCGGTGGGGGGAGAGGTTGGGACAAGGGGTGTGTGGGTGCGCTCTGGCCCCGGGGGAACATCAAACAGGCGGGGGTGAGAGAGAGAGCGCAAGTTCAAGCAGAGCAACGCTTGACATGTGTGTGTCGAATCCAGTGGACCACGGGCGGGCCGTGCTCCTGCGGCGTCGGTTGGTGTTTTGCTGTGTGTGTGATGGGCCCTCGTTTGAGGCGGAATTAGAACAGGCATGATAGCAAGGTGGGGGGGTGGTTTCTGTCTGCTTTTGACATGTTTTGAGTTCATTGTTCTCTCTTGTCTCTCGTACTCTTCCTAGAAAGTCATACAAGAAAAGTGCCCATTCCAGACATGGAGAGGAAAACAGGTGAGCCATCCAAGGTGACAAGAAGGGAAAACAGAGAAACAGAAATGCCAATCCAATCGTAATTCGTAAATGCCAGCCAGCCTTCCATATCTTCAGGGGGGGTTGCCCTATTCCCCTCGCGCAGCGACACGAGAGCCACCCCCATCGGCGAGAAAAGAAATATGTGCTTGGGGAAAGAGCCAACACCGGCCTTGCCGGTGTACGAGACGTGGGAGGAGGCTGAAAATCGTCTCAAAATTAAGTAGATTAAATTTGTGTGCTCTTTCAAAGAGGCGACAAGAAGAAAAGGGTTGGTGCCGGAGAGGCCCAATGCTTTTTTTTTTTGCGCTTGCGCAATCATTCTCAAACCCAGCCTCCCCTCTCTTCTCACGACAGGACCATGGCCATGGGTCCAGCAACGGTGATGGCGTCGGTGACGGCGCTGTCGGCGGGATTTGACGACGTCAGGAAGACGTAGGTGATTCCGGACACTCCCTGGGGAACCTGACAGCCCTCGCTCTCGGAAAAGGACACGAAGAGGGCGCCGCCGGGGGACTGGTCGGGGGTGGTGGTGAAGGCGCAGTTCTTGGCAGAGCCGGCCCCTTGCTCGGCCAGCAACTTAACGGAGGAGCCGACCGTCATCTGGGCAGACTCCTGGCCCGGCATCATGGTCAGGGCGGGGAAGGGCTCGATGGGAAGGTTGGAGCCATCGGGGCATGAGGCAATAAAGGGCTTGGCGAGGGTGAAGGCGGCGCGGGGGCTGAGGGAGCTGTCAAAGGGCTGGGGCACGAGGTCCTGTTTAAGGAGGCTGCGGATAGAGGTCTGGTGGCGCGCCTCGACAGTGGCGATGGAGGCGGCGGCGCTGAGCACATTCTTGTCGCTGATGGCGGGGGCGGCGCCGAGGTAGGCCCCGACGCCGACGTTCTCAAGCACGGCTGCCGTCTTGATGATGTTGTTGACATCGCTCGTGTTGAAGTTGTACTTGCAAGACTCGACTGGCTTGGCGCCCGTCTGAGCGAGGGAGGAAGTGAGGAAGACGACGTGCGTCGCCTCGGAATCCCGGACGGTGCGCAGAGCGTTCCTCATGTTGTCATCCATCTTGTTTCCAGACTCGTTGAGAGCCTGGTCGTAAAAACTGGACTCCAGGTGCTCCAACGTCAGGGCGCTGTAGTCCAGAGTGTCAGTGTGAAGCTCTAGACAAGGCTTGACAAGGCAGGAGCGGGCAGCACGTACAAGTTCAAAATAACGGGATCGGTCAGGTTCATGGACTTGGCCATGGCATTTTGCCGCACAGCGAGCTTGTAGTAGTTGGCTTGCCGGGACGTCAACCTGATGGATGCGGGCAGGGCGGAAGCAGCCGTGGCGAGGACCGCGGCAACGGAGAATATCGTCTTGAGAGAAACCATGTTGATGTCCTTTAGTAGTAGTTGTTGGTGGTGTTTTCTGTGTCCGAGCACAGGGAGTATTTGCTTCAAGAAGGGAATGAGGGAGGACCAGCCGCTCGAGTGCAACAATGGGTATTATTACAAAGAATTGACGTTCCAAAATATATAGAGAACGGGAAAGAAAGCTCACGCAAGGAATGCGAGAAGTGAAGAGACAAGGAGGGAATGGGCTTTTTGGGGAGGAAGACGAGGTCCTTTTGACATTGGCAGGGCACAGGCCGCGCGAGGTGAGACGCCTGCTGGTGCCATGCGGTGCCATGCGGTGCCATGCGGCTGCTGCAGCTTCCGCGACCCCCAGACAGCCCGGGATGTCTTCATCCTATTCTCCGCCTCCCAGGGCGGGGCTCGGGGTGGTGGTGTCCGAAACGGTGCTGATACGCGAGCCTCCGTGGCCAAGCGGCCCAGGCGGGCGCCGTCTGTCGGCCATGGGAGCCTGCGCTCAGACTGATGCCGTGCCCAGGGCTGCTGTCAAGAGCCCTCCTCGGTTGCATGGGCGTTCGGGGCTGGTATTGGAGGGGCGCCGACGGTCCGCCATGGTTGGTGGCGGCCGTGGTTGTAGGAAGAAGAAGCATCACCACTCTCGTCATGCCGCAGGTGCAGGTACTACTCCCGGGCACATGGTGTCTCGTTGCATAGGTGACTTACCCTAATTACCTGCCCATTATTAATTAATTAATTACCTACCTAGGTACCTACCTTATTACCTCGCAAGTTCAAGCATCCGGCCTGCGTCCGGCCCAGCACTAATTACGGCACAGCTCACCTCCGCCCGCCTGCAAAGTCGGTTGTCCAGTGCTCCGCGCCTCCTCCTAATTACCGTTGCCCTCTCTCTAACCATCCATTCGTGCCTCTCTGACTGACCTTTGCCTGCCCAGCCAAACCGACAGCATACATACAACCACCCGCCTGCCCGACACCCGACCACCTTTCCGTTGCTTCCAATCATCACGCAAAACTCAATCAATCTCTATGCAGAAGAAAAAAAGAAACCCCTGCCGCCTCCACTCGCATAACGCTTGGCTCAAGCCTGCCTGCCTGCCGTCTCTCCTCCCACCCTCAAGTGACACACTTCCGCCGTCTGATCGCCCAAGTCCATCATCTATCTTTGTCGTCATCGCCCATCCACGCCGCCACCCCGATCGCCACGCGTCCGCACCACCAAGCACCACGGGGAACCATATCGTCTCTTCCTGTCGTGACTGATGTCCCGACACTCACATCTCCATCAATCTCATCCGCCTGCCGTCCTCCTTCATCACACACACCTTCGTCGCTCGCAAGGTGCCGTCGGGCCTATGTATCACGCGCATCGTATTTCTACTCTTCTTCTGCCTGTCTCGACGCCACCACTTAAATATGTGTGCCACATCTTGCGATTAATTATGTACCCCACCTCCATCAAGAGCCGTCACTTCAGATGACCCTATACACCGCCAGCCATCATCTTCTCCTCTGTCTTTTGTCCTCCCCATCCGCCTTTTCGTACAGTCTGCTCCCCCCACGTCTCCCTTGCACCTCCATCCCGTCGACATTGGACATTGCCGCTCCAAGCTTCTTGCAGTCTCCCACGTCAATCACAGTGCAAACGGGTTCAGGGACCGGATGGTCAAGCATCTGTTGCACTCGTCAGCGTTTCCATCATCAAAGCGCCTTCAAGCTCGGTTGGCACTTACGGTGGGCTCTTGCTAAGGTCCGTCTTCAATATGATGGGGACCCTCGTCATCTCCGTCACATCTTGAATGTGATCCCCGCCCTCTTCTCGTAGTTTGAACAGCTTGAGATACTTTTCCTTGTTAGTCAGGCGCGCCTCGACGGTCTCAGAAACTGGCACCTTCGAGTCAGAGCGTGTCCGATGCAGCGTCCCGGCGTTCGACGACGTGCGAGCCGGCGAGCCGGGGACGCTCTGGGTGGGTCGCTCCGCTAGGGACACCCCGGCCATTGCCTCGGTTACGTCTGACGTATTGTCATCGTCGTCGTCAAACAGGGCATCCACGTCGTCGGTCGACATTGTCCCCGTCTCCGTCTGTTTGCGCGCCGCCTCCTCGCGCTCCCTCTTCACGCGCTCCGCCTCTTCGGCCTGTTTCGCGGCCGCCATGGCGTTGGTCATTCTCTGAGATGCCGCCGCCTTGGGTCGTTCGTCGTCCGGAACGAACGCCGAGCTGGGTACTCCCTTCTCCCAGTACAGCTCGAGAATTCTCTTCTCCTTCCTGAACTCCGCCTTCTTCAGCGGCAGCTGGTCGCAGTGCACCCGCTTCTCGAATCCCCACTCCGGGATAAGCACATCAAAGGCCGATTCGTATACGCAAAGCACGATGCCTTCGGCGATGAGATCTCCATTGACTTCCTGTCGCTTCTTGTCCATGGTGCGGCACGACTCGACGTGGATGCTCTGCTCCTGTGCGTTCTGAGCCGAGTCCTTTTTCGTGTTGCATGACTCGGCCGTCTTGACCAGGTTCTCCATGTCGTCCGTAAACTCGATCTTGCCCTCTGATAGAACGGCCTCCAGCTGCCGGTGGACGATGATGTCCGCGTACCGACGAGTAGGCGACGTGAAATGAGTGTAGAGGGGGAGATTCAGCGAGTAGTGCGACCACAGCGGCTTGACTGTCTTACCCGCGATGAAGTATTTGGCTCGCTGCATGGACTTGAGGGCCAGCGTCTCCATGCCCTTGCGGAGTTCAGTGTCGTCCACCTTGAACAAGCTGTTCTGCAGGGCTCCGCTTCCGGACGCATCAATTTCGTATCCGAGAGCTGTCATACGGTCGACAAATGTCTGAAGACGACGCGGATTCGGGGCGGCCAAGCGACGAAGAAGCGCCTTCTCGGGGAGTCCTTCCGCCAGACGCTGGGCCACGTGCGCGTTCGCCTTGTGCATAAGCTCCTCAATCATCTCCAAGGCCAGAGTCGAATTGAAAATATTGTCCTGCACTGGATTGTTCTCATCGTCCAACTGCTGCATGAGTCGCAGAGGCGCAATCGGTTCCCCTCCTGCGCCTAGACGGGTTTCTCGGAACTTCTGTGCAACCCCCTGGAGGATTTGGATGGTGTTTACCGAAACGGCCCCATTCGAGAACGCCGACGGGTCATTGAGGGCAGTGTCCATGTCTTCCAACGACACCTTGCCGCTGCTCTTCACGACACTTCGGCCCACCCAGCTGTCAGCCTCGGCGACGGATCCGTTGTGAGGGTTCACGTTGAACACAACACTGACGGTGAGTCGGTCCTGGTCGGGGCCGAGTGAGCAAATCTCGCGAGACAGCTTTGGGGGCAGCAGGGGGCAAAATCGGTTAAGCAGCTGAACAGAGGTACCGCGTTTCTTGGCTTCGCGGTCCACCAGTGAGTTGGGCTTCACGAAGTATGCAACGTCGGGCACGTGGATGCCAATCTCGATCTTGCCATCGGGCAGCGTCTTGACATGAACGGCATTGCCGAGTTCCGCACTCCCATTGAAGTCAATTGTGAATGTATTCTCCTGGCGGAAGTCACGGCGGGAGGCGATGGCAGATTCATCCTCCTTGTCCAAAGCCCAGTCCTGGAGGCCGACGTTGCGGAGGACGGCGTCGGAGAACTCGTCTGAGGAGAAGTTGTTGTCCCTCAAGAGGGCATCGGTCTCGACCTTGAGCTCGCCCATGCGTCCGAGCTGTTCCACAAGTGTGCCGAAGGGGTGCAGAGAAGTAATGGGCCAACGCTTGATGCAGGCGACAAAGATCCGATCAGCATAATCCTGATGCTTCTCGACAAAATCACGAGGGGCCTGCTCTGTGGGGATGGCAATCAGGGGAACGCGCTTGTCGGTAGGCTTGAACCAAACAATCTTGGGTTTTTCATGTTGACGAGAGTCGTTCTGGCGGCCGCTGCCACCATCTCGAGCGGCCCTTTCTGCCTCTTGCTTTTCCTTGGTGGCCTGGCTGCTAGGGCGCAGCAAGCCCAGGGTACCGGAAAACATCTGGCCGGCAACACGTTCGACGACGGCGACAATGTGGCCGGCGTAGAGGGGTTTCTGCTCATCGTTGATCTCTTCCTCCTCGACGAGTAGCAGGCTTTGGCCCTCGACCTCAACATCATCGTTCTTCTTTTGGGTCGGGCGCTGACGCAGGCTACCACGGCGGCGGATTCCGCCCTCGGGCGCGTTGTTGTCATCGTTTTGTCCCGAGTTCTGGCTGGATTGGTGCGTGGAGCCGGACCGCGTGTCGGTAATATCCTTGCGTTTCTTCTTCTCTTCCTTTTCTCTCTTCTGCGACCACACCTCGTCAACATTCAAGAGCTCCACGGCAACAAGGTCGCCCTCCAGGGCTCGGTTGCGATCCTTGCTACCGCAAATGAAGATATCGGCATCCAGGAGGCCGTCTTGGGTAGTGACGTAGGCGTCGCTTCTGTTCTTCTTGTTAACGCGCAGGATACCAGAGACGAGCTGGCCATCTCCAAGCAAGGCAGGGAGAGATGCCTGGGGGAGATATGGAGTGAACAGCGTCTTGCGCTGCTGTTGCTGGCCACCAGCCGGGCCCGCGTGCTGGGAGCTTTGAAGGCCTTGAAACTGCTGGCCGTTCATCTGGGCGGCTTGCAGGGCCTGCAGCTGGCCAAGTTGCATGGGATTCAGTTGCTGGCCATACATCGAGGGCATCATCATTTGACCGGGCATTTGCATGAGCTGCGGTTGATTGGAGGCATACTGAAAAGCGCCAATGGATGAGACGGACTGGTTCATGGAACCACGGGATCGGTGACCTGGTTGGAACGATTGGGACTGGCCAGAATTGCCCGACTGGTCCTGGGCCTGATTCTGAGTGCGCCAGTTACCCTCGTAGTTTCGAGACCCGGTGCGGGCATGGCCCATGCCTCCTCCTCGGCGCTGGAAGTCGTTGCCCCCATCGTTGCCCATGCGAGCGCCCCCACGTCCATTTGCAGCCAAGCTCTGACTGCGGCCATGGCCTCCGCGGCCACGAGTTGAGCCCTGAGCCACCGAGGCATCAAGGGTGGACTGGGTAGCGGTCACCTTACTGTTCTCGTCGTCCGGCTTGTCGGAGGCAGCAGGGCCGGGGAACTGGAACCCGGTTGTCGTTCGTTTCTGCTGAGCGAGCTCGGCAGCTTTCTTGGCATCGGCCAGAGCAAGAGAATGTCTTCGCTGGTGGCCGGGCCCAGAGCCGCCTCCGCGGCCGCCTCGCCCGCCGGCATTCTCTCGTCCGTGTGCTGCCGGAGCCTCGAAGTTACCGAAGCCAGAGCCAGAGGCGCCAGACGAGGGAGCTGGTGGGGGGCCCATGCCCATGTTGGGCAGTGCCGACTGATTACGGCGATGTGAGAGTGGTTGGGACGGGGGACCCATTGAGATGTTCTGTTGCGGCATCTGGTTGGGAAACTGGAAGGCGGATTGGGACATGTTGCCCATGGACTGCAAAGGATTGAACGCTCCGTTGTGGGCAATGGGCTGGCCGGGAGGCATCATGCCCATATTTACATATTGTTGATGGGTCGCTTGGATCTGTTGCTGCTGCTGCTGCAAGAGCTCAATCTGTTGCTGGATGGCTAGTTGTTCCACTGCCAGAAGAAGTTGGTCAGCATCGGATCGGTACGGAGCGGTTGCGACGCGCAAGGGAATCCCGAGCCGGAGCTCGTGACTGTCAAGCTGCCGACGACAAGCTTTGACGAAGACAGGCCGTGTGAGGGAGGACAGGGCCAACTTACTTCCTGGGTTGGCAAACATGCTCATCAAGGGCGTCAGCTCCGAAGGGCTTCGTCGATGAGCAATGTGAAGCCGTCGCCCGGTAGGTCCTGGGACGCCGCTGGCCGGCTGTTGCTGCGGCTGTTGCGGCTGTTGCGGCTGCTGCGGCTGCGGCTGCTGCTGCTGCTGCTGTTGCTGCTCCATGATGGGCAGCCAGTGTCGGGTAACGGGGGATCAGGCAAGAGAGCACGTCAGGTGCGGGAAACGAATCTCTGGTCGGTGCAGAATGCGATGCGTCTGCGATGTGAGTGCGAGGCGCTTGACAGAGAGTTTCCAACAAAGACAGGACAGATTTGCCAAAGGAGGGTGGGATGTGGCTGGTTCAGACGAGCTTGGGGATGACCAAGGAGCGTGCGAAGGGAAGCGGTTGGGAAGCGAAGACAGTGAGGGGATGGGCGGATGAAAATCCGGGTGGATGGATGGAGAAAGGATGGTGATGGTGAAAAGTGCAGCTCCTGGAGAGGAGAGCGACTTGGGGGAATACGGACGAGGGCGTGGGAAGATGGATGATGGAACAGAGAATGGAAGATGGGAGGTTTCAGTTTTGGGAGTAGGGGGAAGAGCTGGGCAGGTTTTGGGGGGAGGGTGCGGTTCCGCTGTTCCTCAGCTTACTCGAGACCGAGAGACAGTGGGTGGTTAGTTGGCCCAGTGGAGTCCGTACTGGGCAGTGGGAGAGGGCATGGGAGAGGGCAATAGGCCGGCTCATGGGTGGTCCCCACCTTGCCTTCCGCCGGCAGGTACCCCTGAGGGGGAGAGCGCACAGGGAGGTACTTGCTGCATTACGTCAGGCGCGAGCTCCTTCAGCCCAGACCGCTGGAAGCGCTGGAGCTTTGCTACAGTGAAGCCCCGAAAGGCTAGCCCACCGTGCACATTTGCACAGGGTACAGCCGCCGAATTCTTGTGCGCACTCGCTCAGCTCGGAAACAAGAGGATTTGCCGAGCAGCATGTCGCTACTGCACATGGCCTATCTTCACCTCACCGGCTGGACTGGTGTGCCGCCTACTCGCCACTCGTCCATCGGCGCGCAGAACTGCGAGCGGGGCTTGCTGCCGTGGACTCATCCCCATTCTGCCTGGAAGCGATGCGGCAGCTACTAGTACCGGTGCCCCAAGCTAGGGGGCTCGTGGTCCGTAGGGAAGACAGAAGCTTGCAGCCGCACATGCGGGAGTTGAGACACTTGCTACCCATTCATGCGGGCCAAGGCCGGTCCATGCGGGCGTCCTTGCACCAGCTGGTCTGGTCTAGCCACGGTAACCACTGACAGTGGCCAAGTGTCGAGTGCCTTCGTCGTCTGCCTTTTGCTACAGTAGTAGTGGTATACCTGCACACAAGGTACAGCCCTCATCTCGAGACACCAGACTGGCGGGCTTTCACGTACCAAAAGGGAGCCTCATTGGTGGTACCTGATACCTGGCTCACCATGCTCACTGCGGGCGGAAGGCGCTGACAGACAGGCCGCCAAATGATGCAAGTGCGAGCTGCAAAAGAAACAAGGCCGCGTTTGAAGCTGAGCCTGACCCAGACTCCCCCTCGCTCGTTGTTTGGACATGTCAGAACCCTTTGGCGGCAATGGCCCTGATCCACAAGCAAACGAACCGATCCCTTTCGCCGACGGCTTGCAGGACGAACTCCAGCCCAAACTGCCAACCTAAACTGCCGTGCCAGAACGCAGGATCGGCTGATGCACGTCTTGACCGGGCCATTTGCACTTCAACGGACAAAGGGGCTGCAAAGAAAGACTTTGTGGGCTAGGCGCACGGTGTCCGTAGGGCATCCGCGGCCGCTCACATCCCGGCGTCAGTTAATTCTGCACCCGCTCTCGCTTTGCGATTCTTTACCCTACCTAGGTAGACGCTGTAGGCCGGTTCATGGCGCCGGGGCTCCCGCTCCCGCACGTCCGCTCCCGTCGTGTGGGTGGAGTACTCCGTGCAGAGGTACTGTACTACCTAGAATCTGCCTGTTACTGTGCATTCAGCCAAGCAGGGCTCGTCGTTTGGTAATGTGGTCTTTTATAAGTTACTGTAGATGTTGCTCCCTGCATCAGCACATTTGCGCATGCATGGAAGGCAAGAATTGCATGCATCGCAGCCACATGTGAGCGTAAATCCAGAGCGAGACACGCAAAAGAGCAGGCTCGGGACGCGAGCCCGGTAACGCCGGGCAGCTTCACCCACTGTAGCATGTGTGTTTTTAGCTGTAATTATACGGTACCTGGACACGGAGTACTCGCCTTTTTGGCGGCGCTCGAGCCGTTCGTGGGAAGAGAAACTGCATGCGACACCAAGAGCTTCATCACGAGTCGGGCGGGAGCAAGGAGTCGGGTATCAGGGGGATTGCTGCTCGATGTTTGCCATTTGTGTATCCAAAAGAGGTGAATCATCCGTAATGTCTCAGTCATGGATCGGCCATGCCGCCTGGCCATTGATGCTCGCCCGGGGGCTTCCGAAGACGCCCCCCAAGGCCCTAACAACATGGCCGGCATTGTGTACAGGTTATCGTATGTATTCGTCTTTCTGAAGATAGATGGCCGAGCCTCGTACTTGCGTGCGACAATACAAAGTACGAAGAATCGATCCTGGACACAACGAGGCTTTCCACATGTTTCCCACATGGATCAAGGGTGGGCTGCTCGAGAGATGCCATGGGACGGGAACACCTACGAAGGCTTCATGAGAAGCCTCGGTAATAGTGCTGCGCAAGTCTATTTCAATCTCAAAGTTGTCGAGCCTAGCCTGACTGACTATTCGCTTCCGTCTTGACAGGTCTGGGTATTTGTGCTTGGAGTTTAGGGAGTGCTTATCGGGTACGAAGTACGAAGTACTTCTGGAAACTGCAAAGTGTATTCGGTGCCTCGAGCAGCTCTGAGTGGCGCTGAGCTCGTCGGGTCGGACTTTTATTTTCGCGATACCCAGCTGCCGCCTCTGCGCTCTCAGTATCTACCGAATACCTACGATACTTCTTCCTGCTGTAACAAATCTTCCGAGCCTCAAGCCGGAGACTGTGCTTCTCGGGCCAATCACGACGACGCCTACAAGGAACCGAAAGGCCTCCCACCCTACACATGACCGTCCTTGCCTATCAACCGCACGATTGCCAAGTCAAGCCGCGCCGCAACAGCAAATGCAAATGCAGCTTCGATAGCACCTCGGCCTCTGCTGCAAGCATGACGCGCTCGTCGCCCTTGAGGAGGACGCAATTGGCCTCGACTCCCGACAGAGCCATACGGTCCAGCTTCCTCCTCGATGATCGAAACACGGAAACCAGCCACCTAGACGCGCTCGCTGCCGCGCAGGCGGAACACGACCGAGTCCGCGAGGCCGCCATTCGTGTGTACGAACTTCACGAGTTGAAAGAGGAGCACCAGCGTATACTGGACCAAGAGCGCAGGGAGCAGGAGAGGCTGAAAGCGGAGGCTGAAATCGCGGCAGAGGAAAAGAGGCTTCAAGAGTTACGGGCGAAATCGATACCAAAACCTCCTCCGCCCGCTGTGCCTGAACCTCCCAAGCCAGTCGAGCAGCGTCCCGGCGAGGCACCTGCGACCAAAGCTACCCAGGAAGCGAAGAGGCCATTGGCGGCTGCCCCAGAAAACACAGGGCTCAAACCCCAGCCTCCCAATGCCTCCCCTGCCTCGCAGAACGCGCTTTTTGCAAACCAGACCAAGCCGGCAGCGAATTCTCCTCTAAACCCACAGTTTCATCAGCAGCCTGCATCACAGGCAGTCGCCGTTCCAAAGTCAAGTGCTCCAACACCTCAAGCTAAAATCGCTCCTCCAGGGCCGTCCACGGCTCAAGTGCCGGCCAAAGCACAAGCTCCTGCTGCAAAACCCGCCGTCGACCGGCTTGTACAGATACACCGAGAGCTCAAGACACTGCGCAAGGACCTGATGGCATTGTCCAAGGCTCCGGGCTCTCCGTTGAAGGGAAGGGTGGGAACGTTTAGAAGAGAGATTCGAGTCGCAATCGGGCAGCTCACCAGCGGCAAGGGCGCCAATGTTCAGCCTGTGAGATGGTGCCCGTCTTGGTGCGCTTTGCCATTGCCACTGCTAACATTATGCAGACCAATCGGATCATGGCCATCTTGAAAGAAGCTGTATCGGGCCGGATTGCCAGTCCTCCTGTCGAGGTCAGTCGGTTCTTGGCGGAATCTCGTCCATCAGCCAAGGTTGCGAACAGCGGCGCAGGTCTGCCCTCCCTCTTCATCTACCTGATCAACATTTGCGCCAAGGGCATCATCAGCCAGTTCATCAACGAATGCGGTGCCAATCCCAAGGCTGCAGATCCAATTGGAGTCTTTACTGCCCAACTCTTCTCGCACAAGGATTTCCAGTGGCAGGGACAGTCCCTGATCGATATCCTCCTGGCAAAGTTCCGCATCGTTTGCCCCGTCCTCTTCGGCTTCAGGGGCAATGACAAGACGGAGAGAGGCAGACATGCCATTGGGTGGCGCAAAGACGGGTCCTCGTGGATCACGGAGCAGAGCCACAACGACCGGATGGCGGGTCTGGGTGCCGGCTTTGCAGCTGTGTCCCTACGAGACTTTAGCAAGTCGTCCAAGGAAAATCCTTATCCGCCAACGCACTACTGGAAGGCACTCGCCGGCATCGTCAATTCGCCCCCAAACGAGACGTCAAACACACAGTACGTTGTCTTGAGGTCCATGATTGAGGGGCACGAACAGCGATTCCTCAACTTTTACGGAAACGCGGCCGTTGTCGCCCTGCGACTGGCCCTAGTTGAGTTTCCAAAGAGGGCGCCAGAGCACGCCTCTGCGGCGGGAACACTGCGTGCGCTAGCCGAGGTTTTGCGAACTGAGGGCGGGTTGGATTTGGCTTAGCCAACTGTATCTTTGAAAGTCGGGAATGTTTTGCTTTGTATTATGATGAGGAAATCGGCGTTTGGATTAGCCACATAGCTTGACGAGCATAAGTTGGACTGCATAGCTGAGGCGTTGAAATGAGATGGCAAGTATCATTTCTTGAGGCATCCTGGAGCCCCATCTGCTCTATCGACGTACCAGAACGCTGGAGGCGGGGGAGAACGCAATGCGTGATGAAGCCGTCAACAACGACTACGTGTAGCCCACTATCTTTAAACTCCAATCCTCGAGCAAACCGGCTCAAACAAAGGTAGTGGAACATGACGAAAACAGTATACAGAGAGCAGGTGCTATAATATCAGGAGCAGGATCAGGAGCAGGATCAGGACGAAGATGAGAACCCCGATGCAGCAGCTGCTCCATCTGTCTTCGTTCTGGCGCATGACGTACTGTAGCTTCTGCATGCCATTCTGCAGGCGGCTTCCCACGCGGTCGGCGGCGTGGTCGACGAGCTCGAGCATCTCGTGCTGCTCTGCGAGCTCGCGGCCCATGTCGTCTGCCTGGCGGCGCAAATTGCCGACGGTCTGAAAGACGCCGTCGAGATGCTGGTCCTGCTCGCGCATCGTCTCCACCTGCTGCTGCTGCTCAAACTGGGTATAGTCGTCGTCGCCGTCGGCCATGGCAAAGGAGCCGGGGTCGGGCAGGTCGCCGCGGCGGGCGTCGTGGAGCTTGCTTGCGAGCTCGTCGCGCATGTCGTCGATCTCGCCGCTGACCTCCTGGACAAGGCGCTTGCGGCGGACGACCTCGTCGGCGGAGAGGCCGTACTGGGCGGGGCTGGACTCGACGGCCTGGACCGAGGCAACGAGATCGGCGAGGTCCTCGGCGAGGGCGGACAGGGCGGACTCGAGGTCGGAGCGGGCCGAGGCGAGCTCGGGCGAGGAGGATGCGGCGGCGGTGGAGAGGGAGCGGATGCGGAGGTAGGAGGCGAAGAGCGGTCGCGTCGACGACATCTGGGCGAGGACATCTCTGCAAAGGCGCAGGCGGTGGGTGTGAGCGGCTGGCTGGCTTGGAACAAGTGGGTGCGTGGTGGCGGGCTGCCTACTGTTGGACCTGGAGAAAGGGGTCCTCGCCCTCGTTTGTGGAGGACATCATGGCTCCGGCGCCGATGCCTTGCGGAGCATTCAGGTGCGGCCGGCGATGGCTGTTTTGGCTGTCCGAGGTGCGATGCGGGTGCAGGATGTCGGGCGGCGTGGTGACGACGTGCCGAGTGCTGTACTGTACCTGGCAGGACCCCACCAACGTTGGTGCTCGTACAGTGCGAGAACAGTCCACCCACTCGGTACGGCGCTGTGTTGTGCGTACCTCGTACCGGGCTGTACACAGTGCCGGCCACTCAACGTGGACAACCGCACGATTTGGCCGACGACTGACACGAACAAGAGGGCCCAAACTCGCTTTGCAGCCTCGTGTCCAGAAGAACGAGGACGGAAGCTTATGCATCGCCTTCTGGTCATTCTCTCCGAGCCCGCGACCGTCTCTCAAGAGGCACCTGCTGTTGCTTTGACTCGGCTGGAAATCTGGCGCCTCTGACTCCGGCGATAGATTTGGCATGACTGAACGGACAGACTCTGCCCGTCTTGTTCGTCTCTATCCCGGGGCTCTCCAAAGCCTGGTTGGCATTTAGTCTTCATCACCATGATACCCGAAAACCCGTTGCCATACCACGGGGCCTTCTCGTCCCCGGAGGAATACATCGAGGCTCTACTGGCATTCGCGAGCACAAAGGACGTCTTCCAGATTCTATGCGGCGGAGTCCACATTCTAGACTTCTTCACCACGGAACCTGGGCTCTTCCATGCTGCAATTCCAGAGGAGTGGCACTCGTTTTTGCTCTCGCTCGACATCATGCGCCTGCTCGATCTCCTCATGAGAGACAACCTGGACAGTCTAAACTTCCAGCAGGGTCAAGGTCCTCCGGAGAGCCTGCTTCAGTACATCCGGTCTATACGCGACCTGTCGCTGAGGCGAGACTTTTCTCCGACCAAGCGGAACCTCCCTGTACTGCCGCGGTCTGTGGCGGTGGGCATGAAGCCCAAGAAGATCCATGAAGTCAGGTACTTTGCCGACTACATCGAACGCCTGTCAAACGACATCTCGGGCTCTTGCGGCCGTGACATCTCCCACCTGGTCGACTTTGGCAGCGGGCAGAACTATCTGGGCAGGGCGCTCGCCAGCGCACCCTACAACCGGCGTGTGGTGGCCGTGGAAGGCAGGGAGAACAACGTTGCTGCGGCCAGACATCTCGACAGGCTGGCGGGGCTCACAGTCAATAAAAAGGTCCGGAGAAATAAGAAACTGTGGAATCAGGTATTGGAGGTTCTGGGACCGGACAAAGAAGGCGATCCCAGGGCATTGGCCGAGGCGGTCAAGCAGGTCGCCGGAGCTGAGGCTTTCGACTTTCGCCCCGCCGATGAACTTGGGTCGCAGAACGAATTGGAGGCAGGCAAGGGCCATGTCCAGTACGTGTCGGGCAGGCTGGAAAGCGGAGACCTCGCCGGCATACTCGCCGAGGTTAAGCGCCCAGGGACGGAGGACAAGCAGAGGCCTGCGTCACAGTTCATGGCCATCTCGATACACTCTTGTGGCAACCTCTCACATCACGGCATCCGGTCGCTGGTCCTCAACCCCGACATACGGGCAATCGCCATCGTGGGATGTTGCTACAACCTCGTGACGGAGAAGCTCGGGCCGCCGACGTACAAGCACGCGTACCTCCGGCCGACGCTGCAGGCCCTCAACGGCAGGGTGGTTGAGGAATCCGACAAGCGTGACCCGCAGGGGTTTCCGATGAGCAAGCGCTTCTCTAGCTACCGGGGCGAGGGCATCCGGCTCAACATCACGGCCAGGATGATGGCGTGCCAGGCACCGCAGAACTGGACCCGGGACGAAAGCGAAGACTTCTTCACGCGGCACTTCTACCGTGCCGTACTGCAGAAGATATTCCTCGATCGCGGCGTCGTGGGCCGCGTCCGGCACGGCCAACCTGGCCACAAGGGGACGAGTGGCGCCTTTGACGTGAGCACCAACCCCGTCGTCATCGGCAGCCTCCGTAAGCACTGCTACGGCTCGCTCAGGGCCTACGTGCGCGGCGCCGTCGAGAAGCTGACGACGAGCGCCGACTACAAGCAGTACGCAGAGGTGATGCGAGACAAGATGGCGGGCATGACGGACGAGGAGATTGACGGGTACGAGGAGGCGTACCAGCCGCGCAGGAGGGAGCTGTGCGTCATCTGGAGCTTGATGGCCTTTAGCGCCACCGCCGTGGAGTCGCTGATAGTGGCGGACCGGTGGACGTATCTCGTCGAGCACGGGCATCTGGTGAAGCAGGCGTGGGTCGAGACGGTGTTTGACTACAGGCAGAGCCCGAGGAACCTGGTGGTGGTCGGGGTGAAACGGGACGATGCATGAAGGGTGAGGGGGGGAAGCGGGCGGGATTGGAGAAGCCAAGGCAAACAATTGGACGAGGCCGCGTCGCAGATGGAGGGGAAAGACTGGCATGGCAGCTGCCGGTCAGTCAAGCCATGTCTCGCCGTTCTCTGGTTGCACGGGGCGGCGGCGCTGCGGGTCGACAAGAGCGCTATCCGGCAACGACGCTTCCTCGGCGGACACGGGCCGCAAGGGGGCCATGATATCTCGACGCCAGTGGCTGCCGCAGACGGGGGGCCAGTCCAGACTTGGCGTGACATCTGGCGCGCGGGAGGTGCTGCTCGGTGATTTGCGGCCGGGTTGAGGGGGGGCTGCTGCTTAAACGACGGCAAGGGACGCGAGGATACCGAGACGACGGCGGTCGGTTGCGGGCTGGCGGTTTATACACGCGGCGGCCCGCGGGTATCTCGATTGTAACTTGAAGCACTGCATTGCACGGGGCTGAGGGCAGAGCGCGGGACAGGCGGCTTGCAGGAGGCGACAACCAATCCAACGACGACACGGGACCGATCGACTTTCCCCTCTTCTCTCTGCGACTCGTTTCCCGGCGGCCTGCTCTTGTCTGCGGCGAATGCAACTTCCACACCAGAGTCCCGGCAGATGCGGAGAAATTGCCCTGCATGCCTTGGCGCCGAGGGAAGAAGAAGAAGAAATGAGACTCAGTCCCCCAGGCTTCTCCGCTTCTCCACACTGCCATGGACCGGACCCGTTTCGTGCGTCACAGCCTGCCTGCGGCCCTCCCCCCCCCCCCGGCTTCCTCCCATCAGGGTCTAAGTTAATTCCTCCTCTCTCTCCCTCTCTCCCTCTCTCTCTCACACGCCACAGAGTGGAGCTGACGGGCTCCACAGCCGACTGCATCTGTATGTCCTGGACGGTACAGCAACCAAACCTGCGTGCTTCTCTTGCCGTTGGCACTGGAGTTTGTTGCTTGGTGATTTGCCCATCCGAAAGGAGAGGGTGGCGCCACGTTGGCCGCGAGAGCCCATACATACATACACATACACATACACATACATTCGTACAATACAGACAGCATGGCGACATGGGGCCCGTCAGCAATGGCGCAATGATGCCGTCGCCCGGTTTCGCCTATATAAATCGCCCGGCCGAGCCTCTGTGATCCCCCTTCCTTTGGCTTGCCTGTGCTTGTTTGCTGCCTCTCTGCAGGTCCCGTTTAGCCTCCTCCAAGACGGGGATTTGGGTGGGCCTGCCTGTGGGAGTTGGCCAGGCGCCTAAACAAAATCTTATCACGCTTTTGGTTATCCGCCGCAACTCTCAGACTCTTTTTTTTTGGCTTCGCCCCTCGAGCCCCCTTTTTTCTGCTTCTTTTAATCATCACCAACGTCCGAGCTGGGGGGGGGGGATTCCCACTACGCTGGCCCCATCGGCACACCACTCGTTCTTACAAGGCTCAACTCCCTCTCCCACCATCGCCAATCCACCCCCGCCCGCACTCACCCCGGTTAGTCCCAGAACGCAAAGGACGCGGCCATTGGCCTGCCCCGTCCAGCCGCGTCTTGTTCGTCTCCAAGAACCTCGCCGTCTTTGCCTCGCAGGCTCGTCGCGCGACTCCCGTGGCCATCATGAACGCGCAGATATCCTTTCTTGTAAGATCCCGCTGTCTGTCCAACCCCACCCCACATGGATACGGCTCCCTGCAGCCAAGCCGCCCACTTGAATCACATCGCCGTGGTGAGACGAAGATTTGCTGCCGTTGGTTGGAGCTGACAAGGTGCAGGACGGCACTTATACCCTCATTCACATCCCCCTCGACCTGTACTCGACGCTGCTGCAGCCCATACTGCGCGTCCTGCTCCCGCAGACGCAGAGTCTCAACGTCTCCCAAGTCCCGCCCGAGCACGAGCTCGAGGGCCTCACCACCGAGAACCAGCATGGCTTCTTCAACGTCAGCATCACCCCGCTCGAGTGCTCCGTCGTCTGCCACTCGAGCTGGGCCAAAAACGTCTTTGAGCCCGTCATCGACGCCCTGCCGCCCGACCTGGCCAAGACCGTCACCGTCTTCAGGGACTCGTACATGGTCCTCTCCATCATCAGCGCCGGTCTCGACGCCGCCGGTCGCGTCATGGAGCTGAGCTCCCCGCTCGCCCTCGCCGGCATCCCCATCTTCTTCATCACCACCTACTACTCCGACTTCATCCTCGTCCCCTCCAAGGAGAGGCGCAAGGTCATCAACGCCCTGTCCAACAACGGCTTCGAGCTGTCCGAGAACCAGTCCGACTTTGTCAGCTCCTTTGTCTACGGCCGCAAGAACTCGACGACGAGCCAGTCCGCATCGCCCCCCAGCACCCCGCCCCCGTCCAATGCCGGCGAGCTTCAGACGAGAACCTTTGATCTCCTGCAGAAGCGCAGCGTCTCTCCCTTTGTCGACGACGGCCTCCAGCTGATCCAGTGCTCGGGGCGCGAAATCTCCCAGCTGGCCAACGCCTACGGCCACCGCCTTCCCGCCGGCCGGCAGGCGCAGAGCGCCCAGCGCCGGCAGAGCTGGATTGAGAACGTCGACACGAAGCTGTACACGTGCATCATCTCCGCCTTGGTGTCCAGGCCCAGGTTCATCTCCATCACCTTGGCCCAGGACGATCCTCCATCTCTCCTGCTGGACCGCAAGCTGCTGCCACTGTTTGGCGACTCCATCGTCGGCGACACCGACTGCAACTTTGTGCCCATCTTCCTCGACCTCGGCACCCTGTCCTCGGGCGTGACGGGCATCGTTTGCGGCGTGGCGGGCCGGCTCGTCCACGAGATGCACATGATTGAGACGTCGGAGCTCTCGTACCTGTCCACCGCACGGGCCGGTGCCGTCATTCTCACCGAGGAGCAGTCCACGCGCGCCCTGGCCATACTGCGGCCACTGCTCAACAAGGAGGCGTAGCGATTGACGGACGCCGAGCCTTTGGCCTCCTCGCCTGTCCAAAACGGGTTGTTTTCTGGTGCTGGACGAGGGTCATGCGGTTGCATCTGGTGCCCAAAAGGAGGTCTTGCATCTCGGCGTTTGTGGGAGGCTGCTTGTTGCTTGCATGAGATACCCGCCGCGAAATTGCATGTGGATTTGAGGCGTCCGTCTTGTTACATAAAAGATCAGGGTGTAAATGCGTGCTTCACTTCCCCGTTCCAGTCATGTGGCGACGACGGCGTGCGCGCCGTGGTAGCGTAGAGTCCCGAAGACGACGTCCCCAGCAGCGCTTCCGACGGTCAGGTGTTGACAAGGCGCACAGCTCACCTCGCCTTCTTGCCGCGCTCCTTTTCCTTTTCCCGCTCCGCCACCATGCCAGCCCTGACAAAGCCATCCCTAGCAACGGCGTTGATGACAGCAAAGCGCCGCGGCCCGAGCTTGACGCCGCCGTACCACCGCGACACCACGACGAGGGCGTCCCACAGGCCCATGAGGTGCATGAGGTGCAGCAGGCGCGCGCCAGCGGCGCTCTCGCCGTCGTCGTCGCAGTCGTGCATGCCGCCGCCGCCGGGGGGGTTGGGCGAGGAGGAGGAGGAGGAGTGGTGGTTCGGCCCGCGCACGCGCCACGCCGTCATGTTGTGCGTCGCCGTGCGCAGACGCCGGTCCGAGGCCAGGAGGTGCGCGATGTGTGCGCGGGCCTGCGCGGGAGACGTGACGCGCGTGACGTGTGCGATGAAGGTTGACTTGTTTTCCGTGACGGGCTCAGAGACGGTCCAGATCGGGGGTGGATAGTCCGTCTCCGTGGTTGTGGCCGAAGACGACCCGTGCTCGACGCCAGGCTGGCCGTGATGCTCTCCCGCAACCGCTTCCCCCTCCCGGCTCTGTCCTCGCCTCTCCTCCTCATCCGCCAGGCCCGCGTCCTGCTGCCCCCGGAGAAGCTTTACCTTGTCCTCGACAGCAGCCAATCTCACCGCAAACTCCTCCACCGCATCAAACACACACACGGTCCCGCTCTCAAACACCTCGCCCAGCGCCTCGCGGAACAGGCCCAGGTCCCGCGCCCCCGCGCCCCGGACGCCCCCCGAGCTGCGCTGCGTGCCCAGCACCGCCGGCGGCTCCCCCGGATACGCCGCCGGGAACCGCAGCCGCAGCCATGACGCCCCGCCGGGCAACTGCAGCACGTGCACGCTCCCTCCGCCTCCTGCCTCGTCCCCATCGGCCCCGTCGTCGTCGGCCAGTCGAAGCGTGTCCGCCCCGTAGATGGAGTTGATGGCCTCAATCTCGTCGGTCAGTTCGTCCGACATGGTCTGGCGTGCTCCCTGCCGAGGCGCGGGCGCCCCAAGTTCCAGGTTCCGGATTGTACGTGCCCGCTCGTAGATTGATGATGACTGTGGGATAATTAACGACTGGCCCCCCGTTTGACGATGCTTCTCCATATCCGCACAGTGTTTTAGCCAGGTACACTGTGCCGGTGGGAAATCCTGTCTTAGACGCCCAAGCTTCGTCAGCTGTGATACCGCCTCACCCGATACCCGTAGAACGCCCTCGTGGTTTGACCAACTGCATTAGTGAAATATACAGCGGTATGCATGAAGCTGGGCCCAAGACACCAATCATGCCAATGCGAGCACAGTCAGGAATAGGGCTGAGTAACATTGTGTACCATACACTTCGCGGCCGCGGTATATAGAGCCAGTCGTTCTTGGGGCCGTCCTCCGCATCATGCCACGTCTATTTAGGATCGCCCCTTGCCAACGACGCAAAAGCCGGCATACTCTTCACACACAAACGCAAAAGACCACTCGCCCCCGAGTCACCCTTACTCATCCATGACCGATGCAAACTTGTCCATCATCTGCTGCTGGATAGCCTCGTACTGTAGCCATGGTCAGTCATAGGTCAGCCACGGACAGGAGGGCCAACCACCAACCTTCTTGCAAACAGCCTCCTCGCCTTCCGATGGAAGCTCAAACTTGAGCTGCCTGAGCTTGGCTTGGAGATCGCTCGTGGCCTCGCGGACCTTGGCCCAGCTCTGGCCCTGGGCAATGGCCTTTTGTGACTCGTCGTGGAAGCCAACCATGAGCTTCATCATCCACTCTGTCTTCCAGATCGGGCAGAACTGATCGTAGTCTGAGTAGCCGTTTTGCTGCAAAAAGTCTTCCTTGAGCAGGCCGGCGAGGTCGAGGGTAATCTTGTCGGGGTCCGACAGCGCGCTCTTTCCCACCAGCTGCACAACCTGGTCCAGCTCTTCCGAGTCGGACAGGAGCTGCTTGATGCGATCACGGAGCCGGGGGAACTCGGGGTGCTCCTTTTCGTAGTACTTGTCCAGAGTAGTGGTGTATTTGCTATACGAAACGCTGGTGTTGATGGAGGGGAAATGTTTTCGCTGCGCAAGCTTCTTGTCGAGACCCCAGAAGACCTGGACAATGCTGAGGGTGGAGCTCGTGACGGGATCCGAAAAGTCACCGCCGGGAGGGCTGACAGCGCCGACGATGCTGACACTGCCCTTGCGCTCCGGGGAGCCGAGCGTCTGGACTCTGCCGGCTCGCTCGTAAAAGGAGGCGAGCTTGGCGCCCAGGTAGGCGGGGAAGCCCTGGTCGGCGGGCATTTCGCCCAGGCGACCCGAAATCTCTCGGAGAGCCTCGGCCCATCGCGATGACGAGTCGGCCATCATGGCCACGTCCAGGCCCTGGTCACGGAAGTACTCGGCGACAGTAATCCCCGTGTAGATGGAGGCTTCTCGAGCGGCGACGGGCATGTTGGACGTGTTGGCGATGAGGGTGGTGCGCTTCATGATGGGTTCCTTGCGGCCATCGACTTCGATGGTGAGCTCGGGGAAGTCCTTGAGCACCTCGGCCATTTCGTTGCCACGCTCACCACAGCCAACGTAGACAATGACGTCGCTATTGGAGAACTTGGACACGGACTGGCTGATGACAGTCTTTCCGCAGCCGAAAGCGCCGGGGATGGCAATGGTGCCGCCCTGGACGCCCGGGAAGAGGGCGTCGAGAACTCGCTGGCCGACGACAAAGGGCTCGCTGGCGGCGAGCTTGTCGGTGGACGGACGGGGGACTCGGACGGGCCACGACTGCATCATGGGGTACTCGGTCTTCTTGCCATCGAACTCGACCTCGAGGATCTTATCCACGACCGTATACTCACCCTTGGAGGCAATCTTGGTAATGGTGCCGCGGGCGCGGGGAGGGAAGAGGATTCTATGCGTTGAGATGAAGGAGTTCTCGAAGACGGTGCCCCAGACGTCACCGCCCGTGATGTGGTCACCGACCTTCATGGAGGGGGTGAAGGCCCATTTCTTCTTTCGGTCGAGGGCAGGGATGGAGATGCCGCGGGGGATGTAGATAGATTTTGACACGTTTGAGATTTCCGCCAGCGGCCGTTGGATACCGTCGTAGATGCCATTCAGCAAGCCGGGCCCGAGTTCGACGGACAGGGGCTTGCCGGTTCGGACGACGGGGTCACCGACCTTGACACCGGCTGCAGAGGCTGGCGTCAGTCTTGGGTGTATCGGGGGGTAGGGGGGAGAGTGGGCGTACCGGTTTCCTCGTAGACCTGGATGGTGGCCTTGTCGCTGTTGATTCGGATGACCTCGCCGACGAGATTATCGTGGCCGACTCTGACCTAGAGGCAGGCGGAGAGTCGTCAGCTAGCGTTCGCCATCAGGCAGACGACAACGTACCAGTTCGTACATGGCAACACCAATCATGTCCTCGGCCACCACGACAGGGCTGCAGACGGGTCAGCAACGAGGAGCGATGGCGTCTGCTGCCTAGCGGCATCAAAGGACGACTCACCCGGAGATGGAGAAGATTTTGCCTATGGGAAGCGTCAGCCGTCAAAGCGATTGACCACCTGAGGTGGGGGCTGCCTACCATGATGCACGTTGTCGCCATCGGCGTTGTTGGCCTTTTGCGATTTCTGGACGGCATGCAAGTCAGCTCCAGCGGGGCGAGTTTCGGATGGTCGGAAAGACGTACGGGCGCCATTTCGGGGCGAGGAGAAGAGCAGCGGACCGGAGCGGGCTCCTCTCGATCGTCGGCGGCGGAGGAGGGAGCTGTAGACGGCTGCGGGAGCGGGTGCGGAGGAGGCGTTGGAGGAGAGGAGAGGGGCGGCGGCGGTGGTGGTGGAGAGGTTGGCACGTTAGTAGGTGGAGGCGATGATGTAGCGGCGGCGGCGGCAGGGCCAGGGGACGCGTAGTAGCTGTAGGAGGACGAGACAGATGACGCCGAGTCGCTCCTCCCGCGGCGGATGAGGCTGATGAGCGAAGGCCGAGCCTTGAGACCGGGCCGTAGTCCGAGGTGCATGCACGAGCGAGCGGCCAAGGAGCTGCTGTTGACGGGGTTGAAGTGACGAGAGAGAAGAAGGCGTCGAGAGAGAAATGGGCTGGGCGGTTGAGGTACCCGGAGGAGGGGGGTTTCACGAACGTCGGTGTTAGTCAGACGTGTACCTGCTATGAGCATCCACCGACGAAAGTCCGCAACATATGCCTAGGCAGCAGCAGCGGTGTACCTGTAGCCTATCATCAGCCTTGCTTGCTCAAGTCGAGCGATTCAGTTGGGCGCGCGTCCGGCTACTCAGCAGTCCCCCGGACGATGAAATGCCCAGACAGGAATGACGAGTACAGAAATGGCCTCAACGGCAAAGCAGCCGGGCCATTAAAAAAAATTAAACCAAAAATTGACAGCCGGTGTCTGTTGAGGTGGAAGGCTACGGGTGTTGAGGTTGGAAGGCTACGGGACATTTCTCCAGGCCCCGTCCGTCAGCCACGTCCACATCTCCTACCCTAGGCCACAACCTAGACGGAGGAAAATCGGAAGCACCAGGCTTCATTCACCTTCTTGCTCCCTGCCAAGCCATCGCGTATGGTCATGAATATGTTCATCTTGATACTCTTTGTACAGGTAGGTGTATCAACAGCGACTACGGAGTACAGAGTACAGCGAGCAGTCGCCCGAGACCATGCGCACAACAGTCATCAGAGAACAGACCAGAATAAGCAAAAACGCTCCAACGCACACAACGCACTCAAAATTCACCACGACTTGTCCACCACGACTTGTCCACCACGTTGCCCGCCCGGGCTATCTCCTCCTCGGCCATCTCCACGAACCTCTCCAAGCTGTCGCGCGCCACCAGTGCCCCAAACGTCGTCCGCGTGACCAGCTCGTCGCACTCGTCGTGCTCGCCGTGCGCTGCCGACATGTCGCGCCTCTCGAGGTGGAAGCCAAACTTGGGCTTGTAGCAGTTGTCCTGGGCGCGGCCGGCGCGCAGCTGACAGATCTCGTCGGCCCTGCAGGAGCCCCGGCATTTCGCCACGTTCCACCCGCGGCTTTTGCGCGAGATGTAAGCGTCGAAGAGCTCGTCGTCGTCCTCAAATGCCTTGGTCACCTGGTGCCAGAAGGCCGGCGTGAGCTCGGCCCTGGGGTCCGTCACGGGCGGGCTGAGGGCCTTGCCGTAGGCCTCCTTGGCCGAGTACAGCTTGGTCCAGACGGGGCCCGACTGGAAGGCCTTGTCGCCCATGTCGGCAATGTACGTCGTGGCGTCCAACACGCCAAACGTATCGGGATCAACCTCGTAGACGCGGAAAGAGGGCATGCCGGCCGTCGGGGTCAGAGACGGGGCAATGTACGACACGGCCAGGGCGTTGGCTTCGCTCCGCGACTGATAGTCGGCGTAGCTGATCTCGAACTGGTCGACGTGCGTGTGTCCAAAGAACATGGCCGCAATGGTCGCCGAGTACCGGTTGACGATTTGGTCAAGGTAGTTGGACCCGTCGTGCAGAGTGCCCTTGTCGCCAAAGGGCAAGTGGCCGATGATGTAGACGTTCTCGCGGGCCTTTTCGGCGCGGTCAAGCTCCCTGACTAGCCATTGCAACTGGAGGTTGGGATCCTTGTCATTCATGTTGTGGTACAGCCAGAAGTTGTTGCGGTAGTACAGGTTGGTGTTGAGCGAGATGACGCGCAGGTTGCCCACGGGGTGCTTGACCGAGTAGGCGCCGAGCTTGGCGGCGTTATCCGCTGCCTCTTTGCCGATCCAGGAGGACCACTGGCTGGACAGCAGACGGTAAACCCATGCCGTGGCTTGGCCGAGGCCGTTGGGCTGGAAACCGTCGCAAGGATGAGCCTCGTGGTTGCCGGCAGTGCCGTATACCGGGCCGGGGCGCCTGTGCATGGCCGAGTAGGCTCGCTCAACTGGCATGCGGTTAACCAGAGACGCTCACGGATGTGGTAAAACCAAAGGCAAAGACGAACTTGACTCAACGTTGGCCGACTCGGTTGTGTTCCACACGGCATGATCGACAATGTCTCCGGTAAAAATGGTAAAGGCGGCGTCGGGAGCAAACTTGTTGATGGCCTCGTACATGCTCTGCTCCAGACTGACGGGCACGTCGCACTTGTGGTCCCCGAAAGGACCGGCGGGAGACTTGCTCTTGCCAGGCTGATCGTCTTCTGTGTAGGGCCTGGTTATATGCCCTGGTTAGCCTCGACCGTGGACGGCCCGGGGGTCGGTTCACCTGCAGCAGATGGGCTTTCCGCAATCCGCGCTTGACCCATTCATGTACAAGGTGTCGATGTGAATATCCGAGTAGTGAACGACCTGGAGCGGCTTCTTGCCGCTGGGCCGAGGGCGAGTACGCTTTGGCTTGAGCACAGGCATGGAGACGTTCCAGGGGGTGACGGGGGTATAGGCACAGGCGCCCAGCAAGGTGGTGCAGAATTCCTTTGAGGCCTTGGATCTGCGCTTCATCTCCCTGAGGGCCTGGGCAATGATGGGGCCCTCGCGGGCAATGGCACCTTCGCAAACATCGTCATCTTGGGCCTGCAGCCGGTCAACCAACCGTCTGAACTCGGCATTTATGCGGTTCTTGGAGAGGACAAACCCCGGCCATCTTGCAAAGGCTCTGTACCACCTTGATCAAGGCGCTGTCGCTCAAGAAGGCGAGGCCCCTCATCAAGGCGAAGACGGTCTGTCGTGCGTGTCAGCCGCATACTCTGTAGACACTGGACAGCAACCCAAGGGCAGAGAGCTCTGACCTCACAGGTAACGCATCCGCCTCCCCACTTGATCTTGTTCCAAAGCTTTTTGGCGAGGTTTCGAGCTTCCAGGTCTCGAGCTTCCAGGTCTCGAGCTTCCAGGCCTCGAGCTTCCGGGTCTCGAGCTTCCAGGCCTCGAGCTTCCAGGCCTCGAGCTTCCAGGCCGTCAGCCTCGAGAGGCGAGACCTGCTGGCCGGTGGCCGGGGCATTGCCACGGACGGCATGGGCGAGAGCCAAGACCGGGAGCAGTGACTGAAGACGCATGGCTGCCGGGCTGGAGCGAATCGTCTTTCCAGAAGCTGGGCGAGGGCCCGAGGTTTTGGGGGCCCAACAGGGGACTTTATAGCCACAGGCTAGAAGTGCCCCGGCCGGTCGGTGTCGCGTGGCTGGCCGCCAGCCGGAGCCGAGGCCAGTCCTGCCAAGTACACCACGGAACCAGACAAGATAGGCCTTCCACGGTGCAAAGCCGTCCGGGAAAGGGGAGGGGGGAGGCTGTGGAATGTACAGGACCCGTGGTCACAAGCATCTACGCGGTCCAATGGGAGCGGCAAGTGGCGGCACGCCCCCGGCATCCGAGCTGCTGCGACCCGCGGCCTCACTCGTAAAGGCCCTGAAGGGCTGCTTTTGTGGCGTGACATGGACATCGGGCGCGGGCTCTCGTGACAACGGACCCTCAGACACTGCCATGGAGCCATGGAGCCATGGAGCCATGGACCGGGTCACCGGGTATGCGGCCACGGCCGAGCTGCGTTCACGAGGCAGCGAGGTGGGAGATGCATCTGGCACTTTGTCGTACCGTCCGTTGCTGCTTGACTGGACATGGTGAGGCTGCCCGCTGCAACAAAGATGCGGGGAAGATCAAGATCATCATTAGATGGTAATTAATTAATTAATTAGATGGAGGCTGGAAAAGGCAGCGGGGCCGGAGCGGGACCTCGGGAAGAAAACATGACAAGGTTTCCCCAGTCTGCGCTCTACAGAGTAGTGACACCGTCTATTAGTGTATACGTATCGACATGGATGTCAAGCATTAAGCATCATGGTGGGTTTGCCTGCACAGCCTTTGTTGAGCAGTCCTTGGTGCCGTCATTGTGCGTCTTGTCTTGGTGGGCACTGGGCAACAAGGGCCAAAGTCCATGGTTGGTAGAGGGCCTCAAGCCCTCAACATGGACCTTTACCTTTACCTAACTCTCGGCCCAGATCCTCATTCCTCACCAACCTAGCGACTTAGCGAGTAGGAGTAGCGCATGTCCAGGGCGCATATAAAAAGGGCCAACGTTGGACGGGCCCTCTGTCAGCTCCCATCCCAAGTCCATCCGGACGGGACAGGTCGCGTGTGCACATGCGCGCATACGTGAACCAGCGAGCGCGGCCGGAGCCCACCGGATGGATGGATGCCTTTGAGGCTTTGTCCATCAATATCACTGTCAGCGTCAGCGTTAGCCTGGGCTTGGCTCTCCAGTGGCCCTCACCAGAACGACCCCCCTGCATGACGACAACTTCTCGTCCGAGTTCTTGGCCATTCTCCCCTCACCATGATGTCTCGCTTGGAGTCTTGCTGTAACCCAGTTAGGAAGGCGACAAGGATGCTTGGCTTTCCCGTAGGCAATAAAAGTTCCTCGTATTTATAGCTTTGGGCTGTCTGCCATTACGCAAAAGTTCAACCCCCCGAACCCAGCTGATGGCGTCGAAACTGTGCTTGGCGATTTCGCACTCGGGACCGTCTTGCGCACTCCAAACACAGGCCCCTTCTGTTTCTGGCGCCGGCGGCTCAGCGCTGCGGGCATCGGAACTTGGTTGTTGCAGGTTGAGATGGTGTCGATGAAGCTTCGTGGCCATAGGCAAGCTTGGAGAGGCCAAAGAGTCGGTACAATGCATTGTACGGCATGCCCTGAGCGATGTTGCCAAGTGCCGTCGACTCCAGAATACATGTTCCTGGCCCGTCCACCTTCCCAAGTGAGTTGGCCATTACAGTAGACGACGTCGCGGCGCCCTCGCTTCGGCACGTCGTCCAATCCGGCATCTTGTCCGACTCCCCATGCTCAGCTCGCCTCAGATCCGGCTTGGCGTCGTATGTGTGGAATCATCACGGACCAGCATGGGTCATAGACCAATGTGTAGGAATTACCTGTGTCTCAACACCGTAGGCTGCGTCTACTAGTAAAGATGACGGGAGCGGCCGAGGGTGCTGTCAGAACTTATGTGCAGCAGCCACGGGAAGTGTCACGTGCAAGACTGACAAGTGGTAGCTGCTAGAGTCACGGACCAGCATGTGTTACAGGCCAATGTGTAGGAATTACTCGTAGGCTCAAGTCTCTTTGCACAACGCGGCTAGCTTTGCAGACGCCTTCTCCAGCTTCACTCAATACATCCTTTACGGCCCCTCAATGGAGCTCTCTTTTCCTCGTGACCAGCCTTATTAGGCAGGCCGCCGGACCAAAGTTCTGACACTCATATAAAACAGCTACTTTATATAGACAGGACAAGAGACTAGACATATCTCACGGTAGTTGTTTACCCGCCTTCTAGTGTGCTTTCAGTAAGTATGTATCTGCCTAAGGAGCAAGCTAAAGGGTTCCTTTGGAGCACTACTTCAAGACAGCAATCCTGCCTCTGCCGAGAATGTGGTAACGGTGTCTTGCTTCAAAATCCTCCAATCTACCAGTCTACTAGGAAAGGTAAAGATGCAACCCTGTGAAGAATTATTTCAGTATGCGCCTTACGTCCGGCTTTAAGCTAATCTTATAAGTACATCTACTATATCAGGTCTTATGTTACTGGGTAGGTAAATATAGTGAATAAGAGGGAGAGAAAAAGCGCGATATCCGCTGTAAAGGCATTTCCTCCTACTTGAATAATAGGTCTGCCGTACATGGGGTTGGGAATGCGGATGATTCCGTCTCCATAATCACGCCAGAGTACCTATCCCTTTGAAGGTGCAAAGACTGCAAGTATGCACCCGCCCTAGATGTCTCCTATGTATGTCGACATACTCTCAGTGACCTGGTTTACCCTGCGAAAGCTTGTGTTGTTGACGTAGCGAAGCAGCGATGATGAAAAGACTTCCATAATGATGTGGATTGGGCGGCAAAGAATGTTCTGCACAGCTCGCGGTTCCTCAGTGGCTGAGATCCCTACGCAATAAGGGATAAGCAGCCTGCGCAATACACAATGCCCAAGAGAGCCAAATCTTCTTGGCCATCTTTCCCTTAACAATCTCGCGTAGCTCTACTCTGCGATATATCCGAAGCCTTGCTTAGCCTCACAAGTTATAGTAGCGGTTTACCCGTCAGAGATAAGTAGCCATCTTCCTCGAATTGTAGGCTCCCACCTATATCGCCCCCGGGCTGGCGACTATATGGTTGAATTTGTCTAAAAGCCAGTAATCCGAGTAATACTTGAATCTCGGGCTGCGCAGTCAAGACTGGGTGCCAGAAATCCGGAGACTGTCTCAGTCAGGTAGTCTATACTCTCCCTAGGGCTCATCAGTTGAAGATGACGGGGTCGGGGAACACTCCCGTATCTTTCGTCGAGACGGCCAATAGGACGGCTTTTGCAAGGGTATATGTCAGAGCAGAGAAGGACTTATAATACGCGTTAATAACACCTCCAATGGGGTGCCCCTATTTTGCATGGTGTAGCGGTGTTTTACCAGCTTGACGGTATATAACCACTTTCTAAGCTTTACTCTAGCGTCCTTTAAGGGTGACTGGTTTCTGCTTTTGTCTCCTTGTTTAAGCCAACCAGCGCGATCTTATAGAGTTTAGCATTAAGTTAATGAGCTAGCTTAAAGACGATTTTCTGTATATCTATGATTTTTATTATCTTCATAATATACCCATACGACTCGCAGAGAGTGAAAGCCATCGTATCCAGGCCAGGGCTGCAGAAGAGTTGCCATTTGTGCCCTTTTGTGACGACAACGATATCGATTCCATGTCACTTTTGATGAAAACCGGGAGTTGAAGGTCATGGATAGCCTGCAAGAGAGCGTTCCCAGTCTGCCAGTCATACCGCTAGATTCTCCTGAAGCATCAAGTCGTGTTATGGACATTTTACAGCACGTCGCCGTATATAAATATTTGAAGGAGTCGAGAATCGAGCTGTCGACCCCTCTTTTGAGTACACATTCAAGCTTTCAAACCCTACTGTCCAAGGCAATGAGCCTCCAGACGGTTTCGATGTTCGGGATGGTAATCTATGGGGCTTAAGAATCGAGAACCTCGGAGATAAGCCTCTATATATCACCATATTCAACTTCACCTCGGAATGGAAGATTACCAATCTTATTGTGGACAAAGACGGAAGTCATTTCAAGGTGATACAACCAAAAGTCCGACAAAACACGAGCATGGAGGAGCTCTGGCTGGAGATGAACGTCCCGGACTCCCTCAAAAGCCAGGACAAAAGCCGGGGCAAGAAGCATTGCGAAGATAGTATCAAGGTCTTCATCACGCGGAAGCCTACCTCTTCCCCATCTCTAAACTTGCCAAGTATTTCTCTCGACGGCAAAGACACGGTCCATGGGAGTGGCGATTTATTATCCAAGTTCCTCGACGAGTTGAATGGGCGGTTTCGAACTCATGATCCTGCTACGTCTCAGCAATGGTCTACTCGAAACTACATCGTTCGCACAATCAAAGAGTGAAAGGGACAGTCGGATTCCCTTGATTCGCTTTTTACTTAGCCTGTTGTCAAGAAAGGAGAGGCTGCGTGTTATTGAATGGCGCTGGTACATGATGGCCAGCGTTTTTCTTGACAAACTCCCTGCAGCAAAGTGATAGGCCTTTCATTCATTACTGGTAGTCACAGTCTCGCTACGTCCGTACAAAGGAAAGTCTGCCCCATGCATCAACGCGTGTACGAAGTATACCATCCACCACCATCACCGGAGCCGTTATCGCCCCAGTCTTCTCCAGCCAGCGACAGCAAACATCATGATCCTCCCGTATTAGCGCCGTCCTGCTCCGGGAAGCTGGCAAAACCCTCGGCAAGCATGCATTATAGGTTGATGATCCAGACGCTAGAAGTCTACACCCGGGCGTTGCTACACAACGGCAGGATTGTCTCGGCTGCAGCAATGGCCGTCGGTCACGATCCGTGAAGGCCACATACATCCGGGGGGCGAAAATGTTCTATGTATTGGTAATAAACCCCTTGATATTAATGCAATTAGGGGCTAGGGGAACTTGCAGATGTAGACCGAGTGGCAGGTGATCCTTCAGCTGGGGCTTGCAACTCCTCGATCGCAGCACCACGAGCGAAACGCCTCATCCCCGTCCTCACTCTAGGCCGGATTCGCATTATATTGAGTGACGGACGAGGCCCAGTCCGGCGGCCAAAACATGGGCACCCATGTATCGGTCGTGGCCCCCCCTGTAAGGTCGATGCGAGTCTTCGGCCGGCAACGGCCACTGCCGCATGCCGCACCGCCCGCTAGCAAACTGTCTTGCCATGTTGCGCTGTGGAGGGAGGACTTGGAGCCGTAAGTTGTCCGACTGCTTCGACGACCGGCAATGAGCACTGCCGCATATCGGGCTGCTCGCTAGCACACTCTCTTGTATTGAACACTCGGGCGCCTCGTTTTGAATAGAGATATAAGACAGACAACCTGAACCCCCTTCTCTCGTCTTCCCGTGGCAGGCGAGGGCATATGGCCAGCATTCCCGCCCTCTCGCGCCATGCTGTCGCAGCCGAGCGTTCATGTTTGTTTCGTCGCGCGCGGCGCCTTCTTGTCGCTGGGCATCTCGAGGGTTCCTCGCACGCAAGGGCACCCTGTTGAGAGGTATAAAATGCCAGCTCGGGTCCGCTGTCCAACACCAGGCCAGCAGCAAACTATTGTCACTTGAACACTTCAATAACTTCCGTCGCTTTCCTCGGAGAGCCACTCCCACCGTCTGCCGTCTTTGCCACCCACACACCAGAACAAGCCAACATGAAGGTCGCCTGGGCCATTATCGCCTCCCTCGCCGGCAGCGCCCTCGCCGCCCCGGCCCCCGCTGCACCCGCCGGTCCTGCCCGCCGGGCCACCCCGGAGGCCACCGAGAACGGCCTGCTTAGCAGCCTGCTCGGCGGCCTGCTCGGCGACCTGGTCGGCGGCCTCGGCGGCGGCCTCAGAAGCGTCGGCAATAGCGTCGGCGGCGGCCTCAAAGGCGGCCTCAAAAGCCTCGGCGGCGGCCTCGGCTAAGTCGTCACCCCCCAATATAACAATATGATAAGTGGAACATCAAGCGCGGTGAGTATGTATTTCCCGGCATGGCTGAGCCACCGGTGGTCACCAATATGAGTCGGCGGGCTTAAAGCACCGGGGCTCGTGGGCGTGTGAGCTTTCGTCTCGCTGTTTGCCCTTTTCTGCGCGGGTTTGCTGCCCAGGAGGAACCGGTCGGTAGCAGTAGTAATGTCATGGCCTTGTCGAAGCCAACGACCCATGGTGCGTTCACTCTGTGTGTGATGTGTGCCTCGTGTGCGATGCGTGCGTCGGTGTGCCTTTTCGAGGTCGCCGTCACAACGGCATGCTTCTGCCACTCCGCTTCTTTATTAGTCGAGCGTCAGGGCGAAGAGTTACGGGATGGCTTCGGGCAGTCACTGACAGGGGCTACTACGCCAAGCCTTCGCCACTTGCAGACATTGCAGTAATCAATATATATTGATAAGTATGGGCATATTTATTGTTAAGCTTATCAATATCGATAACAATATGGAAGTCCCCTATCAATATGTATTGCTAATATGCCCCTATTTTGACTTGAATGCCTGTTTTAGGCGTACTTACTTTCCACACGTCAGCCGTAGCGCTGAGGAAAGGGCTCGGCACAGAATGGGAGCATTCTTTCGTTCAAGATTCTCCATGCCCTCCATTTTGGTGATCGAAGTGCACGCCCCCTCGATATCTCAGCTTTGGCAATGGAAGACTACGTATCCCGTGTGCCGGAAGTTGACATCGCATCGAACCCTTCGTCATCAATTTTGCCTTCCGATAGTGTCTCGCAATCTGCCAGTATACCTTCAGAATCGGAGCATTCCCCTCCGGCAGCAGTCAAGAGGAGGAAGTTGAGAGCGACGTCGACTTGGCATCACTTTCGACAGGCTCGAGGCGATGAGCCACGCACGGCAGGTGGCAATTTACTCCACTACTGCAAACGTTGTCGCAATCCATCGTGGTCAACCCACATTTCTGGCAACGCCCGCTATCATCTCGAAAGGTTCATCACGTACAAGTCAGAGAAGACACGAATGCTCGATGCAAGCGTCAAGTAGCCATCGAGAATGCCTTCGCGAGAACAAGCGAAAAGCAGCTGAGGCTGACTCAAGAGAGCGAGGTCAATATTTTGCGGAGCGTGATCAATGTCGATGCTTTCCGAGAGGCACAGATGCTACTTTCCGCGAATAGGCATCTGCCACTGAGCTGCGCGACGTGGCCAGAGTATCAGGCACTTTGACCGCGATCAACCCCGCAGTCGAGGAGTTCCTCGTCGACTCTAGCAACACGGTCGCTTCGGATCTAGATAGGGCCTACGACACGCATCAACAATCCGTCTGTCGGTGGCTCGAAGGCGCTCGGAGTCTTGTGCATATCGCAATGGATGTATGGTCTTCTCCTCAACGCAAGGCATACATCGCTGTTCATGCGCAATGGGTCGACGAGGCATACAAGCCTCGCAAGGCATTGCTGGGATTGCCAAACCTGCGACGGTCGCACGCGGGCGCAGCGATGACGCCGCACCTACTGAAGATCATCCGGAGATACGGCATAACACAAAAACTCGGCTATTTCACCGGGGACAATGATGCTAAAAATGACACTTGCCTCCGTCAACTTTCTGCCGATTTATCGCAAGAGCATGGGCTGACCTTTGATCCAATATCCTCTCGAACGCGGTGCGCTGGCCACATCATTAACCTTTCCCTTTCTCTTTGCGACCAGCGAAAGTGCACTTCAGGCCGCCGTTGAACAGGCGGACGATGAACTGAATCAAACTACTGTTGCAGACGCCTTGCATGACCACCTCCATTCAGAATCTACGCCAAGAACTCACGCCCAGCGCAGGAAAAGAAATGACATTGCCGGTTGGCGGAGTATCGGTCCAATGGGAAAACTTCACAACATTGCTGTGTTCATTCGCAACTCTACAATTCACAACGACGCATGGGACGACATTGCGGGGAAAGCCCTCGGTATCGACAACATCACGCGCTGGAACTCGTGGTTCAAGCTGCTTGATGCCGCCATCAACCAGGAAGGCCCATTGTCGGTCTTCGTCAATCAGTATCATCGAGAGCTTGAGGACGACATCCTGACTCATGATGACTGGCAAGTATTGAAGATGACACACGAGTTCTTGCAGCCGTTTCACCAGGCCACCATGGAGCAGCAAATGGCCTGGGCTTCAATAGATCAGGTGCTAGAGAACATGGACATACTCTTCGTGCAATTCGAAGACGCAAAGGTCAGTCGCAGACTCTGCAAGTATTGCCTTCGGGCTGAAGAAGAGCTCAACTTCGATGCAGGTCAAGTATGCCGAAAACGCCCACATGGTAAGCTCGGTTCACATGGGCTGGTGGGTTCTTTCAAAGTATTACGAAGAAACCGACAAAAACCCCGTGTATGCCACGGCACTTCTGCTCCATCCAGAAAAACGGCGGAGGTATCTCGACCGTCATTGGGCACCAGAGTGGCGGCAGACAGCCATTGCTGCAGCGCAGCGGCAATGGGCGAAGTATAAGGACAGACCGATTTCGTCGGAGAGAACCGTGCGACCCAGTTGTGAAGCGCGAGAGGTCGCTTCTTACGAGCGCATAAGGCAGTCAATGAGTGTCCTGGATGAACCTGGCGATGAAGACGAGTTTGAGAATTCATCAATGCTCCTCCGAGACATATGCTGACTGCCAATCCGCTTGAATGGTGGTGTCGTGAGGAGCAGAGAGCCGAGTATCCACGCTTGCATCAGATGGCCCTTGACATACTCAGCGTCCCAGCGATGTCGGACGAGCCGGAGCGGGTGTTCTCTTGCACAAGGCGGACACTTTCTTGGGATCGAGCTCGACTTTCCGCGGACAGGACTGAAAAGCTGCAATGCTTGGGTAATTGGGTGAGGAACGATTTGATTCGCAAACTGTACGTTGCGGTTGATGACGAGATCATGGATGTGGGCGGCGCCAACGGAGACGGAGATGAGCATTCAATGTTATATTAATAATTATTGATAAGCTTAACAATACATATCAATATAGCCACACTCCTAACAATACATAACAATATGCCAAAAATATGTATTTATTTATTATTGCAATGTCTGGCCACTTGGCTGTGTTGCTGAGCCGTCCTTGAGAGCGGTAAAGTGCGCGGAGCAGCCATTAGGTCAAAGCCATATATGTAGGTTGGATAGACGTAAAAGCGTACGTTTACCCTTGCGCGCATGTGGAAACATGCCCCGTGAGAAGCTGTTCTATCCGTATTCTGGAAGCGCCTCTCAACGTCCAGAGGCGACAATTCCATGGCCTGCGACAAGACTGCGGCGACGGATGTTCGCCGGTGCTGTTGGTCGGCAGGCAGGCAAACGGGACCGACATGCGTCACTTTATGTTGGAGTCTGGCCGCGTATAACGAGGCTCGACCCCAGTCCGCAACGGTACCAGGTTATATGCAAACATTCAACTATGGAACTCAAAACTATCGAGAAACTAAGAGCGAATATGGATACATGTACGTGTTGGATCCGTAGTCTGTTCCCAGCCTCTGCCACCGAGCAGCGTCTGGATTACGGGACTGCGCTCATCTTTTCCCGGCCCAAGAAGTCAGGCTTACCTTCGGCCGTAACGTTAACCACCTTGCCATCGGCGACATACTGCTCGGGGAAGCGCGTTTCTCGTCAGCAGCCGGGTCTACTTTATTGACAGGATCGGGGTCCGTCTTGCAGTAGTCAACTACTTACAACCGCGTAGCCCTCGACGCCGTGCTTGGCGTGGATGCGCGCCGCGTGGACGGTATGCTCTTCGGTGCCCCAGCGGTATATTTCCTCCTCGCTGCAGTTTTTCGTTGCCGTAGTGGGCAATGCTCTGGCGGATCAGGCGCCGCTTCTGGACCTCGGGAACTGCGTCGGACATGCTGGGCAGCTGCTTGGAGGTGGTTGACGCCTTGACGGGTTCCCGTAGAGTTGATTGTTGCCGAGGGACTCAGCTCAGGAAAACAAAGATATGGACTGTGTTGATGAGTGAAAGACACAACGTCTTGAATACCAAAGATGGCTCGAGCATACAGCCACCAGAGGGGCCCGACGTCTCTATATGTATACTGAGCTATCTTGCCTCCAAGCCGTGGGGTCGGACGTTGGGCCGAGTCCGGGAAGCTGCCGGCCGTCCGGCCCGCCGGCAGTCAGCTTGGTCGGCTACGGGCTGCTCGTCCATGCCGTTATGCGGGCCCGCGAGCCGCGACATTCGGCGTCTGGTTTCCTATTGGGGAAGCGGCCAGGGCCGTCAACCACGGCATCATCGCCGACATGCGCTCGCGCCTCGCGTTTCGCCAGAACAGAAAAAAAAAACGTCTCAGCCATCGCCGTCATGTCTTTTTTTTATCCTCTCGCGTTAGCGGTGTTACCCTACCTTATGTCCGGCTGCCACAGTTTGAGCCTCGCATCCGCCTGCCGGACCGGAGCAAGCTGATGACCACGGCAGTATGGGCTCAAGGAGCAGAAAAAGATGGCAGGACACTATGTGGAGCGCAATGACCGGGTCATGGATGATGGTAATGGCTCGCCACCCAAGCCGTAGACCTACGCCTCGGTATGTGCTGGCTGAGTAGAACGAGATGTAGCCGAGACGGCTCCAGATGTGAAACGGCGGCAGGAAGCTCTTGTCAGCCTAGCACGAGTCTAGATTATACTCAAAACACGCTCCACTCATATATTAGGCTCGGCAATTTGGAACCTTGTCGGTATGGCCATGTGATGTAGCTGGTATACGAATACGCTTGGTTGAGATGTGACTTGGGACATAATCGGAATTGGAGACATCAACCGGGTCGACAGAGAGTCCAAGTCACGGTAATTTCATTTCCAGCAAGCTACGCATCCTTGACTCCCCATCTCCTCCCGGTCTCATTCGGCCAGCACTTTTGCCGAGACTGCATATGGGCGGAGGTCTTGAACGAACCGCTTGCTTATTCCTGTCGTCGATGACAACTTGACTGGCGTCTGAGGGCTGGGCACTTCGAGGCCCCGACACGATGGTCTGGATCCCACGCCGGATGAGGCTCAAGAGCTCGGCCAATTTTTTTTTGTCGCTGCTGCAGAATGCACGTCCAGAGAGGCGTTCGAGATGTAAGTCTCGAGTCCGCAAAGTCCGTCTCTCGGAGCGAGACCCACATCTATGCCGGAGACCCACACTTGCGCCGAACCCGTGGTCCCACTTCTCAGCCGAGCCACAGTGCTGTAAGATCCGACACGTGACCCTTCCCGTGACCCGTGCACATCGGATCTGACAGGAGGCAGCAGCAGCAGTGCCGCAAGTCGGAGTCCATTAATTAGGATTCCTCTTACGTGTTCATCTCCAAGTAACAGTTCGTGTTCGTATCGCCTGCCGCTGTACATGGATGAGATGGATGCTGCGGGGCCCACGCCGGGCCTTCGGCGCCGCATGCCCGGCCTCGCAGGATTTAGCAGCCCCCCGTTCACGGCTTCCGTTTACCGCCAAGACTATCTCAATCTTACAAAACCTACAGTACAGTTACATGAGTTTCTTGTCGTCCAAATCGCGGCGGCTGTTCGCCAAGCCTTCTGTCCAACTTGTCCGTCATGGCATGTTTCAAAACTCGTGCCCGCTTCATGTATGCGTGCCCAGCCTCAATGTGGCCGTAGATGTGGCCAACGGTTGCTAGCACGGCCCTATGCGTGATTGCGGCCGTCGGCTGTTTGCCGGGGGCTAGCCAGAAGATATCTGAACATCTCAACCCTAAGCTTGAAGTGCTTTAAAGGCTCAACGACGAGCCTGCTGCTTCGTCTCGTGCATGCTGCAGCGCGTAGCGCTACATGTGAATGAAGTGAATTCTCCACAACAAAAGTTGCTCACCCCCAACGATAGGTGCTTCATAAATTAGCAGAGGCCGCGGCACCTTCATTCGCTCGGGCCCGAGTCCGTTGTGAGGGGGGTTTCTGGAGCCAATGGGTTCCTGTTCCACGCAACATAAATGGGGTTGCCGGCTTCCTGTTGCGTCCTCCTTCTCCTGTAGTCCACACCCCGCTTGGTTCTGTCAGGCAAGCTTCCCCCGAACATCCGGTGCCAGTCGGCTTCCTTTGTTTCAGGATCACTCTCAAAAGCTTTCCGTCGCCGCTTCTTCATCTCGGCATAGATTTTTTGCGCTCGCTTTACGGGCAGCTCAGTGATGGCGTATTGAACGGTCCAGTCGAATTGCCGGCCCGGCTGCTCAGGACGCTCCACAAAGTCGCCGTTGACCTTGCTGCGGATGGTGACGTACATGCCCAATATATCGGGCTGCTTTTTAGTATCGTGCTCAATGTCGGCCTTGGCTGCAGCTTCTTCGACCTTGCTAGCATCGGCGCGCTCACCGGCCTTGATAGCATCGGTATGCTCCTCGGCGGTGTCGGCCATGGCAGCCCCCCTTTCGGCACTGGCAGAATCCTGCTCCTCCACGACTCCATCAGTGTCACGGCCCATCTTGCCTGCCTCATCTTCTTGTGCGGTTTCCGGCTTCCTCGATTGAGTAGCCAGATCAACAAACACGCGTTGAAAGGTTTTCAAGCTCTGCCTCTCCTCGTCCACTGTCTTGGTCACCCTTATAATCAGATCAGTCAGTGAGGCGCCGTCCGGCTTCGGCTCATCCTTGGCAGAAACCGAATCCGAGTCATCGGGTCGAGCGCTGTCTTCGTCCTCTTCCGCCATCAAATCTTGGGATTCTTTGCCCTCAAGTAGGTGTGCAGTCAGGACCGCAACCATTTCGTCTAGGCATTTGTCGCTTTCCAGCTCGGTCAGACCCCGGAGGAGGCCACTTTGTTCCAATGCACCTTGGATGGCATCTCTCACTGACACAATGCCCAGGGATTCGTTCTCAACCGTCTCCTCGACCTTCCTCATCAACTCCTTCCACGCAGCGTCGCTCTGAGGATCGTCGGCAGCTGCACCATCCGTAGGCCCATCTGTCTCTTCAAGCTGCTGCTGCTGCTCGGAATGGGCAACCGCCTCGTCTTGCGTCCGCTCAACTTCGCTGTCCTCCAAGCTTTGGCGTATCTCCTGTTCCAGCTTGTCCGCCAACGGCTTGCTTGCTGCCTGGTTTCTCTCCATTTCTTCTTCCGTAACTGGCTCGACGAAGAAGTATGTTAATGGGACTTTGGTTGGACGGGTCTCGACGTGAAGCCGTAGCGTTCGCCCTGGGAAGCGCGCCGTCGCACGATCCATCAAATCATTCAGTAGCGCGATGCTGCACTTGAATTCCTGGTCCCCAACTCTCAGGTCGTTTGTGCCGTGGATAGCTTGGTCCATCTCTGGCAAGCTGATGTACTGGAAACCGAAGATGCGCTGTGTGTTGTGGAAGGCAACGAAAATTCCATCCATGCGCCCCATTCGAACCTGCAGCGAATATTTGAGAAAGGCTGATCGAATCATGTCGTAGTACTCGCGCTCAAACGACTCCCACTGGCCAAAGCGCCTGCGGATCTCGTAGCCAACACCCTTCTCGTAGCCCTGGACATCCATTCGGATGGAAACAACAGCCCTTGTCTTGAGGTCAAACATTCCGGTCCCGGGCAGTCGCGAGTCCTGTGCGTCGAGCTGCGAGCGCATCAAGAAGTCGCCCAGGGTTGTGTAATGGTACGACTCGTCTGCATTTCTCTCCTCCTCGGGGATTTGGTGGGACTTGGTCTTTCGGTACTTTTCAAACTCCTCCTTGGGTAAAGTGAGAAGCTTCTCCATGGACTTTCCAAGCATGCTGAGGACATTCTCCGTGTCGTATTGCTTGTCTGCATCGATGGCGTACACACCGTCGTCGAGCCGTGCATAGGCAGCGGCCGGCGCCCGGCTGATGAGGGTGAAGTTCAGGGAGTCGGGTTTCAGCGACTGCGACAAGTTGCCAATGTAGATCTGCCTCCAGGCGGAAAGAAGAAAGTGGAAATGGGACAGTATTGATGTCATGCTAGAAGTCGAGCCGCAGTATTTCATTTTGTGCTGGGCGCAAAGCTGTCGTAGCTTGACATCCTTCGAGGACGTAATGTAATCCTTGAGGGCGTTAAAGTCGAACTCTTTGATGGGCATAATCGATGCGAGATAGGGGTCAAAGTTGAAGACACCGCTGCGCTCGTCCTGCATTTGGTAGACTCCCTGATTGAAGAGGACGCGCTCTAGGCTGTGACTCAAGGTGGGAACCTCTTTTCGGCTGTCTTCCTCCACGGGCTGGAGATGCAGACATCGAGGCCGAACCACTTTGACGACCAAGCGTTTCCCTTCCACCTGCTCGGGCGTTGCGCCGGATTTCTTTTTCGAAGAAGCCACCTTGTTGGAAGAGCCTCCTTTTGAGTCGACACCTTTTTGTTTTTTGGAGCTGTCTCTTTTCCTAGACTTGGCAGCAAGGACCCCTTCTTCGAGCGAGGATTTAGGCGTGGCATGCGGCCTTGAGCGCGCGCGCTTCGTTGATGTAGATTTGGCGACATCGATTTCCGCGTCGCCGGTCGGATTCGTGGACCTCTGCGGTACCGTCAGCTTTTCAGCTTGACCCGAAATGATGCTCTTCCATGATGCTTGGCTGTCGTTGGGCCCTTCAACCGAGTCCTGCCGCTTGAAGAAGTCGGTCCAGGCCTTGGCCGCATCTGAGGAGTGCGAATTCGTGTCATCGAGCTGGTTTGAACCGTCTGCGACGTTCTTTGCCCGTTTGTTCTTCTTGTCGACTCTGCGCCGTTCCGCAGCCTCGCCGAATGATTCCTCGGCCGAGATGGCACTCTGGGGACTCGAGTTCCTGTAGGGCGATTGGGAAAGTTGCCTCCGGGTATGGTTCGCAACACAATTCCAAGCCCCTGGAAAAGCCCAAGGGCCGACCAGTCGACCGGAGAGACTTCGCGAGCGAATCATCTCGGTTGTTTCATTTGTGTTGCTTGAGAAGCAGCCTTTCCGGCAAAGCTGCAGTAACAAGGAAAAAGTGAGAAGGCTCCCTCTCTATCGATAGTGGCCGCGGGAGTTCTTCGGAGTGGACCGCATGTGCTAGCCTGCACGTGATTGGCCTGGGGGATTACGCTGCTCAGCAACTGTACGACTGCCAGACTGGGACATATTACCACCGACCAGCATCGTCTTGCAGGCCGGAGAGCCTCACTCTGCTGCAGACATGGGCGCCAGCGACTCCAAGATTGTCTTCAAGCAGGGCATCTTCAGGTTGTCAGAGGAGCGCCACATCCCCGCCGACGACACCTACTGGACCTCGGTTGGTGAACCCGGCCCCCTCGCTACCTGGCCGTTTGCTGACGCGGCTTCAAGTTCTGGGAACTCCCGGAATCCTCAGAAGATGTCTTTAGCCTGTTCTCGCCCTCCGACATACGCCGCACCCGTGATCAGGCGTTGGAGAACATCGAAACCCTTGTGCTTGCGTTGACGTCGCGCCTGTTCATCCTCCGCCACCACCCGTCGTTTCCCGATCCCGAGCTGGCCCCAGAGAGAGACGCCCTGAACTGCATCAGGATCCTCACCCGGATCCTTCCCTACCTATATGAGAGCGATAGCTTGAGTTCCTGGGAAGAACGCTTCTTTTGGGGGTCCCGCCGGAGGAAAACTCGCCGAGCTGTCATAGCCAACGAGGTTCTATTTGATGAAGCCCAGGGCGACAAGCAAGATGCATTGAGCGAGTCAGACGAGTTCGAAGATGTCAAACCCTTGGCAGAGGAGCTCATCGACACCTTGATTGATCTGCTTTTCTTCTCAGATCTGACCATTTCACGCCAACCTCACGGCCATGCCAAGGTCACCTACGCCATATGGCAGAGCGGCGTCGGATGTAACGCCGCTGTAGCCACAACTAAGGAGTACGAGAGCAACAGGTGTGAGATACTTCGCCTGCTCCTGGCCCTGACCGGTCAGAGCATGTACATTACCCCGGCCATGCTCCCCCAGAGAGGGGTGCGTACTTTGACCCATCTTTGCACATACCAAGACAAGCAGGTTGTGCTCTCAGTCCTGTGCTCTTTGCTGAATACGGTATGCTCATACAATATCCCCGCGAAGAGATTGAGACTGACACTCACCATGACAGACGCTCAAGTACAACCCGGCGAGTTGGCGAGTTCCGTACAACACGTTGGTCTTCAAAGATGCGAAGCAGGTCTTGGTCACATATTCCTTACAGTTGATGCTTATTCTGCTGGTATATCCAATCCCCGAACATGCATCCGCTCAGAAGAACTTTTATCGGCACTTTCTCGGTCGGCTGCACCGCCCTCAAGACTTCCAATTTATAGTTGATGGAATGAGCCGGATTCTCAGCCAGCCGCTCCAAGAAAAGACATCCTACCTGCCTGGCTCCCAGTCGTCTGGGAGCTTTGCACCGGAGATGCTGATGCTGTTCTGGGAGATGACACAGTGCAATAAGAGGTTCCGGTCCTTCATCATCGACACCGATCGAGCCCACGATTTCGTCGTCCTGACGCTGTTCTACGCGCTTGAGTACAAGAACGAGCCGGCAAAACAGGGAGTTGTGCGCATGTGTGCGTTTCTCTTGCAAACTCTGAGCGTGGAAACAAACTTTGGCCATAATCTCAACAAGCGGTTCGAGGGACAGGAGAGCCTTCCTGGATGCATCAGGATCAACGGGTTCAAAGGAACCTACGCCGACTTTCTTATCCATTCCATCTACAGCTTAATCACGACGAGCCAAGGAAGTTTTGCAGCAGTCTATCCCGCGCTCCTAGCGGTGATAAACAACATTGCCCCACATGTTGAAGGGCTGAGCACTGCAGCCAGCGCCCAACTCATGCATTTGTTCTCGTCCATGTCCTCGCCCTCGTTTCTACTCGCCAACGAGACCAACCACACGCTACTCCATTCACTTCTCGAGTCAATTAATGGCACCGTCGAACACAAGTACCGCGAAAACCCAGAGCTGATACTGGCCATTGTCAAAAACAAGAAGCGAATCGAGGCTTTGCGAACTTTTACCCTAGAGAGTGGCCAGGAAGAGATAGAGAGGAGGAACAGAAGAAGGAAGGATGTGGGTAACCTCGGAGACTCATTCGACTCGGGATCGGTGAGGAGCTCGCTCGACAGCGCGAGAAGTCCGCCTCCTGCACCGTCTCGCACACCGACGCTGGAAGAGGTTCCCGAAGATGGGACTTTTGCCATTGGCGACGATGACGAGGACGACAGTGATGAGGATTTGCAGCCGACCCCGGCCCCTTCAACCGCGAGCGAGAATCAGTCCCAAGCGTCGTCTGCCGCCAACGTGGACGATGCAGTCCCAATCCAGCTCCGTGGCATGTCTGAGAAAGCTCGGGGCAAAATGCCGGCGGGCGCGCGATCCTTCTCTCGACAAAACAGCACCACGAGCCTAGGAGCACAGTCTGCATCAGGCCAGACTCAGGGGGGCGTGTTTGAGGCCACAGCCCAATGGATCGATAGCTGGCTTCCAGAGTTGCCCTTGCACACTATCCTGACGGTCATTCGACAGGTCTCGAGTCTCGTACCGCAGCAGTCCACCAGCAGAGAGGCTGCGCCAGCTGATGCAATTCGCGAGGTCCAGGAACTTGACTTCATCGGGATCGAGCCTTCGCCTCCTCGAGTACACTCTTTCGAGTGGTCTCAGCCAGCTTTGGCTTGGTATGAGTCACTTTTATGGGGCGTGGTCTTCACGAGCGAGATGCAGATCGCCAAAGGCACCATGGGCATCTGGAACGGCACCTTCATCAAGCTGTTCCGTGTCCAGGAGACTGCTCCAGAGGGGCCCACGTTGACGTCTCCGCGAGGGGCAGTCGATGCCGTCGGCAGCAACATAGTGTCACGAATCGGTCAGATAAATCTTCGCGGGGGCCCGGCGCACACCGGCAGCAGCTCTTTGTCACGGCCCGGAACTTGAGAGCATGACGGAGATTCGCGAGAAGACGCAAAGAGGCGATGGTGTAAATCGGGCAATGATAGAACTACACGCCCGTCACCCCGGAGCGCACCGGGAATTTGGCCTCGACCAAGCCGTCGCGCTTCAAGACGCTAAACTTGAATCTGGGCAGAAGGAGGCGAAATGGCACGATGACAGAGCTCTGGCTGTGGCCATTTTATGACTTGAAGGGGGCGGCTGGTAAGCAAAACGACACTGTCCTGAACCGAGGGTGGGAGCCGAAGGCGACACCGGCAGAGCCAGGCGGAGGACGTGAACATCAGGTTGGAGTCGTTGAACAAGCTTACGTGGCGACGAGTTGACGTGGACACTGGAGTCACGCGGCCGTTGAGAATGGGGGCCATTGGAGCAAATCGGCAAAGATTTACTTGGACCATTTGCTCGGGGCAGGCTCTGGCTCGCGAAGCTGGGTCAGGTAGCCTAATCATGGCCTCAGCCAATGGCATGAGGTGCTCGATGAAAAGCTAATGCGCCCATCTGCATCTGCCCTGATTTGAGCCGGACGGCGTGGCCTCGAACGGTTGGGTGCCACCACATCTCGGAGGAGAGGCATCCATCCGCACCGCCACTGTTTCAGACCCCAAAGACAAGCCATGCGATGCATGGGGCTGCTCTATAACGCCACCAGCCACACCAGACGCGATGGCTGCCGCGGTTGGTGCGCCGCCTGGAACAGGGATAACAAGCTTGTAACGGCGTCCGATGAGGCCGGGCCAGGGCTGGTGGTACGAGGACAGCAAGCATCAATTAATCTTTCAATCAAAAGGAAAGGGCCGTGTTTACCAGGTACGCCCGGGGCAAAAAAAAAAGAAATACATACCGCTTGCCGTGCCTATGCACGGGATCCCGCTGATAAATCTCTCGTTCCTCAGCAACCTCTCGTTGAGGTCTTTCTCCTTCTTTGGGGGGTAATGTTCACCCACTGTCTCACTGCCTGTCTCTCTTGAGTACAGTACCTTGAGGGTCGTCGTTGTCGACAGGGGCCTGCGGCTCACCCTGCCCACTTCGAGGCTTTGTCGTAAGCTATATGACCTGGCGCCGCGTTACTCGGAATGGCCCACACTCAGGAGCCAGCCTCGGCGGCGATGAGCGACGAGGTCAAGCCGTACAAGATCCGTGTACGTCGACCGTGTGTGTGCGCCCGTCCCGCCCCCTGTTACTGACGGGATGCGTGTTTGCGATCCATGGGCAGGTGTCGAGCAAGTATCTGGAACTGACGAGGCGGAAGCTGGAGCTTACACGGCTGCCGCATCAGATTCCGGAGCCCAGGTCCAATGGGTGGTGGGAGCCGCAGCCGACGGTCGAGCCGCTGGTAGACTTTTGGTAAATGCTCTGCTTCCGCTGCCTCGCGGCCAGTCTAGCTGGGCCATCCGTCACAAATCTAACAAGCGATATTCGAGGCTCGAGCAATTCTCTTGGCGGGAGCAGGAACAAGAGTTCAATGCCCGGGTGCCCCAGTTCCGGACCGCCATCCAGACGGCCGCCCTGGAGACTCCGGTCCGACTGCACTTTGTCCACGCTCCGTCTCGTCACACCCATGCGGTTCCTCTACTGCTCATACCCCCTTTCCCCTTCACCAACCTGTCCATGGCGCACCTCATCGGGCTATTCACCGAGCCGGGCGACGACGCACCCGGCCAGCCGTTTCACCTCGTCTTGCCGTCGTTGCCAGGCTTGGGCTTCAGCGATGCGTTGCCCGACAAGGTGCCCGCGATCCCGACAGTCGCTCACATGCTGGACGTCTTGATGAAAAGGCTTGGCTACGAGCATTTCCTGGTAACCAACTCGGGATCATCGCCAGGCGTCCTGGCCCCGGTTGACTGGAAAGTTGTGAACCATCTGGCGCTTCACTATCCCGACTCTTGCTTAGGGGTTCACTTGGTGTCCCCGCCGCTCAGCCCGCCGAGGATACGGGACTCACCTGTCGCATGGGCCAAGTGGAAAGCAGCAAGCATCCTCCGGACTCCTATGCTTGGCTACTCTCGCGAAGATCTGGACGCGTTGGGGCGTCCCGACACTTGGGTACCCAGGGGGGCGCGGGCTTCCTCCCACGCTTTGCTGGGATTCGGAAGCGACGGCGCATACGAGCCAAACACTCTAGCCTATGCCCTCTGCGACTCGCCGCTTGGCCTTTTGCTCTTCTTCCTCATGGTCCTCCGCATGTCCGGCCCTAACCGAGGTTTGCCGCCAGCAGAGATCATCAAGATGACCGAGTTAACCTGGTTGCCCGGCCCCGAGGGGACGATGAGACTGTGGGCAGAATGCGCATCCGGCGAGGAAACGCAGGAGGGAAGAGCGGGACAGAGACCAAACGCCGCATTCACCGTCTTCTCGGGCGACGAAGGGCGAGCAGGGGGCGATCCGCCATTGCCGGTCCCCTTACCCAGGCCGATACCAAACTCATACGCATGCCCGGCCTGGGGCCATCGACAGTATCGGGTAGTGGCATGCAACCGTGTCACCGGAAGGCCTGGCCTGCTTGCATGGGAGAGACCACAAGTCATTGCTGTGGGCGTCAGACGGCTTGCCAAGGCCATCCTCGCCGCCGAAAGCAGACTAGCAGCGCCTGTTGCACAGACGACGGCCTTGTTGAAGCGAGTGGTGGTCGACAGCAGTCAAAAAGCAGCGGCGACAACGGCCGAGACAACAATACCGGTATCAGAAGAGGCGTCAGGAAACCCTCGACAGGAGACAGCGGCATCTGCCTCGGAGCCGGCCGGGCAGCGGGTAGCGGAAACGTCCGGACGGGAGGCATGGAGGCAGCCGATGCGTGCTATGAATTGCCAGAGACTGGGCGATGCGGAAGAGAGGCAGCATCAAGGCAGTGGCAGCGACGAGTCTAGAGGTGGGAGTCCGGACACGGTCATTGCCGTCCAGATTAGGGCGTGATCGGACTTGAAGGGTTCGGAGGAGTTCGGAGCACTCTTATGCAATGGCAATAGCGAGCATACGACGCTGCTCTTAATACATAAATGTCCGTGAAGCTGATGTTGAGGGGAATCATGGGCAGTGAAGCGACGATGTGGGGGAGTCACTCAACTTAGTATTAGTCACGGAGGCTGGCTGGTCTGTGCACACGTAGTTGTACGTACTGTAGTGTAATAGTCGGCCAGGCAGATACCTTTCCAAACATCATCCAGCAACCTCATCAGCGCCAATCGACAGCGCCAGCAGCAGACCTGACGGCCTGTCGCAGTCCCTCGCCAGCGAAGATGCCCGCCCGAGACCCCAAGAGTCCCTGACGCAATCCTCTCTCACCGCCATGTCGCGCACGCCCCCCAACATGTCGAACCGCTACGGCCCTCCGACGCGCAATGGCAACGGCTATGGGAACATGGGCCCAGGGAGGGCAGAGGAAGAATACGACCCGTATGCCTACGGCGAAGGCTACACAAGCGACAGATATGGCTCGCGCCCGCCCGCCGCCGCCCGCGGCCCCCCGCCTGTCGTCCGGAACATGCCCTCGCGGCCGCGCGTGCAGGAGACGAGCGCCGAGAGACAGATCGGCCAGGTGCTGGGGCACATTCGCGCCGAGTGGCCGTCCATGTGCGAGGCCGACTGTGTGCCTGTCCAGCTTGCCTTGCAGCTGCTCGACTCGAGCTCCGTCGGCCGAGCACACGAGTACCGCAAGTTTCAGCAGACGCACGCCTACCTACAGGACTCGCTCAAGAACATCGTCCACGAACACCACCAGGGCTTCAACAGCTCCATCGGCACCTTCCACAAGATTCAGGGCAGCATCGAGGCGTCCCAAAAGCGTGTCCGTGCTCTCAAGGACTCGCTCGACGGCGCAAAGTCGAGCCTTTGCACCACGGACCCGGGACTGAAGAAGCTCTCCCAGACGTCGCAGAGCTACGACGAGCTGCTGCAGACTCTCAACGAGCTCGACGACCTACGCTCTGTGCCCGACCAGCTCGAGGCGCGCATCTCGGAGAAGCGCTTCCTGACAGCCGTCGACATGCTGCATAGTGCACTGAGGAAACTGCGCCGGCCGGAGCTCGACGATATCGGAGCCCTAAGCGACCTGAGGAGCTATCTGGCCAACCAGGAAACCGCATTGATGGACATACTAGTGGAGGAGCTCCACGAGCATCTATACCTCAAATCCCCGTATTGCCAAGAGAGGTGGCAGAGCCTGGCCAAGAGCCAGGGCGCATACGCCGACGGCTACGGAGATGCCAACGCCATCCTGCCTTTTCATGCCGTCCTGGAATCCATCGACGTCAACAAGGCCGTCGCCGAAGACCCCATGAAGAACCCAGAGGCCGACACTTTTTACTATGTTGGACTGCTGGTCGAGGCGCTAAACAAGCTGGGCAGGCTGCAGAATGCTGTCGAGATGCTGAAGCAGCGGCTTCCGGTCGAGCTGTTTGGCGTCGTCAACGAGACCATCAACGATGTGGATCAGCGGCATCCAAGCTCGCTCCGTGGAGCCGCAGGCAAGACGGAAAGCCTGCTCTTGTACGGAACCCGGGAGACGCAGCTGAGGGCCGACGTCATCTACGATCTTTTATGGACACTCTATGGCAAGTTTGAGGCCATTGGCGAGGGCCATCGAGTGTTTCACGAGTCCATCAAGGCCCTCATCCGACGCGAGGGTGCGGGTAACAACAGCTTGCTGCTGGGCAGCTTCAAAGAGGTGTGGAATTTGTACCAAAACGAGATCCGGGCTCTCTTGCACAATTACGTCACGACCGATGCAGACGTCTACCAGTTCGACTCGCCGACCCCGGGGGCTACCCTCAATGGAAAGAAGGATGCCATGCGGGAGCACCTGTTCAAGTTTGCCGAGACGGATGCCAAGTCGGTCGAGACGACGACGGAATACGACGCCCTCGAAGGCATCATCCAGGCAACCGTGCCGGGACTCATGAGCAACTCGCGCAAAGCCACCGCCGACCCCAAGAAGAGTCGAGTCGCGGTCGACGCCAATGCCTCGCGACGAGATACTGGGGTCGGGCTCGGGGCCAATCGACAGACCATGGGTTCATACAAGTCTCTGGTGCAGCCGAGTGTCTTCAACATGAGTCTCTTGCTACCGCCCACGCTGGTTTTTCTTCAAAGGCTGAGGGGCATCGTGCCTCCCGGCTCCGATCTGGCGACCAGCACGCTGACGACGTTCCTTGATAATTTCCTGGTCAACGTATTCCAGCCGCAGCTGGACGAGACCCTCGGGAAGCTAAGCGACTCGGTATTTGGCGAGGCAGACTCTTTTTCGCAGGACTCGTCTTGGAGCCAGTCGGCGCCGCGACCCGTGTTCAAAGGCACCACGGCCTTTTTCCAAGTGGTCACGGCGTTTTGCCGAATGCTCGGCACGATACCGCCGGACCAGGCCCTGAGCTCGCTCATTGTGAACCAGATGATGCGATACTACGACCGCTGCTTCAGCTGGTACAGATCACTAGTGATCAAAACTCAGGAACAAGGCACAGACTCGAGCAAGCTCAGGGCGTCGGCCCGCTTTACTGCGCAGGCGGGCGAAATGCAAGAGACGATGAAGAAGCTGTGGACATCAGAGGGTGTGGATCGGGAGCTGCAGGAAAAGGAGGTGCATCTACTAATTGAGCAGACAAATGACACGACGCTGGAGATGAACGACGTCATCCAGGACCGGGAGACGATTTCGTCCCTGTGCCTCCTGTACACGAGCATGAAGTGGCTGGCGGCCAAGATCTCGAGCCTGAGGCACATCACGGTCCACGAGACGGACTCGTCACGACAGACGCTCCCGCGGCAGACGAACCGACGATGGACGCTGATGAATGACCCTAACAAGGCCACATCGGAGCAGGGCCCGGTGCAACTGCCGCTGACGCAGGAGTCGGTCCAGTAGGTTGCCCTGGGCGCTGGCGCGGATGAAGCACAAGGCGGGCAGCTAACGGTGAACACCAGAACGTTTGACAACATCGTGACATCATACGAGGAGCTAGCTAGCACGGCGCTACTGACGCTGCACATGGAGGTCCGTTGCCGCATCGTGCACTCGCTGCGCAACGCGCTCTCGCCGGAGCTGGCGCCGTACCTGCTTGACCAGGAGGTCAGGGAGCCGGACCCGCCAATCCTGAGTCTCAACCTGGAGCTGGTGCTCTTTGACGAGACGATTGTGCGCTTCCTCCGCGACCGCGAGGTGGCCTTTATCCGGACGGGCCTGGGGATGCTCATCAACCGCTACCTGGTAAGCAACGCGTGGATGGCATCGCCCATGAACGCCAAGGGCTGCGGCCGGATGCAGCTCAACGTGCTCGTGCTACAACAGAACCTCAAGAACATCGAGGAAGGAGTGGACCTCGCACGGGCAGCCGACTACTTTGCCCTCTTTGACCAGGGCCCGGACGCTATTGTGGACAAGGCGCGGGCGGAAAAGGAGAAGAATGCAGCGAGCGAGGAGGCGCAGGGCGAGAGCTTCACGTACGAGGAGCTCAAGGCGCTGATTGAGCTCTATTACAGCGAGCAGCTGGCGAACCCGGAGCGGGGCATCGCGTCTGCTGCCAAGCGGAAGATGGACGACAAGCTGCTGGGTCTCAGCGAGCACCTGTGGCAGACGTGAGGGGTCAGCGGGTGACGATGTTGTTGTACTTGACCATGTGGTGATGATGCATGTATGCTCTAGGGGAAAAGGTCTGGCGAAATGCTACAGCGTGCGCACGGAGCTGTCATGTAGATTATGCGCGCTGCTCATGGTATGGGGCGTGCTTCATTGCCAGGCATTGCTCGAGAGTTGATGGCGGACGAGGTCGGCAAAGGAAGGGGATACGAAACGGGAGTCCTCGTGGATTTTGATTTCCAAGTTTCCCCCTTGGCCAAGCCGGAGGCTTTTCCAACGAAAGCCGAAAGACGGCACTCTGCTGCGTAACGAGCGCGGCACTCCCGTGCAGTACTATTTGAGTATTTTGAGCAGGACGGTGACCGACAGCGAGGGAGTCTGGCAGCTGAAAGAACAAGGGGCGGTGGCGACGGTCGTTGCGGGCGGTGGTGGCGGCGGATGAGACGCGCGCGTGCGCTACGAGTTGCCGGTTCAGGGACCGTTTCTAATAGTTGCTCGCAAATACGGATAGGTAGGCAGAGTTTCTTTTTCGTCTCTTTGGCGTTTTGAAGGCTGAGACAAGACTCTCGGGTGACGGTGGTCAGAGGGGATAGGGAAAAGGGGCGGGCGCACTCGAGATGCCTCTTTTGGATCCTTTCCTCTCCCCCCCCTTTCCCCGCTCCCCCTCCAACAAGCTTCCAGAAGGAAGAGAAATGCCTACTGTACCTTAATTGCCAGGCGCATGGCTCAAATACTCGCATAAAAGCGGAACTCGCGGCAAGCAAGGAAGTCGGTAATTAAAGAAAGGGGGGCGCATTTCGGGTGGTGGTGGGGAGAAAAGGAGCAGCGCTGCGCCTCTTGCCTCGGGCTGGTCGTTCTCGTCATCCATGCAGCCAGCAGCCGCCGGGACCTGCGTCTGCGCCAGTGGCTGCGCCTTGGCTGGTGCCCGCCCAATGCACTCGCTGAGAGGCAAGCCCCCTTTTGCCTTGGGCTGACTAAAACGCTCACCGCCAAGTACACCAGGCAGAAGCTCCATGTACCGTTTCATGTGGCAATGGCGGCGATAAGCTTAATCGGGTACCTGGACGACGTCAGAGGTGTACGAAGCGCGTGTACGAAGCGCGTGGGCCTTTTACACTGTTCGCGAGGTACCTAGGTACCTACCTAGGCAGGTATCTAATACCAGGTAAGTTAATGGGTTTAGCCATGGCGGTTAATGGGTGGCCAGTTAATGGGTGCTGCCTCGCCTGGATGGATACTGGATATAATACAAGCCCGTTATTCGCACCGCGGGTTGACTCGCCCGGCTGGGTTACCCCCACCCCCACTCACTGGTGGCGGCTGCAAAGGACGGACGGATTTGTAGGGGCGGATGGGACGGGAGCAGCGTCGAGAAGCTCAACACCACCCTCCACTGACTGCCCGCACCGCCCGCGCTTGTACTGCACTGTACCACCCAATTGGTTTCTTTTAGGCAGTTGCCGAGGCGGCTTTACTGCTGCTACATACTACCTACAGTACTGGACTACCTACTATACATACTACTGGACTACAGTACATACACACGTACTGGACTGCACGGATCATGAGCAAGGGGCCAAAACATGTCGCCCAACTCGCCCTCTCTCATTCCTGTACTGTACGTTGCCCGTAATACCGTCGTCCCCAAGACACCGCCGCCAGCCGAGCGCCGCCGTCTTGGTCGACTCGGCCAAGGCTCGACACGCCTGAAAATAGCACGTGGGCCACGTTCGTCTCGTATCGCGGCAAGTCAATCATCGGCGCGGTACCTCGGACCCGACTTTGGATGCCCGGCCTGCCCACCCACTACCTCGCGTGACTTGACACTCGCCGGCCCTTGGCCACGACGGCCAGGTATCTCTGCTGGTCATTTCCCAGCGGCTCCATGTCACTCTCCCGGCGGCCCACTAAAAGCCTCCCCAATAACAAGGCCAATTCCGGCGGCTGCCCCAGTCTCGCGTCACTTGCTCGCCGCCCTCTTTGCCCTCTTCCTTTTCCCCCGCGCCGGCTCCGCCTGGCCTTGCATTATCCTTGAATCGCCACTGACTTGATCTTGTTTCCTCGTCCAAGCCTTGTGGCCTTGTCCCCCGGCACTGCGTGCTGCAACACCCGACTGTGCAAACGAGAACGCGGTACCGAGTAATTGACTAGGCCCATCAGGGGAGGGGCGCGACGGAGAGTGAGCCTTTGTTGGCCTGCCCTGCAAAATTCCACCACCACCTCCTTGCTCTCTATCTCTCTCACTCTCTCCCTGTCTCTCTCCCCCCCCCCCCTCTCACCTCTCTCCTCCAACACGCTCGCCGTCAACAACAGAGACGGCCTAATTCACACTCACTCATTCACTCTTTCTCTCTCTCTCGCTTGAAGAGGCCGCCAAGCACAGCGCTCCCGCTCTCGACTCGATTCTCCCCTCGCCCCTTGCTCGGCCCTCTTCTCACACCCACACTCGCTTCCCTTGTCCCTCCCCTGCGAGGCGCGACGCGCTTCACACTCTTAGGCCCCTGCTCCTGCTACGACCAATCATCCCGTTCGCCCCCCTCCAATTCGCCGCTGCCCGAGGCCGCTTTTTAGCCCTCCCTGCCGTTCTTTATTGCTTGCATCGACGCCGCCCCTTTTCAGCAAAGACTTCTCCTCGCCTGCATCGTCCAGCCTGTCGCTCCTCTGGCACGGTGCCTGCCGCTACTGCGACCATGGACAACTCCAGGTGAGCTTCGCCTTGCTCACTCACCCCGATAACCCTCTGCAGGCCTTTGCTGATGACTTCCCTCCAGCTTTGGTTCCGCCCTCAGGTCCTTCTGGCACACCATGACCAGCTACGACAGACGTGAGCCGAACCCCCCCTATTCTCCCCTCCCTACCTTTTGCCGAAATGCCTTCTCTCGGTCCACGGTACGCGCCACTAACGTCCAATGCTTCTGCCCAGATTCATCATACCATTCGCCGCACAGGACCGGCCGTCACGTCCCCTTGCAAACCGGCCGAAACAGCATCCTTACCGGTGTGGCCACCGCCTCCGACTCTCACCCCGACGTCGGCTCACCCTACTCCGATGAGGCTGGCCGCGTCTCGCCGCCTGCCGCCAACGGCACCAATGGCTCATACTCGCCCGGCCTGAGATCAATGGCTGCCAAGCAGGCCGACGGCTTCGAGGTACAAAGCCCCGGCGACGTGCCCATGCAGTCCTTTCACGACGGCCTACCACCCCCGCCGCCTGTCCGCCACTCGTGGAAGAAGATAGACGCGTGGGCCGAGGAGAATTACCCAGAGCTGGTCGATCAGTTGTGCGAAGGCGCCACCACAAACGACCTCAACGACCTCGAACATCAGCTCGACTGCTCGCTGCCCCAAGACGTGCGCGACTCGCTCATGATTCACGACGGCCAGGAGCGTGGAGGCAATCCCACGGGCATCATCTTTGGTTCTATGCTGCTCGACTGCGAGGAGATTGTCCAGGAATGGGAGACGTGGCGCAAGGTCAACCAGCAATTTCTGCCTGACATGGCCAATGCTCAGCCCACGACGCCCTCCAAGGCTTTTGGCGGGAGCAGCGAGGCCTCGTCGTCGCGCCAACGACCGTCGTCCTCCTCCACGGGCAGCAACGCCGACGAGTGGCGCCAGAATCTGCTGTCGCGTCAAGACTCGGTGCCCACCGGCGCCGTTCAGAAGACGTATGCCCATGTGGGCTGGATTCCCTTGGTTCGCGACTGGGGTGGCAACAACCTGGCAGTCGACCTGGCTCCCGGGCCCGGCGGCCGCTGGGGGCAGGTTGTCATGTTTGGGCGCGATTACGATACCAAATACGTCGTGGCCCGCTCTTGGGCTGCCTTCCTGGCCCTTGTAGCAGACGACCTCAACAGCGGTAAATGGTTCGTGGACGAGGACAACGGCGAGCTCAAGTTGAGGGAGTTTAAGGAGACGCGAGTTGAGCCAGCCTACTTCAGCATTCTGCGATGGAGGATGGACCAGAAGTATGGGCGGCGCGCCGCCAGGAGGGCCTCCCTGGGGCCGCCCAAGTCGGGCTCGCCTCTTGGCTCGCGGTCGGGTTCGCCCTATGCTAGCCCTTCTGAGCCCAATGGCGACGTCCGTGGCAGGTCTGCGCAGCGCTTCGGCGGATCCTCTCCCCTGGCGAGCCCTATAACGCCGGCATACGGGAAGCCGCCTCCACTGAGTAGAGTCACAGAGGAAACGACGATTCCCGAGATACCCAGTGCCGACATCGAACCCAGCCAGCTTGTCGAAGTGGAGATGGACGCGGAGAACGAGCAAGGCAAAAATGCGCTCCGCATTTCGACCATCCCTCGCTCGCAAACGAACCTGCTCAGCGACAAGGAGAACGAACCGCCGTCGAGCAAAGTGAACGGCAAGCAACCCGCGACCGTCGACGGAATGATGAAGACGATTGAGATTTGAGTCGAGGAGGCGAGGATTGGACCTTTCAAACGTATATACACATTTACCCACCACGATGGCATGACCTTTTTTACTTCGACTTTGAAAGGTGCTGAAAGGAACACCTTCATTCTGTTTGTTCCTTGGGTTCCTCATCTTTCTCTAAACATAATATCGAACGCACGCGCGCAAAAACAAGACGTCGGGGTGTTGGGCCCGCCGTGGGAGCCAACAGACCCCGGGCCTTTGTTGGCGGCCACGCGGTGGACGGCAGGGGAAGGCAACATGGCGGCGCAATAAGGAGCTGGATGGGGAGGTGGTCGCCGGTCGCCTGCTCGTCTCAATTCTTGCGACGCAGCGCGTGTCCTCGCCGCTGTCCGGTCGCGCTCGAGGCCCCCAGGAGGACGGGGCTTGTAGTTACGCGACCTCTCACTGTACCAACAGGGCTTTTGCCCGAGGCTGCTTGTCATTAGCATCTTAGAAACGGTTACGGATCGGGAGGCAGGGGACCGAGCGAGCGGCTCTCGGGATGAATGACGATGGCGCCTGTCCAGGTAGGCATGGCTGGATGGTGATGGAGCAACTCGATAGCAGTGAACACAGATATATACACACGTATATGGCCTCGCCGCGGATCCTTGACCATGTAGCTGTTATTGATGAGTGACGCCTGGCTCCTGCGACAACCTCTCTGGTCGTTAGAGATGTTGACAAATGGGCCACGACCATCCAATTGTTCTTGGATGGAAAGAAAGAAGCGAACGAAAGGTCTGGTGAGGTGACAAGAACTGATGCTGAATCTCGGTTGACCGGTTCTCTCTTTGTGGCGCTCTTTCTCTCCTTTTCGGGTTCCTTTTGTTCTCCGTTCTTCTTTGCATCATCGTCGTCATTTGCAGTCCCTCATCGCGAACTCGACCCTTCTCCACGAAGCACGAGGTGGCACAGGGCGGCGCTTGACAGTTGGTGGCGAGGGGGGGCCGATGGAAACCAACCCCAGCCCTCACTCAGTCACGTCACGCCACGGCCCACGAGCATCACAGCAAGCGGCCAAGCAGCTCTAGGAGCGGAGGCTGTATTACTTTGTAGAGGGGTGGGGGGAGGGGGGAAACACCCGCGACGGCGCAAGGTGAGAAAAAGCCAGGTCGTGTTTGTCTAGGGCGCAGGGGCCGTCGGAAAGGGTCTTTTTGTTTCTTCTTTTATTGTGTCTTTGCTCCTTGACGGTTTTGTTGCCATCTGGGCCTTGCCTAACCGCATTCAAGGGAGGGAGGTGGGTTACGTGGCTGAGTGAGAGGGTGGCCCGAGAGCACAGATGAGTGAGAGGGTGAGTGAGAGTGTTCGTGACGGTGGTGGAATGGGAGGTGGGGATGGGGGAAAGGGGGGGGGGGGCCTAGGAAGACGGCGCGAATGAAAAGAATAACGGCTGGAATGCCCCCCTGCCTTGTCTACATTCACGTCCCCGTCGAGACACGCACGCGTCTTCGCATGGTGGTGAGCCACGCATCAGGCGCGGGAAACTTTGTCTCGACCAACGATCGCGGCCAAGTGCGAGCCGGCAGGGCATGGAACACGCAACTCACCCACGCTTGTTCTCGACCCTCCACCGAGAATGCGGCCATGAGCCGCGGCCTCGTCGGCCCTTGCCGGCGGAAGGGAGCATTGGCGGCAGAGCAGGCGAGGATGGACCAAGACATCCCGTCCTCGGACGCCCGCGCACGCACACGCACAAACCCCACGCGGCCGATCGTGAAATCGGACAACAAGATCAGCGGCCACGGGCGGGAGACGATCACGGCACACATGGAACAAGGTCACGATGTAGACAACTGGTTTTGTGAATGGCGCCGAAGTCGGCGAACAGGTGAAGAGATTGAAATCGCTATCTGGTTGTAGCAGCCGAAGAGCCAGCTTCAAATGAAAGTAACCCCCGTCATCAGAACATGAAGAAGAAGAAAAGAAAAGAATGGTATCTATATATACAGATGAAGAAGTTTTTGTCTGTCACAACGGACGCCGCAATCCATGCAGTCTTTGGGCCCCCCCAGAGGGCTATTTGCAAAAACCTTTTGATGCCCCCATGACAAAAGATGATGTCGTGAACGAGTCAACTCGCTGCCCCGACCTAGGCCGCGAAGCGAAGGGCGTGGCGGATCGTCCGCTTGGCGTTGCCAGCCGCCATCTTGATGTCGGCCGACTCGCCCGAGCCGCACTTCATGCCCAACGACATCTGCGACAGAGCGGACCAGGTGCCGCTGGCGCAGCGCTGGAAGGAGGAGCCGCCGACGCAGTTCCAGTCGCCCTCGGAGGCGCAGGGAGTGCCGGGAGCGTGGGCACCAGCTGGCGAGGGGCCGGCGTCGCTGCTCGGGGCCGGCGTAGCGGGTTTAGGCTGCGCAGGGCTCTGGGGATGACCGGTCGCGCCGGGGCGAACGCCCGTGGCCGCGGCGCCGCCCTTGGGGACGGTTATAAAGACGCCGCCGGGAACACCGGAGGCACCACCCTTGGGGGAACCGCCATTGGGAGAGCCGCCGTTGGGGTAGCCACTGTTGGGAGAGCCACCGCTGGGAATGCCACCGACAGGCTTCGTGGGATAGACGCCGGTGTTGCTGGTGGGCGAGCCAACGTTGGGAGAGCCACCGGCGGGCTGCGTGGGAACGGGATAGGCACCTGCGTTGCTGGTGGGCGAGCCGCTTCCGTAGCCAGGCTTGGTCGGGGCGGGCTTCTTGCCGCCGCCGCCGCCACCCTTGCAGTTACCACTGGGGGGGCCAAGGCTGCCATCGCCGTTGGGCCTGTCGACATCCTGGCCGGCATTGGGGAACTGGACATCGGTGCCCTCCTTGGTGGAGCAGTCGCCGACAGACTTGAGGTTGGCAACCATCATGTCGGGCAGCGTCTGCAAGAAGCCTTCGGAGCCGCCCGAGCCCTGGACGGTGAGGGGGGCGCAGTTCATGTACATCTCTCGGTTGCCGACCTTGTTGAACCAGGTCCAGGCGAGGGTGTAGTTACCGACAGGCATCTCTTTGGGAATGGTGTAATCGTACTTGTTGCCGCTCTTGATGTCAGGGCTGTTGCCCGGCAGATTGCCAGCGGTGTCCTTGGCGGGACATCCGCCCTCAATGGACTTGATGACCTTCCACTGAGAGTCCTTGTTGGGCTCGGCGTCGGTGGTGACGGAGACTTGGCAAGAACCGCCGCCGTGGACGGCCGAGCCTTGGAACTGGAGCTGCTGGGTGCTTCCCTGCGGGAAAACGTTGCTGGCGCCCTCGTCGGCAAAGGTGTTGGCGCGCATCTTGCAGGGGAAGTCGGAGCCGCTCGCGTCCAAGGGGCTGTTGTTGAGGGTGGACTTGCCATAGGGGACAGGGCTGATCATGATCATGTGAGCGCTGCTCACGGCGACCAGGCCGGCGGCGGTGAAAGCCTTGACGAGCATATTTACGGCGGGTAGGCTGGGAGGTGGACTTGAAGGTGGGAGTCGTTGCTTCTGATTGCTTATGGTGTCGAGAGTCTTGACGTTCCAGACGCCAGAGACAGCAGATATATATAGGTGCGAAAGGAGAGTCGTTGATGCAGCTGTGAAGAGCGATCAAGGGGGCGAACGTCGAGTTCTGAACAGGTTGGAGATAAAGGACAAAAGGCTGTTCGGAGAGTTAGAATGGGGCAAGTTCGACAACAATAGGACATGTTGAAGGGGTCTTCTGAATGAAACATTCAAGGTGAACATGAACAGGATGGAATCGCACAAAAGGAAGCGGCATAAATGAGAGGGCAAGGGGAGAGAATGGTTTGCTAGGTGCCAGAGATTGACAGGTGGACGAGGACAGAACTTACCCAGTCAAGGTGGCACGAACAAGAGGTGGTGGCACAATGGTCGCGAGACTCGACGATCTTGAAGAAGGCCCAAAAAGGATTGCGATGAAAGCAAGCAAACAAGGGCTAGCCTTGAGGTGGGAAGAAGAAGAAGAAACAGCAGCTTGGCTGAGGGAATGAAAGTTGTCTCGAAGACGAACCACCTCAAGGAGAAGGGAAAGGATGGGATGACGGGAGCTGTCAGGACGGGAGAGCGAGGAATGGCGAGCAGACGCGGGCAGTCTTATATCAGGCAGAGAAGACTGCCCGGCCACCATCAGGCCAGGCCTCGCCGCCTCCCCTGATGGACATCCAGGGCCAGGGGCTTCAGGATTAGATGACGGGGTCGAGGTGATTGGACGAAAGCCAGGGCCGGCAAGGCCAGAGAGAGAGCCGCAGGTCGACAGATGGCGCGCATGCGTGCCATTGACGCAAGACAAACGGGCCGGGGACGGGGGGGGCCAACAGAGCAATCCATCGCAGCCAAATCCCAGCCACGGTTCGAGTGGGCTTGGCCGCTCGACGTTTCGAAGCGCGGTGAGCCCCCAGGGGGCTAGGTCGCACGATGCTCAAGGGAGCAGACGGTCGAGGGCGGTGATAGGCTGGCCAGTCTGTTTCACAGCTTCGTGGTCGAGAGAATAAAGCCGTGCCATGACGGGATGGTGGATGGGTGGTGGAGATGCGCCAGATGGAGCTTCGACGGTCCACGCCCCATGCCCAGGGCCGGGCCCACGGCACCCACCCCTGGCGGCTGGGGCCCACTCGAGCCTTGCCATGGCCTCCGTGCCGGGGCTGGCGTAGCGCCTCGTCTTCCTTTGGAGCTGTGTGTTTGCGTATGTTTGGTGGATGTGGATGCCGGGGGGAGGCATGGGGGGAGGCTAAGTGACGGGCGACGTAGCCAACGTGACCGACCTCTCCCCCACCACCGCCCACCCCCCTGTAATGATCGCCCTTCCCCCTGCCATGGGCGCAGCCGCGGGGCCAGAGACCCCCAAAGCGCTGTAAGCCCAGGGCTATTGGCGGTGTCTCTCAGCCTGTCAGACCCCCAAAGCGGCGCGGCTCTCTCACAGCGTCTTCTTTTTTCCTCCTCCCTTGAACTTGATCTCCTTTTAGCAGCGCCCGCTAACTACGCGGGCCCCAAAAACACACACGCCGCGTAAGCGAATCACCAGCCGAGGGGGACGGGGGCGTGTGTCTCGCTGTGCCTCGCCTTGCCGCCGCCTTCTCGTTTCCTCGTCCAATTCGTCAATCGGCGGCGGCGGCGGCCTCCAGAAGGCCCTCGAGAGAGACGGTGGCTAGCAAAGATGCGAGACACTGGGCTTGCGCTAGGTACCTCACCAGTACACAGACCACCCGCGCGGTACATACTTGCGGCCGCCAATGGGCGGCTAGAGGTAGGTAGGTACCTTAGATACTGCCAGTGGTAGTACCAGTCCGCTGTAGCTGTTGGCCGGTACCTACCTACCGGTACCTACCTACCGGTAGTAGAGCCGCCGATGCGCCGTCGTTTCTGCAGCAGATTCGTCGTCGTCGGCAGCCTTTTTTACCCTCTCCCCGTCGCCGCCGCCTCCCTTTTTCGTGGCTGGACTCTACTCTCTCCCTGCCTCACCGTCTCTGCCCATTCCGCCGTTGCCTTTATCCCTCTTCCGCTCTCTTCCTGCACGTATCTGCTTTTTCCCCCGCAAGTGCGTGACCAACGAGGAACGAAGCGCGGGTTCTCGGCCGATTGACGCCTCGGGTACCCTGCTCCGAACCAGATGCCCGCACGCAGGGGGGGGGGGGTAGCCAGACCGACAAACCCCAGGAGATGGATGCTGAATGGGGGAGAAAGAACATGAAAAAAAAACGACTGCTTTGACCTTGAAACCGTGGTTGTGCGCGCGCGTGCGAGCTACACGTCGTCTGGGGTCTCCTCCAATCGGCTGGCACCAGCACGGCCCTCGCCCATCTACAATGGGGGGGCCCCCTGGTCGCTCATCATCGGCCCCGCTCCTCGTGGATTTCTGTTTATGGGACATGGGATTTTCTGCAAATCAGGGGTAATTTTTCATTTTTTGGGGCAAGGAACCACTTGGCCCTCCCGCCCCCTCGCCGACGACATGACGACGTGGTCGAAGCTTTCGGAGCGTTCGGGGCGACTGTGGGAGTCCTAGACATCCATTGCCTATCTGGGGCTTCTTCCTGTCTTGCTCATTGTTTGCTGCTGCTCCCTTTTTCCATTACCTTTTTCCACCAACTGCGTAAAAGAAAGGTGAGACGGCGGTTCAACTGTGTCTGTCTGTCCCTGGTCGGGCCGGCGCGGACTGATTGGCCGTCAGACATTGATTGTCCTGATGCATGTACTGACATGACAGTACGGAGTCTTTTTGTCAGCATCCCTCCTCTGCTAGGTGTGCTGCAATGCGCACGCATATGGACCCTTGCGGTACCTTGCAGCAACTCGGGGGCCCGGCAAGAAATAAATGGTTCTGGGAGGAAGCGAGGAGCTGAGGTGCGAATACATTGTAGGTACTCCGTACAGCGGGCGACTTCACTGGATCCAGGTGACTGCCAGCACAGCACACACCACGCACTGCAGGGGCGGCCGCTCCTCTTCAGGGGAGCACAGGCGCCTGGCTTTTGGCAGCTCGGTGTCACGGCGGGTGGGACCGGTGAGACAGGCCAGGTTTCATCCCAAGCACGCACATGCAGGTACGCGCACGCTACTGGTGCGTGCTTGTCGACGACGGCAAGCATCTCTCAGTCGGCGGTCGGTGCACGGGTCCGTGGGACGAGCCCCTTGCTTTCCATCGCCAGCAGACACGGCCGTCGTCTTGGCTCCGTCCGTTACCATTTCCTGCGTCCTTTTCTCTTCCGTTCTTCTTTTTTTTTTTTTTTTTTTTTTTTTTAAATCTTCCCTTTCCGACTTCTTCTTCTTCCACCTCCACCCTTCCAGACTGCACCTGGAAGTTCCAGGTGCCCCCTTTCGCGTGGCCTTGGTAGCATCGGTGGCGGCGGCTGCGTGTTTTGCGTGCGCCTCGGTGCTACGGCAGCGGCTACGAATACCTTGTTGGATTTAAGCATGGATGCGCTCCCGAACTGCCCTGCTACGTAGCATCACCGGCGTCTCAGGCACAAGCCGCCACCGCTGCAAATAGCCGCCGACAAGCCCCGGCGTGCGCATGCATGCACGCATTCACGGCCAGGTCACTCTCCTTTCCACCTTCTCTCGTCTCTTGGCCTCGACCACTTTTTTTGCCACGATGCCACCAGGAGACCCCTGATTGTCCTCTTTTATGGGGCCGCAAACACATGCCTTTGCTCCTGGGGAGGAAGGCGGGATTTTTAACCTTGCATTGGTTGGGTGGATCCTAGATTGCTTATTGCGACTTGTTCTTTCAATTGCGCCGCCAATCGAGCATGGGCGCAAAAGAGTGGTTGATTCCCAAATGGTAATCCTTGGTCGCGGGAGGACGCATCTTGGCATCCATCAGTCCTATGACACGGCCGTTCATTCAAGCGGCCGTATTCCGTAGCATGAACGCCCTTGGTCACTCTGTCGGCGCAATGCTCCCTTAGCCTTGCCTCTCGGCATGATAGCCACGATTCGTGTCGACCGTCAATACAGAGTACAAGGCCTCTAGCTCCCGGGACACGCAATCGCCATTCTTTACTCTCCCGGCGGCCGGCTTCCAAGGCCCGGCCCCGCACCGTCGTTACCCCTTCATCCTCATCATCTGCCTACGTACTGCCTAGAAGGGGGGGCATGTGGTGTTCGTGAAACCTCGCCTCCGCAAGTCCGTGGGGCCCGGGGATGATCAATACGGCCTGCCCTTGTTCGCATGACCCCCAACCATCCACATTTTCGCCGGTATTCCATTTCCGCTTCTTCGCGGCCCGGAAAACTGTGCAGCCATCATCGTGAGTAATAGGTGAACCATTACCAACTAACCTGCTCCCGCCACCCACATCAGGCTAGGAATCCGAGGATCCTGGAGGCCCCCACTCCATGTGCCTCATGGGACTTTTACAAACGCATGCTGGCCTTGTTCGACTGCTCGGCCCAACAAACATGACCCCGTCAACGGCATGGCGTGACTCTGGTTTCCCCGATGGTCCCTCAAATCACCCAACGCAGGGATATCGCTCTGCAGCCCGTTGCCAAGGCACGGCGAGCACGATAACAGCATGGAAATATCAGGCATGGTGCACATCCTTTGACTCCATTTCTCATCTGTCCAAGACGCCACCCAATTTTTACGAACCGTGGTTGGGAAACTGTCGCTGAAACAAGTTGCGGCGCCAAGTGGCTGGCACCATCCTCTAAATTCCACCTCGCCAACGCCATCGCGATTGCACCAAAGGCATGGGCACGAGGCCCTGGATGGAGAAAAAAATTTCACTTTGCGAGGGTCTTGCATTTTGCTTTGCCAGCCTCGCTCACTTTTGTTCTGTCAAACTTGTCATTTGCCCGTAGCTAGTGGTTGATACCATCCTCACTCACGGCAAGCCTGGCTCCCGTCTGAAGACGATGGTGGTAGGGCAGACGGCCGTTAGCAGACACCCAGAAGCCGCCGTTCAACGCGGCATCAAGACTTCTCGAGGCAACCTGGCCTCGAGCTGCCGCGTGAAATCTTTGACCCATGCGAGACCAGAGGCCCACTACAAGACACCGTTTGCCCCCTCTCTGTCATCGAGTGCTAAAATGGACGAGTTAGCAAATGCAGTTTGCTTGACGGCAGCGCAACAAGTTCTCACCGTCGTCATATCCCAATCGGTTCCGAGTCCACATCTTCATCTTGTCTCTGCGAAACTCTTCAAAGTCCCACTCGCGCCTCTCTAGGCATTCGGGGAAAAGAAAGGCGTAGACAAACGTCTCCTTCGTTTCACTGACCGCCTGGTCGTCGCCCTTCTTCTCCAAGAGCTGGACTGTCGCCTTGACGCGTTCATACTCGTCGCCCTCGAAGTAGTCCAGCTTTTGCATGTTGGCGTCTGTCAAGCCTGTGGCATAGACACCTCGCACGCTGTGGCCCTCCTGGGGTACGACGGCGGGATAGTCGGCCAGCTGCACGCGATGGCGGCAATATCCGTTCAGAATCGCGGGCGTAAACGTGTGGAGGTCGCGAATTGCTTTTGGCGGCCAATCGTCCCCGTAGCACACGCTGAAGAACACCTCGGGAGCCATCTGCTCCACAGTCAGCATTACCATCAAGGCTGTCGTCAGCTCATTCAGAATTTACCAAGGTTCCTGCCATGGTCAGCACGTGTCCTGTCGTGGTCTTGTTCGGCTTGGTACGAACCATAGAAAAAAGCTGTGTATTCTCCGCTCATCCTGTTTCTTTGACAGCGACGAGTCAAATCGAGAAGATGATGACGCGAGTCGATAGAGTGCTTCGCTGACTGCGAGCTCCAGTGGGAAAAGAGTAGATTCTCGGAATAGTAGCGGACTCGAGCGCGTATACCAATTTCAAAGAAAGGGATGGCGCAACGCTCTGGCGAGAGAATGGAACCGCCAGTTGGCACCCAGATGGCCTTTTAAGACGGAAGAACTGCGCACACGTAACACACAGAGGCGCAGGAACGACACCACCAAGATTTTCTGTTCAAGGAGTAATATGTGTGAGTTCAGACTCTATTCAGCCGGTGCCTGACTGCGTTCGTTAGCGGGGCGAGCGACGCGGAGGTTAACTTCAGGATCGGCCGCGCAGATCCAAAGGGAAAAGCGCGTCCGAGTACAAAAGAATGATGCACTAGAAGCAACCTCAGCAAACCTGAGCCAAGGGCCACGCGAACTGCGTCCGAAATACACCGGCCTAGTAGTGTAGGTGGGCAAAGAGCGGTTGACTTGACAGCTGCAAGCGTCTGCGCCCGAATCGGGATTGATAAGATAGGCGCGCTTCTTGGCGTGCCTCCCACTGTGAGGCCGGCGGCAGCGACTAGCGCCGGAACATAGTTGCTGCGCCCCCTAGCGCCCTTGGAATTGGCGGCCGTGGTCCCCAGCTTCGAGGTTTCCGTACTGTAATTTTCAACGCAACCCTCTTCATCACGCTTCGCGTAACCCATCGCGAGATTCCCTGCCGAGCCAAGCCAGCTGCGCGGCACCGACCCGGCGTCGACTCGAAACTGCACCCGAACGAGCAGATTCAAGGCCCAGCTTCATTACCGCACGTCCGTAGCAGCTCTGGGTGCCGTTCCCGATCCCGCTCCCTCTTCGCGACGCCGCGGCTCGCGACAGCCTTGCCATCTGCCGGGCCCGCCCAACTACTGAGCTGCGCAGCTCCGAAGCTCTCTCGGATGGAAACCACGGCCGCGTCTTGTGGACGCCAATGATGCAGCCATGTCGGGGACCACTATTGACGACGTCGTAAGACGTCTAAGCACTGCAGACCTAGGTAAGAGCTTGTCCTGTCTCGCCCGTCGCCGTTAATCTCCGTATGGAAGCCCGGCTGACGCCTTTCTCACCCCTAGATGCCAGGTTCAAACTTGAAGCCGCGACGACCTTGCGCGATAGCCTGGACCATTACACCAGCGGACCGATTTACCCTCCCTTCCTCAAGCGGTTGATGCCGATATTCATCAACATCTTACGCGGACCATGCATCTTTCAAAGCAACTCGACGGAGCAGGTGAGGCTTTCATGACATCGCGTCGCCCCCTCCCGCTGACAATGGTAAAACACAGAAACTCCGGCACTGCATCTTGGAAGTCCTCCACCGCCTGCCGACTCAACCCGCCCCCGCCGAGCCGTTCGAGCCCTACGCGGAAGAAGCCTGCGACTTGCTCATGCAACTTGTCCGAGCCGACAACGAAGATAATGCGACCCTGTGCGTCAAGATAACCTCCGACATTATGCGCCACCAGCACAAGGTTCTCCAAGGAAAGGTGCAGCAGTTCCTTTCCTTGATTCAAGAGCTCTTCGAGCAGATGGGCAAGGTCGTGAGAGAACAGCTGGACAATGCGCCCTCGGCCACGTCCTCGCAGCCCGGCGCGCCGTCGACGCCGGGAAGCGTGCAGACAAACTTCCAGTCCCCACGCCCCGGGTCGCCCGTGGCTTCGGTCTCGGACTTGGGAGCAGACCCCCAACAACAGAATCGCCCTCTTCTGAGAGGGATGCAGTCGTTCAAGGTCCTTTCCGAGTGCCCGATCATCGTCGTCTCGATATTCCAAATCTACCGCAGCACGGTTTCGCAAAACGTCAAGGCCTTCGTCCCCCTGATCACGGGCGTCTTGCAGCTCCAGGCGAGCGCGCAGGGGCAAGCCCACGTCGATGCTGCCGCCAAGGGCCTGATCCACACCGGCGTGAGCCCCGCTGTCAAGAACAGGGCCGCGTTTGGCGAGTTCATCACGGCCCAGGTCAAGACCATGAGCTTTCTCGCCTACCTGCTGCGGCAGTATTCTGGCCAACTCAGCGACTTCTTGCCGACACTGCCGGATGTGGTCGTCAGACTGCTCAAAGACTGCCCCCGTGAGAAGTCGGGAACCAGAAAGGAGCTGCTCATTGCCATCCGACATATCATCAACTACAATTTCCGCAAAATCTTCCTACCCAAGATTGACGAGCTGCTAGATGAACGGACCCTCACGGGCGATGGGTTGACGGTTTATGAGACCATGCGGCCCCTGGCATACAGCATGCTTGCCGACCTCATCCATCACGTTCGAGACTCTCTGAGCCCGGAACAGATTCGCAAGACTGTCGAGGTCTACACCAAGAACTTGCAGGACAACTTTCCTGGCACAAGCTTCCAGACCATGAGTGCGAAGCTGCTCCTTAACATGGCGGAATGTATTGCCAAGCTCCCCAACAAGGTGGATGCGAGGCATTACCTCATCATGATTCTGAACGCCATTGGCGACAAGTTTGCCGCCATGAACCGCCAGTATCCAAACGCCGTCAAACTCTCCAAGCAGTATCTTCAACAAGCAGAGGCAGGCATCCCAGAATCCTACCTCGCCGACAAGGAGAATCGCCCCGACTGGGACGAGACGGACATATTCTCGGCCGTGCCGATCAAGATTTCCAACCCTCGCGACAGGGGTGCCGATCCCGTGGTGGACAACAAGTTTCTGTTTAGGAACCTTATGAACGGCCTGAAGAACACGTTCTACCAGTTGAGGACGTGCAATACCGGCGCCCCCATCGATCCGCAGAACGCCCCGTCGCACTGGCAGGACGTCTCGTACGGCTTCACCGCCGAGGAGGTCAACGTCATCATCAAGCTGTTTCGAGAGGGTGCATACGTTTTTCGGTATTATGAGATCGAAAAGCCCGCCTCCGAGGCTCAGTACATGTCTCCCGTCGAGTACATGGCAAATTTCTACATGATCTCGAGCAGCAAAGAGGAGAAGGACCTGCTGGAGACGTTCGCCACCGTCTTCCATTGCATCGATCCCGCCACGTTTCACGAAGTCTTTCAGCAGGAAATCCCACGACTCTACGACATGATCTTCGAACACACAGCTCTGTTACATATACCCCAGTTTTTCCTTGCCAGCGAGGCCACCTCGCCAAGCTTTTGCGGCATGCTTCTTCAGTTTCTCATGGAGCGCATCGATCAGGTCGGTTCCGCGGATGTCAAAAAGTCGTCCATTCTGCTGCGGCTCTTTAAGCTGGCGTTCATGGCAGTCACTCTGTTCGCCGGACAGAACGAACAGGTGCTTCTTCCGCACGTCGTCAATATTGTCACCCAGTCAATCGAGCTGTCGACCAAGGCAGAGGAGCCCATGAATTACTTTCTTCTCTTGCGCTCCCTCTTTCGTAGCATTGGCGGCGGCAAGTTTGAGCAGCTCTACAAGCAAATCTTGCCTCTATTGGAGATGCTCCTGGACGTCCTCAACAACCTCCTCATGGCCGCTCGAAAACCTTCCGAGCGCGACCTGTACGTGGAGCTGTGCCTCACTGTGCCCGCTCGGCTAAGCCATTTGCTGCCCCATCTGAGCTTCTTGATGCGCCCTCTGGTCGTCGCCTTGAGAGCAGGGACGGAGCTCGTGGGACAAGGTTTGCGCACCTTGGAGCTGTGCGTTGATAATTTGACCGCAGACTACCTGGACCCCATCATGGCCCCGGTGATAGATGAGCTCATGAATGCGCTGTTCAACCACCTCAAGCCGCATCCCTATAGCCACTTCCACGCTCACACCACGATGAGAATCCTCGGGAAGCTAGGCGGCAGGAATCGAAAGTTCATGTCGGGCGCCGTGCCTCTTACCTACAAGGGATACGCCGACGACTCTTCCAGCTTCGACATGCACCTCATCGGATCCAAGAAAGACCGGGCGTTCCCAGCCGATCTTGGCATCGATTTCGCGATTCAAAAACTGATGGAGGCGCCGAAGATGAGCAAGAATAACCAGAACCGCCAGTACGATGAGCACTACAAGACGCAAGCCCTCCATCTGCTCAAGTCGCAGCTCAAGCTGCGGATCGGCTACGACCAGCTTCCGGACGACATGCCGAGACTTGTGCGTCTTCAGGCCCAGGATTTTTTGTCGCGGAATCTGGATATCAACTTGGTGCCGTTCGAAGTATCCAATCGCGACAAATCAATCCCGAAGAAGGACGAGCAGGACCAGATCACGAAGAAGCTCATCAAGGCAATCATGTTTGCTCAATCGATACCGAGCTTCAAAGATGACGCGGATGCCTTCCTTCTCGACGTGTGCAGACACTTTGCACTCATCGAGCTCGGCCGCTCTCTGGTTGACCTCAAGCGAACCTACAGTCCCTTTGATCCAAAGGCCGGCGATGGTCCCCTGCACATCGACACGAGGATTCTTTCAGATGCGATAGTCGAGTCTCTTGCGTCAGACCATCCCGATGTGCGAGAAGCTGCGAAGCGGGCGATTCGTGAGCTCTACAAGTCGACGGCTGTCATCTTTGGGTCGGAAACCGGGGTCGGCCGCCTCCCCCTCTTCACGTATCTGAGCAGCACCTTCTGCCACAGCTGCTACGAAGAGGAGTGGTTTACCAAGACCGGAGGTAGCCTGGGCATCAACTTCATGCTCACGGAGCTCGACTTGGGGGACGCCTGGGTTGCTTCGAAGCAGACCGAGTTCATCCGCGCCCTCATGTACGTGATCAAGGATATGCCTCAGGATCTACCAGAGAAGACTAGGTGTCTGGCGCAAACGAGCCTGCAGGTCCTTTTGAGACGCATCACCCAGGGCATTAAGAAGGAGGAGGCCCTACCCGCCCCCCAACCGCAAGGCCAGCCTCCGGTCAAGCAGCCCCGCCTTGCCCAGTTGTGCATGCAGTTCAACAACGAACTCTCGCACATGAACAAGTTTGTCCGCGAGACCGCCAAGCTCTCCCTCGAGCTTATCGCCAAGGCCGCCGGGTGCGAGGTCTGGGAGCTTGTTGAGCCCTACAAGGAGAGATTCTTGCAGCCAATCTACTCCAAGCCCCTGCGCGCTCTGCCGTTCAGCATCCAGATCGGATACATCAACGCCATGACGTATCACATGAGCCTCAAGCACGACTGGGTCAGGTTTGACGAGAACCTCAATCGCTTGCTGATGGAGTCTTTGGCGCTGGCCGACGCAAACGACGAGTCGCTGGCCAACAAGCCTGCCGAGTTTCGGACGCACGAGCACATTGTCAACCTGAGGGTTTCGTGCATCAAGTTGCTCAGCACGGCCATGACGTTTGAGGAGTTTGCGAACAATCCTACAAAGGGCAAGATTCTGGCCGTCTTCTTCAAATGTCTCTATTCGGAGTCGAAACCGACCATTGCCGCGGCGAACGACGCTCTGAAGTCTGTCTTGGCGGTTGATAGGCGCCTACCGAAAGACTTGCTCCAGGGGGGTCTTCGTCCTGTGCTCCAGAGCCTCTCGGATCCGAAGCGGCTGAGCACGCACGGCTTGGACAACCTCTCGAGACTTCTCAAGCTGCTCACCAGCTACTTCAAGGTCGAGATTGGTGCGCGACTGCTCGACCAGATCGACTCCATCGTTGAACCCAGCGCCTGGCAACAAATCTCCTTTACCTTTTTCGAGCAGCACCCGCAGATGAAGGTCATCACGGCCACGCTCAACATTTTCCACCTGCTGCCAGCATTGGCTGAATCTTTTAAGGAGCGCCTCATCGACTGCTTCCTGGGGCTTGAAGAGAAGCTGAGGCGGACAATTCAGAGTCCGTTCCGCCATCCGATATATCTGTATCTCAACAGATACCCCAAAGAGATCTGGAACCATCTACTCGGAAAACTGGATGAATTGAAATATGGTCGTCTATTGGCTCAAGTCCTTCGCCACCCTGACAGCACACCCATCCGAGAGGTTGCCGCCGAGAACGTGGAGGGATTGATTCGCAGGTGCAACGAGGTAACCAATGAGAAGAAATTCATTGCCGTCGTCAACACTATCCACATTCTCGACTCGATAAGTCATTGGTCGAGCACAAACGGCTGGATGGACAAAAAGGAACACATCGCATGGCTGAAGACTGTTGGCAATGACCTTGAGGGTCACATTCGAAACTACACTCTTCCGGCCAACCTTCGTCTGCCCGCGTACCAAGCCGCGGAACAACTTATGAATGTCCTCGTCAAGTCGCTTGAGAAGAACCCCAAGGATCTGGATTCGTTGTTCAACTTGATCGAGTCTGTGACAAGCGACGAGCTCCGCCCGACACAGTCGTTGTACTCGTTCATTTACCAGAAGATCATCTGCAGCGAGTCCATCGAGTTCTGGAAAACCTCGTTTTTGCGGTGCCTGGAGACGTATGCGGGTAAATCGGCATCCAACAAAACCAAGCACTTCTTGCTGCACAACATTGTCAACCCCATCGTGGCCATGGACGTCATGCGGCATTGGAATCAAGTCGAGTCGAACAAGACGCAACGGCTCATGGACCGCTCCGTGATTGATGCTGTCAGCACCAAGATATGGAAGGTTCACCCAGAGATGACCGCCGATGATCAAGCACAGCCCGGAATCGATCACACACGGTTCGAGGTTCTTCAACTCTCTGCAATGTTGGTCAAGTATTACCACACGACGCTCCAGGAAGCACGCAAAGATATTATCAAGTTTGGATGGACATTTATCCGGCTCGACGATGTTATCAACAAGCATGCGGCGTACGTGGTCATTGGATACTTCATCGCCCACTACGAGACTCCCCCGAAGATCGTCAGCCAAGTCTACCTGTCGTTGCTCAAGACGAACCAGAACGAGGGGCGAGCCTTGGTGACGCAGGCTCTAGAGCTCATCGCCCCTGTGCTCCCCAAACGATGTGGTGGGAGCGGCCCGAACGAGCGCAATGCGCCCTGGGCCGTCGCACCGCGTCGGATCCTGGCAGATGAAGGCCAGAACGTGCAGCAAATGACGAGTATTTTCCACTTCTTGGTCCGGCACCCTGAATTGTTCTTTGATGCGCGCGACAAGTACGCCATTCTGCTCATTACCTCGTTGAGAAAAGTGGCTGCCCCGCCGAACCCGTCTCACGAGAGCAAGAAACTGGCGCTGAACATGATGTGGCTCATCTGGACTTGGGAGCAGTGGCGGGTTGAGGGTAGGAATCCGGCCGGCCCTGGGGGCCAGGATCTTTTGCTGTCGCCAAATACGAGGAAGCGCAAGCTGGATGCCAGTCAAGCCATGCCTTCGCCGTCTGCGCTGAGGCAGTCTGCGCCCAACGAGTACCAGATTCCCCAAATCTTCCGACAAAAGATGATCAAGTACCTCGTCGAGTTCATCGCACAGCTCAATGAACGGTATCAGCTGCCGTCGGCGAAGCCTCGCGAACACAACCCGACATCCGTTCCCTTGCCGCCATCGAGTACGGAGCTCTGCAAAAAGGCCATGAGCTTGCTGTATAGCCTGGTGCAGCCACGATACTGGGGCGATCTTGAGCTCGACCTGTTTTCCAACGTCACCGACGTCATCCTCGCGAGCGACAAGACTCAAAACATCCTCAACGCTGATCCCACAGACAAGGAGAAGTACGATGAGAGGTTCATCACCAACATCATCAACACGCTGCAGGTCGTGCGCATCGTGCTGAACTTCAAGTCGGACGAATGGGTGCAGAAGCACTTTGCTGCGGTGCAGAAGGTTCTGGAAAAGTGTTTGAAGTGCGAGAACCCAGAGGTTCAGGACTGTTTGCATCTCTCCGACGACAAGTACGATGATGGGCGCGAATTGAAATCCATCATCAAGCGCATTCTCGAAGCTGTGCCCGAGGATACGCCAATGGAAGATGCAGATGCAGAAGCAGAGGCCGAGGCCCCGACGTCGGAGATTGTCGCCTATCTCTCGCAGGCTGCGACGGAAGCAATGAACAACTCGTCCTACATCTCAGGCGTCAACCTCCTCTGGTCCCTCGGGGAACGCAAACCAGCTGTCATTGACCAACATGTCACGTCCTTGATGAAAGCCTTGCAGAGTAAGCATGCGCGGGAGCACGTGCAGCACTACAACGCCGTTGCCAGCCAGGCTGCCGGCGCAAGCACCCGTGGCCAAGACGGCAGTCCGGCATCTGGGGAAATGGCCGCGTACGACCTCGAGATCCAGACGAAACTCATCATCAAGGAGATCCAGACCGTTGCGCTGCGCATGGAGCACTTGGGAGATAACCGGCGGCCGTTCCTCAGCGTGCTGGCGACTCTGGTGGAGAAGTCGATGCACATTGAGCTGTGCACGGAGATTCTCAGCATGGTCGAGGGCTGGGTGTTTCGATCCGAGGGGACATGGCCCACGCTCAAGGAGAAGACCGCAGTGCTCCACAAGATGCTCTCGTTTGAGCATAGGCAAGACTCGATGATGCTGTCCAAGTTCCTGGAGCTCGTGATCCGTATTTACGAGGACCCCAAGATCACTCGTACCGAGTTGACAGTGCGGATGGAGCACGCCTTTCTCATCGGCACCAGGGCCGCCGACGTCGAGATGCGCAACCGTTTCATGGCCATATTCGACAAGAGCCTGTCCAAGACGGCCAGCCTGCGTCTTTCCTACGTCCTGAGCTCTCAGAACTGGGACACGCTGGCCGACTCCTACTGGCTTGCTCAGGCCTCGCAACTCTTGTTGGGCGCCGTGGAGCTGAACACAAACGTCCAGCTTCATCCAGAGGACTTCAAAGTCTGGCCGGCATCTCAACTGGCCATGATGTATCCAAAGGACAGAGACTCGAGAGAGCCGAAGCTGATGTCCGACGACAAGCTCGAGGCTCTGCTCGTCAGCCATCGTCGTTTTATTGCCGAGCTTGGCGAGGTCAAAGTCCGAGACGTTATCGAGCCGCTGGTGCAGCTGCAGCATGTTGACACGCAGCTAGCCCATGAGCTTTGGGTGACGATTTTCCCCATGTTCTGGTCTGCAACTGCTCGCGATGAGCGGGCCGACCTTGAACGCGGTATGGTGTCGTTGTTGACGAAAGACTACCACAGCCGTCAAATCGACAAGCGGCCCAATGTCATCCAGTCACTTGTCGAAGGAGCTGCCAGGACGTGGCCGGATTGCAAGCTGCCGCCTCACGTGCTGAAGTTTGAGGCCAAGACGTACGATGCCTGGTATGCGGCGTTGGTGCAGCTCGAGAATGCGGCCATCAAGCCCCAGATCGAATCGGCAACCGTTCGTGAGAGCAATCTGGACGCACTCGTTGAGCTGTACGCGCTGCTTCAAGAAGACGACTTCTACTACGGGACGTGGCGTCGGCGGTGCCAGTTTGTCGAGACCAACGCGGGCCTCTCGTACGAGCAAAACGGCATGTGGGACAAGGCCCAGAAGCTGTACGAGACTGCTCAGATCAAAGCGAGGACTGGCGTCATACCCTTTTCTCAGGCCGAGTACATGCTCTGGGAAGATCACTGGGTCCTGTGTGCGCAGAAGCTCCAGCAGTGGGAGATTCTACAAGATTTCGCCAAGCACGAGAACTTCCAGGACTTGCTTCTCGAATGCGCCTGGCGCAACACGGACATGTGGCAGGATGCTCAGCACCGAGAGGCACTTGATAATGTCATTAAGGGTGTCATGGATGCGCCGACTCCTCGCAGGGCGTTCTTCCAAGCCTTCATGTCTCTACTCAAGTTCCACAACCAGCAGGAGAACGCTCTCGACTTTGGTCGCGTCTGCGACGAGGCCATTCAGCTTTCCATCAGAAAGTGGCATCAGCTTCCGGAGCGACTGACCAATGCGCATATTCCATTGCTGCAAAACTTCCAGCAGCTCGTCGAGATGCATGATGCTAGTGTCATCTGCCAGAGCCTAGCAAGCACAAACTCGTCCAACCTCGATGTCAAGTCTGGCGAGCTGAAGCTGCTCCTTGGCGCGTGGCGCGACAGGCTGCCCAATGTTTGGGACGACATCACCGCTTGGCAGGACCTGGTCACCTGGAGGCAGCACATCTTCAGCCTCATCAACCAGACTTACCTGCAGTTGCTTCCCCAGCAGGGCCAGCAGAATGCCGGAGGGGCCAACTCCTTTGCCTACCGCGGCTACCACGAGACTGCTTGGATCATCAACCGATTCGCTCACGTGGCCCGCAAGCACAGCCTCCCAGAAGTCTGCATCAGCCAGCTGAGCCGCATCTACACCCTCCCCAACATCGAGATCCAGGAGGCTTTCCTGAAGCTGCGGGAACAGGCCAAGTGTCACTACGAGAATCCGGACGAATTGTCGAGCGGCTTGGATGTTATCAACAACACGAACCTCAACTACTTCAATCCGCAGCAAAAGGCCGAATTCTACACGCTCAAGGGCATGTTTCTCGAGAAACTCAGCCACAAGGAAGAGGCCGATAGTGCCTATGGCACTGCACTGTACTTCGACATCGGGGCGGCCAAGGCTTGGGCAGAATGGGGGTACTTCAACGACAGAAAATTCAAGGAGGATCCCTCAGACTTGAACGCCGCTCGGCAGGCACTCACCTCCTACTTGCAAGCAGCCGGCAGCTACAAGAATGCCAAGTCTCGGAAGCTGCTGGCCCGAATCCTCTGGCTGCTCAGCTTGGATGACTCCAAGGGCACCATCGCCATGGGCTTTGACGACTTCAAGGGCGAGACACCTGTGTGGTACTGGATTACCTTTATTCCCCAGCTGCTCACGGGTCTGGGCCACAAAGAGGCACCGCGCGTCTACCAGATCTTGCTGAGCATCGCCAAGTCATACCCGCAGGCGCTCTACTTCCAGCTTCGAACCAATCGCGAGGACATGCACATCATCCGAAAGAGCCAGGAGGCAAAGGAGCGAGCCCGACAGCAGCGAGCACCGTCGACGGCGGCCAACACTAAGGCTGGGGCGTCGCCGCTACAAACCAAACAGGACGCCCCAAAAATCGAAGCTGGCGCTTCTCGACCCGGCACTGCCAGCGGAGGCGATGGCGCTCAAGTCAAGATGGACGGGATCGAGCCGAACGCAGCGCAGGCGCCGGCGGCTGCGTCGATGTCGACGGCAAACGTAGCCGGCCAAGGCCAAGGACAGGACCAGCAGGCTGGGCAAAGCCAGAAGAAGCCGCCGTGGGAGCTGACGGAGGAGATCATGTCGGTGCTCAAGACGGCGTTCCCCCTGCTGGCTCTCTCGATGGAGACCATGGTGGACCAGATTCAAAAGCACTTCAAGTGCCCTCCGGACGAGGATGCGTACCGTCTGATCGTCGCCCTCCTCAACGATGCCTTGACCTATGTCAGCCGCACCCCGGCCTCGTTTGCCAAGAGTGTCAAGCTTCCCCCGGCAACGGAAACGAACATCACTAGGTTTGCTGAGACGATCCTGCCGAACCACATCAAGAAGTCCTTTGAGGCGGACTTCGTGGAGGTGAAGCCGACAATGTACGAGTACATCCACAAGCTGCGCCGCTGGCGAACCAAGTTTGAGGAGAAGTTGGACCGACGGTTCTGCCATGCACCGCTGGAGACGTTTTCGCCCCATTTGAGCGAATTCCGGTACCAGAAGTTTGACGAGGTGGAGATTCCGGGACAGTACCTCCAGCACAAGGACAAGAACCAGGACTTTATCCGGATCGAACGGTTCCTGCCCAACGTCGACCTGGTGCGGTCCTACAGCGCCTCGTACCGGCGACTCAAGATGCGCGGTCACGACGGCAGCGTGCACGCGTGGGCGGTGCAGCATCCGGCGGCGCGGCACTGCAGGCGGGAGGAGAGGATTCTGCAACTGTTCCGGCAGCTTAACCAGACTCTGGGCCGCAAGAAGGAGAGCCGCCGTCGCGATCTCCAGTTCACGCTGCCGCTCATGGTTCCTCTTGCGCCCCACATCAGGATCGTGCAAGAGGACACGTCGTACGTGACGTTGCAGGCCGTGTACGAGGACCACTGCAGACGCGTGGGTCTAGTCAAGGACGAGCCGGTGCTCTTCACGCTTGAGAAGCTTCGGGGCGTGCTGGATCCGAAGAACCAGGTACGTTGCGGGGCGGCGGGAGAGGGCGAGGAGCCGGTGACTGACGCGCCGAAGCAGGGCAAGGTGGAGCTGACGCCGACGGCGCGGCTGGAGGTGTTTAAGGCGGTGCAGGAGAAATGGGTGCCGTCGACGATTGCGCTGGAGCACTTCCAGCAGGTGTTCCCGCAGTTTGCGGAATTCTGGCTGTTCCGACGGCAGTTTTCGTATCAGCTGTCGGCGCTGACGTTTATGACGTACATTCTCTACATGCACAACCGATACCCGTCCAAGATGAACATTGCGCGGGGGTCGGGCAACATCTGGGGCTCTGAGCTCATGTCGTTTATGAACCCGTCGAAGCCCTTCTTCACCAACCTCGAGGCAGTGCCATTCCGACTGACGCCGAACCTGCAAGTGCTGATGGGGCCGCTGGCGACGGAGGGCATCTTTGCGTGCTCGCTGATGGCGATTGCGCGGTGCCTGACGGAGCCCGAGGACGAGCTGGAGCACGCGCTGACGCTGTTTGTGCGGGACGAGATGATATTCTGGCTGACGAGCAGCCACCGGAACGGCATCAGCGAGAGCCAGCTGCGGGACTCTGTGCAGCTCAACAGCGACTCGATTGTGAAGCGGGCGGCGAGCCTGGCGCACAATCCGGCGGGGAACCTGCCGGCCAACCAGACGGTGATTGATGCGGTGGCCAAGGCGGTGAATCCGATGAACCTGGCCCAGTGCGATGCGCTGTGGATGCCATATCTGTGATGACGCTGCGGATTTTGTTGAAGGGGGGGGAACACAGCGGAAACAGGCCCGCGTCTGAAAGGAGGTGAGGAGAGCTCACGTCAAACAGGGAAGAAGGGAAAAGGGGGCGAAGGTATCGGAGGGCGGCTGGCGTCGGGAAAGCGTTTTGAGCAAGGCGTTTTGGGGATTTAGAAGGAGGCTGACTCGGACGAGCCCAAGGATGGATTTTGTTTCTTTTCTTGTCATGATGCCATACACTGCAGGCTGGTTGGAGGCGTCGGCCAGCATATGGAGCATTGAATGGAAGAGTATGTGTGATGAGGATGTGTAGTAAGTTGTCAAGTTGAACGACTCGAGAATTGTACTCTGTATGTACGTACAGCCGGGCAGCGATATCGGGCCGAGGCATCCAACAACGCTCCGGCCCTTTTCCGACTTCCGAGATTCCGCAACTACATGCCCTTTCGAACCTTGGGGTTGAGACGATGCTTCCGGGTCTCGTGCTCCCTCTGTGTACATGCATGCATGCATGTATGCATCTGCACGTCAATGAGAGAGACATCTGCCAATGACGATTGAACGAAGCCTGAGCCACCAGCCGACGTCCCGTGTGACCCTGAGAGCGCAACTCAACAGTGAATGCTCCTCGTCGATGCCGGGCGCTTGCAGACAGACAGACATACCGACCTGACCCTGTCGGAAAAGACAAAAGAGACGCATCAGCTGCTGCTTGGCAAGAAAGCGTCATGGAGTTTGAGGCGGCGCCGCGGAAGCTCTGGGAGCATCCGCATCCCGAGCAAACGGCCATGTGGCGCTTCATGCAGGAGTCGAATCGGCGCTACGGACTCCATCTCAAGGTAATGATGAGTTCCATCGATTGATGACGCGAGAAGAGTCGCGGCGAGCCGGTTGCTGACCGACGTGCCGGATACAGAACTTCCACGACCTCCACAAGTGGTCGTGTGAGCGCCGCAGCCAGTTCTACGCCCAGCTCTGGGACACGCAGCGATGGATCCACGAGGGCTCCTTCTCGTGTGTCGTCGACGAGTCGGTGCCCATCTCCAAGCTCCCGCGCTGGTTCGCGGGCGTGCGGCTCAACTGGGCCGAGAATCTGCTGTGGACGCGCGGGCCCGACGGCGCCGGCGCGCGCTCGACGCTGCACAAGGAGGACGGCAAGACGGCCGTGACCGAGGTGCGCGAGGGCGGCCGCGACGTCGTCGACGTGACGTGGGCCGAGCTGCGCGCCCGCGTCGCCCGTCTGGCCGCCGCCATGCAGGCCCGCGGCGTGGGCGAGGGGGATCGCGTCGTCATGGTGGGAGCGCACGCTTGCCAGACCCTCGTCGTCTTTCTCGCCACGGCCTGGCTGGGTGCCGTCTTTAGCAGCTCCTCGACCGACATGGGCGTTGCCGGCTTGCTGCAGAGGACGGTCCAGATCGATCCCAAGGTGCGGCCCCTCCCTTGTCATATTAGACGTCTGGACTCGACATTTGCTGACTCGAGCAGTTCATATTCTTTGACGATGCCGCCTTGTACAACGGCAAGGTTGTCTATCTGCACGACAAGATCAAGGGCGTCATCGACGGCATGCAGGGCTGCTCTCTGTTCCAAAAGGTCGTCGTCGTTGAGCGCTTCGCACACGAGCCCCGCGACACGTCGGGCATCGCCCAGACAGAGAGGCTTGAGCAGTTTCTACAGGCCGCGCCGGTCGGCTCGTCTCCGCCGCCCATCCGGCGCATCGGCTTCCAGGACCCCCTCATCATCTACTACTCGTCGGGCACGACGGGCACGCCCAAGGCCATCGTCCACGGCGTCGGCCCGCTGCTTATGAACGTGGTCAAGGAAGGGGCACTACACTTCGACCTCACGCCCGACGACGTCGGCCTGCAGTACACAACGACAGGCTGGATCATGTACCTGGCCAGCGTGGCGCACCTTGTCATGGGCGGCCGCGCCGTCCTCTACGATGGCTCGCCCTTTGCCCCCGACCCGGCCGTGCTGCTCCGCGTCGCCCAGCAGCAGCGCGTCTCCATCCTCGGCGTCAGCCCGCGCTGGATGACGGAGCTGATGAGGCGCAACATCGCGCCGCGCGACGTGGTCGACTTGTCGAGGCTCAAGGTAGTTACGAGCACGGGCATGGTGCTGCCGGAGCAGATGTTTGCCTGGTTCTACGACCGCGCCTTTCCCGGGCACGTTCAGCTGGCCAACATGTCAGGCGGCACCGACATCGTATGTATTGGCATGACCCCTGGCCTCAAACTCGGACTGATGCGATGAATACCTCGACAACAGGCAGGCAGCTTCGTCTTGGCAAACCCGCTGTTGCCCGTCCACGTCGGCGGCTGCGTGGGCGGCGGTCTCGGCGTGCCCATGGCCATCTTCGACCACGACCTCGACGACGGCAGCGACGGCGTTCCGCTCGCGCCCGGCACGCCGGGAGACCTGGTCTCGACGGGCGCCTTCCCCAACGTGCCGCTCTTCCTGTGGGGCGACGCGGAGCCGGCGCCGGGGCCCAAGTATCACGGCTCCTATTTTGCGCGCTTCAACGAGGCCTGGGCGCAGGGCGACTTCTGCGCCGTGCACCCGCTGACGGGCGCGGTGCTCATGCTCGGCCGGTCCGACGGCGTGCTCAACCCGAGCGGCATCCGCTTCGGCAGCGCCGACATCTACGCCGTCGTGGAGCGCTGCTTTGCCGCCGACGTGGCCGAGAGCCTGTGCGTGGGCCAGCGCAGGGCGCACGACGTCGACGAGAGGGTGCTGCTCTTCCTCGTCATGAAGCCCGGCAAGGGCGAGGTGCTCGACCGGGACACGGTGAGCAGGGTCAAGGCCACGATTGCGCGCGAGCTCACAAAGAGACACGTGCCCAAGTATGTCTTTGCTGTGCCCGAGATTCCGGTAAGTTTGGACCCTCGTCTCTCCTCGTCTTGCTTGACGCCTTGCGCCCGACTGACGCGACGCCACTTCCTGTCTCAGGTCACCGTCAACGGCAAAAAGGTCGAGCTCCCCGTCAAGGCCATCGTCTCGGGAAAGACGGTCAAGCCGAGCGGGACGCTGCTCAACCCGGGGAGCCTCGACTTCTTCTACCGCTTCCAAAAGGTCGAGGAGCTGAGCGAGCCGCTGGCGAAGCTGTGATTTCCGACTTGGATGAGTCGTGGGCATGTGTCACAGGAAGGGAAAAGGGGGTCTGCGGAGGAAGAGAGGTGCTCATGTCCAAAGCAGGCTTCAATTCTTGTACACTCGGCGGCTCTCAGTCTGTTGTGTTCTTTGATCGTCCGCATGTGATTTGAATGAACCCTCCTTGTGCCCGTCAACGAAGCCATCAACTCCTCGCACTCCCAAGTCTTCCCCGAGTCATCATGCCCTCACTCCACGATCGCATCCCGCCCCGCATCCGGAACCCTGCCGCCGAGCACGCCATGCCGCCACGCGAGGTAGCCGACCATGCCGCCGACGCTGCCCAGGCCAAGGGCGCCCACGACGCCGACCAAGCCGAGGGCGCGCCCACGCGCACTGGCCAGCGACGCGGCGGCCGCGGCGGCCATGGCGGCGTAGGTCCAGTCGTCCGTCTCGACCTGGCCGCGGTTGGCCAGCAGGCGCCAGCTGCGGTCCTGCCACTCGACGGGCTCGCGGCCGCGCATGCGCAGCGCCAGCGCCGCCGCCGCCAGCCCGACGCCCACCAGGCTCCCCGTCGCCGCCGGCCGCAGCAGCCGCGGCAGCATCCCGTTGCTGCTACCGCCCGGCGCTGTTGATCCCCCCGGCGGCGCCGCAGTAGGGGACGTGGGTTTCCCCCCGCGCAGGGAGCGGATCACGCGGAGCGCCTCGCTGGCGCCCACGCCGAGGATGGTGCCCGTCGTGACGGCGCGCGTGGCGACGTGCGTGGTGAGGATGGTGCGGGCCAGGGGCTGGTCCTCGGCGTAGGGGGCGTGGGGGAAGAAGCGGGACATGGCTTGTTTTCTTCCCTCTCTCGTCTTCTTCTTCTTGTTCTTCTCCTTCTCTTCTGTGTGCTCTCTCACTCTTGACCGTTGGGAGCAGGCGCGCGTGTGTAGATTGCGAGTGGCGATGATGCTGGCGATGAATGAGGGTTTCTCCTCCCGTTTTGGGACTGTACATCAGACGCGTCGGCCCCCAAGCTAAACTCTCACCCGCCCAATGATGGAGAAGCAATCCGGGACGGCACCACGAGCCGTCCTTCGTCATCCATTCTCGGGCCGGCAAGTAGTTGAGAGGGGAAGACAAGGGGGTGCAGGTGAATAGGAGAGCTACTGACATCCTCTCCGCCGAGAGGCCTGACGTCGGCTTCGTGGACAAAGCTTCAACTACTGTACGAACCATAGTATAAAGGCGACGGGGGGGGACCAGAGACGCACTGACACCAAGTGCTTGTGTCTCCGTCGCCGCATCATCATATTGACTGTACCCCTACCGGGAGCCCACCATGCTCTCTCCCGGATTTCATCAAATCCCGCAATGCCACCCGACCCATCAATGCCAAACGCCCGCCCCCCCAGGGAAGTTTCCTTGAGTAAAATGCTTGCGCCGTTGCTCGTCTCCTCAAACGTGCCATCCGCTCATCTCGTCACAGGCCGACTACTCGTCGTCAGTCATCTCCATCATGCTCTCGCCCTTGTCTTCCTCGTCCAGCAGGGCCCGTCCTCGGCCCAGCCTCCCCTTGCCCTTGTCTGCCGTGCCATGGCGGCCGTTGAGTTTCTGCGCTGCCTCCAGCTTCCTGTGCTCCAGCTGCTGCTCGAACTCGGCCAGGTCTTCGGCTTCCTCCTCGGCCGCCCCATCCATCAGCGCCGTCTCCTCCAGCGCCTTGTTGAGTAGCTCCGTGGCAATGCTGTCCTGTGGATTGATGGCCAGCGCTTGATGCAGGACCGCCACCGCCTCTTCAGGCCGGTTCTGTTCCATCAAAATGAGCCCCTTGGCGCCGAAAATGGCCGCGTCCTTGCCACCCAGGCGCAACACCTCGTCAAACTCGGCCAATGCTCTGTTAAAGTGGCGGAGCCGACGAAACGCGTGTCCCAAGTTCGTCCGCGCCGACAGCCAGGCCGACGGCTCGCTATCAATCTCGTCGGCAATCTTGAGCGCTGCGCTAAAGTACTGCACCGCCTCTTTGGGCTTGTCCTGGTGATACTTGACGATGCCCATCTCGTTGAGCAACAGCGGGTCCGTCTTGCATAATCTGTACGCCGTCTTGAGAAACTCTTCGGCGAGCGTCATGTTGTTGAGCGCGTGGTTCTGCATGCCCAGGAAGACCTGCGGTAGATGAGTGCCCATGAAGAGGCGCGCCGCCGTCGAGTAGGCCGAGATGGCTTGATCGTGCTCTCCCTCGGCCGCAAACGTGTGGGCGAAGCCAATCCAGGCGGGGCCAAAGTGTGCGTCCATCATGCTGGCTTTGCTAAAGTAGCGCCGGGCCTCGGCAATCTTGTCAATGGCAAAGTAGTAGGTGCCGACGGCCAGCCATGTGCACGGCTCCTCGGGATGCGTGTCTGCGAGGTCGTGCGCCACCAGAAACAGCAGGTTCTTCATCTTGAGCTCGTACAGGCAGGCGAGGTGCACGGGGTATATGGCAAAGTTGTACTTGTCCTCCTGGAGGATAGCGCTCGTCATGGCCAGGGCGTCGCGGTATCGGCACTGTGTGTAGAGCAGGTCGGCGCGCGCGAGCTGGAGGTCGGGGTTGGCGGCCAGGTGATAGTGAGTCGACAGCGAGTCGTAAGCCGTCTCAAAGGCGGCCGGGTTCCGGTACTTGGACAGCCGCGTCGTGTAGAGCATCCTTGTGAAGTCGGCGGCCTCCTGCGAGGACGAGACGTCGCCCGAGACGGTGACCGAGTCAAAGTCGAGGCTCTCGAGAAACTGCCACTCTTCGTCGGGCGAAAGCAGCGAGTTCTTCATTAGCTGCTGAAAGGCCTCGAAGCACTGCACGTCGATGCGCACGGCGTCCTTGTAGCATTCCTTGGCGCGGTCAAAGGCATTCTGCTTGGCGTGGCAGATGCCGCGGAGAAAGCACATGGCGGCCTCGAACCGGCGGTTGGCCGCCTCGTCGACGTCACCGCCGCCGTCGGGGTACCTGGGGCGCCCATGTCGAGGCTGGGCCTTGCGCTTGTTGCTGGGGCCGTTGGATATCAGGTGCGTCGGGTTCCGCTCGCCGAGGACGCTGAGCGCCTCTTCGAAGCGGTTTTGCTTGATAAGGCAGTGGCCCGCGAGGTATCGACATGAGGGATTACGAGAGACGAGATCTTGTTTGGCCAAGAAAGCTTGAGCGCGAGTGTAGTTGCCCGTAGCGAAATGGACCTGAGCTAGCCAGAAGGCATCCTGATCGTCGTCTACAGGGTTGCTGGCGCGTCAGCACATGGCGACAGGGCTCGGGGTGGAGTTGCTGACTTGTGAGTGCAAGCAGCTTGTCGCCGATAAATATGGCAGACTCGTACTGCGCCTTGTTGAGGGCGTCTTGTCTCCAGTCCCTCAGAAACTTCTCCATCGTTCAGCCCGCGTCTGCCGACATGGGTCGAGCTCTTGGGCCCCGCGCTCGACGATAAGAGGAGAGGAGAGAAATCGAGCGAGAAACCGAGCGAGGAATCGAGTTGATAGAGTCCAAAAGGTGGTCGATGTTATGGCTCAAGGGACTGTCGGCGCCATGGTGCAAGGTGTTGAGGGAGTCGAGAGGGGGTGCTCGTGGTGATGATCGGTCCAGGCAGGTGATGGGGCTAGCACTGTCGCGTTAGGCGCTATCAGCAAGCGCGTGCGAGCGATTATCAGTAAAGTACTTTGTACTTTGTACCGCCGACAGTACCATTATCCCTAAGCTCAGGTCATGTGACTTCGCGTATTCAACGGACATTTCCCAAGCAAGCCAACTTTATTAGTCAGGCACGTGTCCGTCCCCTGCTGGCTTCGCTGCAGATTGCCGCCGTCGACCAATGAAAGGCGCAGTAAAGACGACAATCATATGCCCGCATATTCGATATTGATTACGGCTGACGGCTGACGGCGAGTCCCCTCTTCGTCCTCCTCGAGGCTCAATTCGCTTCTCGTCCATCTTCTTCCGCGGCCATTGATTCAGCAAGACACGCCTCACCGCCTCGCAGTTTCTCTCTCCCCGTCGTCCCAGTCGGTGCGTTCTCTTAAACAGCCGCCGACATCGGCAATTGCAAGATGGGCTCTTCAGACAAACAGCGAGTCAGGGCGGCGGCCCTCGCCCGCGACACAAATGAGACCAAGATCCAGCTCGCCCTCAACCTCGACGGCGGGGAGCTGCCGCCCGACACCGACTCGCGGCTCCTCGACGCCACCACCGCCCACGCCTCCCAGTCAACCAGCTCGCAGACCATTGCCGTCAACACCGGCATTGGCTTCCTCGACCACATGCTGCACGCCTTGGCCAAGCACGCCGGCTGGAGTCTGGCCCTGCAATGCCAGGGCGACTTGCACAGTCTGTTGCTCCCCACGACGCTCTCCCGCCTCCCCTCTGGCTTCCCTCGCTGATGGCCGCAGTCGACGACCACCACACCGCCGAGGACTGCTGCATCGCCCTCGGCAGCGTCTTTGGCAAGGCCCTCGGCACCCCCACGGGCCTCGCCCGCTTCGGCTCCGCCTACGCTCCCCTAGACGAGGCCCTCTCGCGCGCCGTCGTCGACTTGTCCAACCGCCCCTATAGCGTTGTTGACCTCGGTCTCAAGCGCGAGTGGCTTGGCACCCTCAGCACCGAAATGGTGCCTCACTGCCTGCAGAGCTTCGCCCAGGCCGCGCGCATCACCATGCACGTTGACTGCCTCCGCGGCGACAACGACCACCACAGGGCCGAGAGTGCCTTCAAGGCGCTGGCCATCGCCATCCGCACGGCCACCTCGAGAGTCCAGGGCAAGGAGGGTGAAGTCCCCAGCACCAAGGGCACCCTGACTACTTAGCAGGCATCTGGTTGTCAAATCGAGCCCGCCGTCACCTACTAGTCGCCTTTGCTAAACATCGAAGGCTGGATACTTTTGAAAGGGGGGCGACAGCAATTGAACTCCCGTCTCAATTGCTCCCGGCATATCCTTTCCCATCTTGAAAATTGAAGCAAGTAAACCAAACGCTAGGTTTTGTGCGCCTACGTCGCCATGCATATGTAAACATCCTTGGGCATCATGTCCCCACTTGACCTCTACGCATCCAACTCTCAAGTACGGTAGTCCCCGTTGATGGTGACGTAGTCGTGGCTAATGTCGCAAGTCCAGTGGACGGCGCTCTTGTCGCCCGTGCCCAGCTTGACGAGAATTTCGAGGTCCGTAGCCTGGACGATCTGGCCAGCCCGCGCCTCGTTGACCTCCTCGGGCTCTCCGTTGACCAACAGCTTCAACTCCTGGGAGCCGTCTGTCGGAATGAAGGAAACGCTGGTTCGTTCCGGAACGATTTCCGGGACGTCGTTGACGAGGTGGCCAGGTGGGGAGATGAGCGCGTAGCCGGCGGCGCACAGAATGCGGCCCCAGTTGGCGTCGTTGCCGTAAAGGGCCGTCTTGACGAGGGGCGACCGGGCGATGGACCGGGCGATGGTGCGCGCCGAATCCAATGACGCGCAATCGACGACGCGGATGGTGACAAACTTGGTGGCGCCCTCCCCGTCGCGGACAATGTATTTGGCCAGGTCGGCGGCGAAGTCGGTCAGCATGCCGCTAAAGGCGCGCCCATCTTCCGACTGCTCGGACGTGACCTCGGTGCCGCCCGCAGCGCCGTTGGCCAAGAGGGCGACGGTGTCGTTGGTTGAGGTGTCGCCGTCGATGGTGATTGAGTTGAATGAGCAGTCTACGGCCTGCTGCAGGACCGAGCGCATGATGCCGGGGGCGATGGGGGCGTCGGTGGCGAGGATGGTTAGCAGAGTGGCCATGTTAGGGGCCAACATGCCGGCGCCCTTGGTCATGCCGGCGATGCGGTACTCGACGCCGGGCGACGAGGGCAGCTTGAAGGAGCGGGACATGAGCTTGGGAAAGGTGTCGGTGGTGCAGATGGCGGTTGCGCAGTCGAGCCAGTGCTGGTGCGAGTCGCCGGCCTTGAGGTAGGCGACGGGGATATGGTCGACAATCTTTGCAATGGGCAGGCTGAACGGCACGAGGGTGTCAGCGACCACGGATGGAAGATGAGGGGGGTTGAGGCTCACCGCTGCCCAATGACACCCGTGCTCATGACGATTGTCGAGTCCGGGGCGCCGACGTGCCGGTCCGTGGTCGAGGCCATGGCAGCGGCATCCTCGAGGCCGCCGGTGCCGGTGACTGCATTTGCGCAGCCCGAGTTGACAATGACGCTGCGCAGGCCGGTGTTTGCGCGGGCGTCGAGGAGCCTGCGGCTGAAGGTGACGGGGGCAGCCTGGAACTTGTTCTTTGTGAAGACGGCGGCGGCGGCGGCGGGGCGGTCCGAGGAGAGGAGGGCGAGGTCGAGCTTGTCGGTGTTGCCGTGCTTGATGCCGACGAAGACGCCCGCGGCGGTGTAGCCCTTGGGGTACGTGCCGGACGTCGGCACGTACTTTGCCTTGGACGCGGGCCAGGTGCCGTTGAGGCTCGACGCGTACGCGCGGCGGACAGACTTCATAGTGAGGCGGATGGGGAGGTGAAGAGCGGGTGGGAGGTGCTGGACAAGGTCCTGGGAGAGGAGAGGAGGCTGTACAGGGTAACGTAGGAGGTACAAGAAGCAGAGCGGAGCTGGTTGCTTGCTGCTCGCCGATTTCCGGCGTCGGCTTGCCAAGCAATTTACGCTACCTCGGAGTAATTACTGCAACGACCAGTTTCTGCGGTACTTGGTACCCGTGCTGCCCGCCATGTGGCCGGTGAACATTTCATGCGAACACCCTGAATCTGCGAGCGGCATGGGACAGTATTGCTGGCTGGAAGAAGTTGCACGACATGGGCGCCGTGGCAGTGACATTTCCCATCTTGTCCCAAGCAAGACGACTTCGTGCAAGAGCTGCTGCAGAGGCGATTCTTTATGAATAGAAGCTCACACATACTCCGTAAAGGAAGGCAGACTTGAAGCAGTGATATCTTGTCTTGACATGTCACCATAGGACCATAGGAGAACGTAGCATCTATCAAACCTTGTTCCTCACCCACGCATCACCGTTTGGCATCCCAACAAAACATGTCCCTGCGATGCTTTAGCACGTCGGGCTGTGGCTTACAGTAAAATACAGTAAATGTACAGGCAGATGATGATGGACCAGCAGTGACTCAGAGCACATGGTAACTTACTTTTGTGTGCTGAATTATTAGGCAATAAGCTCTGAGAATGGATGCGCCACCAAAAAGAAAAAGTGCTGAGGTACAAGGTACTTACTGATTGGCATTGGTGCCTGAGGCCACCACCCCTCCTCCCCCCAGGTATAAAAAATCGCCGCGCCCCCAGTCTTTCCACCTCCTTTTTCCTTTCCTCTCCATCCAAGTGCACGGGCGTTTTCCTTCTCCGTGAAGCGATAAGCTGAGAGAGGAATTTTGCTAGTTGAAAACTACAACAGGACCACTTCTCATTGGGTTCGCCCGGTGAGAGAATTTTTGGACAACCATCCTTTTCTTTCATTGCGACGCGGTTCCTCGAGGACCGCCGTGAAGAAGGCCTTGCTCTCGAAGAATCGCCGTGACCGGTCAGCGCGGAGCTGTCTCGTGAGCACGATTGCTGGCTTGGTAGTGAAACAGTGCACAGGTTGTATTGTGTAGTTGTCGCGTCCAGTGTTGACGCGCTCGGTCTGCGGTATCGCCACGGGCATCATCGTGTGATGCTCCTTGGAGGGATGAGGTCTCTCCCCAGCAGTAGGGCAGTTAAAGGCGCAGGACGAGGCATGGATGAGCGCAGTCGTGAGTAGTTGGTGCATTTTTTCCTTCCCTCTGATGGTGCCAACGAGCTCTTGCTCACGCAGCCAAATCCTCGTGAGGGTAGAAAAAGTCCCGCCGGCCAGCTGCCAGCTTTTCACCGAGATGCGCCGCCATCCCAGTCTACAGTAGAACATGCAACGTGAAGAAATGGATCACTATTAGTACTGTAAATATTCTTCCCGTGCCTCTTTGCCAACCGCGTCGTAGCATTTTTCCACCTCTGGAGGGGAGCGGGGAGCGGAGCGGGAAGGGGAGCGAGCGCGGGGCGTCTTTCCCAGGCTCCAGTGACTCAAATCTTTAGCACCTCCAACTACTCGCTCGCTGCATCGCCAACGACCGCCCATAGCCACCCTCTTTGCAGGCTGCCCAAAGCCCTGCCCTTCCTCCGCCCGAGTAGCTCCGACCAATCGCCTGAACCGAGAACCATTTCTGCAAGAAAAAATACAGCGTCGCTTCTCGGGCATCACGGCTGCATATTCCGGCGTCAGTCCCTTTGGCGGGCTAACCTCCCAACCGCGCGACCCTGACGACTGCCCCCAACGTTCATGGCGACGACCGTAGCAGGCCAGCCTGCTCCCGCGGGCGGCGACGCAGCGCCAGAGGGAAACAGGAAGAAGAAGACGGCGGCGGAGCAGAAACAACAGCCGTCGGCAGCCCAGAGCGAGGCGTCGGGCGAAAAGAAGCTGTCCAACGCCGAGCTCAAGAAAAAGGCAAAGGAGGAAAAGGCGGCGAGAAGAGCGGCCGCCAAGTCCTCGCATCCGACCACACCAGGGCCGCAACAGGGAGCAGCAGCAGCAGCGGCCTCGTCGGCCGAAGGCAAGGGCGCCAAGGCCAAGCTCAACAAGCACGATGGCCACCATCTGTCCCCGACAGCGACGGCAGGCCATGCCCGCTCCGTGTTGCGATCCGGCCCGCTGCCGCCCGCCGGCGCTGCCAGAGACGTCAAGCCCAAGGTCCCCGAGTGCTTCAGCCACCTCTCCATGGCCCGGCGCATAGCCATGACGCACGCCGACAAGGACGTCAACCCGGCCGTCCTGGCCCTGGGGCAGCACATGAGCACCTTTGCCATCAGCGATAGCATCACCAGGCTCGAGGCAACGCTACTGGCCTTTAAAAAGGTAGGCATGCCACGCCTACGCGCCCCAAGAGGATACAGGCTCACTCTCCGACTTGCAGGTCATCGACTCGTACACGACGCCTCACGGGGCCACCTTTTCTCGCCACTTCACCTCGCACGTCCTCAACCCACAGATCGAGTACCTCACCGCCTGCCGCCCCATGTGCTTCTCCATGGGCAACGCCATCCGCTGGCTCAAGCTGCAGATTAGCAAGATCGACATCGACCTCCCCGACTCGGACGCCAAGAAGCTGCTGTGCCAGTCCATTGACAACTTCATCCGCGAGCGCATCGCCCTCGCCGACTTTGTCATTGTCAAGACGGCCGCCGACATGGTCGACGACGGCGAGGTGGTCCTGACCTACGCACGCCACCACCTCGTCGAGCGCGCCCTGCTGCAGGCCAGGTCCGCCGGCAAGCGCTTCCGCGTCATCCTCGTCGATGACGCCTATGAGCGCGTCGGGATCCAGCTCGCCAAGACGCTCGCCGCCGCCGGCGTCCCCGTCACCTACGCCTCGGACCTCGGTGCCCTGCGCGCCAACCTCCGCGAGGCCACCCTCGTCCTGACGGCCGCCGAGGCCATGTTCAGCAACGGCGCCATGTATGCTCGCGCCGGCACCTGCGACATTGCCACGGCCGCCACCGACATGGGCCTGCGCGTCGTCGCCCTATGCGAGAGCATCAACTTTACCGAGCGCGTCTCCATCGACTCGCTCACCTACAACGAGATTGACCCGGAGCGCAACACGGAAGACGGCTTCCGGCTGCTCTTCGACACCACCAGGGACAAGTACATCTCCGTCGTCGTCACAGAGCTGGGCAACACATCGGCCAAGTCGGTGCCGGCCATTTTGAGGAAGTTGGAGGAGCTATGAGGAGGGGCCGTGTGTGCAGACAATGTAACATGGACATTACGAGGGCGCACATGTCGTTAGGCAATGCTTTGGCTTGATGGCGGTGATGCCGTGACGTGCTCTTCCTTCCACTTTCTGTTCTTCTCTCCGTTGAGAGCATAGATCATCCGCAGCTAGACGGATGAAATCACGTTCACGGTCGACAGCAAACCACTTTAGATTCCCCATGAGCTTCGAGCGCCCAACCGCGAGGTATTCTCCATATGTACAGCCCACCCCTGCGCCCTCTCCCCGTCCTTGCCGCTCTTCCGCACGGGAAGCTGCTCGTTCCCACGGCTCTCCTCCAAACGACGCAGGCTACGACGACGCAGCCGCCGCCGCCGCGTCCTTCTCGGCCTTTTTCGCCCGCTTCTCCAGCAAGTACGCCTTGCGCTGGTCCAGCATGGCCGTCTGCCGGTCGTCGACGCCCTGCAGCCAGTAGCCGAAGCTGGCGCCGCCGAGCGCATACACCGGGTAGGCCCACAGCGACTCCTTATTGAAGAAGGGCCGCATCTCGATGCCGACCTGCCAGAAGCGGACGCCGAGGCCTGTGTCGAGAGCCGTCGTCAGTTGAGTGAATCATTGCCCGGCTGAGTACGCTCAAACGTGTGCTCCCAGTCTCTCTCCTTCTCACTTCCCGACACGCACACCCCTTTAGAGTCCACCTTTTTCGTTCACACCTCCACTAGCAGTCCATGGCGAAAGGAAAAGGGAGGGCCGGAGCCGAGGGGTGATGGGTGCGGGACGAACCGAAGCAGCTCCAGAAGGCGAGGCGGTGCACCATGGCGGGCAGTTGGTCGTGTTCGCGATGGGTGTGGGCGATCCCCTTGTCTTTCGAGGTTTCCCCCAGGTTCGGGAGAGGCGAATTGGCCTTTCTATGGGCCGCGAGCGAGATGATTGCGCGTGTAAAAGTCGGGTCGCATGCGGGCAATCAAGGATGCGGTTCGACAGCGGGCCACCGTGATGAAGTCGGGCGAGCTTCCCGTAGTGGGACCCCTAGGACGGGTCACGTGCAAGGTCACATGCGCTAAGCCAGCTCAACTCTCGAGCCGTAAGATTCACGACATGTTGCTAATCTTTGCCTTATGGCGTTCTGTGACTGCATCAATGCCAATAGTCCCCCATGTATGGCTACAGTCTAATAATACAGTGTCTCATGATCTATCCGTCAAATGCCCCCCTATAATTCTCTACAGGCGAGTCCAGGCCAGCCGTCGGAATACATCCTCATGCAATATCAAATTCAAGTCTAACCAAACATGTTGTCTCGCTTGTTGGTGTTCATGCTGTACGGTGGAGGCGGGGCGTCGTTCTGGGCGCCCCGAGACGTGGACGAGGACGGCGGCGGCGGTAGCGAATGTCGAGATGTCGCAGCCCCGTCCTGCGACCACGCCATCGTCCTGGCGATCATTTTGCCCATGTACTGTTGGATAAAGGACTCACTGGAGGCATGTTAGCACCGGAATGACACACCGCTGCCACAGGGGGGCTGTAACTCACGTGTAATAGCTATGTTCCGAGTTGTGTGGCGTAACCAGATTGTGAGCCAGCTCGTGAGCAAGGACGACCCACCACCAAGTCGCTGCCTCGGCCTTCGCGGCCCCTGGACTCCGGCCGTTCATCTGCGCCATGTGCAGCTGGAGAAAGAATCTCAGGTTGCAAAAGATGCTGCCTCCTGTGTTGAAGGCAATGGTTCCTCCGGCCTCGTCGTAAAATATGTGAATGACTCGGGGCGCCAGTGAGTAGATGTTGCCGACTTCGACTAGCAAGGCGGCAAACGTGTTAATGGCCCCAATGTTCGCCGACAGGAACTGAGCCTGATCGCCCCCCAAGTCCTTGGCAACGTACACCTTGGTGCCGTTGGAAGCCTCGGCGGCAAAAAGGATGTTGGTTGCCGTTGTCTGGTCGCAGTAAGTCGCCTGCTCCTTCACTTCGCTGACTGTTGGCTGCGAAAAGACGCCGTTTGACCCATGAGCACGAGTCGCATTGATGGCGTTCAGCAAATTCTGCTGCACAACCGCGGGGCTAGTCACCCTGCCGTCGGGGTCATGGGGACGCTTGCCAGTGCCGGCTTGCTGCCCTTGGGACGACGGGCCACTCGGTGCAGGTTTATCGATGGATTGCTCAGGCATCTTCCGCCCTTCGTCCTGCTGCATCTGGTAGTTATCGAGGCCCAATCTTCGGGTCAGGTTAGAGAAAAGACCCCCGCCCTTCTTCGCGTTATTCGAACCGTCCGTGGCAAACTCGTCCGATGAACCCCATCCACCAGGCATGACTGGCTGCTCCGGCGCTCTTGCCACCTCACGGGCAGCTTCGGCTGCTCTCGGAGGCTCCGCCGTCTTTCCTTGCTGCGTCCAGGTTTGCTCCCGTTCTTGGATCATCCTTTGCTCTTCTTCCAGCGCCTTCCGCCTCTGTTCCTCGGCAAGCCGAGCCTCGGCGGCCTTGGCCCGCAGGATGCGATCCACGTTGTACCCACGGGCGCGGAGACCCAACAGGTCCAAAGTGAGAAAGGGCTCGAAGAACAGATAGGCCTGCTGGTTTGGTCGGTTGAGTAGCATCTGGCAGATGGCCTGACCAACCTGGTACATGTCCGGCCGGCCCTCGTCGGCTACAAACAGAACCCAAGACCCCTGTTCTTGTGCTCCTGCGGCTGACCGCTTCTCCGTATGCGACTGACGGTGGTCCTTGAGGCTGCGACGGAGTGCTACCGACCGGACCATTTCGACGCGAAGGTTCTTTTCCAACCACTTGGTATCATGCTTGATGCCATCACGGCGATAGTTGGCGTACTCGTAGAGGAAGATTTTGGACCTTTCAAGCACGTGCTTTCGCAATTTCTCCGCACTCTTCTGGTTATCCGTGTGGTTGCCGATCCGTACATCTTCCTGGACCAGGCTGCTCAGTTTCTGAGCGCCGAGCTGGAGGTAGAATGTCTCCAAAGCATCCTCCTCTGGCGCACAAATCAAGTGCTCCTTGAACAGACGATAGCTGATAATGTCGTCCAGCACCACAATCTGGCTAGCCGACGCAAGCTGGTACTGCTTGATGGGGGCTTCCTCTTCCTCATCCAAGTCGATCAGGTTTCCCTTGGTACTAGCCGCAAGTTCCTTGTAAGCGAGCAGGCACGGGGAAGTCTTCATTCTTCTCCACAAATCCCGGTCTCGTTGAAGAACGGGTGCGAATTCTGCGAGGGACTTGAGCAGATCGAGATACTTTTCGGCGCTCTGCAAGACGTCGAGCATCCGCGCTGGCTCGCTACACACCATGTGCGCCACTTCCAGTTTCGTTGGCTCGCTTTTCGCCCCGCAATGGAAGAGGAAGGCGTTTGCTTCTTGACCAAAGTCGACAAAATCGAAAATCTCACCATAGGTCGCGGATTTACCCAAGTATGTGTGCAAGGGACTGATGTATGACAGGCCACTGCCCGTCTTTTCCGCCGTCCGAACACCCCTTGTCCGAGTCACGGGCACGATGAGAGCAGATCTGAGCTTGACCAGGCTGTTGTCGCGGACTTCGCTGATTCGGGAGGCAAAATACCCGAACAGGGTGGTGGCAGCACGATGATCCTTGGGAGGGTTGGCTAGCAACCGGTTGACACACTCAACCATCGGCGGATCTCTCGCGATGCCGAATTTCTGGAGGAATTCTTGTCAGCCCAGCGTTCCATCCCAGAAGCTTGTGGCAGATACTTACGTTGGCATGGTCATGGAGGCCCCTGCGGAGAATGTCGAATCCAAGAACAGCTGCTCTCTCATTGGTGAAACAAGCCGACGGCGTCACAAGCTGCGAGCTTCCCTGTAGAGGAAGTATGGCTTTCTGGGTGACGCTGAGGTCAAACGAGGAATAGTGGTTAGAATGGTGGTTAGCGATGAAATAAGTCATTGCCGAGGCGCGCAGAGCCTCGTCTTTGGACGCCATCATGTCCACGAGCTCCGGGACTGACGGAAACGTTCGGAGACCTAAGCGCGAAAGAAATCGAGCCTCTGGACTGCCGGACCGGAAGCTGCCCGGGGGACCGGGCCACTGCAAGATGGGTAGCCCCAGGGTTCGAAGCGAGTCCTTGGGCTCGTATAGCTCCGAGATCCTATACAGGGTCTGTGTGCCCTTGGTTGGCTCCATCCCCTTTGGACCTGCTTCGGCAGGGCAGATCTTGGAGTCCCTCAGCTTCTTGAGATCATCGGATGGGATGTCGTTCTGAACCGAGGTGAGGTATTTGATCAGCTCCATATGACTCCATTTCTTCTCGCCGCTCTCGCCGGATGCACTCAGCAGTCGGGTGAATATTGTGTCGAGGTCAACCGTCTTGCGAACCCCCACAGCTGCGAGGAACTTCTCTTTGACCTTTTCGCAGCCCTGTATGACCGGAAGATCATCGAAAAGCTTGACCGACGGGAAGAAGGACTCGGCCGGCTGCCTCATTCCCAACTTGGTTGGCATGACCGGATGATCCTTGATCAGGCGTGCAACTGCCTCCCTGTCTCTGCTAGTGATGAGATCCCAGTTTTTGGAGAGTACTGTCAGTGCTTGGACCGCGAATTTCGGTGATCTCGTGATGCTCTCTTCTTCCGGCCTCAATCGCGATGTTTCGATCAAGAATCTCAGCCAAGGAAGTACTTCTAAGGCCTCCCAGCCCAAAGCCTGCAGCTCGGCAACGTGAGAATTGGCTGTGAGCGCAAACGGGATTGTCGTCGGCGGCATCGGCAAATGCGCGGGTATCCTGTGGACGTTTTGAAAGTTCTGTATGCTCCCGAGAGCAATCACTTCCCCTTGGTCGCTTTCATTGCTGATCGTAGCAACAGCAACTTCCAGCAAGGCTGAGCGGCTCCCAGGATCGAGCTCTCCGCTCAAGCTCTTCTTCCCTGCCCATCCGATGAAGTTGATGGCCTGCGCCTTGGTGAGAGCCTTGGCTTCGAGCTCCTGCTTCACGTCGGTGACGGTGATATGAGAGATGAGGCCGAACTCTGTCAGCTTTGTGACAAAAGAAGACGCCTTCAGTTCCTCGGGAACGACTGGAATGTTGTCGACGAAGGAGCTCAGATCGTCAGATCCGAGGCGGACTTGAGTCGTGGGCAACACGCCTCGGCTCGAGTACATCTCGATGGATGCCTTTTTGAAGCATGTCCAGAACGCCTCCTCCATGATCTGCCCAACTTGTCCGCTGGGGGTGGAGTCGCCGAAAGTAAACGTCTTTAGGGTGTGGAGTGCTTCAGGCATGAATTTAGCGACGTTTTCACTAGACACCTTACCGCCGGGTGCGGCAAAGCTGCGTAGCCTCTTGTCCAGGTCGTCCATCTCATTGGCAAAGGCAAGCCTGGTAATAATCCCAGCAGCTCGCAGCAGCTCCACGTTCCACGTCCGGACCCATCTCGCGTTCAAGTCGATGGCTTCACGCTCAACGGTCGGAATGACAGACGGCGCCGAGACATGCATCCCGGCGCCCGTTGTTTGCATGGTGGGGAAACCAATGAAGATGCGGCCTCCCGGTTTCCTGCTCGGTAACACCGAAGCAAAGACATCTGTAGCCTTGGTAAAGGCGCCGTCGGTGACAGACGTTTCGGAAGCCTGAGTCTCATCGAAGGATGCCGTAAGGATAGCGAGCTTTGTAGTCTTGGGCGGAGGCTTCTTCGTCGCTCGTTCGAGCTCGGAGGCAAAGGAAGCCGTCACGTTTGTCTTGATGCTTGCGGAGGTGGTTCGGAGGAAGATGGCGGAAGAGTTGAGCTTGGTAACGTCTTCCGCTATCTTGGGCTGCACGACGCTGTCCTCGCTGTGACTCTTTGACCTGGAACCGCTCTGGGTTGTGCTCGAGGTAAGCCGAGCGAAAAAGGACCTCAAGGACGGAGTCTCTGTAGAGGGGTAGGCGTCGGAGTTCTTGATGGCCGATGATGAGTTCACCAGCGGCTTCCAGCCAATGACGCTCATGTACGACGCGTCAATCTGCGTGCTGGTGCGGTCGACGCCAACCACTCTCATGAGGCCCTCCTTTGTCCGTGCCTCGAGATCTCTGGGCAAAGGAAGCTCGGCGCTTGGAGAAGACATCTTGCGGAGTGACAGGATTTTATAATCGTCGATCCAGAACTCGACATGCTGCAGCGCCACAAAGGTCAGGCTCGTCGCTAGGAACTGGCTCACAGAGAGCAGGTTCGGCAGCGGAGTCGTCGCGTTCCGATAGTCCAGCACGAAAGCAGTATGGCGGGAAGCCTTGTCTTGAGGGAGATGTGATTTCTTGGTAAAGAGAGAGTTGCCCTTCCAATAAAATGCCATGGCTTCGCTACCGGAACTGACAAAGGGTTCCTCGCAGTCTGCGAAGACGCTGTAGAAGCCGACGCCAAAGGCACCGATCTTGGTCTCGTCCGGGTTACCCTCGGCGATCCTCTTGAGCCGGCCCCAGTCGGTCTTTGTAAAGGGCTGTCCATCGTTTTGCACCACGAGGCGGCGGAGGGTGTGGTTTGATATGGCATGCTTCAGCAGCTCGGACCGACTCGTCGTATTGGGCAGGGGCACGTGTATCGACGGGATCGTCTCCCACTTGACGGTGACGGTCGTGGCCTGAGCATCGGCAGCGTTCTGGATGAGCTCCCGCAGCGTTGTCCACTCGCCGGAGTATCTGGCGAGGACCTTGTCTATCAGAGCACGGGTGTCGACTGTGACGGCCTCCTCATCCTCGCCGTTGCGAAGCGCGGCGGCCCGAAGGCTTGCGTAGTCCATGGCGGGCTCTTGTATGGGGTAGTCTTGTCACAATCGGGGGTCAAAGGCGCATACTGCGAGAGGGGATTGTGAGTCGAGGCAACAAAGGAGTCTGCACCAGGCGGAGGAAGTACGTGCGTCCGCTGCGCTCGCGGCTCCAATGCTAGGCAGACAGGACGGCACGTAAACAGGGACGGAACATGGCCTTGCACTTGGGTGGAACTCGATCCGCTTGCCACTGAAGGGTTGTAAAAAGATGCAGTGGGCGTTGTTGTCGAGGTGGCGTTGACGGTCGCTGCCAGGGGACTTGTTGAGCCGTCTCGCCGCGCAACCCCCGTGTCCCGAGCTCGGCCGTTGCAGCCTCACAGGCAGGCCCACCTAGCGCCACCCACTGAGGCCACTAATAGGCCAGCGGGGGCCCCTCCCTGTCGCCTTCCTTGGTCCACTGGGGCATGGTATCTCCAGGGGCTAGCGTTTCTTGTGTCCCCCATGAAGTGAAGTGGAAGCTTCCAGCTGCACCGCCCCCGTGACAGCCTGAGCACGCCCCAAGTTAAGCCTCGCTCACCTCAGCTTTCCGCTTAGACAAAGTTTGGGACGACACCGACAAGCTGGATATTGCACTTTGTCGACTTTTCACGTCACATGTACTGAGCAAGGTTGCCTTTGGTGCTAATCCAGACTCGACCTCACGAACGAGCTGATATCGCCGGCAGGGCATATTGTCATGCGCAATTGGACGTATTTACTTGAACTTACATTGATGTAATGAATGCGCCGCCGCGAATGTCAAGCATCGCGACGCCGGGGGCGCGGACTCGTGCTCCGCCTCCGGTTCTCTCTAGATCTCGGCCGCCGCCTCCTGCTCCTGTCCCCGCTCCTGTCCCTGTGCCTTCCACCTCTCCGGTCAATACTCCGGCTCCGGCTTCGCTCTCGCCCGTGTCGACGTTCGTCCCATTCTCTGGCGCGTCCGCCACGACTCCTATCTCTTGGCCGTGCTGCGTCTCGACTTCGTCGCCGGTGCCCTCTGTGCCGATGCCGACTTCCGCTTCTGCTTCTATGCCGCGTCCGGTCCCTCCTGTCCGACTCCTCGTGCCGTCGTGAACGATCTCGCCGAGGTTCCTCTTTGTCTCCCTCCATGGGCGGTTTGCTCGCTGGCCCGATGTCCCTCTGCGATCCGACGTTGACGGAATTCGCCCCGGTTGTGTTTCGCTGCGGAGGCGGCATCCCAAGCGCGCGAGCTATGGCTTCTTCCTCGGCCTCTTTGATCTTGCGTATCTCCTCCTTGTGTTCTCTTTCGCGCCGCTCCTCGTCCGTTTCGGCCGAGTCGGCGGCGGATGGCTCGGCCTTTGCGTACCAGTTGAGGTCCTTGCCTCTCTGCCATCTTCCCACCGGCGCTTTCAAGCTGTGGCCCAGGTAGTTTTCGCGTTGCGACGAGTTGGCGACTTCATCCCAACTAAAATTGACGCCGCCTCTGGAGCCGGTCTTGCGGATGCTGGCCAGGAGGTCCATGGTGCTGAGCGTGAGGAATCACCTCCGGATCGCCAGCGACGGGGCTGTCGACTGTGCGAGTTTTTGAGCAATGTTGCGTGGGAATAGAGTCGACTTGAACTTTTGATGCGGTTGTCGGCGGCGGCAGCAGGCCAAAGGAGCTTCTGATGTTTGGTCTGCAGATGCACTGGGTGGCAGGCAATTATCCAGAGATGGAAATGCGAAAGTTGGGGGAATGCGTGAGCCGCCTCGTCAGCCATGCGGAGATCCGCTAAAAGCCGTGGGCCTGCAGACGCCGCGGCGGTGTGGATCCCTTGGATGAGGCAGGCCTGTCGGTCAAAGCAATCAAGGTAATCAGGGCAGCTACAGTGGGGTCTGTACCTACTCGTACAGGTACTGATTGTATGGGGGCTCGTTCTCACCCAGGGGCATCCACCCACTGGGGGGTAGTTGGCACTTTTCGTTGGCGGTGAACGCCCAAGGTCCCCGCCTGACGCCCTGTTCAGCCTTTTATAACTTAGCACCACCAATCAAGCTGCTTGGCACCCACTGTAGTGCTGCTTTTCCAACCTCTTGTCTACAGAGTACCTGTCCGTCCGACTGCCAAGTTCAACGCCCGTCATGGCAAACGAACCGCCCTTGGACGAGATTCAATGGCGCTCGCCGCCCATCCTCGCCCAGATGGGCGGCCTACACTCCAACACGATCCTCTTCTACTTTGCCGAGTCGCCCTTTTTCGAGCGCACGTCCAACAACGCCGTCATCGTCAGCCAGGCCATGAACAACATTTCCATGTACCACTTCATCCAGACGCGCGAGGTCTTCGAGGGCCGCCTCAAGACCATGTCTGGCCTCGAGTTCATTGTCGGCGAGGAGCCGGCTGAGACGGGGCCTGGCATGGGCACCGGTGTCTGGGTCATTCGGAAGCAGACGCGCCGGAAGCGTTACCAGGACGAGGACGAGATCACCGTGCATGCTTCATTTTTCGTGGTGGGCGAGAATATCTACATGGCGCCGGCGTTGGCCGATATCCTGGCCTCGAGAATCGTGGGTACACTTTGCCTGAACCAAGGCTGAACCCGGAAGGGCTAATCAGGCGACAGATGACGATATCATCGGCCATTGCCAAAGCGCTGTCGGCAGCCGAGGGCTCCCGGAAATGGCGCGCGTCGACGGGCCACGTCTACCACCTCCCCTCGAGTCAGACCTCATCTCGGCAGAAAGGCCAGGCGTCCAGCGAGGATACACCAGGACCCGAGGGGCCCGCCAAACCGACGCCAGCCTCCCAGAAAAATGACGAGCTGTCGCTGGAGAGGGCGTCCGAAGAGGCCTTCATGGCTCACATGCGTCACGGCGGTGAATACATTGACGAGAACGCAATTACTGGACGTCCTGGCGAGTTCCACCTTTCTTCCACCGGCCGCAAAGCTGTTCCGCCCCCCAAGGCTGGCACCGAGTCCAGCATCGGCGCCATGAATGGACCTTCGCTCAATGCCAAGAGTGAGGATAAGAAGGACGGCAAGACGGAAAAGTCTCCCAAGTCGGCTAACTTGGCCAAGCCGAGGAGGAGAAAGAGCAAGATGAGCAATGGGCCTACTCCGGCTCAAACACCAACGGCGTCTTGATTGGTTTAGCAGCACGGCTGCGTGGCGTTGGGATGGTTACCCTCTTCCCCAGGAATAGCTCGTGGTGGAGGGCTTTTTGTTTTCTTATTGATACCCCCTCGATCCAAGCTCGCCATACGTAGGGAAAGAGCTCCTTTGGCACGAGAAGACGGCAATCCAGCTGCCGTCTCATTTACCAAGTATATCTTCTTGATGGCAAAACATATCAAAATGTAAAAGCCAACACATTGAATAGAGAATGCGCTTATTTTGACATGATTGGGTTCCGCAACAGCAGAGAATGACAGTATAGGACAGGCCCCAGTTGCATGCGTGCTGTCTTCTCCATACAAAGCAGTCTTAATCGCAGCTTAAGGGGCCTGTAACCTTAGGCGCAGGGGCCTTGGTCCTTCGACTTCTGGCTCATGGGCCACATCAACGCCTGGAAGCGTCTTTATGCTGTTACTTGGCATCATTCCCGGCTGGCTCAGACCATAGGAGTACTCCCGTGCTGTACATAAACCTGACCCAGTTCATCCCAACTCCCTCTCAGCCGACCCATCATCCAGGCTAGGCCACCACCCCTCGCCGCCCTTTTGTCGTTCCCATCTCATTCCACCACCCATCCCTTACCGGGAACCTTTCTTTGCCTAACCTTCCTAGCCGGCAGAGGCCAGCCCTGCCCCCCGACGCCCTCGGCCCTCAGAAACGGCACGACCCAGCATTCCCTGACCGTCGCGCCGTCCGCCCCGGCTGCGGGCGCCTTGACCTCCTTGATGGGCTTGCCGTAGCTAATCAGCGGCGTACCCTTAGCCAGCCCGACGAGCTGCCCGCCCGTGACGTCCGTCAGCGAGTGCATCCTGGTCTTGGGCTGCTTCTGCAGGTCCAGGCCCGCCGTGGAGGTCCGCTGCAGGTACGAGTAGACGACGTACTCGGGACACTCCTGCGGGCTCAGGTGCGCCAGTGGCGATCCCGGGTGGATGTAGACTAGGCCGTCCTGTGCTGAGCCCAAGGGTATCAGCGGCACGTAGGGAACGTCGATGGCCCGTCGAGGCTTCCGGTGCTGCTCCGGCGGCATGGGCGCCAGGTCTGCCCGGACTGCCACCTGGTCGACGAACCCGGCCGCCACCATTTGCTTCAGCGCGCTCACCTGCTTGGGTGACGGGGGGGGGAGCTTGTCCTGGTACTTAAGGCCGGCAAAGGACGGGATGTTGGTCCGCAACAACTCCGTGATCTGCCTCCGGAGTTGCCCAATCTCCTTGAGCACCTTGAAGCGGACAAAGTGCGTCTCGCACCACTGCTCCATGGGCTCATGAGCGAATTCGCCCACCACCTGCAAAAGCTTCATGGCGTCCGACCTATCATCGAGATAGCAAAAGTTCTTATGCACCTCGTTGAACATGCGTCGCGCGTTGGCCTGGCGGGTCTCGGCAAGGACATCTTCGTTCGTGCGGATGGCGGCGTCCTCCTTGACAGCCAACGCGGGAACCGCCTGGTTTTCGGGAAGAAAGACCTCGCCCGCCGTCAAGCCTGCCACGAGCGCAATCGTGTACGGAAGGCAGTCGTGCAAATGGCCAACGAGCAGAATGCGGGCGAACCGAGGCGACAGCGGGAAGACGGACATGGTCTTTCCGACCTCGGACACCCGGCCTTCGGGCGAGATGGCCGACAGATACGTGAGCAGTCTCTCCGCCTTGGCCAGGCTCTGCCTCTCCGGGGGTGTGGGGAAGGGGAAGTTGATGACGTTCTGGATGTTCATGGCCTTCAACTGCAGCACCACGCCCTCGATGGGCATGCGCAATAGCTCGGGATCTGCAAAGGCGGGAAAATCCCTCTCGTAGACGGCGGACGAGTAGAGTCGGTAGCAGTGACCCGGTCCCGTTCGTCCTGCACGGCCAGAGCGTTGACTGGCGCTGGCCTTGCTGATCCAGCCAATGTCGTAGCTTTGGACTCCGCTCAGTCGATCATAGCGCCGCTCCTTTGACCTTCCACAGTCAAAGACAAAGCGCGTGCCCGGGATCGTCAAACTGGTCTCGGCAACGTTGGTGGCCAAGATGATTTGCCGGTAGCCTTCCGGGGGGTCCTCAAACACTCGTAGCTGCTCCCTCGTTGGCAGCAGGGAGTAGAGAGGCAATATTTGCATCTTGAGTGGTGCCGCTTGCTGGTCCTCTTCGATCTGGAATTCGTCCTCTTCCCCCAGTCCTCTATCCTCTTCGTCCGAAGGCAAGTCATCCAGATCGTCCCCCGCTTCGTCGTCCACGTCGCCAAACTCGATGTCTTCGACCTCCATCGGCGCGTCGTTTGCAGAGATGTGCACCTTTGGCCCCTCGGCAGTCCTGAGACCTCCAAACGCAGCCTTTAAGCGTTGGCTCAGCTGCATGATTTCGTTTCGCCCCGTCAAAAAGACCAAGAAGCCCCCGGGAGGAAGCTTCTGGTGGCCTCGGCTGATCTTGCGGAACGCTTCTTCGACGTAGTCGTGGTGGGTTCTCCGGGAGAAGTGAATCGTGACGGGATGCTGCCGTCCTTCAACTTCCATGACAGGAGGCGGGGTTGGAAAGAGCGTCGAGTTCATCGTCAAGTCTTCTATCCTCAGCGTGGCAGACATGATGATGAGCTTGAGCGGCTTGAGGGAAGGGTCCTCCTTAGCAAGCTCGGTTCGCAGCTTGACGACACGGCTGAGCATGCCAATGAGGATGTCGGTGTTGACGCTCCTTTCGTGGGCTTCGTCTATTATGATGGCCGAGTACTTGCGCAGACTAATGTCCTGCGCGACCTCCCGCAGCAAGACACCGTCAGTCATGAACTTGACAGCGGTTTTGGCGTCTACGGTGCCTTCGAAGCGGATCTGGTAGGCTACTGCGCCGGAGTGATCGCCCAGCTCTTCGGCCACCCTCCTCGACATGCTCACGGCGGCAACTCGTCGCGGCTGGGTGATTCCAATCATTCCTGGCGTCGGCGAGTCGGGAGACCCGTAGCCGGCCTCGAAGAGAAACTGAGGCACTTGAGTGGTCTTGCCGGATCCTGTAGATCCGCAAATAACCACTATGTCGTTGTTATGGATTGCTTCCATCAACCTTTGTTCTTCGGAGACAACTGGGAGCTTGAGACGAGCCACCTGGATATCAGTGGACCTAGTCACTGTCACGCTGAAGGCCTTTCGCTCAGTTCTCGCCGTCGGTTTGAGTTCCATGGGCAGAGGGTCTTGCTCGGGCGCTCGTGGCACGAAATTGTCCGGCCGAGGTATCAAGGTCGTCAAGGAGGGGTCGGTCGGTTGAAAACCCAGAGCTTCATTGCGCTTTTGGTGAGCCCAGGCTTTGAACGCAGAAGATCGCTGTGTCCTGGCCTCCCCGTCTTCGCCCTGGTCGCCCATCGAATCGTCACCCGACGTCTCTTCGCTCTCCGCGCTTGAATCGTCTTCAGAACTCAGTTCATCGGTCTCTGCGTCGCTACAGTCATCGGTCGAGTTTTCGTGGTCGTCGTTCGAAGCATTGCTGTCGGGGTCGCCTGATGCAGCATCGCTATCGAACCCATCCCATTCCTCGTATTTCGGGCCGCCGGATGCCGCCAGCGGGGCGTGCATCGGCTGCACTTTTGTCTTCACACCGCCTCGCTTCTGTCTCTTCATGATGACCGGGCGGCCGTCCTCGTCCAGCTCGAGTGGGCGCTTGAGACCGGAGCCAACGACTCCAGAGGCGGTGCTGGCCGGCTGCTGCGCCAGTGTCGACGATTTAGATATAGAAGAAGTCAATAGTTTCGTTTCAGTAGGTCTATGATGCAACTCGGTGTCGCTGCCGCTGGCATCCCGGTCGTCGTCGCTGTCCTCTTGGGCAGCTTGGCATGCCTCCCGCCTCCTCTCAAAGAGCAACTTGTCCGCATCATCGCCCTCGATCCCAGCTCTCTTCTCTCGCAGCGCGCGCGAGAGTGCCTGCTTCTTGGTCTCGCGGCCCTGGCCCAGCGACTTGCTACTCGTAAACAGGCTAGTGTCGACCTTGCGCGCGGCCAGCTTGGCCAGCAGTTCGCGGTTCTCATCTTTGCGGAGCTTGCTGTCGATGTACTTTTCGAGCCGCTTTGCTTTCTTCCCGCTCACCTTGACACCGTCGCGGCGCAGCTCTTCCTTGATGCGCGCCTTTTCCTCTTCGAGCGCTTTCTTGTCGGCGGGCAGGATTTCTTGATTGGTGTCTTGGACTTCATGGCGGGCATTTTCCTTTGCCTTTTCCCGGGCAAGCACTCTGTGCTTCCGCTGCCGAGGCACGAATTTGGCCATGTTTGCTGCAAGTCGGCTGGATCAACGCCATTGTCCTTCAGACCATGAACAATAGCCTGGGCGATTCATTAAATTTCCGCCGAAGAAGCATTCTGCCAGCCCCGACCGCCGAAATCTCGAGCCTGATCCGGACTAGCGCTGGGTCGCCCTTGGAGTTCCACCGCGTCCCATGTCTCCTCCTGTTACATGTACCTACCCTGGACAGACAGTGATGCCAACCACAGAAGCATCGCAGTTTCCAGCCATGGCGGCTCAAAATGTCCGGAGTGACGAATTCCCCGTCCCGAGCCGTCGTGCAGCAGGCCTCGTCGGCGGAGTCGCGACGGAAGTAACCTCGTTGGGCTTCTCGGACAAGATCCTCGTCACCATCAGCCAGGGTGGAAGGCTTTCGCAATGGGTGAGCCAAGTGGCCTCGACCGTTGCTCCAGCCATTGGACATCTAACCAATACCCTCCAGATCCAAGTCCCACTCACGGGCAGCTCAGCAGGCATGGTTGAGATGACGCTGCCGAGCCTTGGCTCTGGCCTCCTGCCCTCGGCCCATCTCACGCCCAAGACGCTGCTGGGGGGCGGAGGTGACGACCGCGAAACTGTCGGACAGCTGTACGCAGCGCAGCTGGCAAGCCACTTGTCTTTGCGCTCTCCCGATGACAGGAGGATTCTTGTGCTAGGATTGGGATTGACAGGTTTTGACACACAGCGAGAGACATTTTTCGACTTGTTTGAGCTTGCCCAGAAGGTCCTGTGAGCTGGCGAACTTGCACAAATAGCTCCTTGAGCCAGTGCATCGGTGTTAGGGGCATGTATTCGAGGATTGCTCCTCTCGGCGTCATGGGTGTCCTGTCCCGCCTGATCCCGGGTGCAAGTATTCTGTCTAATATTGTTGTTTCCGCCGCCTCGCACTCGTGGGTCTCGTCAACGGCTGGCGCGTCACATTAGAGGCCAAGCATCAAGGACACAGAAACGGAACGAGGGCCGGTGCCGTCGACAGCAACATATGAAAGGAAACAAGAAGGGCTTGGCAGCCGGGGGAAACGGCCAGCTAGAGCTTTTCGGTCCCTCGTCATATTCAGATCCATGGCAGCTGGACGACACCCAACGCCCTTACTCAAGATAGAGTGTTGATTTATTCCTCTATTCGTAAGCCATGTGTTCAACGCTGTTGTATCTACAGCTCGTGTCTCAACTCGTTCCTGCGACGCTGTGACAGTTAGAGCCGACTCCCGACTGAGATCCATGCATACACCAGGGTGCATGGTCACAGTAGTCGACATCCCGCCTGCGGTTGGAAAGCCCCTTCGCCCATTTCCTCGCCCGCCAGCCTGCTCAGCGCTTGCCTCCAGCTTTGCTCTGCAAAATTGTTCATGACGGTCGATGCTTGCGGTCCCTGCGGAAAATTTGCCGTTAGTCACTGTCTCTGCGCACAGTTTGCGAATGCCCGCAAGGAGGACGGGGCAGATACTCACGTGCTGAGTCTCCTTGAGAGCTGGTGCAGTTTCTTGTCGTTATCGGCGTCGTGGGCCGCCTTCTGGAGCGCCGTCGCCCGCTCCTCCTCTTGATGCTTCACGACCTCGTCATGACTCGGGGGCAGGCGCTCATTCTGCAAATCAACCTTTCGGGCGTCCTCAAACGAGCTGATGGCGTTTTTGATACCCTCTGCACCGAGCATCAGCGTACCGGCGGGGAGCCTTCCGCCGGAGACGGTCTTGAGCTCCGTAACCCTTTCCGACTCTTCTCGCAAGACTTGGAAGACTCGAGACATGCGGCCAATGGCGAGGATCTTGTTCTTGATCGCCCTCCGCTTGAACTCGATCGAGTTGGGATCGTCGCCCGTCGTGGAAACGGGTGAATGCGGTGACGTCGACGAGGGCGTCTCCTCCTTGAGCTCTTCCTCGGAGCAGGTGCTGAGGATGGCGATGAGCATGTCTGTAATCTTCTCCCCCACAAACGGCAGCGACCAGGTGAAGACATCCATGAAGTTGGGGAGCCAGTAAGGATGAGGAGTACAGTTGAACTGACGAATGTTCATAACGTTGTTCTCATACTTGAGCACCGCAGCCTTATTGTTGTAGACGTCAAGATAGTTGGGGGCGGAGAAGATGGTCATGACACTGGGGAAGCCGGTAGTACGCGTCTTTCGGTACATCCGATACCCTGCGTCCTGAGCCTCGTGCGCACGGATGATGGATAGCAAGTTGTTCTTTTCGAGAAAGGCACAAGCGGCGGGATACGAAAAGAAGTACGAGCAGCCGCGCACATGGTTGTGCAGGAAGTACTCGCTCGTCTTTTCCTGGCCGAAATCCTCGAGCGGGTCAGCCCACAGGATGTCGCACATGAGCCCCTGCGTCGGAGGCTCCCTGAAGCGATCAATCTGGCCGAATGTCAGTCACTGGCGCTGTGCATAACCGCGGCGTCTGGCCTGAGGCGCTTGCGGCGTGCGTTTGGGGGAGGACGTACATTTCTCAGTTCGTCGAGAGTGTGAAGTTCGGGACTGAGACCACCGTGGATGCAGAGGAACTGCTTGTTCATGACGGCGGCCAGGGGCAAGCTGCAGAAGGACTCCATGCAGGCGTCGTAGATGGCCTCGGAGTACTTGTGTTTGCACTCGAGCTTGAAGGTGAAGTAGTCGGTCAGGTGGCGACACTCATGGTTGCCTCGCAGGAGCCACAGCGTCTTCGGATAGTGAATCTTGAGAGACCAAAGGTAGAGGACGCATTCGATGCTGAAGTAGCCACGGTCGACGTAGTCCCCGAGGAAGAGGTAGCGCGTCTCGGCAGGGTCGCCACCGACCTCGAAGAGCTTCATCAGATCGTAGTACTGGCCGTGGACGTCGCCGCAGACGGTGATGGGAGCATCCATCTCGAGGAGGTTGGGCTCGGCTCGAAGCAGCTCGGTTCCTGTCTTAAGGATCCACAGAGCCTGTTCATCCGTCAGACGGCCCTCGCGGTAGAAGTGCTGCTTGAGAAATTCGATGTCGGGCTTCGCGTGGGAATCATCCTCGAAGAACTGCTCGTCGGTCGGCTTGAACATGGCGGGTGCTTGGACATCTGCGGACGCGACAAACTGTCAGCCACGGATATTCATCTGCTTCGGGGGTAGAGGATGGACCTTGACAAGACAGCTACGAGAGGCCGATGAGCCCAAGGAGATGTCTTGTCGGGGTACGTGTCCGCGCCCGACGCACCTTTGCACACTCTCTCGAGAGTGCTCACTTGGGTCCCGTCCTCCATGGTGTGGATGGTGAAGTCGATCTCCGGGACCGGCTTCTTCTCCTGAATGGCGCGGATGGCATTGTCGACCTGCTGGGTGCGGCGCACCTCGGCCGAAGGACTATCGCCATCGTTTTCCATGGCTGAACGAGAGACGGCGGCTCTCCTGACGGGAGAGGCGAGGCAGCGGTGAGCGATCGGCTCGACGGAACAGAGGGCAGGCGTTGCCTCGTGCAGAGTCAAGCCGGATGTAGGCCGGGTAGGGCTGAGGGAGGAACCTGGTCGAAGTGGGAGCCGCGCTTGGGTTGAGACTGGGGAACGAGTAGGAATCAAAGGATAAGTCGTGACGCCGAGCAAATCGCTGCATCGCAGGTGGGCGGGGCGGGCGCCCAACTGGCCCCCCGCCGGCGCCGCCCTTGACCCCCTCCATGGTCGGTACACCTGGGTACGAGGCTACCATAAGGTACGTACCCGGCTACCTCCAGGCTTGCCAGGGAATCGCTGCCTGCCGCTTCGGGGATTGGTCCGCACCTTTAGCACCAAGTGTGGAGTAGCTTAAAACACCTCAAAGACTAATTATTATTCGCCTCGAATACCCTACTCCGTAAGTTAAGACGTCGCAAAATAGGTACGAGCAAGGAAAAGAGGCATTTTCCGGCTTCGAGAAGCAACTCTTCTTGGAACTTGGAACCAGGGCTCCAAGCTGGGGTGAAATCGTGACTCTTGTATCCCCTGGCCGACGAGACCAAGGTTCCGGTAGCACGCATAGTCAAGTGGCCGAGACGCGCTTCTACCTACAGTCCTGAAGAATAGCCGCCACCCTCTGTCTTACGCCATCAAGCAAAGTAAGATGATGGCTTGTCAGGCTTGGTGCCGAGGCAAACTGGGGCCGGCTGAGGACGACAGAGGGCCTGTACAATGACGGCGGTGCTATGCCGGACATGACTGAGCACTCTGTTCAATGGCGCAGCTGGACGCTGTTGATCCACTCAACTCTCGCTCATGTCTTTGCCCTATCCCCTCCCCCGTCTATATCTCCAGTCTATGTTGATAGCTCCGCCTTTAACCCATGGTGAACGTGTCACATCGCAGCACACCAGTCAGTCGGGTGTTTGCTTGTTCCCGTCCAGATCACCAACCCCAGCTCTGCCGCCGCGCGCGTACTCACTTGCAATTGATACGCTATGATCATGGCAGGGTGTAGCCGCCGTCGACAATCATGTTTAGGCCTGTCGTGTACGAAGATGCGTCGCTCGCGAGGTACAGGTACGAGCCCTTGAGCTCCTTGACGAGGCCCGCTCGTCTGCGCAGCCAAGGGGGGAAGAGGGTTCCTCAGTCAGCTTTGATGTCGTTGAGAGCTGGAAAGAGGCCGGCAAACTCACCCCATGACAATCTTGTCCTTCCACTGCTTGACCGTCTCGGGCTGCGCAAAGTTGATGAGGTCGGTCACGATGTAGCCGGGCGAGACGGTGTTGACGCGAGCAAAGCCCGTCCACTCGACGGCCAGACTCTTGCCTAGCCATGGTCAGCACCGACGCCGTGATGCCGATGGAAGCAAGATGGAACTCACAGAACTGAATGACGGCCGCCTTGGAGCCGTTGTAGACGGCCTGCATCTGGGGAATATTGACGATGCTGCCGCTGATGGAGGCCGTGGCGATGAAGCTGCCGGCAATGTAGTTGTCCAGGGGCTTGCCGTGGAGCGTGGTGCCGTCCTTCTTCTGGCGCCGGAAGTGGGCGCCGGCGCTCTTGGCGCACCACATGACGCCGTCGACATTGACGGCCATGACCTTTGCGGCCGTCTCGGCGGGGCCGTCGATGAAGGCGCCGTCGGACCAGGCGATGCCCGAGTTGGCCACAAAGATGTCGAGGCGGCCGTTGAAGTGGCCGACGATGTCGTTGATGGCCCGGTCGACGTCGTCGGCTGAAATGACGTTGACCTGGTACGCCTTGCCTGTTGCCATGGTCAGTCGCAGACTGGGGGGCTCGGTGAGAGAGCAAGAGACTCACACTTGACGCCGTACGTCTTCTCAATGGCCTCGGCCTCGGCGATGGCCTGCTTGTTGCTGTTGTACCAGATGGCCACGTTGGCGCCGGCCTCGGCGAGGGCCTGGGCGACGCCGAGCCCGATGCCGGCGCCGGCGCCCGAGACGATGGCGGTCCGGCCCTTGAGCGAGAAGAGGGGCAGGACGCGGTCGCCGTCGGGGATGCCCATGTTGTCGTGGCGGAAGACGCCGTTTTCCATGCCGGCCATTGTGTCGTGGTTGTGTCGTGGTTGTGGGTGATGATGCTCTCTCGAGGGATGCTCTCTCGAGGTCAGTGGAATTGGCTTCACCCGTCAATGTGCATTGTACTCCCCCAGAGCCCCTCCAGCCCACGTCATGGCGCCCCTGAGACCCTTCTCCCTCTCTCAGTGGAGACCCTGACCGGTCCGCGTGGAGCCGGGCATGACTCTCTCTCTGCGGCCACAAGACAAACGAATCAAAGACGACGACCATGGGGGCATTGCAGAGGCGCCGCCGCGGTGGACTGGCCTTGGGTCTCGGAGCCTATCACTGCCATTACGGTTGCGCCATGTGCGGCAATTGGCCTGCGGCCCACTTGGAAGGCTCTCCCTCTTTCCTTGCCCTCGTCTCCCATGCCCGTTTTGGTCCCTTCAACCGCGATGGCTTAGAGATGAGAGCCACTGCGCCAAGTAGGGCTATGCCACTACTGTACGCGGCCGCCCCAGTGGACATCAAAGCAGTCTACATGTTGCCTCGTGCACAATGTGCCTCCCCGGCCCTCAAAGTATCCAGAGCCATAATCAACGGCAGCGCGGCGTCTCGCCGAGGCCGCCATGCCCGTGACCGCCGCCGTATGGCACCACTTATACTGTACAAACTTTGGTATCCATTCATGCCTGTGCGTGCAACAAGCGACTGATCAAGAAAAGGAAGACCCTTGTCCACCCTCCTCACGCAGCTATCATGTTGGCCGCAATGACTTCTTCCCTCGGAAAGTTGGACAGCTTCCAACGCGATATGAAGTCGTCTCGGTTGACTGCCACGTCCAACAGCGTCAGCAACACCCGACCTTCGATGTGGCATCTTCGGGGGCAAGCGGAATCACTCACTGTATCCACCGCAGATTCGCCTCAGTCCCCAGAATTCTCGCCTCCCATGCAAGATTCGCCAGTTATCGAATACTACGTGTCGGTCAGCATGGGCCGCGTCGCTGCACAACGCAGGTTCCAAACTCACTCAACACGCGGCCCGGCTCTAGCAGAAACTCGTACTGGTTCTCCTGCCGGTTCACAATAGTGTCCCATTCCCGCGCGGCGTTGTACCACCATTTTGTATTGACTTTGAGCGGGAGACTGCCTCGGTCGTCCTTGTTCCAACGAATTCGAAAGACCGTCTTGCCGTGCCCCTCGATGACAGGGTACGGCCGGGCAGGCGCCATTGCAACATCCTGGTTACCGCTGGCATGCCAAGGGAGGTTGACCGTTTGCAAGGTTTCGTAATGGTCTCTTCGTTCCAGTCGAAGCCGGTGCGCCGCGTAGAATCCGTCAACGAGGATTGACTGGCCGCCCCGCTCGTGCAGGCGCATCTCCTCGCCATTGGGCCCTGTATGAGAGAGCAAGTGGAACGCCTGGAGGCCTGCCGGGTCGGAGAAGTAGGTCGTGTCCGTGTGCACGTCGAGGGCAGCGTTGGAGTATGCCATGTCTGCCTTGGCCATGTTAGGGGTGAAGTCCCAGAAACCGCCATAATGCGTGTTCCGGATGGGCCCGATGCGCTCGAGAAGACTCTGGGTGTCCTCCGGCGTCACGGGTGTGTTGACGACGAAGCAAAATCCATGTTCGCGCTGTTTTGGTCAGCCTTGCTTCCTCGCTGACAGGGCTGCAGGTTGCCTACAATCTTGTTGGTGAGTTCTGCAATTCCTTGCAGGCTGTCCGTTCTCATGACCGACTTGAATTTGACCTCTGGCGGTTCCTCATAAATGAGTCTGCGGTTCCACAGTCTCTGTACTCTGTTTCCAACGTCAGCCGTGTCTCGCCCTGCCTGGGACGACACCCCAGAACCTACACGTCGCCGGAAAACGGGTGCTTGCCACCGGGCATGGCCGATTGAAGCCAGTTCCACGTATACTTGCTCCTATGACGGTCGGACCCTACAACCTAGCGGTCAGTTACAAGAAATGGGCGAACAGCCAGAGACGGGGCCATCGATTACCTACACAAGACTTCAAACCCGTCCACGCTCGGCAGGACCTGCCTCGGCTCAACAAGCCTTGAATGCTAAAGTGCCGTCCAAGTCAGCAGTTGTCGTCCAGAGAAGGCCCATGGGAGCGGGGGTGGGGATACCGCAAGAATATCGAAGCTTCTTTGCCTTGTGACGGGGTTTATGCATTCGGCGCAACCGCAGTTGTCTCTGGGTTGCGTCTCAGCGTCCGGAAAGCCGAGCGTTCAGCGCAGGAAGCGGCCATGGAAATCCATACCTCATCCATTCTTTGGGCCTACAGAGTCTAGCTGAGCGATTTGAGCCAACAACGAGGCGCATGTGAACTCACGTACAGTCGAGTCACAACCTTGTCTCCCGTGGCGTTACTCTCGTAGTTGAACCCGGCAGCATCTGGAAGCATCCTGGGATAAAAAATCGGTCCCTCTCGTTGAGCCTTCAACGTAAAGGCCCCGAGGCCGGCATCTTTCTTAGTGAGCAGTCGTCCAGCAACCAGGCTGGGGCTGCGTGTAAGCCATGCGCTCAGCCGCAGAAAAGAGAGCCCGCAGGGCCACTCACCGTGAAGAAACGAGCGCAGCTCCTGCGTGTGTCGACATAGTGACGGGGCATGGAGGGATTCCTGATTTGACGTTTCTGGTAACCGAGGGCAAAAGGCAAGATAGTTTATGGCTTCAAAACAGAAGGCCTAAGTAGGTACGTACCCACTGCCATTGCCAGGAGGGGCTTTCCGGTGGCCCGAGCGCACGTGACAGCGCTTTGACAGCCGGAGATACTGTACTCCGGGGCCACAGCACAGTAACGTTACTGTACTGACGTGATGCTCCCTGCGTAGCTCTAAAAAGAAAATATCATTTTGTCCTCTGTCGACAACGGCCAGCCAGCCAGCTCCCTCCCTCTCCCATGATTCAGCCATCAAGGGATTCGTGCTTGGCCACAGCTCTCACTGCCAACTCCCAGGCGATAATCGGCATCTCGCAGTACTCGGCCCTCTCGCTTCAAAGCCGCGAGGCCACCGACTGGCTTCAGTCGCATTGACACCCTCTGGCCATGGCAGCTTCTCCCTCCGTCGATGCAGTCCTGTCCAGCTTCCTTGTAGCCCCGAGTCGCAGATAGGTCGTTCTGCGGGCCTTGCAGCATGACTTCAAAACGGAGCGAGTTCAGCAGCTTTTACGAGGACCGCATCTCGGCTCACCGACTGCCACACTCGCGAGACCACGTCTGGGGCCGCTGGAACGAGCCGAGCGTCCTTTTGTCAGTCCTCGCAATAGCCATTACCATCGCCTTCAAGGTCTACAGCACAAACGGCTCGCTCGAAAACCTGGTGGGCTCGCTCGCGAACCTTGTATGGGACTGCATCATATTCGTCATACCGGCCCCCTTGCTCTTTGCCTTGGACGGCCGGATAAATTCTTCATCGCCTCGACAGCGCACGCTCGACGACGCTCGTCGAAGCACACATGCCGCCAAAAGGGAGGCCATGAGCAGGTTAATCGGGCTGGACCGCCCCGGTGGCATGCTGGCTTCCATGTCGCAGGCAAGAACACGAGCCTTGTCCGTGACAGGAAGTGTCCTAGGGTTGAAGCTCGACTTCCAGCGTCCGCCAGGCCTAGGCAATAGAGACAATTCATGTTACCAGAATAGCATTCTGCAAGGCCTGGCAGCCTTGCACTCCTTTTCCGACTACCTTTCGGCCTGCGTGCGCGCCGTTGACTTGCGCGAGGACGGCAGCGACGTTGCTCAGACGCTGCGCGCTCTCCTGTGGGATTTAAACGACCCGTCCAACAACGGCAAAACGATATGGACGCCCAGTTTGCTCAAGTCCATGAGCACATGGACGCAGCAAGACGCGCAGGAATACTTTTCTAAGATGCTTGACGACATTGACAAGGGCGTTGCAAAGGCCGTCAAGGCCACGCGTCGATACTCCGGACTCGAGGCAGACTGCGGCAAAGACGATACAGTCGCCAGCCAACACAGCGATGACAGTGGCTACCAGAGCCTGTCGTCGAGCCCGGATCTGTCGGCCATCAGGCCACTGCGCAACCCACTCGAGGGCTTATTGGCGCAGCGGGTCGCCTGCGTTGCGTGTGGCTACGCGGAGGGACTTTCCATGATTCCTTTCAACTGCCTGACATTGAGCCTCGGGCTGGACAAGAATCGGCATGACCTCTTTGAGCGATTGGATGCGTATAGCCGGGTGGAGAGCATCGAAGGGGTCGAATGCCCCAAGTGCACTCTTCTCAAGGCGCAGAGACTCTTGACTAAGCTGATTGAGAAGCTGCAGAGCAGCGGTGCCGCCTCGGAGCAACTGGCCGAGCCCTGCCGCAGGCTCGGGGCGGTCGAGACGGCGCTTGAAGAGGACGATTTTGACGAAAAGACGATTGCCGAGAACTGCAAGATCTCGAGCCAGGGCAAGGTCAGCTCGACGAAGACGAAGCAGATTGTCATTGCCCGGCCTCCACAGAGCCTCGCGATCCACGTCAACCGGTCCGTCTTCGATCCTACGACATTTGACATGATCAAGAACTCGGCCCCCGTCAGCTTCCCGCTGACGCTGGATCTTGGACCCTGGTGCCTGGGCAGCTCTGAAAGCCAGGGAGCTCAATGCGCCATGGAAAAGACGACGGGCGACGCGAACGCAGGCGAGGAGCGGTGGCAACTGGGCCCGACGGCGTCGATGATTGCGGGCGACCTGAGACCCTCGAGACTGACGGGGCCGATTTACGAGCTACGAGCGGCCGTGACACACGCCGGGCGGCACGAAAATGGTCACTACATTTGCTACCGGACGTATCCCAATCAGGCTGCGGCCATTTCCAAGGACGCCCCTGGTGGCCAAGTATCTAGGGACACGGCCATTGCCGATGAAAAGAAGGAGGCGGATACGGAGACGGACGAGGAGGAAACTAAGTCGTCAGGCAAGTCGAGGACAGGCAACCCAGGGTGGTGGAGGCTCAGCGACCACAATGTCAGCCGGGTGGACGAGGGGACTGTTCTCGGGCTATCGCCTGGCGTCTTCATGCTGCTTTATGAGTGCGTGGACCCAAGCATGATGCTGCAGAGCGATGCCGAGTCTACGGGGGACAGGGAGGAGCTCCTGGGGACCGGAGATGAGTTAGTGAAGGATGAAGCAGCCGCAGAGCCCATGGCGACTCGTCGATGCGATGTCGATGCGAGTGGCCCGGAGGAAGTATACGCAGCGAGCAAGGAGGGCGTCGCGGTGGCAGCGGACGGGGACTCGCATGTAGACACGGAGGATGCGGAGAGAATTCCGTTGCCGGCGAGCGACGATGCAGACTTGGAGGTGCCGTGAGGCGATGTTGAGGGATTCTGGACTGCATAGCAACGGAGTTTGGGCGGTTGGGGCTATCTTCCTAGAGGGATGGCGGAGCAAGCGAAGAAATGTAATTCGCTAGTGTGTCTTGGGAAAGTCGAGTTGTCTGTACGACATGGCAGGCTCGTGCTTGCAAGAGTGCCAGCCAGCGAGGAAGGCCATGTGTGCGGCACGCGAGGCAGGGGCAGTTTGGAATTTGCACCAAGTTGACTGTCTCAGTGAAGCTGTGGTGATGGGGAGGAGGGAGTTTCAGCCCCGTGGACGAACGAAGGCTGAAGTTGAATGGGGCCATTGTATGCGGGGACGGGCATTTGGGGGCAAGAGGAGCAAATGCCGCCTAGATGGCAGATGGTGATAGTAAAGGTGGCTTTGCGGAAAAGGGGGAACAAGAGTTGAGTGGGCAATGTTGGGGACTGAACCCTGAGCGCTTTATTATCCGACGGGCTTTACTACGCACATTTTAACCTCTGGTTTTATCTCATCGTCATCATGGTCGTACACTCATCCAGTCTATTCTGGTACGCACCTTGATGAAAATGCATTTTCGAAGAAGCATCACGGGACGAGGCGTGCAAGAGTGATTGTCGATCATGGTGCAAGAGGGTGCTCTGGCCCGGCAGCGTGCATTCCGGCGTGGCGGCACGGGCTGATTATTAGAGTCGTGTCGCTACGGGTACGGATACGGGAAGACTAGCTGACAAGCGATGCAGTAGCTACCTTATCGGGGACAGCAAGCTTTGATGAGCTTGGTGAAGGCAAGGTTTCTTGATGCAGACCAACACTAGAGTTGTTGGTCGACGAATGGTGGACTCACTGCAACGGCCAAGAGCACACCGCATGATGCTTTTTCGGGCCCAGGACGACACGACGCCTGCATGTAGAAACAGCCTTGTGCTTCAGACTACCAAACTGCCCGGGCTACTTACTCTAAGCGTACTTCGGGCGTAGTGGCAGGGGAGAGAGACAGGAACGCACATGAGACACACAAAACGTCTAGTTCAACAGTTGACCAAAAGGCATCAACTGTAATTACATCTAAGAACTGCGGGGAGACTCCGGCCCGCTCCTCCAGCGGCCAACACACCCCACAGGAGGGGGCGGATGGAAGCGGAGCGAGAGAGGACCCGACGGCTCGCGTGAACAAGCTCCGGGCACTCGCCGACGCCATTTACCCGGGGGCACGTGCGTCGACGAGTTGCAGACAAGCAAGGCCTCGCTTCACAGCAGCTGGCCCATGGAGGATGGAGGTGGAGGAAGATCGAGATCAGTCTGAGATGGTGTAGATTTTCTCGCTTGGCAAAAGAGCGCGTGTCTCAGATTTGTGCCATGAGCCGGTACTTGGCGGTACATGCGAGAGCTACCTTGCCTAGTAGATATTTGGTATCTCTGCGTCCGGAGCACAGCACCGCACTGGACGCCTGCCTCCCCAATGAGACAGAGCATCGGCGGTGCTTCGCCTCATTCGACGCCAGCTGGGCATGCTGCGCCTGCTTATGCGCGAGGTAAGCATCTCGCAGCCATCCGAATCTGACATGCAGCCCAATTTACCACTCTTGCCACTGCAGAGCCATCCCACTCCATGCTTGTTTCCCTTCGGACAGGACGGTCGAGAGTCTACCAGCGAGATACCTGCAGCGGGAACTGAGAATGTACCGCCAAGTAGTCCGGGCCGCAAAAAAGGGGGAACCGGGAGCGGGCGGGGCTTAGCTTCTAGGGGTTCAGCACCTTTTCCATTGCATCATGCCCATCACGGTACCCCCAGCTACCGAGCCACGGCCTCTAGAGATACCCCCCCAAGTCCGTGTCCGGAGGCGCTTCATGACAAGTAGCTTATCGGCCATGTAGGTAATTACCTTGGGTAACTATTACACGCCTGAGCCTCTCACTGATACCACCACACCGGCGCTTCAGGTACAGAGTAAACAGTACATACAGGTACAGAGTAAACAGTACATACAGGTACAGAGTAAACAGTACATACATACGCCTGGCCGTCCCGCTTCGGCTCCGCGACTTCAGCCCCCCCCCCGATCCATCTCTCTGCCTGCAGGCGTAACGCTCACAATTTGTTTTTCCTTTTTCTTCCTTTCCTTCGTTCCGGTTTCCCACAGCAGGTAATAAATCACTCTCTTTTCGCCATCCCGTCTCTTCGCGTCGCCAAACAGCACTCCGTCACACACATTGTAATTACATGCTCGTCCAGAAGCACTCGCACGCAACCCGACCGCCTCGACACACGCCGACTCTCGCCGACACACGCCGACACACCGCTGCATGACCGCGCGCTCGGCGCCCGCCCCGGCCCTTTGGCTTCTCACCATCGCCTCGACGGGCGGCGCGCCCTCGTCTAGATGACCATGTCGTCCAAGTCGCCCGCCTCGTCACCCGCCCTGTCCCACTCGTCGACGGCAACCTTCGTCGTGGCCGACGAGGAGGCTGCCGTGGGCAAGCTGGCCCCCATGTCGCCGCCCTCAAAGGGCCTGCATCCGGTCCTGCACATTGCGTATGCCGTCTGCCTCAACTCCTCCGTGCGCTCCTGGACTGACGGCCCAACAGCACCTGGATCTTCTTTTCCAACATTACCATCCTCTTCAACAAATGGATACTCGACACTGCTGGCTTTAGTAAGGACCCCCGGTGTCATTCATTGCTCCAGAGGATAAGAACAGCTGCTGACCTCCATGTGCCTTGCTCTAGGATACCGTACGTCTCTACCACATCACCGCCATGTCCGCTGCTAACCTCTCCCCAGCCGTCCTCCTCACCTGCTGGCACCTCGTCTTCTCCGCCATGGCCACCCAGATCCTCTCCCGCACCACCTCGCTCCTCGACTCGCGCCACCGCATCCCGATGACCCCCCGCCTCTACCTGCGCACCATCTGCCCCATCGGCCTCTTCTACTCGGGCTCCCTCGTCTGCTCAAACCTCGTCTATCTCTACCTCTCCGTCGCCTTCATCCAGATGCTCAAGTCGGCTGCCCCCGTCGCTGTCCTCTTCGCCTCGTGGGCCTGGGGCGTCGCAGACCCCAGCCTGGCCTCCTTTCTCAACATTCTCGTCATCGTCGCCGGCGTCGCCCTCGCCTCCTTTGGCGAGATTCAGTTTTCCCTCATCGGCTTTCTGTATCAGATTGGCGGCATCGCCTTTGAGGCCGTCAGGATCGTCATGATTCAGGTCATGTTGAGTGTCGAGGGGCTCAGGATGGATCCCCTCGTTGGCCTCTACTACTATGCCCCCGTCTGCGCCGCCATGAACCTCCTCGTCGCCCTCTTTACCGAGATTCCCCGCTTCCACTGGGACGACTTGACCCGCGTCGGCTTTGGCCTTCTCTTTGTCAACGCCCTCGTTGCGTTTTTGCTCAACATCGCCAGCGTCTTTTTGGTACTCCCCACCCTCTCTACTCGTCTTCCACGCGACAGCCTCGCTAACCGCCTCCCACCCAGATCGGCAAAACGTCCGGCCTCGTCATGACCCTCACCGGCATCTTCAAAAACATCCTTCTCATTGTCGTCTCCATCGTTATCTGGCAGACGGAAATCACCCTCCTCCAGGGCGTCGGCTACACCATTGCCCTCGCCGGTCTCACCTACTATTCGGTCGGCCACGACCAGCTCGCCCGCTCCGCCCACGCCGCTCTCGCTTACGCCGCCGCCGCCGTCAGCCCCTCATCCTCGTCCGCCCTGCAGGTCCGCAGGATCGTGCTCCTCGCCATCTTTGCCCTGAGCAGCTTGCTCGTCATCATGCTGACTATGCGGCGCTACGACGCCAGGACTGTCTATTCGCCTCCTACGGTTATTGGGACCGAGTGAAGACGGATACATGATGAAGAATGTGCTCCCAATTTACTAGAAAAAAAAGTTGAAACCAAGATCCACTTAGGCGCACTCCTGGCAGTACTTCGCAGATGAGCTCTCATCAAACTTCGCATCGCGACGCTTTGCTCCGTGATGTGAGTTCGTAGATTCACTTTTCGACTCTCCACGTCTCGCAGCCCCTGAAACAAGTCGCATCAGCCCAGCCAACCTCGGCATATCTCTTCATGGAGATAGCCAATCAACTAATCAAACACGGGTATCTTCTGTGCCCTACGTTTCCTTTCAACTCCATGACCACTCGACTCATCCACCCTGCCGTCCCCTCGCGCCGACGAGAACAACTCCACCAGCCGGCCCGCCCGCCGCTCCGTCAGCGACTCCTGGTCCGACGGCGGCTGCGGCTGCCATGTCGTCGCTCCCGCCGAGGCGAGTGGCTGCGGTCTCGTCTGCTTTTCGCCTCCCGGTCCCGGTCCCGGTCCCGGTCCCTGTCCCTGTGTCTATCCCTGTCCCGGCTCCGGTCTCGGTTTCGGTCCCGGTCACGTCCCTGGCTCCGACCCCGATCCCGATCCCGATCCCGGTCTACATCCCTGTCCCTCTCCCGCTCTCGGTCGCGAGCTCTGCCCCCGTCGCGACTGCGGCTGCGAGATCGACTTCTCCGCCGCTCGTCACGGCCTTCGAGGACGCGGGCGTTAGCGTCTCGCCCACAGGAAAAGCGTCGCACAAGCTAGAGTTCGTCTTACCGCTGGGCTTATCGTCCACCCCGGGCACTGGCAGACCCTTCTCCCGGGCGTCCTTCTGCGCCGCTAGGTAGGCCTTGGCCTCCTTCTCTCGTTTCTTGACCTCCTCTCGTTTCCATTCCTCCAGTTCGTCCTTGGCCGCCGACGCCGGCCTTGCCGCCGACGTGTTGGGGCGCGATCGCGAGCGGCTCCTCCGCGCTCGTTCGCGGCCCGTGTCCCGGTCCCGGTCCCGGTCCCGCTCACGTTCCCTGTCGCGGACGCGTTCCCGGCTCCGCCGACGTGGCGATAACCGCGTGGTCCCTCTAGGATCGTAATGGTCAGCACCTGCCCGCCGACTGTCTCGAGACCGACTGCGATCTCTTCTGCTGCGAGAGCGGCTTCTTTTACGTCTGTCGGATCGATGATCTCTGTCCCGGCTACGCTGTCGCCTGTCACTTCTGACATGGGATCGGCTTCGGTCTCGTCGCCTGGACCGACTCCTTCGTGAGTGTTCGCGCTTGGCTCGAGAGCGACTTCCATCGTACCGGTCATCCCTCCGTCGAGAACGACTCCTCTCCCGCCTCGGCCTGGATCGGCTGCGTGCCCGTCTGTCTCCATCGCGAGATCGGCTGCGGTCCCGCCTCGGAGAATAAGATCGTCGGTCGCGATGACGGCGGTCGCTGGGCTCTTGGACCCGGCTTTGATTCCCAGGCCGCTTCCTGTCCTTGTCACGAGCGCGCGAAGCACTTCTACTACTTCGCCCGTTATCTCGCGTTCCAGGTGGCTTGGAGTCGGCCGGGTTCTTTGAATCCCTGCGATCACCAGACTTCCGAGAATCGGCAACCTTGGGCGAGTCCCTTCGAATGGGATTGATGGCAGAAGTAGGTCCGGCTCTCCTCGGTGGCGGTGCCAGAGCGGAATCGACCTCTAGCTCGGGTTGCGCGCGAGCAGCCTTACTACTCTCGCGAAGAAGATCGGCTAGGGCCTCCTGTTCCAGCCTCTCATTTTCCTCCTTGGTGAGGCGTTCCTTGAGTTCCTCAGACGTAGCGTCAGTGTCCTTGGGACGGGCGTCTCGGTCACGATCGCGCGTTTGGCCCCGGTCTCGACTCCGATCCCGCTCGCGTTCTCGATTCCTGTTTCGGTCTCGGTCACGATCGCGCTCGCGGTCACGCTCACGATCACGTCGCTCGCGCTCCTTGTGCCTGTCCTCGCGCTCCTTATCGCGCTGCTTCTCTCGTTCCTCCCTTTCCTTTTCTCTCAGTTTTCTTCTCTCGTCGCGCTCCGCTTGCCGCTTCAGCTCAGCTTGTTCGCGCTCTCGCTCTTCTCTGCGCCGTTCTTCTTTGGCAATCCGCCGCTTCTCCTCTTCAATGGCAGCTTCTTTCTGCTTCAGCTCTTCTCGGAGTCGCTCGCGTTCAGCCTTTCTCGCTTGGGTATCCGCAGCATATTGGTCGTCTGTTTTCGACCCGCGGATTCTCTCGGCCTCGGCGGCTTCGTCACCAATCTCAGCACGGCGGATCTCGCGAATGCGTGCTTCGATGGCGCCGTCGTCGATGAGCTGTCCAATGACCTCTTCCGCCTTCTGGTAGACGCCGGAGCGCTCCAGGGCGCCATCGATGAGCGCTGCGGCCTTGCGTCGATCCAGCGTGAGAAGCTGCCGGGGGTTTCGCTCCACTTCCTGCTCGGCAACCGCGAGAATGGCCTTGGTGACCTGAGCCTCGTAATCCTAATGGGAGATGATTAGCTTCGGTGCTGCAGGAGGCATGCCTTTGCAGAGAAAACGTACGCTGGCCTCAAACTTGTCCCACACTTGCTTGCGAATCGAATCGTACGCGCCCTCCTTCTTGAAACTGTGGGCAAGCGACTCAATGGCCGCACGGGTCGCCGATGGCAAGGGTAGATCGGAGGCTTTGAGCTTGCGTGGAGCTGGGGGGCCAGGGCCCGTTTCAGCAGCTTCGTCGGGTTCTTGTGCGGGAGCAGCCATGGTGAGAGGGCGCCGCTGCCGGACAAGTGCTCGTGCGTGCTATGTTACGTGCGAGGCGCAGGTGTTGATGGCATGCACGATACTTTACCTGAGCATCTCAGGCAGCTCGAGTGGTCCGCGGCATCGAAGTGTGGCGGAGTGAAGAATCTGAGATGCAGCTTTGCAGCTGCTGCTCAGCGGCAGAAGACGAAGGTTGTGGGTGTGTCACTTGGGGGAAGCCTCGCCCGCCAGCTGCCAGTTACGGGGCACGAAGTACGTACCTGCATCATTCAGGCTGCCAACGCCAACGCACGTGACCGCACTCCCGGGTCGCATCACTGACTCCCTGTCTGCCACTTTCGTCACTTCATCACTGAGCCCTGTGCAGGTGCTTGTGACGTGCAGACTGGCCCGCCACAATGACACACACACCGATAGGAATGGACGAATGGAAGAAAGGCCTATGCGTGTTGAGGGGAACAGTGTCAGACGCTTGGGCTGCAAGTGCTCCGTCTGTTACTGCATGCCTGGGCTGCAACAGGATAGACCGCTGAGCGGCTTGAGCTACTTGATGGCCCTGTCGAAAGCAACTCTCCGCATTACATCCATCAGCCCAGAGAATCCATCATGGATATCATAACCCACCCTCATCGTAGAGCGGAGAGGCCCCAATCCGTAAAACGCCTTGCCGTACAAGTGAATCCCTCGGGCCGAGCACCCAAGCCCCCAGTCTAGAACTCGCCCTCGCCGCCATTCCCAACTACGCTGGCCGTCCAGAGGCCGACAAGCCCCCACCAGTTGACCTTCCATCCCCTCCAGAGACCCTCCATCCCCTGGCCCTTTCTGTGCGTTGGCTGCAGCGCTCTGGCGCCTGCCCGCCCCTTTCTTGCCGCCGCCTGCTTGGGCGGCACCTCTCGCGTCCCCTCCTCGGACGCGATATGATACAAGGTGCCGAATATGCCATTGTAGCGTCCGACGGGGACAATGGTCTCCATATTCTGCCCCTTTGCGCTAAAGGCCCGAACGTATGTTTGGCCCGAGAGCACCGCCATCTGGCCGCGGCGAAGCACCGTCTCGATGGGCAGCTTGATGAGGATCGCGGCCGACGAAGCGCAAAATTTTGTCACGGAAAAGGTCATTGGTGAGACTTGACTATCAATCATGAATCGAGTCCGGAGCAGCAGCGGCGTGGAAAGCGTGAGAAGCGGATGTATAAGCGAGTTCAAAATGGTTGGGATCGCAATCGAAGAGGGGCACAAATAGGAGGGGAGAGCCCGGAGAGAAGCCAGCGTTCGTCGCTGCCCGCTGTTGCCGGGAGTCATGATGAGCCTGTGATTGTCAGTTTTTGCCCACCATGGACTCAGGCGATCCACGAGACATTACCTCGTGCGCACCAGGTCTAGAGGTGACAAGAGCACTCCGGTTGCAACAGCTGCGGTTCCCGCGACGAAAAGCGACGCCCATGGATATGGAGAGGCAATGTCGACAAGACGGTCAATGTCTTCCTTGACGCCCAAGTCTGGGACATTGAGTATAGCGCTCAAGAAGCTTCTCGACCAATTCTCCAGGAGTGACTGCAGCACGGTGTAGAGGAAGGTTGCGTTGGAGCCCTTCCACACACCCCAAGCTCCGTCTTTCTGCCATAGCTGCCCAATTACCTCGAGCACAGAGTCCGGTCGCCGTAGATGCAGATGGTGTTCCGACGTCGCAGGCTGCTTGGCTCGTTGCGGCGATCGGGTAGGCGACGCCGCGCGGCCGGCACGAGCGGATCGGCTTCTGTATAACGGCGTTGGGGTATCGGGGGCTGTAGAGGTAAAATAGGAGATTTCGTCGCCTTCTGAATCCGAGTCCTGGTTCTGCATGGACCATCAACTCATGAGCACTAGCAAAGCCGCAGATGGACTCACGTCGTGTGCAGAGACGCCGCGACTCGACGTCTGTCCCCTCAGCGTGTTTGCTTTCAGGGGCGACTCGTGTGCCACATTATCGCCTTGGTCCTTGGCCTGGAGGATGGTCTTTGCCACCTCAAAGGGCTGGGCCATCAGCACGGAAGCGTACTTCCATATCAGTTCGTCGACGAGCTCCTTGATGTTCTGGCCCAAGGATGGCGACGATTCGCCTATGTAGTCCTTGTAGTCTATATCGGCAAAGACATGGCGGGCCCGCGAAGCGTATCCGGCGTCGGCAGTCGCATTTCTCCCGGCAAATGGCTTTGCGCTCGCCGCGGGGACGGCATCTGCGGCGTCGCCAATGGTTGGCGGTATGTAGTAGGGCCTCAGGGGGTTGACTCCCTCTCTGTGCGTCGACATGATGGGCGATGCAGATGTAAACTCATCGGAGTTGTTTGTCTCGTCGAGCGAGGAAATGAAGGCATGCAATGCGCATGAGAGAAGTCGTCGCGTCAACAAGCCGGCTCGGAGCTAAGGCGGCCCACGGCGAATGGATTTCCCGGCTGATAAACCACTTATCGGAGCTCCGTTTCTAAGCAGCTTTTCTGCCATTGCTCGCCAGACAGACCCTCAGGTCCCCCCGAGAGCTTACGATGCGCCGACGGCCGAGGTGATTTGTACGGCTTCGACTGGCTCTGTAGCGGATTCTCATTCATTCGCGGTCGTGCGACAAGGACGCCTTCGACAACGGCGATTGTCTTGCTTCGGTTCACACTAGTTGCAGTCACAGATTCCCCATGTCCATCCCAAGGACAGTCAATCTGGCCATCGCGGCCTGTCGGCGGATACCGCCGGGACGCACGAACTCTGCGACGGGGTTGATCACATCACGATTCAAGGAGCATTATCTGTCCAAGGCCCTGCTATCAGTCGTGGCGCCCGTGCCAGTCGCATCCCGCCGTCGCTTCACCACAACAGCGCCACGGCGTCATGGGCACATCGAGCCGCCCAAGCCCGGCCAAGAGTAGGTGTCGTCATGTCCCCCCTGCGCAATTGCTCGCAGCTAACCAAAGGAACACAGACTGTACGTCACCTTCATTGAAAAGGACGGCCAAGAGCACAAGTTTGCGGTATCAGAGGGCGACAATCTGCTCGACATTGCGCAGGCCAACGACCTAGAAATGGAGGGCGCATGCGGAGGATCCTGCGCCTGCTCAACTTGCCATGTCATTATCACCGACGAGAGCTACTACGACAAAATGCCCGAGCCCGAAGACGACGAGAACGACATGCTGGACCTGGCATTTGGATTGACCGAGACGAGCCGGCTGGGCTGCCAGGTCAAGATGAAGAAAGAACTGGACGGCCTGGTCGTCAAGTTGCCTTCGATGACGAGGAACATGCAGGCGAGCGACTTTCAATAACCACATGAACGCCTTTACAGCCTTGTCCAACGTACTCAATCTGTTATAGTATAAGCGCGCATGTATGCAAATCAGGGGGTCCATGTATGAATCACGGGAGGGAGCGCTATCAGGGGGTATCTCGGATGCATTTGTAGGCGACAAGACTCTGATGATTGCTTCACTCACTCCCTCTCACGAATGCCCCCAACTCGGCAAACCTCTTACGCCTCCTCTAGCGCGCCCTTCTTCAAGCCACCGCCTCCAGAAGCGATCAGGTCGAGAAAGCCCTTTTTACTGAGCTCATTGACCTTTTCCTCCCGACGGTTGCTGCCAATGACTCCAGTCTTTTTGACATCCCTCTCAGCCTCGGCGGCCTTGACCTGTGCCGCCCTCACGGCATTGAACATTTTAATAACGCCGCGTTTCGCCACCTCTCGTAGTTTCCGCTCCGTCTGCAGGACCTGGGCCGTCGATGCCTCGGGGTCTCCGGTCACGTCGCTATTGGTAGCCAAGAGCACGTCCTTGACGCGGCCCTTTTCCAGAGCCCTCCTCTTCTGCTCCTTGAGATGCCGCCGAGCCTTTGCTTCCAATGCGCCATCTACGGCTGCTTTGGAGGCCTCGTGCGCTTCCGCGCTCCGGGCCAGTACGGGATCCGACCTTTTCGACGACGATAGCTTGGTGGACAGAATCTTGGAAAGAGAATTCGCAAAGGCGCCTGGGTCGTTTCGCTTGGATTTCGGTTTGCTATGGGCCTGGTCATTCTCGTCGAGGTCATCGTCGTCTTCGTCCTCGTCGTCTTCGTCATCTTCGTCACCAGCGTCCGGCCTTCTTTTCGCCGGCGCTTGGGTGCTCTTGGACTTTGGTCTCGTCTTCACGGCCTTTCTAGAATCGGATGCGCCTTGGTCGGAGCTTGAAGAATCGTCGTCGGCACCAGCGGCATCTTCGACAGTTGCATTGTGAATGTCATCGTCCGAGTCGAGCAGATTGACAGCGTCAAATTGTTGTTGGTCTTGCTCGCTCTCGGCGTCGCTGTGGTATTCCTTTTGCCGCTTCTGCTTTTTCGATGGGCGTTGTAGCCGGCCGTCCAAGGGCCGCTTCTTGTGTGCGTGTCCAGCCATCCAAACGGCCGTGTGCGTGTGCGTGTCCAAGCAATCAATCTGGCGGTCTTGGAGAAACTGGACGAGGCTTGGAATTCTGCCGGGCAGTTTTTTCCGACATCGAGGGGCAGGGTCAAGGCGGTGTAGGCGCTGGACTGAGGCAGTGGAGCGCGCGCGCCGACTAGCGGCTTTTCAGCCAAGACCTTGCTTGGTACGTACCCACCCGTATTCGTAGGCTTCCCCCTATCGGTGTACAGGTAGGCCGTCACGACATCGCTCCATCGAACGCCCGTGGCCGAACCTACAATGTACAACAATCTCTTCAAGCGGCTACGCAAATACGTTGAAGTACGCTATCAATGGCCATGCAAACATCTCTTTCGAGCCACCTGGCAACTTGAGATGAAACATGGCCTCAGAACACCGTCAAGACCACATCGTTTGTATTGCTGCTCTTCTGTTGGATCCAGCCACTGCACAGCTACAACCCCCGATATCTTGCCTCTTGGTCCAGATGCACTGCGCTCCTCAGCTAGTCACATTCTATCATGAGCCAAAGAGCCCGATCTTATCCCAGAAAGACCCGCCAGAGCTGAAGCCTGCGACTACAGGGGCCTCGACAAGCTCCGTGCGCCACTGCTCCTGGCCATCAATGAAGAGGCGGTATTCCAGCGTGCTTCCACTAGCAATCTGCTCCATGGTAAATGTTCCAAACTTTGACGTGCCGGAAGGGATGTATCTAGAAATTGAACGTCAGCAACTGCTCTTCGGTTGATGCAGGAAGCCATCACAAATCCCTACTTGAGCATGATATCCTCTTCATCCTGTTGCTTGTAAGTGGGGATAGGCGATGCAAACTGGTTCAGCGGGCTCGTAGAGAACTCGAACGCAGCCGCAGTCTCTGGCCATCGAGACTCGGGCGGAGGCGGAAACTTGGTGGCTGCGAATTCGTGTCGGTCGCCCGAGAGGATGACCACGGTGGTGCCGCGCGCGCCAGCTTCCCACATGGCTTCCAGGATTCTTTTCCGCTCGACGAGGAATCCGCCCCAGGTGTCCTTGACGTTGACAGGCCAGTTCTTGGTAAACGGCACAGACGACGCGACAAATTTCCACTTCACCCCCTTGGGCTCCGGTCGTGCCAACCAGGCCAGGAAATCCGTCAGCTGTTCCTCGCCGAGCATCGTCTTCTCCAACTCGTCAAAAGGCTTGCTGTTGCTGGAGCGATAGCTGCGGGTGTCTAGCATGAAGAAGCTGGCAGGTCCTTGGACAAACTCGTACCAGGTTGCCCCGGTACGTCGCTGATTCTTGCTGCCGGCCTTGAGGGCGACAGGAGGGTTGACATCAGCTTGATAAATGTGCCAAGGGTCAACAGCTGCTTTGTAGACACCCGTGGAATTGGACGACCAGTCATTGGAAATCTCATGGTCGTCGAGGACGTGTATCCAGCTGAGGTTTTGGCCTACGGGAGCCCAATCGGGAGAGGCGTAAACCTGGCGATACTGCATTCGATATTCCTCAGCCGATTTTCCAAATCGCTCCGGAACGTCAACATAGATAAAGTCTCCCAAAAACAACATGAACTGAGCTCCGAGGTCAGGGAGTTTCGTCGCCAAGTGACGCAGGCCGGGAATGGCGAGTGCGTGGTCAAGCGGATTATACGGGAAACGAGGCAAGATACACGAGGTCGAGATGAAGGTGAATTTTCCGTCGTTGTACTTGGGCATGGAGCCTGGGTTGGGCGGAGAAAGGAATTCTCCCGTGTGGTTGTTTGAAGTCCTCCACTCGTATCGCCGTTGCTCAGAAAGCATCAGGGGAACCAGGATCGTGGCCGTAAAGTCTGTAGTGTTTGAAGTCCACCGCACCCCCCCGGCGGTCTGCCACAACGGATTGTCGAAAGGAGGCTGGGGTTCCTTGATGCGGATGTCCAGAGTGACGGGCATCTTGGCTTGATCGGGTTCTCGAATCAAAAACTTGGCCTCGGTTGAATCGACGTATCCGAGACGGACGAATGATAGATCTTGAGCTTGGTGGTACCATCGTGATCGATATAGAGCGTCAATAGTCAATCCGACGAGAAGCACGTTGATGAGAAATGTCATGGCAGAGAGTATCGGCCGCCCGGCACCCGGCGCGCCGTATAAAAGTATCCTCCATGGACTTGTGGTCTTTTCAGCCAGAATGATTCTCTCCTTGACGGCAACCTCTTCGGTAACCGTCTCCGGTTCAGGCTCGAGGGCAACGCCATCTTCTGTTAACAGCGGAGTCTCAGAGGAGACCTTAGTTTCCTTGACGGCCACCTGGACCCGGTCGTCGACGACCTCGAGCTCAGGTTTGGCGAAACAGCTGGCGAGGAAGGCTGGCGCGTGGATCGCAAACAGGGCAAACGTGATGGAGGGGAAATGGGCCTGGGAGCTAGTTAGAGAGCGTCGGCTCGGGCACCGATGATTGCATCGGCAGGCTTACAGGAAACTAATAGCACATCAGTCAAGAGTCATTTAGAATAGCGGTTGATAATGGGAGACGAACGAGGCGAAAGAAAATGATGGAAGATATCCTCAAGGCGACTGAGGCCACCGTTGCAACCACATTTTGGAGCGCCATAGAGGGTCCCAATGGCGGACAATTCCGTCTGGTCTTGTTTAGCTTCCAGGCAAACTGGCCGTAAGATCCGTGCAAAGACGAGCAAGACGTAGAAGAAGGTCAAACGAGGCGGGAAAGCAGAGACGGAAGCGGGCAAAGGAAAGTCGAGACATACGAGGATGGTGATGGCGTATTGGAGCAGGCGAAACCGCGCTGCATCTCGTCGGCAGCGATCGACGTCACTAACTACTCCGTACCGATTTCTGGGACGCGTCGTGGCGCAGCCATGCAGGCTGTGGCTTGACCCCCAAGTAAGTAAGACCAGGGGGTCGGCCGGGGTGAAATTCCGGGCCGAAGCTCTTCGTGGCCCCTACGGAGTAGAGCTCCCGAAGTTGCGCTGCAGCCAACATCACAATCCAACTGGCGACACATTGCCCGACCTGCCCTTGCAGCAGCACGCGACAAGGCACATACAAACGACGCAATGAGATTGCCTACGATAGCAGCGGGCGTCGTCGCCTGCATGGCCATGGTCGCCAGCGCCGCCGCTGCCACGGCGTTGACCTACAAGCTGGTCGCAGGCGAGAAGGCCTGCTTCTACACGGAAACGACGAGGGACAACGAGAAGGTGGCATTTTACTTTGCTGTGGGTAGCCCCATGCGCTGGGACGGTTGGCGACAGAGGCCTGACGTTTCTTGGTGTCACAGGTTCAATCAGGCGGCTCTTTCGACGTCGACTATGCTGTCGAGGGACCGGGCTCCCGCGTCATTCTCCAAGGCGAGAAGGAGCGCCAAGGCGACTTTGTCTTTACGGCGCAACACATTGGCGAATACTCATTTTGCTTCGACAATGAAATGAGCACCTTTACCGACAAGCTTGTCGACTTCGAGATTTCGGTGAGCTGGCTCTTTGATCTTGTCGCGGGCGCAAGAGCCTAGCTAAACATTAATGCCACAGAGCGAGCACGAGACGCGATCTGCGCAGCTGCCGTCCAAGCAGGGCACCTCGCCTGAGCAGACATCGGTCCTGGAAGAGTCCATCTTTAAGATTTCTGGGCAGCTATCGACCATCTCGCGAAGTCAAAAATACTTTCGAACTCGCGAGAACCGTAACTTTAGCACTGTCAACAGCACGGAGAAGCGTATTGTCAACTTTAGCATGATCCAAATTGGGCTCATTGTGTGCATGGGCGCTCTGCAGGTGTTTGTGGTCAGGTTCTTTTTCCAGGTAGGCCCTCCTCGAGGTCCTCGGCCAGTCGCGCTCTTCACTAATTCTTCTTCTCTCCTCTTTTCACTCTAGGGCGCACGCAAAGGCTACGTATGAACGCTTTCAATGGCTTGGTCAGGTATCGGCGGGATGCAAGCGACGAGGCAAGGGAAAGAGGGACAAGACAGGGGTGACGTGGTCGTGGCAGGTGTCAATATACAGCGAAAGGATCATCGATCAATCTTGGGCCAAAGATTCCATGAAGTCAATGAAGTTGCAAGGCTGGGACTTGTCCATCCTCAGACGGCGCAAGTTTGCTCTTAAAGACATACCTCTGGTGTGAGGCAGCTTGATCTCCCTTTCTTCATCCTCTTATTTTGCCTTCCTTCGCCGTTTCCTCGCGAGGGACTGACGAGTCGATTGTGTCACAGGCACCTGCTCCTATGCAAAAATCCGAGATGAATTCTCAGTATAGACCCTGAAGACGAAGCTGCTTATTGTTCAAAATACCCAACTGGTAAGTTGAACGAAGTCGTGGTATATGACTGCTGTCATTCTGTCGAATTGGTTGGCGCAGGGACGCGGCTAAGCCACACTGTTGATGCCCCAGCCACACTTGGGAAATATTTACCTGCGCTATTGGTTCTCGGCACTTTGGCCTGCTTCCATCAACCACCACCACACCCCGTTTTGAATGCGAAATGACCTCGATCACCGCCTCTCTCCAGGCCTCGCTGCCCAAACCAAAGTATACGGGCGAAGATGAGGAAGAGGCCTCGCGGTCCCTGCACCGCGGCCCCCGTATCGTCGGCGCCGGGCAGCTCGACGAGACGCAAATCGTGCTGAAGCGGGCAGGGCCCCCGCCCTATGGCCAACGATCAGGCTGGCGACCACGGTCGCAGGAAGACTTTGGCGATGGGGGCGCGTTTCCAGAGGTTCCCGTGGCCCAGTATCCGCTAGACATGGGCAAAAAGAGTGCCTCGACGACCAACGCCTTGGCCATCCAGGTTGATGCCGAGGGCAAAGTCAAGTACGATGCCATCGCACGCCAAGGCCACGGCGACGGCCGCATCATACATACCTCGTTCAAGGAGCTCATACCGCTGCGCCAACGCGCTGACGCCGGCGAGATCGACTTGTCACGTCCCGACAAGGACGCGGTAGCGGCAACGACCGAGAAGACCAAGAACGCCCTCGCGGTCCTGGTCAGTGGAGCCGTCGCATCGCAAAAGCCCAAGAATGTCAACGTTGGACAACGGAAAGACCCTACATTTGTGCGATACACGCCGGCAAATCAGATGGGGGACAACTCGAGGAAGCAGGACCGCATCATGAAGATTGTCGAGCGGCAAAGAGATCCGATGGAGCCCCCCAAGTTCAAGCACAAGAAGATTCCTCGAGGCCCACCCTCCCCCCCGCCTCCTGTTATGCACTCGCCCCCTCGAAAACTTACAGCCGAGGACCAAGAAATGTGGAAGATCCCGCCGCCCGTCTCCAACTGGAAGAACCCCAAGGGTTTCACGGTGCCTTTGGACAAGCGCCTGGCCGCGGACGGACGCGGACTGCAGGATATCGCCATCAACGACAAGCATGCCCAGTTTGCCGAGGCCGTCAAAATGGCAGAACGACACGCGCGCGAGGAAGTGCAGCAGCGAGCCATGATGCAGCAGAGACTGGCGGAGAAGGAGAAGGCGCAAAAGGAGGACAACCTTCGATCTCTGGCACAAAAGGCACGAGAGGAGCGCGCTGGGGCAAGTCGTGGTCGCCGGGACTCGAGGACCTCGCGGGATTCGCGATCACGGTCACGGTCTGGCAGCTACAGCCAGTCCGGATCCGGGTCCGACAGCGAGAGTTCAGATGTCCGAGAGCGAGAAAAGGCCAGACGGGAGCGCAGGAAGGAGGAAGAGAGGAAGCTGCGGCAAAATCGCATGGGCGCAGAACGCCGGATACAAGTCATGGCTCGGGAGCAGAACCGAGACATTTCCGAGAGGATTGCCCTGGGGCTAGCAAAGCCGACACAGGCAAAGGAGACCATGTACGATTCGCGGCTATTCAACCAGTCAAGCGGATTCGACAGCGGGTTCAACGAGGACAACCCATTCGATAAGCCTCTCTTTGCAGCCCAGGAGGCCATCAGCAGCATCTACCGGCCGCGGGCGAACTTGGAGGAGGACGAGGCCGAAGCTGGTGAGCAGGAAATGGCAAAGATTCAAAAGGTTAGCCGGTTTGGGGAGGCATTGGGCAAGGGGACGTTTAAGGGGGCGGCCGAGGTCGAGGTTAGTCTTGCTTTCTTTGTTTCTGTGATTCTTCAGCTGGAACTTGTGCACGCCATGGATGCTAACAAGCCAACCAAAGGCGCGTGAGGGTCCCGTCCAGTTTGAAAAAGAGACTGCGGATCCTTTCAACGTGGACAAGTTCCTGTCCGAGGTGGACCAGAGCTCGTCGTCGAAGCGCGGGTACGGACTGCAGGAGGAAGGAGATCGGCAATCCAAGCGTCCACGAGTGGAGGACGACGACGATGGCTGACGACGAGACTACCGGATGGTCGACGGCGGGGCGTCTGGGGCAAGCGAGGAGAGTTTACTCGGGCACGGCGAGGCGGGATGCGGCCGGGCAGCATCATGAGGCGTAGCACAGCCCGATGAGGCACAGGAGGCAATGGAAGCTTGGCACGAGTGCTGCCCCAGGCCACAGGACTGTCACCGCTTTGCGATCTTTGTCGTGTCGATAAAGTGACTGGACCACGAAAATGATGCGCTGCGCAAACGGGCTTCCCGCGACCAATCTGGCCAGGATGCCGACGGCGGATGCGGTCGCCCGGCTCTGTTGGTCTGTCGCCGGTGAGCAATGCTTCTTCTCCTGCATCTGCAGACACGCACGTCGTCCACCTAGCGTGTCATTCGTGTCAGCGACGGACCAATCGAGGGTTTCGGGCCGAGGGGGCGGATCGACTGCCACCCCCCTATGCATGTCTTGCAGCTGCCGCGCGGCGACCCGGCAGGCTCGATACGAGCATGTCTGGCCACTGGAACCCGCCGCCACAGGAAAAGAGACATGGACGTTGTTACATCGGAAGAGGAGAGAGAGAGAGAGAGAGAGAGCTCCAATGACTTGTCCCTTTGTGCTGGCCCAACGCGGAGCCTCCTGTTGTCACGTCACCCGCTGCATCTTCTCATCAGGGGATCCCGCCTCCCAGAAAGGATCGACGACTCGCAACCCCGAATAATCCAGCCGGGCGTCTTACTGGAGCCATCTAGATGGAGAGAACGCGGCACGCCGGGCACAAGTCGGCGGCGGACTCGACTCTGCCGTACGACGACATTGTCTTTTCGCGCGGCGGGCGCGGCGTCCGCCAGGCTCGCACGAGCATACCCTGGTGGAATCCGCGGTACTGGCGCAAGAGGGCCTGGGTCGGGCTCGGCATCGTCGTCGCCGTCGTCGTCATCGTCATCGTCGCCGTGGCCGTGGTCGTGTCCAAGAAGAATGCTTATCCAGACTATGCGCCCCTTGCTTATGGCCTGAGTGATACGTGTAAGTGGGAGACTGCCTCCGTGCCCGTCTCTACTTTAGAACCGAGGGCTGATGGGCGGGCTCCTCGCCACGATAGACGGAGGAGAGACCTTTTTTGACCAGTTCAACTACTTTACTGGCTACGATCCTGGTGAGACGTCGACCAACTCCGTAATGTCGGGCGCAGCCAGAGCTGACTGCGTGCTGTGTAGCCCAAGGCTTCGTCCATTATGTGCCTCGGCCACAGGCCCAGCAGCTGGTAAGATATCAACCGTCTTCTGAACTGCCCTTTATCTAACCGCACGGCTCGTCTCGCCCAGAACCTCACGTACGCCTCGGCCGAAGCAGCCGTCGTCAGAGTCGACACGAGCGTCGGCCCGCAATCAGACCCCAACGCCTCCACAGGGCGCTTCTCGGTCCGCCTCGAGTCGAGAAAGACCTACAACCAGGGCCTCTTCGTCTTCGACGTCAAGCACACGCCCTACGCGTGCGGCGCCTGGCCCGCCCTCTGGCTGACGGACCCGTCGCACTGGCCCGAGCACGGCGAGATGGACGTCATGGAGTCGGTCAACCACGGCGCCGGCGGCAACCTAATGACGCTACACACCACGGCTGGCTGCTCCATGGGCGTGCGGAGGAAGATGACGGGCCGGGCGCAGACCAACGACTGCGACCACGCCAAGGACCAGAACGCGGGTTGCGGCGTCGCGGGCGGCGACGGGTCCTTTGGCGCGGCCCTCAACGCCCAGGGCGGCGGCGTCGTGGCCGTCGAGTGGCGCGAGGCTGGCATTCGCATGTGGCAGTTTGCTCGTCGCGCTGTCCCCGACGACGTGGTCCGCAAGAGGCCCGACCCGGCGCGCTGGGGCACTGCGGCGGCAGACTTTCCGAATACCAACTGCGCCGTCGGCTCGCTCTTTAGGAACAACTCCATTGTCGTCAACATTGACCTCTGCGGCGACATGGTCAACGCCGGCTGGGAACAGTCGGGATGTAAGTCTCGTCTTCCCATGGCACGTCCGGCTCATGCCCGAGTTCTCTCAACTAACGGCGACGACCCTCAGGTCCCGGCAAGTGTACCGATGTCGTGGCGAACCGGCCCGACCTATTTCAGACTGCGTTTTGGGAATTTGGCAGGTTTGAAGTGTACCAGCCATTATCATCACGATGAGCACTTCAGGGGCCGCGGCAGAGATGGCGGAAAGGAGGGAGGCACAAGTACTGCGCGGTGCCTGCAGGGTGCGTCTTTTTATGACAGGGCTGGGCGGTAATACTGTGTATCGACCCTTGGGTAACGAATATCTTGATGGAAGCATGGCGCTGGGAAACTTATGGTGGCAAAATAATGGCATATTGGAGTGGACCGAGAGCATGGATGGCGAAGATGACTTTTTCGCTATATCGTTCCATCATGTTTCTTGCTTTTAAATCATACATGGGCCGCCGCTCCCTCAGCCCAGGGTATTGTACATGACTCTTCTTATGCTAGACCTGTTCGTCCTGTCTGTGAAGACAAGGCAAAGCGGAGAGTTGCCGTCATCTCCAAACGCCGGATGATGAAATGCCTTCTATAAACCGTCCCGGAACGCCCTTGAAACGAAGCTTGACCCACGATTGAAGAAACCAAATCAACCCCCCTTTTCAAACCGCAACAAGCCCCCTCACTCGTCCTTGGGCTGCCTCATCCATGCGTCAATGGCGGCGCTAAATGCGGCAAAGGCGACGCAGCCGCCGGCCATGGCCTGGGGCCCCGCGTTGCGGGCAAGGATGCCGCCGGTGAGGCAGCCGGCGGCAACGCCGTTGCCGAGGTCGTTTGTGGCGCGCAGGCCCTCGATGCCGCACTCGATGCCGGAGAAGAGGGCGCCGACCTTGCCGAAGTTCTTGGCCATGGAGAAGGAGCGCGTGCCCATGTCCTTGAAGCCGAGCTTGAGCTGCTGGCGGAGGGGCAGGGCCGACATGTTTTGGCCGGCGGCGTTGGTTATGGGGCTGCCGAAGGGGGTGTCGTAGGACATCTATCCGTAGGCGGGGGGTGGTTAGAAGAGGAGGACTGCCGTGAGATGACGTTTCTCTCCTCCTTCCTTATCCCTTGCCCCTCGTGTCTGTCATTCTCTTCTGACGACCGTTGGGCAAGGTTGAGGGAGGAGTCGGGGCCGAGGCGGAACGTACCGAAGCCATGAACATGCCAAAGAGACCACCCATGCCAAAGCCCATGACGCCGGACATGACTGATTTGCCGAAGCACGACTCCATGGCGGCTTGCACCTGTGATGGGGTCGGGAAGCGGTTAGTTAACATTGCACGCGTGACGGTAGCTAGGCTTGCCAAGCAATTTGCAGAGCAAGGGGGAAAGAGAGTCCCCCATCGCATTGGAGAGACGCACCGCTCTGACGTTCGGGTCCTGTGAGCCGCCGGCGGCTTGCGGCGCGGCGCCTCCCGTCGGCGCACCACCTGACGGGAAGTTCATGCTGTCGGCGGTATCTTCGTCGTCGTTGTCGTCGGGGTGGTGGTGATAATAGCTTTGAGTTGCCGGGGCCCAGGTGCAGGTGCGGATCGAGACCTTGCGCGAGAGCTGGGTAGAGTTCAGAGGATGAAATATTTCTGCCCCTCTTGACCGCCTCGGGCGGGTGCGCCAGCTGACGGCCCCACCATTTTCTCCTGTCCGGTGTCCGAGGCCCCACCACGGCCCGCTCTGCTCACGCCAAGCGAACTTTGTGCCTGCGTACCGGTACATGTTACGCGTACTCGGTGCTTGGTACCGGGACGGCCATTGTCTTGCACGAACCAAAGGAACTTAACTGAAGCGCCACGCAAATGCAACTCCCCTTGGCTCCCAAGAACAGCAACTTGCTCTGCGGCGGGCACATGCATCCGAGTCTCGCGGCTGCAATTCCAGTTCGGGGACGTGCATGATACCTAGGCAGATACGGACTACGCCTCATCTAAGCCTCCGGCGCTGATTCGTGTGCGACCTCAGCGATCAACGACAGAATACATGTCTAGCAAGCCTTCTTCTCTCTGGCAAGGCTGGTTTTACACCCGTAAATATGATAAGCTCGTTCCCTTCGCCGCAAGGATATCGTCCAAAAGCAAGCCATTGCTACACCTCATTCGTCTTTTCCGCCCGAATGCTGGACCAAACTTGTACAGCGCCAGCGCTGGGCCGCAGAGTCCGTCAATAGCAGGCATTCATAAGACGGAACCAGCATGCGACCAGGAAGAAGCACATCATTCGGCCCGCCCCATGGCATTTGCAGCAGTGCCGTCGCTCCCATCGCCTGCTATGTTGGCGAGCGCGGCAGGCGAGCCGTCGTAGCTGGAAGGCGAAGCTGCCGACACGTAGCCCGAGTCCCCGGTGCTAACCCAAGGAGCTCCAAAGACCTGTGGTACGGCAGGCAAGCCGTGGTAGAAGTGGCCGCCGTAATAGCCGTTGGCGGAGCCTGGCAGCTGGTATGCCAAAGGACGATGCACCTCTCCGAGCTCGTGCGGACTGCCGTTGATGCTGTTGTTCGTCTGAGTGTCGCGAGCGACAGGCTGATCGGCTCGCAGATGTGCTTGACCATCGGGATTCTCGGGCGACTTGTTCGCTGGCTTGGGGGAACCGATCCCTTTGGCGGCTCGTCGGGAGCGTGTCTTGTGCTCCGCCGCGATGCCATAAACGTCCTTGCCATTCTCCTCTATTGTCATCTTGTCAGTGCAGCTCGAGCGGCTACTCTCATTTCCAGAAACAGCGTACTCAGGTGCTTCTTGTGCTCAGCAACCAGGTCAGCTGCTCGCGGCGACTCATGCCCAGTAGTGATGTTCTGGAAATAGTGTTCGACTGGACAGTGTCAGCAACGTGGTACACCTGGCGAGCTCACGAGCGCATACAGAGCATCAACTTGGTGTAATTTCGACGGGCCTTTTTGCCGAAGTGCCTCTGCATAATGAGGGCACTCTGCTCCCAGTCAACGACTTTGCCAGTCCGGGCGGCGGCCTTGGGAGACATGGGCACGATGGTGCGCCAAAAGTACAACTCCTCCTCTCTTGACCAAGTCTTGCCGCCCATCTTGTCGGGTCGATGGCCCAAGATGACGAGGCGAGCGGACTGGGGACGAGTGGAGTGAGCTATGAGGGTTACAAGCAGGGCGTGTAGTTGAACGTTTCTCGACTGCTCGGGTCCGGTCTTTGATGCTGCCGCTTCTCTCCCTGGATGTGACCGGTGCGCAGCGGGGGAGCGAGGCGAAAATGGGGAGGGAGAAGAACAATGAAGAGGGCGGTGAGGTTTAAATAGGTAGATTCGAGGTTCAACACTTGACACGGGTGAATCAGCTGCCAGCGAGTGTGGCATGACCTCCCAGGTGCCAAAGACGCAGCCAGGGAAATGCAGTATGCGTGCCACGTTGACCGGTGTCGGAGCCTAGTTCATGATTCACGCCCTGATAAGGGCCTCAGGTTCGCTCGCTAAGCTCTTCATCTCACTGGCCGCAACAGAGCCGATTAGGTTCATGCCTTGGAGGGCGTTTGAGGCACTGGAGCCTGCACTCCGCGGGAAACCAGGAAGTTGGCCAGGTTCCGCTCCATCCTGGAAAACTGCGTCACGTTAGGGACGACGGAGGTTTTACGCAACCGAAGATGGCGGGCCACTCACGAGGCTCTTTTGCCTCAGGGGCACCACGCCGTCTCTGACCCAGAACCCCCATGCGCCCATCATATTGGCCAGCATGACATCCGTCATCAGACGGTCGCCCACTACGGCCACGTGGGAAGGATCAGTTACGCCCGTCTCGGGATGCTGCCTGAAGTAGGCCATGATTTCAGAGCCGCAGCCCGGCTTCTTGGCCGAGTGCGGGAGAACGACGACTCCAGTGTTCTTCTCTACCTCTGCCGCCTGCTTCAGCTCATGGTCCCAGCTGGAAGCGCCTGCGGTATTGGACACGACGAGCAGGCGCCGGCCCGGATAGGCCTTTTTGAGCTCCTCAAAGTGTTGCTGCGAGGCGGTCAGTGGATCGGGTTAGAAGCGTCCGTCGCGAAAGTGGGTGTACTTTGTATGGTCCGTAGACCTCCTTTGCGTCGGGATAGGCAAAGCAGTCGTCCTTGTCGAGGACAACCGCCTTGACGCTGGCTTTGTGCCCGTTTTTCTGCAAGCCCCGGTCCAGGGGGATGGGCAGGTCGTTAAAGGTGGATACGGAGTAGTGAGGAAGACACAGGCTAGGCTTGAGCAGGAGCCGCGAGACATTGAGCGAGGCCGAGATGTTGAAACTCATGGTGCCGTAGACTGTGGCCTGCAAGCGTCGACAAGTCTTTGTCCACTGTTCTGATGCGAAGACGGACGGTTGAGCGGCGTCTAATTGGCGCGCTGTGGCACCTCGGAGTTTAGTGGCCGAGGCGCCTCCCACACCGCGTGCGCGCCTACAGAACGCGCTGCAGCTTGTACCCTGGACTTCAGGATGTGGACCCGCGCTAATACAAAGTGCCTGCTAGAAGTGAGCGAGGTCCAACTTCCCCCGACCATTGCCAACTCCAGTCCTCTCAATGGAAGCAGCAGCAGTCGACCGTCGCAAGCCATGCTGCCATAGCTACGACCGCACCAGATAGCCATGCCTCGGAGGAAAGCCGCTCAGGCTGACTCTCCCCATGACCACGAACTGCGGTCTTCGAACAAGCGGGCGCACGACCCCGATGCCGCCGACTTGACGTCGACCCCTGCGAAGCGGCGGCGTGCCTCGGCGTCTCAAGAGGCGCGCAGTGTCGAGAAAGAGCCGACAGCAGGGACCGAAGAAACGCTTCCAGCCGTCGACGAAGTGGTCCAGTTCAATCCCGAAACCGAGGCCTCCGCCCAGGACCAAGACGAGTCCGAACCACCAATCGTCACTCCGCGGAAGCGCGGCCGGCCGCCGAAAGCCTCCAGCACCCCTCGCTCCAAGGCGAACGCGACGTCCACATTTGCGACGCCAAGCAAGGTCGTCGTCGGCTCACAGGTGCCCACGCCAAGGAGACTGGCGGCGGATCGGTCGGCTCGCAAGAAGAGCGCGAGGGCCCTCATCGAGAATGTGGTGCGCAACGGCGCCGGCGACGATGAAGCCGACGATGACGGTGGCGATACCCTCGTTCGGGAGATTTACGAGGACAGCGACGACAACGACGACGACGACAAGAGTGGTGAAGGGCTCGACAGTGTGGCCGCGACACCCTCCAAAACGCCCAGGCAGGGACGTCCAAAGAAAGCAAAGTCTCCCACACCGCCTCGGGACCTGCCGCCTCACGAGCTCTACTTTGTCCACAATAAACCCGGCCGGCCCAAGACCTCGCACAATACCCTGGGCTCCTTGGCCCTCCTGACCCACGAAGAGTACTTTAACATTTTGCACGAGCACCAGGATCGGCACAGCGCCGACGTCGAGTATCTCGAGGCCTTGCACGCAGAGTCTTTCCCGCAATGGACCTTTGAGCTCCTCCAGGGCTTCAGCCTCTGCTTGTATGGCTTCGGCTCGAAGCGCGCACTGCTACGCAAGTTTGCAAGGCATCTGCATTCACGAGACCCAGGGGACTTCTTGCGCAAGACGGTCATTGTCAATGGCTACTCCCACTCGGCAAACATGCGAGAGATTCTCGGCTGCATCGGGGCCGCCATCGATCCCAAGCAGCGAATCCCCACGTCCACACCGCCAGCCATGGTGCACAGCATCATGACCCTCCTCTCGTCGGTCGACCTAGTCCTCACCGTCATCATCAACTCCATCGACGCCGCGCCCCTGCGCAAGCCAGGCATGCAGGCCATCCTCGCCCAGCTCGCCGCCCACCCGCAGGTCAACCTCGTCTGCTCGACCGACACTCCCGACTTCCCCCTGCTCTGGGACGTCGGCGTCCGCTCCGCCTTCAACTTTGCCTTTCACGACTGCACCACGTTTGCGCCCCTGACGGTCGAGCTCGACGTCGTCGACGAGGTGCACGAGCTGCTCGGCCGCAAAGCCCGCCGCGTCAACGGCAGGGACGGCGTCGCCTTTGTCCTGCGCAGCTTGCCCGAGAACGCAAAGAACCTGTTTCGCCTGCTCGTCAGCGAGGTCCTCATCGCCTTGGATGAAGAGGGCGGCGCTGCGGGGGACGAGTCCGCCGGCGTCGAGTATCGCATGGTGTACAACAAGGCCGTCGAGGAATTCATCTGCACGTCCGAGATGGCTTTTCGGACACTGCTCAAGGAGTGCGTTGATCCTCTCCTTCTCTCCTCTTTGCCCCTCTCGTTGCGTACTTCTCGCTAACACGGACACCAGGTTTCACGATCACCAGATCATCACAAGTCGCAAAGACGCCATCGGGACGGAGCTGCTGAGCGTGCCGTTTTCCAAGGAGGAGTTGGAAGCCATGCTGGAGGACTTGATGGCGTGACGCATCGGGGCCGCAGAGGCGGTGCAACAGATTCTGCACCGAGGTGAATTAGACTGGGGGGGCATCTTCTGTTTGTTTGTTGTTTGTTTGCATGGCATCGAAGGCGTACATGGCACAGGCGCAGTCCACAAGAAGCACGACTTTGGCTATCCCTCATTATATGGAAGACCAAGTTAAGTAGACTACATGCTATGTATGGGTGGTATGTCATAGGCACGCGTACTGTCGCGTGACGGCTGTCCATCTATCCTCACCCTTCCTTCATCGTTGCCCTCTTTGCAACAACGCTGCATGAGACGCATTATTTCGTACACCCTCAAAGTCTGTACCGGCTAAAGAAACGGTCCCCCCCTGGAATTACGCCTCAGAGCAACAAAACCGTTGTGTTTTCCAAACACTGGCCCGGCCCGAAGTCTCAAATTATTCACATCTCTCCCCAGCGCCGTGGCTAAAATCACACAGCCGTTCCCAACGCCGCGAGAATGCTTTTCTATACTCCCAGGCTCTTGACACACGTCCAGAGGACGACGGGAACAATGACGTTGTCGTTGCCGCCCGTCAAGACGGCCTCGGTAAGGCTCGCCATCGACGCGCAGACGCCGGCGTTTCGGGCACTCACCAGCGGGCCCATGGGCTCGTCGGTCGTCGGCCAGCCGCCCAACCGCAGCCAAGCACTCGCGGCCGCCAGGCCCGCGAAGACGGCGGCCGCAAACGCGACGCTTCCCTCGAGGCTCTTGCCGCCGCCCCAGAGCCACTTGCGGTGGCCGTAGCGCCGCCCGATGAGGGAGGCGGCCGCATCGCCGAGGCCGACGCAGATGACACCGGACACCATGCTCACCTCCCTCGTGGGCACTTCCCAGCCAGCCAGGCACCCCGTGCCCGACCGCGTGAGCGCGGCCAGGGCCAACCAAAGAGGAATGGCGCACCCGATCAACAGAAATATGTGAGAAATGACGACGGGGCCGCGGAAGTCTCTCCCGTCCACATAGGGGGCCAGGAAAGTCGCGATGGGCTTCGACAGGGGCGGCAGCTGGCTCGCTCTCAGGAGATCAAGGATGAGGAAAACAGCCAGAGCCAAAACCAAGCCCAAGGCAGCAAAGGCGGGATCGACAAAGGTCCCCGGAAGGAACATGCCGACCATCATGAAGTGGAAAACCTTCCTCCTCGTGTCAACCTCGTACGTCTCCTTGAGCCGAAACACGATGACCAGGCCGACGACGAGAATAAGAAGCCAGTAGCCGCTGAGGATGAGCCTCGAGTTTGCCTCGCCAAATTCGTCGTGGCGAAGGTGTTGTACCCATCCCATGGTGCAGTGCCGTCCGTCCGCCGACTCCGAACGTTCAGGTAAGCAAACCCATCGCTCGAGATTGGCTTTGACGACTTGGAACCGAAACCACGGCCAGTCGCCTAATACATAGCCTAGAGCCCACCCTATGGGCTCGTTGCCTCCGAGGGCATATTCCTGGACGTAGGCGCGGACGCCGATGAGGATTATTGCCAACAAGCAAACATAAACGTACAGCGCGTACAGCCATGTCCTCAGAGTTGCCTGGGCCTGTGTAAGCTTCAAGAACGGCCGAAGCGAGCTTGAAAATGCCCGCTTCCTTCTCCCAGAAGCAGTATGGGTGAGACTTTTGGGCTGCAGCATGTCGATATGCGACACAGTGCGTCTCCGCGCGAGGCCCAAGTCCGGTTCTCCATTGGCCTTGGATAACAAAGGAGAAATCTCGCCCAAATCAGTGTTGGACCCCAGTGTCCGTATTCTTAAGGGCCCGCGGAATGTAGAGTACCCGTCCTCCTCCCTGGCCGAGTCATTACTGTCATGGCAGTCGCCGTTTGCGGCTTGGCCTGGCGACTCTTGCTTTTTGCTACGCCAAGGGAGTAGTGCGCGCAGAGGCTTCCAGGATTGGTGCTGTTGAGAATCAAAGGGTCTTCGAAATCGCCACTTGGGTACTCGTGCTAACCGAATGCCCAATTTGATGACCGGACCGCAAATCACAAGCGTAGAAAGCCCCCCGACCCAAAGCAGGGCCTTCAGAACTTGGACTTGAGGCGAGGCTGCCAAGACCAGAACGCTGATCAGTGCGATAGACAGCAGCTGAAGCTCAGCCTCCAGAAGACTCGTGGTCGTGAGATGGCGTAGGACATTGCACAGCGTCTGATGCAGAGGATAGAGCAGGACGAGTGTCTCTTCCAACAAAACACCGTGAGGCTTTGGCCTGAATGGTCGCCATATCAAGGGAAGGCACGAGAGCGCCCAGTGAATGGCATCGAAAGACGCGAAGAGACCGATGGTCGGTATCAAGGACTGCGGGATTGCGCATATGCTCAGGACGATGCTCGGGAGCACGGCGGCCGGGTTGCTGGTGGAAACCAGAAGCGACGTGAAGATGGTGATTGTGGGTGGATACAGTAACGGGGCAGGGTCGAAGTCGGAAGGGAGTTTGAACGCCAGCGCCCGGGACGGCTGACGGTGCCGATGCGCCCACAGTGTTGCACGCAAGGGATAGAGTGCGAGCAGGGTTGCGACAAGTAGGTTGAGGAAGTGGAAGTCTGCGAAGAGTGAGACGAGACCAAAAAATTGGCCACAACGGCGAGCATACCTCTGCGCCAGACGCTCATCAAAGGAGAGACTCGAGGATTCGCCCCAACCATGCATCCTAGGGCAGCCACCAAGCATGCTTCGGTCGCTCGACGCACCAGCACCTTGTTCCGACGCGCGGCGTCTAGGATGTGGCGCTTGACGGAGCGCTGTTGAGCAACGAGGTCCTTTTCGACGGCTTGCGCTGGGTCATCTTCGACAGCGGCGGGGGTCGCCAGCGGGGTCGACACTCCTGACGGAAATTCGTTGTGCCCGCGCAGGCCTTTATGGAGCCTGACTTTGGGCGCAGGGAGCCCCTTGAGGAAGTGCTCGTCGTCGGCCTCGGTGCCACTATCACTGGCAGGAGACGAGTCCTTTGAGAATGCGCCGAAGCTCATCGACGACGACGAAGGGGCTTCGGCATTGTTCGCGTCAGGGGTTTCGTCCCTTACGACGAAGCGGTCGGCAGGATGTGGCAGCTCTGCGCTCTGGTGATGGTATGGTTTGGGTGTCCGGTTTAAGGCGCGGATGGGTTGCTGGTCGGCGGGATCGAGAGCCGTCGAGGACTCATGAACGGGACGCTCGGGCATGACGAGAGGCGTGCCTTTGGAAGACCATGGAAGGCGGCCGGCGCGGGAGACGGACAAGAGCGCGACGAGGCCAGACGGTGTGGTGCTGAGAGAGGCGGGATTCGCAGGAAACGCGGGAAAGGAGCGTCATGGGCCAGGCTCAGCGCTTGGGGAGGAATGGCATCGATGGTGGTGGAGTGGCCAGACGGGGGACGAGAGCGGTGTTGAGATGGTGACCCATGGCTATGCTGTCACATGAAATTGGCGGAGACTGTTGAACGATGGGGCCATGACGGGCTACGGACATGCCATGCCACCTTATGAACAATCACGTGCGGTGCAGCCTTGTTGATGCCGACTAGCCCTACCAAGGACACGACAGAGGTCTACGGAGTGGCATTACGTAAGCTGGGGCTATGTATCCGCTACTTGCCGAGGTCTGTAATCGGAATTTGATGCTATCAGCCGGCATACATAACTGCACCATGCACATCTTAATACGCTGGGGGGTTGCATCGCATTTTGTGCTTTCATCCGATGCAAGATTATCCGTCTTGGCCAAACAGGGAGAGGTCAGCCGCTTGTTCTCAGCACAGCACCAAGCACGGAGGTATGTATGTACAGTACAGTCAGTACAGTATGTAGGATGAACCATGAATGCGATGCCAACGTGGGTGCCTTGCTAGCAAGAATGACTGCAAGCAATAACGCAAGGAGATTTGGCAGATATGTATGTGTGCGTTGGAAAGCCCGAGAGACTGCAATTTCCTCATCCCTTGAAGTGACGAGCATCACTCATCTGGACCAGCAGTGAGTGCCACTGCCGTTCATTCCTTGGGGCCCCCTGTCACCCAGTCACCTTGCTGGGGACCGACCAGTCAGTCGACCCTCCGTTTTCTTGAAGTCTTTTCGTCGTTTGATTCACAGCGTTGTACAACGTAAATGAGGCCTGGCAAGCGGGGCGATTGCCTCGTGCCTACTAGGCATATCGAGACAGAGGATGAAGACGCTAAAAGGGCGTGAAGAAAAGAAAAAAGAAGCCACGATGTATAGCTATGTAATCTGAGACAGGCCAAGGGTTTTCTGCTTCGCTTCGTGAAGGTGGATTCCGCCCCCAGTTGCAAGACTGTCAGCCTGGACTGGAATTTGCGAGCGAAGACTACTGCACGCCGGAACGCCGAAGCTGTAGATGCAAAACATCGGCGTCCGTATAAGGCCATGTATGGGCTGGTCGGACTATTGTTTCCTCTCGTCTTGGAATTTGCCCTGTCGGGCCGGTACCGAGCCTCAGCGAACCAGGGGTGGGTGAAGATCTCCCCAGGGTCTCGGCCCTTGACGCCCAGAAGCAAGCTTGACGGACGAGCCGCTCCTCCTTTTCTGGACGGGGGCGGCCAATGGTCGACCTTTTAAGCACTCGGATGTGTGTGCACCCGGAGATCTGCGCCTTGTCACGACAATCGCGAGGAGGGAAGTGGCTGACAACAAGCTCAAGCGCCGAACATGATTGATTCGACCGATTGCTGAGGCGAGCCGCGCGGATCAATGTATGTTTTAAAGGGGGCGCCAACCTTCTGGCTGTTTCATGGCCGCCGATCTCCTCGAATGAACGCCACCACCAACTGGCCTCTGGTGTTTCATAGACTGTACGGAGACGGGAGAGAATTGGCTGACGTTTTGAAGCTTGGGAAAAGTCAAAATGGAATCTCTCCAACCCCCACGGTACGAAGCACTTGGTACTGCAGCACTTGGTGCCGTAGCACTACCACCAACCGCGCGGGCTGCTGCTGCAGATAAGAAACCTTGGTGGCGGCCGGGGGGTTTTTGCTTTGGACGGCCCCCCAAGTCCCCTGTACAGACAGCACGGGAATCGGGCCACTTCGGTGCGTCTGCGTCATCCGAGTCCGTGGAGGCTGGGGACAATACGAGGGACCTGTAGGCTGTACTGTAGGCTGTACTCGTACATACTACTAATAGTAGTGCTGTACTACTCCGTACACATGCAGAGCTTTCAGGTGGCGTAGGCAGGCCGCGTCGCTCCACTTCAGCACCCAGCCGGGTCGTGGCCCATGGTGCAATAAAATGTCACTCGCACTGGCCGAGTAGCCACCGCTCGGCAGCTGGACGGGTTTCAGGACAAGGCGACGAGGCTTTCTCGAAGCAAACAGAGTGAGTACAGCAAGGTACCTATGGCTCGGCCGCCCTTGCACCAACCCCACAAGTTCCCGCCGCCGTTGGTGGGCCAAAGCCTAAGAACCCGCCGCTATTAGCTGCCCAATCCACCCATTGTTGGGCCCTGCGTTTGTGATACGGAGAGTCTGGTAAAGACGTCGGGGGAACCAGCTGGCAAAAGAGCTAATAATACCACGCCCATCCATGCCAGCAGCTCCCGCCAGCGTCCGTCCCTGTCACCGAGTACCGAGTATCCGTACGTATGTATCCGTACATTCAATTCCGTTGCATCTCGTGTTCGCGTGCAGGCAGCAGCAGCATAGCCCACCTCGTCTTCGTCGTCACTCCTCCGGCTATATTTACCTGCGGTAACACACGCACGGCACGCGTCGAGACTCGTACGAGCATTCGTACTTGCATGTATGTATAAGAAAACCTTCTTAGCCGCCGTCTCCACTCGCCGTCACCTGTCTTTTCTTCCAAGGCGGGCACAAAACACACAAACCACACAGAACTTTTCCCCTGCCATTCCAACCGACCGTCCGTCGTCTTCTCCTAGCCGGGGCCCTCCTCCCCTGCAAGCTGCATCACTCGCCCGAGAGACAAGAAAAAGCTGCACTTGCGCACCCCGTTCTGCCCAACGAGCCGCCCCGAGTCGAGTCTCTCTGCACCAACCCTCTCTGCTTGCTTGCGGCCCATACCTCGACCAACAGCTCCTCGCATTCGTCCTCGTACCCAAGCCAAGTCTGCGGGCCCATTGGCGTTGGCTCTCTTCAATCCTCTTTCTCTTGGCTGACGGAGCTCGATAAACAAAAGACTGGCTGCAGCCTTTCGCCCCTCCCCCCCTCTCTCGCCCTCTCCTTCTCTTCTTCTCCCATCTTGCATCCCGCAGATGCACGTCGCCCACTTGCCTCTCCTCTAGCGGCTCCAGCTCGATAGCCAGCCGTGGCGGCTTTGCAGGATCGACAGCACCTCCTAACCAATCCGACTGGAACCCGCCTTGGATCGTCGGTTGCACCCTCAGCACACGAGTGTTACCACGCCATTCGCCAGCCCTCCTCGGCACCTCTCTGTTTAAAACCAACATGGCCCCCATTCCCGCCGGCCATGGTAGCGCCCACAGGCTAGAGGCTGGACTGCTGGGCACATTGGAAGAGGAGAAGACCGCTCTCATCCAGACTAACCCCCCATCCAAAGGACACCCTCAGCAACAGCCCACACCCCGGAAAATGCCTGCCATCCGGAGGCTCGCCGTCGCCATCATCGTCGGCCTCTTTGTTGGATTGGGTCTCTCTTTGGCCAAGGACGCCGGCCCATGCCTCGGTGCCGCCCACCGCATCCTGGACCATGACGCCGAAGCTGCCCATGCTCAAGGCCATGGCTTTGCCTCGGCCATTGCCTCGCTAGTCAAGCGGCAGAACGACGGCGGGGGAAGCAATGCCACTTCTGCTGCCAGCGCTCCCAGTGCCCAGGCCTCATCTGCGCCCGCCTCGGCACAGTCTCCAACTCCAAACGCGACGCCCGCCGGTTCTTCATCAAACGCCCCCGCTGCCACATCGAGTGCGCCCGGGACCTCCAAGGCGCCCGTCTCTTCGGCAAGCCCTCGTGCTCCAGCATCGTCCAGTAAGTTCACCATCAGCTTGGCCCTCTCCCATCTCATCGGCTTCCAGAGCTACACCAGCTAACCACGAGCTTGTGCAGGCCAGGACACGCCAACCAGCGCTACCAAACTAGATACCACGCCCGCCAGCTCCCGTGCGGACCCGACAACCTCGTCCCAGGCTGCTCCCGCCACCTCGGCCTCTTCCACTCCACGGCAGGCATCTTCCGAGTCTTCGCCTTCTGCAACTTCGGCCTCTTCCACGACCGAGGAGTCATCCGCTGCATCGTCCGGTACGTCCACGACGAGTGAGCCATCTCTCTCGACGACCTCGTCCTCTTCCAGTGCTCCAGTGTCCATATCCTCTTCTTCTTCGTCATCTTTGTCATCTTCATCATCTACCTCTATCAGTACGTTGCCAGTAGATAGTTCTTCGTCGTCATCCTCTTCCTCTGCCACGGCGACTGCTTCCATGACAAGGCCCCAGTCGACATCGACGTCTTCGTCCCAAACCTCTGGTATGTCCAAGGACGTGGCTGTCTTCAGCAAGTGAGCGAGGACGAGGGCACGATGACACCGCCGTGCAAACTCCGGTTTGCATGAGGCTTTTGCTGGCTCTGCCGCCAGTGTGGCCAGACTTGGAGATCTTTAATACTCTTCCTTCTAAGCTGACCATGCTACTCAACGAAACCATGACTGACTTGCATACAGCAGACGAAGCTACCACGACCACCTCGGATGCAACAAGCCGCGAGACAATCACGACAGGAGCGGTGTCCACGTCGAGCGCTATCCGGAAGACGTGGACCACCACATTGGGCGACGGCGGCGTCAAGGTCCTGACCTCGACTTCTTGGGTGGCTGTCGTCCCATCGGCCGCATCCTCCTCCGGCAATTCGAAAGATGCGGGCCTCCAGAATGCCGCGTCACAGAACCGGGGAGCCATCACCTTGGCCGCTGCAGCAGGGGCCCTCGTCGCTGGCTTCGTTCTGGCTTAGAAGCGATTGCTCTTGTTTTCTTCCTCTTCCAGCGTATCTAGCATGCGAGTTACGCGGAACAAAATAGTATTGCATCGATGATCACTTGCTGATCTAGGAGTTTTTCATGTCGTCTCCTACGTCACCACAAAGGGGTGGATTGGATAGAATGAGGCGAAAGCATCATGTGCGCCGGGCAAAAGTGAATTAGATTGTACAGACCAAGACGGTGGGTATAGTTCAGAACCTCTCACTGGGAATATTGTGGAAGTTGGACATAATGGTGGCTGGATGTAGTTCAAGTGGTAACAGGACATATAACGGACATAGTACACTTGACTTGCGGTCTCACTAGGCGCTTGGGGGTGAGGATGCATAAAACGCGTCAACGATTCTATTAATCCAAGCCTTCTGAGAAAGCGTTTCAGTTCAAATGAAAATGACCAGGTGCTTTTTCCAGAACGACTGATCTTGACGAGATCACGAGGCCGCCGGACTATTCCCATGGCAAGTCTTGATGGCAAAAGATTGATCAAAGAGTCCGAGCTTGTAACGTCTTCACAGGTTTCATGTCAAATAGAGGGTATACCAAAACGCCTTCAACTCCGCGACCGCCCCGGTCCTCCCACGGCCTATCACACTAGCCCGGGCCGATCTTGGGCATGTCGTGATGCTCGCTCAGCTTGGAAAGGTACGTATTGAGCTCCTCGACGCGCTCTTTGTGAGTCTTGAGTAGTTCGGATCTCGTGCCGGAGGCCTGCGTCATTTGAAGGAGCTGCGTTGGTGTCAGCGGGATGGTGCCGATGGAGACGGCGTGCAGGCCCAGACTCACCCGTTTCTTCTTGACCTCTGCATACCGCCGTTCCGATTCCGTCTTTGGCACCACGGGAGTCTCGTCATCCTCGACCTCGCCTTGCTGCGCGACCACGTCCTTTGGCCCGTCGTCGTTGTCATCGTCGTCGGCGTTCCTCCTCACAACGGTGTCGTCGTCTCCCGCAGCGAGGTTCTTCTCCAGGTCAGTCTTGTCCCTCTTCTTCTTCTTCTTTTTCTGCACTTTGGCGCCCTTGAGACGCAAGGCGCCGCCGCCAATGGCAGCGTAGTCGTCCGAAGGCATGATGCAACGACGATTCAGCAGGGAAGAGTGTTTGAGGCTTGGAGGCTGGAGAGGGATGAGGGGAGTGAGGGATGAGGGGAGTTTGGGTCGAGAATGGAGATTACCTAATCACCCGCCACAACACAGGGGCTCTTCCCCCTACTGCTAGGTACCTCGTCCTTGCATGAAGCTTTGTCGGCCCTCGCTTCACCTTATTACGTCGAGCCGCTGTTGCCCGGCTTGGCTTCCTCCCAACTTCCCCTTTCTGTACCTGTCCATCCGCAGAACAACTCTGTCCTTTTCGGCTCTCCATCGCTAACCGTCGCAACCTTCCGATACACGCTCGTCGAATAACTCGTTTAAACCCCAACCGACATCGGTGTTTACCATAGCAGAAGCGCGAGCTCCCTGCGGTCCGAGCGTCTCTCCCTTTGACAATCAACAAACCCAGTCCCGCCATCACTCGAGCGCCTCCCGATATCAGCTACCGCCATGTCCTGCCGCTGCTAGGGACCGAAGACCGTTGCATGCGACACTGGATAGCCATATCTGCGACGCAGAGGGCTTTCCTTCTCTCCGCCAGGGAGCCCCGTCGCGATGCCTTCCCAACCCGGCGCGCAATCACAGGCGCGAGACTCCCTGGAGCTCGCGTCGCTGGCGAGCTCGAGCTTGGCCAACGACGCCGCCGCATCGGAAGAGTCCTCGCGGCCGAGCGTCTCGTCTTCGCGGAGGCTGTCGTTCATAGAGGAGGACCCTCTAGATGAGGAGAACCCGGCTGGCAGGACAGGAATGCATCCCCGCTCATACTCCGTCTCGTCCGCCTTCGACTTTGCGGGCAATCTATTTCCACTCACCTCTACCACGGAAGGAGGCGGCTATGCCCCCATCGGTGCGCCCACGTCCGCCGCCAGGCCGAGCGGGGGTTTGGGAAGCGGGTCTCTGGAGAAGCACAAGACGCTGACGTACCTGAACGGCCTGTCGTTGATTGTCGGCCTCATCATCGGCGCCGGCATCTTCTCATCACCCAGTCAGGTGAGCTCCAAAGTTGGATCCCCCGGCGCTGCCCTGGTGGTCTGGGTCATTGCGGGCATCCTTGCCTGGACAGGCGCCGCCTCGTACGCCGAACTAGGGGGCGCAATTCCCCTCAACGGCGGCTCACAGGTCTACCTGGCCAAGACGTTTGGCGAGATGGCCGGCTTCCTCTTCACTTGGGTGGCGGTCTTGGTCCTCAAACCGGGCGGCGCCGCCATTGTTTCGATCATCATGGGCGAATACTTTGGTAGAGCCATTCTCGGTGCCGAGGTCGACAAGGTCAGCCCTTGGGTCAGCAAATCGGTCGCCCTCGTCGGCATCCTTTTTGTAACGCTCTTCAATTGTATCTCTACGCGGTTTGGTACGCGTTTGAATGACTTGCTCATGTTCCTGAAATTTGTGGCGTTGCTGGCTGTCACGGCCACAGGCATCACGGTGGCGATTACGGGGTACACGTTCGAGGGCGACAAGGACGTTGTGTGGAACGCGCGCGATTGGTTCAACGGCACGTCTCCTGACCTTTCCAACTGGGCCGTTGCACTGTATGCCGGTCTGTGGGCTTTTGATGGATGGGACAACGTGAGTTGCGCCGCCCCCCTTTTTGCACCGAGCGTTTGTTTGTGGCTAACCCTGGACTCGCAGACCAACTACGTAGTAGGCGAGTTTCGCAACCCGAGCCGGGACTTGCCTCGAGTGATCCACACAGCAATGCCCCTGGTGATCCTCAGTTACGTCCTCGCCAACGTGGCCTACTTCCTCGTCCTGCCGGTCGACGTGATCAACGGCTCCAACACGGTGGCCGTCATGTTCGGGTCCAGGGTGCTCGGCCGCGCCGGGGCCTTGCTCATCGCGCTCACGGTCAGCGCCAGCTGCTTCGGCGCCCTCAACTCATCGGCATTCACAGCGGGCCGCCTGGTCTACGTCGCGGGCAAGGAGGGCTATGTCCCGGGCGTCTTCGGCCGCCTAGGCACGGGCAGCGAGGACCACGGCCTTTCGAGGCAGCGGCCGCGGGGTTGGTTCCTTAAAAAACTGCATGCCTGCTTCGGAGACGACGACGTGGGCCTCTTTTACACGCCCATTTACGCCCTGATCCTGAACGGGGTTCTGACGGCCGGGTACTGCGTCGTCGGCGAGTTCGCCACCCTCCTCACCTTTTATGGCGTTGCGGGCTACACCTTCTACTTCATCACGGTGCTGGGGCTCATTGTGCTGCGCGTCAAGGAACCGGAACTCGAGCGGCCATACAAGACATGGATCACGACACCCATTGTGTTTTGCTGCGTGAGCCTGTTTCTCCTCAGCAAAGCGGTGTTTGCACAGCCGCTGCAGACGTTGACGGTGGTGACATTTGTCAGTGTGGGCATCCCGGTGTATTTCTGGAGGATACGGGGGAGGGACCAGGTGACGACGAAGCGGGAGGTGGGTAACGGGGAGAGGAGATGGTGGCGCTTCTGGAAATGAGGAGGTCTTGCCCGAGGTCACGAACATGCTTGTGTCTTTTTGTTTCTATTCCCCTTGATATTCTGGATAGGGGATTGGCGCGATTAATGTCTGACATCATGGAGTAGCGGAAGGGATACCGAGCCTCGTCTTGGCTGAAGAGGAGTAAGGAAGGTATTTGCACAGCGTCGGGTAACAGGGAAAACTAGTCGAAATCAGCGCGAGGTTCGTCTATTCATACACAGGGGCAGCGGGTGCTTTGTCCACGATCTTGATGGCTTCTGATTCTGTGTGTATACCTACAGCTTTGGGCCTGACTGGTTCTGTGAGACGAAGTTGACAATCTAGGCAAAGCTGCCGGGGGCCGTTGGGCGTCCGGCCCGAAGCTGGGCATCGTGTTGCATCCGATGAGAGGAGAAGCGCCGAGGTGCGTGTAGTCAAGCCAACCGTCGGCTTGACCTAGTCAGCTTGGCGCTGCCTATAGCCAGACTTGACTGCTGGCTTCGGTCTGGTTAGGTGCCCAGGATATCGACGAACCTTACCAAACAGCAGCAACTTGGACAGCTCGAGAGAGGGGGGGGTCCAGCCTGACTGATACACAGGACACAGGTTGAAGGGTTGGCTTTCTGGCCTCGATACAGCCATGGCCGGCTCCGGGGCGGCATATCATAGCCCCAATGCCCTCCTGCAGGGGAGCCAAAGCTGTTCCATTTCTCCTGTCAGCGCGCATGAGCAGCCCTGGCTCGAAACAAGGCCGCCTTGACGGGTCGCTGCTGCGAGGCCTGACTACTCAGGTACCTGATCACCTAATGCGTCTACTGTACAGCTGCTCTAGCACTCACTTTTATCAAGGTATAGCAGACCTACTAACCGAGTACATCAAGGGCACCGTTATGTCTGAGGAGGAATGAAGGATGAGGTGCAGCAGCTTGCCCGCAATCGCCGGCGGCAAGAGGCCCAATCGGACTGTCGACAGGTCCTTCCTCCTCCCAACGTGCGTCTAACGCCGTCAGTGTGCAGCAGGCAGGCACGGATGGAGCAAGCAGGACCCTCCCGTGCTTGCTGCAGATTGTCGTTGGCGTCGAAGAGCGAGCACCCCCATGCTTCTTTTGTTTTGCCTCGTCCTCTTCGCGCCCATCTGAGGCCCGTCGGCCGGCCGATGCAAGCTCGACTGCTGGACCAGGCAAGCATTGAACGATCCAACACATCAATGCTGATGCGGTATATTTACTGATCCTGCTGTCAGTGGGATCAGTCGGGTTCTTGGTTTCTTTCATCACCGAATACTCTTTGGACGAGCGGGAAGAGTAAGTGAGACTGAAGCGGTGATCGAGTGATTAGACTGGACTAACAGACTCTCATCAAGGCATCTACCAGCTCCGATCGATCTTTCATTCGTTTAGACTGGCAATGCCATACTTCGCCAGCCACGTCGCCCTCCACGCTCTTGCCCTGACCCTTGGTTTCCTTCAAGGCGCGGCCGCCGGGGGCGACGACCTATCCGACTTCTCCAATAACCTCGCTCAGGACCTTGGTCCTTTGCTCGCGCTGTTTGGCGAGCCTGTCACTCGACAGTACCTCAGCGAGAGCACCACCTTTCTCGACTACTTTATCTTCGCCGTTTGCCCCTTGGGCATCATCACAGCCGTGACTGCTGCCGTCCGGGTCTGCGGTCATCCATCGCTTCGCGCCTTCATCGGCCGATCTCAGGAAGGCAACGGCGTTGTCGAGGCCGAGCTCTGCACTTCCACCAGTCGCGACGTCTGCGAGCTCTTCAACAATGGTGGCATCACTCGCGTCCTCGGCCAGCCAAACGTCCTCGAACTCGTGTGTGCCTTTCCCAGCAACACAAGTCCAAGCAACGCCGCCGACGCAGAGGGCCCCAAACTCTTCCTGTTTCAAGACTATCTCGGGAGAACAGACGAAGGCGTATCCGAATGGAAGAAACTCCGCGGTTCCCTCGTCACGAGCAGCGAGTCCGGACCTGGCTCGTCGAACCTCTTCGCCCCGAAGCCAAACCTGTCTCTCAACGTCGGAATCAAGCGACAGCCGTCTTGGGTCTTCATCCTGGTTGCGCTTACGGGTTTAGTCCTCCAAGTCGGCATCATTGTCCTCGCCGGCTTTGGCGCCTGGAGGCTGGGCTGGAATCTCAATAACCCTTCAAACCCTTCGTCCATGGATTACGCGCCGCGCATGTTCATTGCGGGCACAGCTCTTCTTTGCATCGGCATGTGTAGCTGCGCTGCCTTGGTCGGGCAGGCGACGCAGGAAGTCACTTACAAGAGGCGGAGGACATGCTCCGAGCAGCATAGTATGCTGCTCTGGCTCCAGCCCGGCCCTCAAGTTGTCGGTGATCAAAGCTTCGATCCCTTTGCCCATTTGGAGAATCCATCGAAGCCTCTCGACTATTGGATCTCGTCAAGAAAGAAGAAAACCGGCAAGACGTTTGAGCTTCTCACCCTTGTTGCAACAGCATTCACGATTCTGGGCTATGTGTTGCAATTCATCGGACTACGCGGCATGAAGGCTTGGGTGTCAATTGCCCAGCTCGCCACCACACTCTTCATGGGCTTCCTGCGTGGACTCCTGCGCATGCAGAGGTTTGGTGAGGGCGATAATGCGCTCGCCAAGATGCCTGACTTGGTGCCAGGACACGAGCTCGACTGGATGGCGTTCGAGATTGCACTGAAAGCACCGCCTGTCCAACAGAGTCCCTCGACACCCAGAACATACAGACGCTTTTTCGACTGCTTCATGTCCCGCCTGGGAGGATTTCAACGAGGGAAGGACGGAAATTCTCGACTCCATAAGATGTCGCCTCCCGCATCTCGCAATGCGCCTTGTTGGCATATCACGGGCCAGCACGCAGCCGCGCAAGCCCATAGCGACAAGCGATCCGATTCTTCGTCACGGTCCGACAATGAAACATCCGTTGTCAAGGAGAACACTGAAACGTCGCTGATGGATACCTGGGAGAACAGAAGCGCACCAATCGATTATAGACACCTGATTTTCACGCGAGCTCGACTGGCTCATTTGACCGGCCACTTTACCTTTGAAAACCTCGCCGAACCGGAGTATCAGAGTTGGAAGGACAGTCTTGTTAGAGTGCGCGCCAAAGCCAAGCTGCTGGCCTCGGCCGTTGGAGAGGCCGCGAAAGTTATGCTTCAGGCATGGGATCGAAGCAAAGGCAAATTACCGGAGAGCATTTCGCTCAGACTAAAGACATCCAACGGCATGGGGGGTGTCACGTTTCATGAACAAGAGGTCCATGTTGCCATGAAGCTTGTGGCAAGCTCGCATTGGAAAGTTGATTCTGCCCAGATAGAGGCATTGCTCGGGCTTTGGATGTGGTCGCTACTCAACGATGGGCGGCTCACTTATGCGGATGAGGCCGAAAACATGCATTCCTCGGCCGAGAGGAGAGTCGAATTCATGCAAATCATCTCGGCTAGCCTGGATCGCGAATCGCCTGAGCGCCAAACAGACGCCCAGGATGAGATGAATCTCTGGCTTGGGCCCAGTGGGCCAACAGTCTCGCAATCCGTGCTCAAGATGGGCGGTGAAGAAGGCTGCGGCTACGACGACCTTTGGATCTCGAGCCTAGGTGAGCGCGGTGTTTGGCAGAAGCTGGACGGACCTTTATCCAACGCACGCTCTACTATAAGGCGTTTTTTTGGATGGAATGTTGCTTACGAGTCACTTGAATTCAGTCCTTTCGAGACAATCAACCGGGGTGGTGTGGTGAGCCGACGAAATGGCTCCTCGGGGGTTGATGTGCGATTGAAAGTACAAGCAACGCCGCGCATCGGCTCACTCCTTGACATCTGTGCAACTGAGGTCTTCTCCGCCTTGGTCTGTTCCCTGAGGAGCCTCGACGAACTCAACATTACGACAGTAGAGTCGACACTGGTGGAGCATGATGGTTATATCCAGCTGGAGAATCGAGCAATCACGGGCCTCGCAAGGGCATTCGTGGATTCTGGGCTGGGAACTCGCTCGGACGTTCTTCTATCTGTCGTTCCCGCATTCAGGAACCAAGTCCACCCCAACGGCCATGCGATGCTTGCTGGACTCGTTACCGGCGTGGATGCATACAGGCGAAACGGAGAATGGGATCGAGCTCAACTGCTCATGCGGTGGGCATGTCGACAGAATTTTACGTCTTGCGGTGGCGTATCGGAGGTCGTCGTGGTTCAGGGGCAACAATACGCTTCTCCTTTGGCATACGTCTTTCAGAGAACGGGAGAGCTCTACCGATGGTCCTTGGCCAACGGGTCTAACAAGGAGCAAAAATTGTTCGGACTCGCAGGCATCGGGTGGATGTGTCAGTTTCTTGGCAAAAGTTCAACTGACGGGAGCAGCAGCAAAGGCGAACGGAAAGAGATGGATACAGTGCTCGATAACACAACGCAAGATGTAGACGAGGTGATTGAGCGCTACAAGAGTGTAGCTGAAAGGATCGAACAAGAACCTGCCCAAACAGAGCCACAGCAAGCGGTGACAGAAGCTCATTTGCTTATTCAAGCCTTGAAGGGTCGGAACAGAACAGATACACTATATCACCTTTGTCTTGTCAAAGCCGGGGCCTTTGGCACCAAAGCTCTTCAGCCGGCTTTTCCCCTGGCCGTGCGGAATAGCTGGACCGAAGTGGCAGAAGCCATTCTCGAGTTGAAGGGAAGCTTGGACAGCCAAGACGACGAGGGCAGAACAGCAGCATCGCACTGTGCAGAGGCTGGGCTCGGCTGGGCTCTGGAGCGTCTCATACAACAGGGGGCGTTTCTGGACCAAGCAGACCGACAAGGGCGGACCCCTTTGCACTGGGCAGCCCAAGCTGGGAACGTCTCAACAGTTCAAACGCTGATTCTCAGTGGACAAGTCGACTGTGAGAGACAGGACTCACAAGGCGCGACGCCCTTGTGGGACGCCCTTGATCGTGGCCATATATCTGTCGTGGAGCAGCTGTTAGCAGCGGGCGTTGACATCGAGTCGAGACAAAAGGACGACCACACACCACTGACGTGGACAGCACATAAGGGCCAACTGGAAATGATGAAGAAGCTGCTCGAACACGGCGCAAATGTGCATCAAAAGAGCGATCGCAAGCGAACAGCGGTCCACTGGGCGGCTGCCGGGGGTCACACTTCCTGCTTGCAGCTGCTGCTCGAGCAAGGCAGCGATATGCATGAGCCTGATCGAAATTACCTCACACCAATAAACATCGCCGCGGAGAGCGGCCACGAAGGCTGCCTCGATGCTTTGATCCTTCATGGGGCCGATGTCAATGGGGGACGTGGCGGTTATGGCAGAACCCCGTTAGAATCTGCTGCCAGCAGAGGGCATTGTGGCGTGATGCGAAAACTCATACAAAGCGGCGCGGAAGTGAACTGGCGGGACTCCTCGGGTTGGTGCGCATTGTTTGATGCAGCGTCTAACTTCCGCTGTGAAGCGATCGAGCTGCTTCTCGACAACGGCGCCGGGATCAATGACACAGACGATTTCAACCGAACCTGTCTCCACTGGACGATGAACAAGGCATTAGGCTCGCCATATGTGATCAAGACGCTGCTAAAGAGGGGCATCGACGTGAACATCGCCAGTGGAAGTGGCAAAACAGGCTTGCACGAGGCGGTATTTCGAGGGTACGAAGAAGCCGTGGCGATGTTGCTTAGCCATGATGGGGTGCAGGTCGATGTCAACAAGGCCGATAAATCGGGCGATACGGCGCTGTTGCTAGCCGCAAAGAAAGGTCATGTGGGCATCGTTCGGAGGCTTCTGGACCACGGGGCCGACGTCAACCTGGCCAACAATCAAGGCCTAACCCCTCTCATGTACGCTGCCGATCGCAACGTGGACAACGACGGGACTGTCGCGAAGCTATTGCTGGACAAAGGGGCCGATGTCAACCTGGTGAGTAGACTAGGACGGACTGCACTCACCTATGCCATTAAGAGCTACAACGACGACATTGCTCAAGTGTTCCTTGAAAGAGGTGCCAAGGGCATGGAACCGACCGTGGTCCATGAGCGGGCAAAGGAGTCAGAATGATGAGACGAATCATTTTTCAAGCGTATCCTACGGCCAGTAAACTACTTTTTGTGGACGGCTTTTCACCAAGGCACAGTGACAGGCTATGAGAGCTGAGGGTTCATCATGGTTGTCATCAATTCCCAAATTGAAACTGCCGTCAGTTGCTCCCGATAAGACGAACGCAGCGAAAACAAAGAGCGCCCAGCTGGTGGTATCCCGGACCTCTCTTTCCCCCACACCGCCTCCGCGTCTGTCGAGATGAAGCAGGAGACGCAGGTCATCGCCTTACTTTCTCTCGCCATATGCCTTGGTGGCATAATCGCCCTGGTGGACGATGAGGTCTTCCGGGCGATAATCGTGCTTGCCGCTGAGATAGCTGGAGAGAATGGACTGGACCCCCTTGGCATAGCGCACCTGGGCATCGATAGAAGTGCCAGACATGTGAGGAACCATGGCATTGCCACCTCCGAAGGAATTCTTGGCCGTGCGCAGTGGATGGTCGCGGGGCGCGGGCTGGGGGAACCAGACGTCACCGCCGTAGCCGGCGAGATTCCCATTGGGGCCGAGGGCTTCGGCCACGTCTTCCTTGACGACGATGGCGCCGCGAGCCGTGTTGATAAGGTACGAGCCTGGAGATGGCATCAGCCAAACGGACTTGCTTGCAGAGGGAGGCAGATGGTACCTGTTCTCATTTTGCCAATGAGCTCCTTGTTGAACAAGCCTCTTGTTTTTTCGTGCAGCGGGCAGTTGATGGTGACGATGTCGCATTCTCGGAGCATTTCCTCTAGATTATGCATTCGCGTACAACCAATCTTGCGCTCGTCTACCCCGGACAGTGGCTGGTAGTCGAAGTAGAGGAGGTGGCAACCGAAGGGCTTGAGGCGCTCCAGCACACGCTTGCCGATGCGGCCAACGCCCACGGTGCCGACGGTCTTGCCCTCGAGATCGTACTCCTTTGCTGCCACGGCGGCCACGTCCCATTCGCCGCGCTCGATCTGTTCGTGGGCGGGGACAAAGTTGCGAATGAGGACGAGAATGGTCATGACGACGTGCTCGGCGACGGAGACGACGTTGCTTCCCGTCACCTCGGCGACGGTCACGCCGCCGTTGGTCTTGTTGGCTGCGTCGAGGTCGACGTGGTCGGAGCCGATGCCGGCCGTCACGGCCAGCTTGAGCTTCTTGGCCTTGGCCAGGCGCTCGGCTGTCAGGTAACCAGGATGGAAGCTATTCAGGGAGGAAAGAAGCTCGTTAGACAGGTTTGGAAGCGGAGATGAGAGAGAAAGTCGTGATCAAGCCTTGTCCTTCATCTGCTCCTGTGCTCCGCCCCTCGCAGGTGGATGATCGATGGGCAGCTAACTCGCTCTCCCTTTATCCTTTATTTCCACCGCCAGAGCAGCAGTCACGATGACATGACGGCTTGGGCAGCCGAAGAGCTGGGTGGGAAAGAGAGAGACCGGACGTACGGAGTTGTGATGATAATCTCGGCATCGACCAGCTCCTGATCAAACTTGGAGTTCTCGCCATCCTTGTCCGAGGTGGTAACAAGAGTGTGGCCCTGTTCTTCGAGCCATTGGCGGAGACCGAGCTCCTGTTGCGTCGTGCCGAGCAGTTCTTTATTCTGCGTCGTGAGCAAAGCCACAGGTGCAGCGGATGCGTTAGCCAGCTGCGCTTCTTATGAAGATGGAGATAATCTCTTTCTTTAACACCTCGGTGCCCTGTGTTCATTGCAATGTACATCATTTTCTTCCTTCCGGCCTTCTCTTTTTCGATCTTTCCAGGGGTGCAGCCGATACAAGAAGACCGGGGGGGGGGAGGTTGAGTATTTGGAAGACTCCAGGAAGCAGAATGGAGGGGCAGAAGGGATAAAGACTGACAGTTTTGGCCTTCTCGCCGCCGTCGTAGAGGACGCACAAGACTTTGACCTTTTCACGCGCGGTGGTCAGCAAACGCACCGCCGAGGGCGATTGCAAGCGAGACCCCCGGGCGCTGGCCGAGGCGGATTTGCCGGGACGGCTCGCCGGTGTCCGGGACAAAGACGGACGGAAGCTAGCTCTGGACCCGGTAGAGAAGAGGGCAGCTCGAGGAGCTAAAGAGATGGAGCGGGATAGAGGGCGAAAGGGTACCATTGCGAGGCGACGGTGTCTGCCCAGGTCAATGGGGGGAAGGCTGTGAGCTTCGATTCTCCGGCTCCTATTTCTTTCTTTCTGTCTTGCTTTGTTTCTGACGAATGCTCGTTCGTCGTTATGTCTACTGGTATATTGTGGTCGGGGAGGGTTTCTTTTGAGGGGGTATTTGAGCGTCTGCGAGAGGGGGAGAGAGGCGAGATGAGAAGAGGGGTGGGATGCTTGTCGCTATGAGATGACTCGGTCAAGTCGAAAAGCACGGCGATGTCTCAGCTGGGGGTTTACGAGGTCTCGGAAGTCGACGGTTGGGACGAAAGGTTGAGCTTTTAAGTATTTAGGTAGGAAGCAAACAAGGTTATGCGAGTCGGTTGCGGTGCATTTATGCCCTCTTCGGGTCCATGTGCAGCTTCAAAGCCATGGCTACCCTCCCTCCCTCACCGACCGACGGCGATGACGACCCCTCTTCCATGCCTCAGACCTACATACCTAAGCGCCGAACCCTCTCCTTGGTCCATCTCGGGCCCGTTGATGCCCACTTTGTCTGGCCCCCCCTCTTCGCTAGCGGGAGGGGGTGAAGAAGCTCTGGGATTCGGCATCTCAGGGTAGTAGTTTCGGGACATGGGATGCAGATACTTTACCTACTTCGTACATGGGGGCTCACCTATATCCCGAACCGTCTATGCAAACATATACATGCGTATGTACAGGACGTTCAACGTACGGCACATGCAGGGCAACGTCGCCACGCTTGCGCCTGCAATGGGAAAGGGGGCGCGAGAAGAGACAAGAGAAGCGAGGCGGACAAGGTTAACTCTTCCGAGCGCTCCGTTCCTACTCAGGGTGCGTCTTGGTTGTGGGGATGCCACGTCGCCCGTCCCCCGCGGCCGTCGATTTCCATCGGTGGGTAGAGGGAACATGGCTAGCCTTGCATGTATTTACCCTCTGGAAGCACGGCGCGGCCCAGAAGGGGTCACATCGAGGTTCTGGCCCGGGGCCCCTCGGCGTTCGGGATTGGCGTCGAGCGGGGCTGGGCGGGGACACGGAGGCCGTCGGTTGCTAGCTTCGGGATCTAGAAGGGGCACGCTTGTCGAGCTGAACCTTGGGAGACGAGGAAAAAGAAAGCGGTGCAGGCCGCGGGCTGCAGAGACGGTTGCTTGGCGATGCCGTCGGGGAGTTCGGGGAAGAGATGGAGGTTCGACAGGCCGAGACGCCCATCGGCCGGCCGGGCGGCGGTCGGACGAGGCCCGGCGTGGCCAAGCTCCGACGCAAACCCCGGCCGGGCCCGCCAACGCCGAGCCCCGCCCGCGACATCCGGCTCGGCCTCCCGGGACGCCGCTTGGCAGCCTTCGAGTTTGGCCCTGGGGGAGGAAACACAGACAGACGCAGGTAGAGACGCAGGTAGAGGTGCATCACCGTCATCGCCGTGTGTTTTGTCGCAACACCGACAAGGTCATCATACGGGCTTGGCCGTTCCACATCTCCGTCCTCGCCCCGACGCCGGGCTCTCGGCATCCAAGTCTGACCACCTACCCGGGACTCACCCACACACCCACTCCCCCTTGTTTTGCCCGCTTGGCAAGCTCCATTTCTCACCTTGTTCCCCTTTCCCCGTATTCTTATTCTAAAATGTGCTCTTGGTACGTAGATGCATCCAGCTGGGTTGCCCGATATGCGTCGTCGACTTATATCAGCGTTGAACGCACATGGACTCCTTGTTGGCGCATGCACATAAACTCTTCGGCCCGTTGAACGCCCTGCAAGCTAAACAGATATAGAGAGCAGCTTGAAAAACATGACCCTCGGATTCAGATGTAGCCGAGCTCCTTCAGCACCTCAAGCTCAAGCTTTGCACTGTCCTCCTCGGTAAAGCTGCCAACAGGTCCGACGCCGTCTTTGCGAACCCATCCACGACGCACATCCAACGACAACTCGACCTGCTCCCTTGCCACCCACTTTGCTTGGGAAAGCCGCCCGACGTTCGACATCTTGCGCCTTCTCTTGGATTCATCCAGGGCCTGGAGCGCCTTGATCAGCTTTGTGTGCGGCTGCCCCGACTGTTGCTTGAAAAGGGAGTACCAGCTAAAGTACGGACTGGAGAGTCCCAGCACCGTGTCTTTGTGGCCGGTTTCGTAGGCGAATGGGTAGAAGCCAGCCATTTCCCAGTCGACGATGGCGGCCAGCGCGTAGGCCCCGGCCGACGGAGTGCGCCTGACGAGAAGGTTGCGAGGCTCGACATCGTTGTGGCAGAAGACGACGTGGCGCTCGAGGGCTTCGAGGTCCGCCCGGGTCAGTTCAACTTGGCTGACATTGTCGAGTGTGGACCGAAGCACGAAGTCGTCTGGCGTCTCGGAAACGACGCAATCAGACGACGCGGGATTGCCGGCGAAGGCGACCTGGGCCAAGAACTGCTTCACGTCGCCAAAGTAGCCAAGCTCTGGTCCACCAACACGGACACTGCCGCCTTGGCCGTCGTCTAAAGCCGGGGCAGCTTTGGCCAGGACCTTGCGAGCATCGTCGCCCCCAGCGTCCAGCGCCTGGAGCTTGCCCAAGGCATCGGCGACGGAGCTCACCAGCGCCTTTTGCGCCTGCTCGTCAAGCGTGTCCTATACTTCCTCGAGGGTGTTGGTGTTGCTGATAAACTCGGTGACAGAGTACCCAATCTGCCTCCCGTCGGCAGCCGTCGTCGTGCCCGAGTCAAGCGTCGCCGGGACCAAGTCGGCGAGCTGGGCGCGGGCCAGCTCTCGCAGAGCTACCACGGAGGCCAAGCGACCCCTGGGCACTTCGAGTCGAACCACGGCCGTTTCTGGGCCTTGACCAGGGAAACCGACGCTGAAGGTCCGAGTATCAAACGTGTTGGAGATGACTTTGCAGTTGCTCGCAAACATATTTTAGTAGTGGAGTGCCGGATAGGATGCCATGGTCCGGAACGAGCTCTTTCTGAGAATCCGTTTCAAATGTTGATCAAGGCTGTGGAGAAAGAGACGTCTTTGAGACGCTTGGTCGCCGGTAGAGAGAGAGAGTTTTATAGTATATAGAGCCAGGGCCACACAGGATATGCATCACGTGGAAGGACGGCATCCGTTGGGCGTGTTGGGCGTTTATTATCATGGTTGAAGTTGTGAGGACCAACAACGATTAAAGACGACGCAGCCTAGAGGGAACTAGCTATAGGCAACAATCAACTCTTCGAGCCTTGTCTACACTAACAGCTATAAAGACGACTCGACCTAGAGGACTAGCTATTTGGACAGCTCCTGACGTCAGATTCTTCCGTCTTGTCTGGGTCAACTTCCCTCGATATTCGACGCCCCCCTAAACCCCCCCTCGTTATCTGAGCACTCGCAAACAGGAGTCGCTCCAGTTAACTCTTACCACACATGCCGCACTTGTCCTCGTTTACGAGCGGCGGTGGGTTGACGAATGCACCCACTTGCAGTTTACGGGCGTTAGTGGCCCTGCCGTTTGTCTCAAGCAAAGGGACCTACTCTTGGTATAAGTTTGGAAACCGTGATTGTTACGCCCTGTATAGGACTTGAGGGACAATAGCATCCATTATTTGAGAGATAATACTCAAGACCTGAGGACGGAGGAAGCGATGGACTGAAACTTGAGGTCTTTGGTCGTACATTTACAGCAATGCTGTTGGTCCGACTGCATCACAGGGCATGGTGTTAGTTGTCAGCGCCCGAGACGATTGGTACACGAACGAAAACGACGTGGTGATATATACGAGACATTATACTCCAAGAGCTTTCCCATGAATCAAAGAGGACGTAACATCAATCCATAGACGTCACCCCGTCCAACTCGGAGTTCTTGTCTCCTCGGCGCTCTTCTCCCAACCCCAGCACGCTTTTCGAACAAAGGAAAAGAAAACTACAAGCCCCTCGACGCGTTGAACTCATCCACCACCTCCCTCGCCGCCCTGATAATCTCACCACACCCCGGCGAGTCCGAGTGGCAGCACACCGACACGGGATACTCCCCAGTTGGCCGGGCCACCACCTCGCCCGTCACGGCCGTCACAGACCCCTCAAAGAGCTGCTGCCGCACGTGGGCGCGCACGTCGTCGGGCCGCCAGGCCTGCTTCCTGGCGTCGATGACGAGCGACCCGTCGGCGCGGTACTTGGCGTCGCCGTAGTGCTCGGCCCAGAACTCCAGCCCGGCCTCGCGCGCCGCCGTCTCCATGGCCGTGCCGGCGAGCCCAAACACCCGCCGCGTCGGCCCGGGGCCCGCCACGCCGGCCCAGACGGCCCGCGCCACGCCGGCGTCGCGCGCCATCAGCCCGTACAGCACCCCGTGCGGCTTGACGTGGTGTAGCTCGAGGCCCTCGCGCTCGACAAAGGCTCGCAGCGCGCCCACCTGGTACACCACGTTGGCCGTGTGCTCCGCCGCCGACAGCTTCATCTCTCGCCGCCCGAACCCCTGGACGTCCGGCAGGCCCGGGTGCGCGCCGATCTTGACGCCGTGAGCCTTGCACAGCGCCACCGTCCGAGCCATGACCACGGGGTCGCCCGCGCTACGGATGTCGTGACCGTGTCAGCAGTCTGCATTCAAGAAGATGGGAGCAAAAAGGGGGCGGGTGTGTAAGTCTCGGACTGGCTATTCCTCACTGAAAGCCGCAGGCCACGTTGGCAATGTCAATCATGGACACGAGCTCTTCGTCTGGGCCGCAGGCATAGTTACCATAGGCCTCGCCCATGTCGCAGTTGATGAGCACCTTGTGCCTTGTCGGAGCCATGATTACTCTGCGAATCCTGCGTCCTCAGCTATTGCTTGTCGGAGAAATTGTTTCTCTTGATGGCGAGAAGGGGAGCGCGGGTTGCAAAGACCGATATACACACGTTTCAATATATGTCCCGGTCTCCCAGTCTCGCCTCCCCACCCCTTTCACCTTGGCCCGGATAGTGGATAACGCACAGAATCATGGGCAACGGCCTGGCAGGTGAGTCGACGTCAAACGGCATATAGTAGGGCGGCAGCAAGGAAACAAATGACAGGTTCGTCGACAGACAGCGTCGTGCTGGATGCCACGCCACGCCTCTCAGCTTTCCGCCGCCCCCCCCCCTCTGGGCCAATCGAATGCTGCCGCGCGGTGGTGTCAAGACATCATCGCATGCATGCGATCCGAAAGGGATCCAAACGAATCATTAAAACCACCATGAGCCCGCCAGGGTTGCCTGTCACGTTGAGGTACAGAGGTAAAGGTCGTACCGTGCCACCAGTGCGTAATGATGAATCCTTGATCAAATACTGCACGATTCCAGTGTAGTAGAAGTCTTTCTGCGTCTGCTGCCTTTTCTGCAGAGGGTGGACTAACAAGAAGGCTGGCATCCTCCCTCGTGTCGGTCGTGGGTCAGCCATCATGGAAAGGCTGAATACAGTTCTCGTCGCAAACCGAGGCGAGATTGCCTGCCGCCTGATTAAGACAGCCAAGTATAGCAGATGCAACTCAGACTATTGACCGGCAGCCTCGCTGACGCTGTATCCTCAGAAAGCTAAGCATCCGCACGCTAGCCGTCTACACCGAGCCCGACAGTTTCTCGAAGCATGTAGTTGAAGCCGATGAAGCCTTTTTGTTGCGAGGAGGGGCTCGGACGGCGTACCTCGACGGGTCAGTTGGCCTGAGCAAAGCATACCTCACCTCCGGCTGACCCTGGCCTCCCTTTCTGACTGGAAACAGGGCTCAGATCATCGCCATAGCCAAAGATAACGGCGTCCAAGCCGTCCTTCCAGGCTATGGGTTCCTATCCGAAAACGCCGATTTTGCACAAGCAGTTGCCGCCGCCGGCCTCGTCTTTGCAGGGCCATCCGCCGAGGCCATACGCGCCTTCGGGCTCAAGCACATAGCTCGAGAGCTCGCGATCCAGGCAGGAGTGCCAGTCGTGCCGGGGAGCAATGGGCTGCTCGCCTCCGAAGACGCCGCCGTGTCGGCCGCCGCGGCGCTCGGCTATCCCGTCATGCTCAAGACCACGGCCGGCGGCGGCGGGATGGGACTGCTGCTGTGCCATGACGAGGCCGAGCTGCGCAACAATTTCGGCACGGCGCAGTCTCGAGGCCGCTCCTTGTTCCATAACGCGGGCGTCTTCCTCGAGCGTTATTTCGCTGAAAGCCACCACATCGAGGTCCAGGTGTTCGGCAACGGCCTCGGGAGCGTTGTAAGCATCGGAGAGCGCGAGTGCTCCATCCAGAGGAGGCATCAGAAGGTGATTGAGGAGTGTCCCAGCCCGTACGTTTTGCGGGTGCCCGAGTTGCGTGCAAAGCTCACGACCTGTGCCATCCGCCTAACCGAGAGCATCCGCTACGGCTCGGCCGGCACCGTCGAGTTCCTCGTCGACGGCCGCACGAGCGAAGTTTTCTTTCTCGAAATGAACACGCGCCTCCAGGTCGAGCATGGCGTGACGGAGCTATGTTATGGTATTGACCTCGTCGAGCTTATGCTGCGACAGGCAGACCGTCAGCTCGACGGCAAGGGCGGACTGGACTCGGACGAGCTTAGGGAGCTGCAGCGCTGTTGCTTGGGGCCTCGGGGCCATGCCATCGAGGCGCGCGTCTATGCCGAGAACCCTGCCAAGGACTTTGCGCCCAGCCCGGGCCTGCTCCAAGAAGTCTCGTGGCACACGGCGCCGGGCTCCCGCATCGACTCCTGGGTCCGGGCCGGCATGAAAATCAGCTCCGACTATGACGCCCTTTTGGCCAAGGTCATGTATCTCGGCTCGACCCGAGATGATGCTATTCGCGGCCTGAGCGAGGTTCTCGGCAGAAGCGCCATCCGAGGGCCCCCAGTCAACTTGGAGTGGCTGCATGCCATTGTCCAGGATGCCGGCTTCATCGAGGGCAGGACAACGACCAGGTTTCTAGACACGTGCAAGATCACCGTCCCAGGCATCGATATCCTCTCGGGCGGGTCGTACACGCTCGTCCAAGACCACCCGGGACGGCCATCCGTCGGCCACGGGTTCGGACATGCTGGACCCATGGACCCCATCGCCTTTCAGACTGCTAATATTCTTGCTGGGAACCCCATCGGCACCGAAGGCCTGGAAATCACCCTGACTGGCCCAGACATGGTATTCCTAGGCGATGCAGTCATAGCTTTATGCGGGCCGCCCGTTCCCGCCCGCCTAGACGGCAGCGACTTGGCTCTCTGGACACGCTACCCCGTGCGTGCCGGTCAGAGGTTGACGATTGGAAAGCTCCCTTCGCACTGCCGCGTCTACCTCGCCATCTACAAAGGCCTTGCCAACGTAGCTCGCTGGTATGGGAGCAAATCGACCAACCCCATGGTGAATGTGGGCGGCTACCAGGGCCGGGCTCTGAAAGCCGGCGACTTTCTCAGCATCGTGGACGCCGTCGAGGTGCCCAAAGTCGATGCCCTGGAGATGCCGCGGCGCGTGATCCCCACGTACACGTCGGACTGGGTCATCCAAGTCATGTCAGGACCCTATGAGGCGGGATATCTCTCACCCGCAGACATCACGACCCTCTTTCAACACACCTGGGAGGTAAGCCACAACTCGGCCAGGGGCGGAATCCGGCTCCTGGGGCCTCGGCCAGAGTTTGCGCGTCGGGACGGGGGGGAAGGCGGCTCGCATCCGAGCAATGTCATCGAGTACGGCTACCCGATCGGCGGGCTCAACTGGACCGGCGACGAGCCCGCCATCTTCCCCGTCGACGCGCCTGACTTTGGTGGCTTCGTCTGCAGCCACACCGTCATCAAGGCCGACATGTGGAAGATGGGCCAGCTCCGGGCGGGCGACCGGGTCCGGTTCAGGCGGGTTGGCCTGCAGGCCGCGCTGGCCCAACGCCGCCGACACGACGACTTTCTCCAGAGCCTCGCCTCGGCCGTCTCCAGCGGCCTTTGGGAAGATGTCGTTGCCTTTGACAGCCACTCCCTGGGGGCTGAGGCGACAGACGCTGATCAGGACTTGGTCCGAGTGCTGGAGACGACCTCGTCGAGGCCAATGGTGTCGTACCGTGCCGGCGGCGATGACTATCTCCTTGTCGACTACGGAGACGGCAAATGTGACCTGAATCATAAATGCCGAGCCACAGCGCTGCAGCGGCACATCGACGACAGGGCCTCTGGGATCGTATCTCCCCAAACAAGGACGAAAGAAGGGGCAGTGGTCAACATGGTCGGATGCGGTAATTCGCTGGCCATCTTTTACGACGGCCTAAGGCTGCATCACGACGACTTGGTCAAGTTCCTGGTGAGCGTTGAGGAGAAGCTGGGCGATTTACGGACCATACAACTGCCGAACCGTCAGTTCCGGCTGCCGGTGACGTTTACTCACAAGAGACTGACCGACGCCATTGAGCGCTACACCGGAAACCAGAGGTCCATCGCGAGCTACCTGCCGGACCCATTCAGGTTCGTAGCTGAGAGCAACGGCATGACGGCCGACGAGCTCAAGAATCTGCTGCTGAGGGCCGAGTCCGTCGTCATTGGCGTCGGCTTCGTCATGGCCCTGCCGCTTTGCCTGCCCGTCGACCCGCGGGACCGTCTGCGATCGCCCAAGATGAACCCCAGTCGAACCTACACGCCCGAGGGGACCTTTTCGTGGGGAGGTAGCTCCATTTCCATCTACGCGGTGGACAGCCCTGGGGGGTTCATGCCCATCGGCATGACGGTACCGGGCCTCGACCTGTTTGGCGCAAAGGGTGGCGGCTTTCTTGAGAACAGGCCTTGGTTGTTTGAGAGCATGGACCAGATGAGCTTCTACGAGGTGAGCGAGGACGAATATGACGCTCAGATGACGCAGTTTAGGGCCGGGACGTATCACTTCGAGGTCCAGGAGGGCGTCTTCGACATGGCCGCGCACAATAAGCTGCTCCGGGAGACGGCCGCGGAGGCGGAGGCGCTGCAAAGGCAGAGGGCGCGGGCGCAGGACGCAATGGCGCAGCGCGAGAAGGCGATGCTCAACAAGTGGCTGGCTGAGAAAGACGCCGGACGTTCACAGTTTGACCACGAGTCGGCGCTGGCTGAAGGTGAGTGGGAGTATCAGGCTTTGCACGAGAGCACGTCCCTGTCTCCGCACAAGCTAAGATGCTCCCTTGGACAAATGGCGCGTGGATACGGGGCTGGCTGACATGGAAACCCATCTCACAGATCCGGATCTGGAAGCAATCGAAGCGCCCATGAACGCCAACGTGTGGAAGGTGCTGGTGGAACAAAGCCAGCGGGTGGACGGGGGTCAAATCGTCGCGATCCTTGAGGCCATGAAGATGGAGATTAGCGTGAACGCAGACAGTAGCCTGACCGGGGGAACTGTGGTCAAGCTGCTGGTTGAGCCTGGGGACAGTATTCGGAGCGGGGAGCCAATCGCGCTGGTCAGAAGAGCAGGCTGACACAGGGGTGGGCTTAACAATGCGAATGGGGCTCGTGTTGAAAAGCAGTGAGTTGAGAGGGTGGGCAAACAAAGAGGCTTCGAGTTCATGCCAGAGACAAAAAAAGATATGGTGGTTCCGCCCGGGCTCGAACCGGGGACCGTCTCGGTGTTAGCGAGAAATCATGACCAACTAGACCACGGAACCGATGAATGATTTTACTTGGCAACAAGAGACGGCCAACCGTATATGGGGGCTGTGGTGGAGCTGCCGCCAATGGATGAAGAGTCGGTGGAGAGGGACCGGCGGGGCGGCCGAGGCACAACAAGGCCAAGGGTCTCTGAAGGAATGGCTGACGCACCGGGTGGCACTTTGTCAAGGTAATGCCATAAAATGGATGGCGAGATGAAGTCGCCTTGTCGCCGGTAGTCTGCGTGCACGTGCATGGGCGTTGGTGTTGAATGCTGACCAAGGCAGCCCACGGCCCGAAAGGCACCGATACCAGCCAGCCTTTTGCTCCGGTGCCGATGCCGGCCGGATCAAGCCGAAAAAGGATACAGTACAAACTCGGTGTGTTTTCCACCAAACACTGTGTTTGTTTACATATTATCCAGGTGTCAGATCCACCAAGCTTACCCTCAGTGTATTCTGCAGGTTGGGCCTCTCTTGCTTCTCCCGGACCGGCCGAGGACTGACTGTGCTCTCTGAACTGACGGACGAGTCGTCAAATACCCACCCGAGCTAGACTTTGACTCGACGGCACTGTCGACCGGCGAGTTAGAGTTAGAGTTCCGACATTGAGATGCCGTGTCGTCATGCCACTCCCACACGTCCTTGGTGGACCCTGGATAATACCCATCACTCCCCAACGGGCAGCCCGAGCCAGTCTCAGTCGACGGATCACCGGCGACTTACATTCAATCAATGGTGTGGCCGAGAGCAGCTTCGTCCATCGCCAGGAGGAGCCGGATGCCCCCGATACGAGCTGACAACAGGGACACTTTCAAAGTCTAGGTTGGGCGCAAACGATATCTAGCTTGGCTTGCAGCCCACGTATAATTATAACTACGTACAGTACGCACACGCAACGTGGTACCCAGCTCGGAGGGCAGCCGAGCGAAAGAGAATTACAGAAATCATGTCAGACGGAAACAGGCAGGCCAAACAATTTTTTTTGTCATAGAAATAAGCGCACCCTCTTGCACTCGGCACTGCCGTGCAGCGTCTTCTTGTACAGTGCTGTACAGCCAGTCGTCGATTGCTGGGGAGACGCCGATGACGACATGATCATCGCCCTTGGGGTCGTGTTTCAGCGGGGCTCACAGGCTCCCAGTCCACTGGCCCACAGCGGGAATCATCCATGGATCAGACGGGGAGCCGCTGGAATTGCCCGAGCAGCTCCACTATAGCTAGCTCACTGGACAGTAAATGCAGCTCTGTATTTGGCTGGGTGCCACGCACCCAGCCAACGACCATCCTCGGCACCTGTCCGTCTCTGCCGTCCAGGTAGGTCCCCCCCCAACCTCTTTTTTTTGGGGGGGTGGGAAGCGGAAGCGTCGTACGGGCATCTCCCCCGTCCTTGTTGCTTTCACTGCGACCTCCTCCTCCCAATGCTTTTCCCTCTCCACGCCAATCCTCGCCTCCTCCATACTGGCTTCCGCTCTGCAACAACAGGACCGAGCGTCTCTCTCTCTGCTTCTTAGCCAGTCCGGCCTGAGAATAAGAAGCTTCCACCCTCCCATCTACTGCCCTGACCACTCTTATTTGCACTTGATCCCTTCTCGTGCTCTTCCTCCCCATCTTCGCTCGCCTCTTCCGTCACCACAACCACCACAACCACCGCTAATACTGTTCCGACGAGACGCTCGTCAAGTCTCCAATCATGATTGCATCCGTCCTCACTCTCGGCCTCTTGGGCCTGGCTGCTGCCGCTCCTGCAACTGTCAAATCCCAAGCTACTCCGCACTATCCCGAGACGTCAAAGTCCAACGGCTTCCACCTCGTCGTCAACGTTACCGATGGCTCAAAGGACTTTAGTCCCTCGATCCAAAACACGTATGTTTCCAGCATCCATGTCGGCGCCGGCCTCGCCCTCGTCGGCAATATCGCCTCCCCCAGCAACGCCCGCATCTTCTACCAAAACGGCACGGCCGACGAGCACCGCTACAGAAAGACAACCGTCATCACCGACAGCGGCACTCCGTCTTTCCCCTCGGGCATCAAGCTAGTGCGAGACAAGGGCTCCGACGCGGTCTCGACAGCCCACCTCGACGCCGGCCCCGGCACTTCCGGCATCGGGCTCACTGGCTTCCCCGAGCCCTACGTCTTCCTCAACCCCGAGACATGGCTTGCCTGCAACGAGAGCATCCCCTACTACCAGAACAAATACTTCATCATCTTCAAGCAGGCCAATACCACGGTCGGCAAAGACGGCGGCATCAACCGCAATGTGCCCAAGGACTGCGCTCCCGTCCGCCTGATTCCTGAATGCACCAAGCTTAACGACCTCCCCAGCGGCTCCTACTCGAGCCACGACTTTGCCATCGAGGACAGGTGCTACGGGGACGTCAAGTTGATCAAGTGGAGCGAGTACGGGCCCTAGTCGCCTCGGGAAACCGGTACGAGATGTGACTTGAGACCGACGTCCTGCACACATCATGACTATTTGTTAATGGTAATGCGGCATTGCGAGCGGTGGATGGCGTTGGGCATGTACACATAGCTGCGAATTGAAAGCAGACCTAATGCATGGGTTATTCTTAGCCGCGATTGTCCGTCTTGAAGTCACGTACGAGATGGTGTTGACTGTTGTGGAATATCGGACAGCCTCCACCGTGCGCTTTCGGGTGGGCACAGCCTTACAGGACAGTGTTTGCCTCCGATTGCCGGCCCGCTGTTTGCAGGACCCACCTGGCTGATTGCGGCAAGTCGTCACTGGGGGCACAGCATCTGCAGCGCCCCAGAGAGCAGAGCTAGTAGGTACCTCGGCGCAGGGGTACTTGCATGACATTATTTTGTTAGCGGCGTAAGCATGTCCCTTCGTGTTCGAGTACAAGCTTCTCCCTTCACCAAGCCCCAGATGAACCAGTTGGTTGGCTGCACCCGCTGCATGCTGCCGTACAGTACGTACTGCTGCCTAAACAAAGCTGTACTTACCTCAGTCAGTCCTTGGATCGCGCGTCCACCTCAACAACGCCCACCTTGCATCTTCACCTTCCCCCGACCAATTCACCAGCCAAACCACGCTCGCTCTCCCTCTCCCCTGCCGCCCACCCGAAACCATGACCAAGCGCGCCCCCGGGATGCCCAGCCGCCAGGCCTCGGCGCTGCCCCTGCGCCCGACGCCCACCGCCGAGCCCCCGCGATCAAAGAACTTCATCCTCGCCGACATGGACGGCCGCGCCTCGGGGACCAACGACGCCTGCGCCAGCTGCATCGCACAGCTGGATCCCGCAGAGGTCGGCCAGGTCAATTGGCGCCTCGCCGACGACTGTCGCCTGTGCCAGGTCGCCGCGTGCAAGCCAGAGGCCTTTACTAAGCCCTTCTGTGACTTTTTGCAGGAGAACCCGACCGTCTTCCACACTGTTGATTATTTCAAGAGGAAACTGAATCACTCGGGCTTTCAAGAGGTATGCTGCGGTATTTTCTTGGGGCTCCGATGGAAACGTGAGGCTGACCAATGGGCAACAAAAAGCTCCCTGCGCGCGACGACTGGACCGGCAAGATCGAGCCTGGTGGCAAATATTGGGTGACACGAAACGGCAGCACGCTCATCGCCTTCACTGTCGGCAAGTCGTACAAGGCCGCTAACGGCGTGGGCATGGTGGCGGGCCACATTGACGCCCTAACGGCTCGCCTCAAACCCGTCAGCACCAAGCCGTCCAAGGCCGGCTACGTCCAGCTCGGCGTCGCCCCCTATGCCGGCGGCCTGAACCAGACGTGGTGGGACCGCGACCTGAGCATCGGGGGGCGCGTCATTGTGCGCGACGACAAGACGGGCAAGACCAGCGTCCGGCTCGTCAAGGTCGACTGGCCCGTCGCCAAGATCCCCACGCTGGCGCCCCATTTCGGCGTCGGCATGTTTGGCGCCAGCAACAAGGAGACGCAGGCCGTGCCCATCATCGGCCTCGAGAGCTCCGCCAACGATGCCGACGCCGCGCCCCTCGGCCCCGTGGGATCCTTTGTCAACACGCAGCCGCCCCGGCTCGTCAAGCTGATTGCCCGCCAGCTCGGCATCCAGTCGCTCGGCTCCATCCTCAACTGGGAGCTTGAGCTCTTCGACTCGCAGCCCGCCCAGACATGCGGCATTGACCGGGAGCTCATCACGGGCGGCCGCATCGACGACAAGCTGTGCTCGTGGGCTGCCCTCATGGGCCTGCTGGCGGCCGACGACGACGACGACGGCGGCTACGTCAAGCTCGTCGCCCTCTTCGACGACGAGGAAATCGGCTCGCTCCTCCGCCAGGGCGCCCGCGGCAACTTCCTGCCCCTCGTCATCGAGCGCACCATCGAGGCCCTCAACCCGTCCGCCTACGGCCCGGGCCTCCTCGGCCAAACGTACGACCGCTCCTTTCTCGTCTCGGCCGACGTCACCCACGCCGGCAACCCCAACTTCCTCGAACACTACCTCGACGACCATGTGCCCCAGCTCAACGTCGGCATCGTCATCACGAGCGACAGCAACGGCAGCATGACGACCGACGCCGTCTCCACCGCCATCCTGCGCCGCGTCGCCGAGCTGTGCGGCGCCCGCACCCAGGACTTTCAGATCCGCAACGACTCCCGCGGCGGCGGCACCATCGGGCCCTCCCTCTCCAGCAACATGGGCGTCCGCGCCGCCGACGCCGGCCTCCCCCAGCTCAGCATGCACTCGGTCCGCGCCACCACCGGCGCCCTCGACCCGGGCCTGGGCGTCCACTTCTTCAAGGGCTTCTTCGACAACTGGGAGAAGATTGACTCCGAGTGGAACTATTGAGCCGGTTGCGAGAGGAAACGAGGCCTTTGAGGGAGGCCGTCTGGGAACATGGGGAGTAGACGGGGCTGCATGGGACACAGTATCCTTGTAAACGCATAGACCTGCTCATCTTGGAAAGCTGGTCGCAAAGCGTTGGATATCATTCTGGTCTCTTAGACGTCACCTTTTTATCATTTTTGCCAAATAATTAGCGACAAAGACTTGGTATAACCATCGCGACAGATCCTCCCTTTCGAGGACTGCAACCAACGCCAGTGGATGCATTCTAGCAACATGGCCTGCGTACATGATAAACAGGAAAAAGTCGTCAAGATGGGAGGGAGCAGGAGGAGAAAATTCCCCCATGTGCGTCCATGTACAGGACAGAGGCCGCCCTGATGCCACGTCCCCTCCAATCGTCGCGAAGCTCCTCTCACTCGTCCTCCTCGCTATGCCGCGACAGCGCCCTCGGCGCGCGCGCGCTCCTGAGACCGACAGTGGCCTCCTCGTCATCGTCGTCTTCGTCGTCATCCGTCACAATCTCCTGCTCCGTGGTCGCCTCGCTCGACTCAGTCGCCGGGGGGGGCTTGCGCCGCTTCTCAAAGTCCTGCCGATGCGCCTCGGCTATCATGCGCGAAAACGTCTGCGCGCTCGTCGTGTAGGCGCGGCGCCGCAGGCTGCCGAGCGGGTGGGCCACGGCCGTCGAGTTGGAGTGCTTGGCCTCGGGCCGCTTGTTCTGCGGCTGCTGCGGGGACTGTTGCTGCTCCGGTTGCTGCTGCTGCTGTTGCAGTTCTTCTTGCTGCTGCTGCTGCTCCTCCGTCTGCAGAACGGGGCTCGAAGTCTCGCTCGCACGAGCCATGAGGGGCTCGATGCTGTAGGGCAGTGGAACATCTCGCGAAGCCTTGTACTGGGCCACGTTGGCACAGTGTTCGTTCTCCACACGGAACAGAGACCATAGGCCGCGGCGGAAGACTTCCATCAAGGACACCATGAAGGAGATAAAGGTCGAGTGCTGCGTGTTGTGGGTGAAGACGGCGTAAAATATCCAGACGAATCGGAGCACTGGGTCGGCGACCATGGCGCAATAGTAGGGCCAGCGTCGCTTGAGCGCCAGGATGTCGCGCAGCAGGAAGCGGCGCGAATGTGGCTGCAGGAGGGAAAAGTCCATGAACAGGTCCCAGATAGCTAGCAATGGCCGTCAGCATACTGGATCCATCTGGCAAGTCTCGGTGCAAGGACGGGGACCACTCACAGGTGTAGACGCTGTTAAGCAGAGCAGTCGTTATGTACAAGGCGAGGTTGGTGTGACTGCCATTGACTCGGTAGAGAGAGAGAGTGACGTAGGAAACAATGGTCATGGCATATTTGCCACCGTTGACCAGGTGAGGGAAGACGTTTCGGGTATCATGGTAGCGGCGGAGGCATTGCAGAAAGCGCCAGATGGCTGGCAGCGTCAGGAAGAAGCCCATGAGCCGGGAGTGGCTCGAGTTGCACTGCGTTGGGTTGTTGAAGCGTTTGGAGTAGAGGCAGAAGAAGAGCTCAATGTTCTGCGTCGTCGCCCGTTAGTCGTCAGGGCGTCCTTGCGATCCGAACCAAAGAGGGCCGCCTGGAGACGAGGAAGGGAGACTTACCGCCATGGAGTAGGTCAAGGAACAATACATGTCCCCGAGGAAAAAGTCGCGGAATTCGACGGGATAGATGCCGGCCAACAGCAGTCGCCACTGGTCCACCTTTGGTTGGCACATGGCACGCAAAGAGCCAAGCGGCGGGGATGGAGGCATGACTTACGTGTGCGTAGACGAACCACTTCCGAGACTTGTAAGCCAGCACGGGCGCGGGAAAGAAGATGATGGTGGCGGTGATGACGATCAAAAGCACCGGGTACCAGAGATACATGCGCTCGGCGCCGTACCTGCTGAAGTTCATCCACATGAAGATGCCAAAGAGGAGGAGAAAGAAGCTGGGGAACTCGGCCAGGCGGCGCCAGTCGATGTGGCTGCGCTGGTCGAACTCGAAGATGAAGGGGTAGTTGACCTTGCACTTTGTCCAGACGAAGCAGTTTATGCAGAAGAGGGAGAACAGGAGCAGCATCATGAAGTAACCGGCGTAGATCTGCAGCAGGTAGCCGGTGTGGACCCGGAGCAGGGGGTCCTCGTCGTGCAAGAGCTGCATTCCGTAGGCGAGCCCCTGGGTGGTGAAGACGATGCCGGTGCCGATGAGGAAGCCATTGAGAAACGAGCTCCCGGACTCGTCCGTCGACTTCTTGGACAGGCTGCGGAGCTTGCCGGCCGCGAGCTTGTGGTTGCCACGCTCAAAGTAGCGCGAGTAGAGATCCTCTACGGCCTTGACGTGGCCCTCGAGCACCTCGCTGTTGACGAAGCCCGCCCTGTTGACCTTTTCGTGCATGTACCGCAACGGAGGCCGGGCGTTGACGGCCTTGTCGAATTTCTTGTTCAGCTTGCGGAACGCGGTGCGGTTGAGCATGGCATACGACTTGAGCAGCTCGAGGCTCCGGTAGAACTCTTGCAGTGCCAGCTTCAGCTTGCGCTTGGCGGTGCGGTACGACACGTCGGCGTCGTGCCGCGCGCGGACATAGTCGCGCCTCTGGCCCGACGCGCTGGGGGGCAGGGCCGGTGTTTGGGGCATGGTGCGCAGGGCCTTTGAGTTTGGCCCTGGCGGAAAGATTTTGGCCCGGATGGGGTGCACCCAGCCGTTGGACTTGGCGTGGCCGCCATCGATGCTGCCACTCTGGAAATAAGACGGCTCCTCGGGCTCGGCTGCATAGGTGATTTCCTCGATTCGCCGGTTTCGCCACTCGTGCAGCTGCTCGCGCAAAATGGCCAGGCGCTGGCCGGCCTGCTCCTCCTTGAACCTGAAGAATTTTTCGACCTTGTCCAGCTCCGAGTCCATGAAGCGGTAGAAGTCGCGCTCCCGCTCACGAACGAGGTCCTGGTGCTGCTGCAGGTCAGCGTCGGGCCTCGAGGGTTCTCTCGTCAGCTGGTTGGAGGCGTGCGCCAGGATACGGCGCATGTGGGACGGAGACTGGGGGATCGAGGCGCTAGCGGTAGACCGCTTGGCGATGGCGGCGGGCTTGAAGGTGTCGGCAACGGGGCCCGTGGTGAAGCGACTGAGGTTGCGGCGGAAAGTGTCGGTGGGCGGCTTGGGTCCAGACGACGGGTCGGCGGGCGTGTGAACGGCGGGCGCCGGCAGCTCGAAGTCGTCGCCATGGGATTCCGTCTCCTTGAGCTCGCCACTGTGGCGCGACGGGGGCGGCTCGGACAAGGGGCGGCCGCGGACGGACGAGATGATGTCGGAAAAGGAGCCTCGCGAGGTGCGGTCGGCATGCAATCTCGAGGGCGCGGCGCGGTTGCTATTGAACGGTCGGGGCGTACGGACGAGGGCTCTGGAGACGGCCTTGATGTGCTTCTTGCCGGCCTTGTAGTTGAGGTACTTGATGCGCCACTCTGACGGGAGTTAGCGAATCGGAAGCGAGTGGCAGGGCAGAAGAAACGCACCGGGCACAGCATCCCGCTCCAGCTCCTTTGCGAACTTCATGGCTGACGGCTCCCCGCCTCGAGGGACCACGCAGCAAGCCGAGCCGCATCCGGCCGCCGAAGCCGACCAGGCGCTCTCGACCGTCTTTTTATCCGGGGGCCAAGGGGTGCATCGACGTCACGCCCGACTGGCATGCGGCTCCTTGGATGATTCAGATGGCTCAATGGCCTGTCAGACTCTGCAAGGCCCTCTTCAAGGCCCTGGCGTGTCTTGGAATAGGTATCGGGGTTGGCCTGCTGGGGGCCAACAAAGTTTCTGCTGATTGGCGCCGCTGAGGATTTGCGGATGAGAAGAAGAATGAGAGAGGGAGGGAAGGGGGGGAGGGTCCTGACTTTGTTGATTTTCTGCCTCAACTAACCAACTAACTGCGCTGCCCGGCGTTATGTGCACGCAATGCTTTCCTGTTACCTTACTTATTGTACAGTGGATTCCATGCCTACCTACCTACCTACCTACCTAGGTAGATACCTAGTATACTTACTTACTTTTTCGTCCTCCCATCCCGACAGCAAATTGCGTTCAAAAACTACCGGCGATTGTTGCCCCGTTTGGCAGGGCGGCGTTGCTTCCCCGTCTGTATGCACAATGCGTGCTGCAGCATATTTTACCTACTGTATTGTTTTACGTGACGGCTCAAGCCCGAGGCCCATTCCGCTGCTCCAGCATCTCCAGCGGCTTCTCCGGGCACCACGGAATAGCCTCTCGTCAATGGCGCCTGTGCTCCTTGTTAGGCACCGACAGTCAAAAGGCGCCCGTCTCAGCGCTGCGCATACCTCGACTGTGCTCACCATCTCCAGGTACCCAACCACTTGTAAACCACTTGTATGGAGCCGCCTCCAGGCAGCCCGGCAAACACCGATCTGCACGACCGCTGAAACACCATCTAGAGGAGGCAATGCCCTTGTCTTTCGAGCATTATCACGGGGGGCCAGTCGGTCTCCGTTCACCTAGTCTAGCGCTGAGAGACCGCAAACCCAGGCTGCCTAATTTTACGTGGACGAGGACCCTTGTTGCGTCGGAATTGGCCAGTCGATCAACACGCGCTTGCTAGCCACCGCCATCGAGCTTCCATCGAGACGTGGACCTCCCTTCTTTCTTGTCCAACGGGCACATGTTCTCCGCGGGCCCGGAGGAGCCAAAGGGTTGTCCTGCAGCGTCACGAGATGCTGCCGTCAAGTATGACATGGACAAGGCGTGGCAGTATCCATGACATATCCACATGCCTGTGTAGCGAGAATGCCGAGTTTTCTTCGTAGACAAGAGGCAAATTTCCAGGGACCCCATGAGCCGAAGTGGCGCGCACCCGCCGTGAAACCTCGTCAACAGGAGCTCAGAGACTTACGTCATGGTGCGGAGAGGGTGGTTTGCTTCCTATTCCGTACTCGGACTGCTGATGCTGACCACGGTCGGTTGATCAATGAGTGCCGGAGGCGCAGATGGCCAGCCAGGTCCAAGCCGGTCCTATTTCTCCGACTCGCATGCGCACGCGTGTCGGGGCGTCAAACCAGCGTCCGCCGAAGAGTGTCGTTGGACGATATGCCCAGCCAAGGTTGGTCGTTTGCTTGCTGGCCCAATTCAAATCTCCATGAGAGCTAGCGGCGGCGCTAGATGCCCGAGAAACGGCCTGGACGGGGACGGCGTGGCGCCGCAGATGCGCGGCCGGATGCTGCTGCTGCTATTAATCGAGAGACCAATTAGATGGAATGATGGTGCTTGGACGTTGGGGACGGTTTATCTACAGTGTACTGTACAGTGTACAGACAGTCCATGTCCTGCTGGACCTCCTGAAAGAAGGCTTGAAGTGAGGGCGGTGGGGTGCGTGCAGCTGAGGCGGGGGGAAAGCTAAAACTTGCACTGTATAGCGAAGTACAGCGACACCCGTGTCGATACAGTGTACAATACAGAACAATACAGTACGCTACAGTGCATAGAAGACATAACGAACAGGAGGCACAATCGTCGAGTCACAGGCAGCCCCCCACGCCTTGTTCGCCTTGCACGCCCTCGCTTTGCCGCAGCTCAAGACCGGTCGAACAGTCAGGTCGGTCGACATGGCACGCGCACGATGCCACCATCGATGCTTAATTCGTCTACCGCATCAATCCGTCCATTCAAGAGGAGGAACAAGAGATGCAAATGAGGGGACCAGGCAAGGCGGCAGTCACATTCGTCCCTCCGCATGTCTCGCAACGCCGTCACCGTCGTGGCTGTGAGACCTCTGCAACAGCACAGGAACGAACTCGTCTTCAGCGCGTGCGACACTGTCTCGCTCGGGGAAAGTGGCACTGGTCGATGTGTAATCGACTCCCTGGCAGAACAGCATCTCGGCGTCCTCCTCTGCAGCCAGACCTTGTGCCAGGCAGCAGGCAGCCACAACAATCGCGCATCACAGGCATCGCTAGCCCGGGAGGGCTTGTCCCGATAGTCCCACGGTCTACTGTAGAAGCGGCAACAGCTGACGGCAAAAGGCCCGGACTGTCTTCGCCACTGTGGTACGGTTAGAATGCATGCATTGGTACGACCGTCTATCGTCGATGAGGAAGCCGACGTCTTTCTTCACGCAAAAGACATGGCCTCTTCTCCCCCACAGGTTTGGGACCCCGTTGCCAGGAAGATCGAGATGCCATCTTCCACCTTGCTTGTTGATGCACTGATCAACCAAGGCGGCGCTGCTGTATCAGGTTTTCCCCTAGCGCCCACGCGAAGCTACTGCATCCGGGCCTATAACTAGCCTCTGTCCGGCTTCGTTGCCAAAAAGTCCCCGGCTTTGGACGCTTTCTTCTTCAGCGCCGCTCTTCTTCGGCTGGGCCGTCAAAGGCACCCCCACCTTGCATGCGAATGCCATGCTACCCTCGACAGGCCCGCTGCTCATTGTGGTTGCAATTGCCATTGCGTTCGCGATTCGAAAACGACTCTTTCGCCTCGTGGCTATGTCGATCTCGGTGCTTGGCACTGCACATCATACTTGCCCTGAGGATCCCGTTTCTTATTGTACAGTACTGTGCAGCTCTTACAAAGAGACACGCCATCAATGGCCGCCAAGACGCTCGAGGGGAAGAGAGCAGGGCTTACATGCTCAATGGCACGAGTTTCTTGGCTGCAACGGCTCGGCAGTATCGTGCTGCAGTGCATTGCGCGTTGCAGCGCGTTCTGTGCGTACGGAACGCTGCCTCGCGCGTATTGTACATATACACACGCATCACCAAGGTTGGGGGTTTCACTGGCGCTTCACCAACGGCAGCACAATCTGATGCTCATGTTTTGAATAACCTGTTCAACCCACATCACATCAAGCTAGCTGCAGCCGCGGTGGAGGCACCCAAGCACCGAGGTGGTGTTGGCAACGGCCGAACCGATCGCCGCCATCACATTGCGTCGACTGTCACGGACCATTGGACCGTGTGCACTTGGTGTACAGCAATGTATTTACGGCATCTCCCGGCTTGTTTACAGCTTGTAACGTGGCAAGAGTACACACTGTCCGGGGCGACATGGGAAGATGACCCAATACGGAACTGCGCTACTTACAGTACTTACCTCACGGTAGTGAGAGGTGATAACCGAGCAGCTCATCCCAAGCAGCCGGTGTAGTTGGTCAAATCGAGGATGCGCGCCGCAGCTGATACTGGCACCGCCCAGGCCCAGTCGCTCAAAGTGTCGCTGCAAGAGGTAAGCCACGTCGACAACTTTGCAGCGTCACTTGCAGTACCTACCTTGGCAGCCATTGGAATCGAAACCCCCTTAACCGAGACTCTTGGAAGGAGCCCACGTTGATCCCCGTGTGCCGGTCCGGGGCTGGACGTCAGCCGTGGAGACGGAGCGGAGTAAGACTCCGTCTGTGCGCGCGGGTCGTTGCATCAGCGGGCCGAGAAGTGCGTGGGGCGAGATTCCCAGCAAAGGTCACGGAGGAGTTGATAGAGGGGATTTACATGACCGGTATATGCTCGTCTCGTGAGCTTTGGCTTCTGTCTCCGGTGCGTGCATCTATACGAGACCATCGGAGGGCAATTTGGTGGTTTTGAGCCGGGCCAAGCCTCATCCTTACTAAGAGACTGTAGATAACTACAATACCCCCCGGCTTCTGGCCACGCCGGTGCAAGGGTGTTATTATTGCCGGAACTTTGTTTTCGTTGCTTTCTGCCATTTCGCCCGGTTAAATATGCACGTGCATGCCTCGTTCAGAGTACAATGGATGCCTAAGGCTCACCTTTGCTCTGGTTCTTGAGTTTGTGTGGGGGAAAGTGAAACGCGCAGCCGAAACGAGGCCTGAGGAAGCATTGAGAGAGGGCGGTCGCGGCAAAGGCGGAGAGAGAACAAGGAGGGACTTGGGGAGAGAAAAGAGTGACAGAAGTGATACTTGGGTGTAACCGGCGGATATCAATGGCCATTCACGTACTTACCCATGTACAGTACTAGTATGTACATACGAATGCCACGGACGACTGAACCGGGCTAGCTGAGTGCCTGTTCGGTCGGGGCCCTTCAGCTGTGCCCCTCGAGGGCGCCGCCAGCTGCCCCAGGCCGGCCCCTGGGCAATCAGAGGACCGGCCATCCGAGAGCGGCTTGCAGCGGGCCCCCCCCCCCGCCCCCTGTTGTGGCGCCAATTCACGAGAGCCCCTCCTCTCAGCCGCTGGCTCCCTCCCGGCAACAGGCGACGATTGGGAATCTTTTCTTACTTGCGAACCGGGCAACGGCGACTCAATGGAGAGAGGGCAGAGAAAGGCGGGCGGGCGGGCTGGCAGGCTCTCTCTTTTTCTCCCCTTCTCGTCTCGCCTCTTTATTTTCTTGTTCTTTCTTTCAAGTCTTGTGCGGCAGTCTGCTTCTGCACCATCTGCATGTTCGACACTAGGCCTGCCGACCGTCTTGGTCGAGTCGCATCCAAATCGGCCCGCCCTGTCGAGTCTGCGCCGCGGCGGATAAGGGCCTCCTCCCCGCCCGCCACGGCCTGCGGTACTAAGGCGACGCCAAGTTGCCTCGAGGCATGCGAGGTACACTAGCCTTGGCCCCGTCTACCCCAAGTCCGCCCACCCAGTACCTTGGCTGGTGCTCGGATATGGGTGGCCACCCCATGTATCTCCGCCATCTATCCAGGTACCCGACCTTGGGCAGGAATGGAACCAAGAAGCCATCGACCCCTAGGCCGGGCGCCGCACTGCCTACCGGTACCTTTGGCCTTTGTTCTTGCTCGAATGGCCAGGTCGCGTCACACGCCGCCACAGAGGATCGGTACCTCGCCCTGACAGATATAAGGTACCTGAGTACCTACCTGCAGTACACCTACACAAACTGCTCTGCCCTTCTCCATCATCCCACCCTGATTCTCCCTCCTCCCTCTTTCCCTCCCCCCTCGCCCTCACTTCTTCCTCTCTCACCCCTTGCCGCGCCTTTGCCCTCGCCTCTGCCGCCTCCCTTCTCCCAACCTCTCCGCCTCGGTCAGCATTGGCATATCTCCTCGCAGCAGTGCACTGGCCACGACGTCTGCGGGCTCAGACTGCTAATCACTGCCTCCACATTACCGCCTTGGTCGAAGGGGGAGAAAAAAACATCTCCCCAGAAGCGCTGCCGGCCGACGATTCGACGGGTGCGCGCCACCTCGCGCGCCAGGGCTCTAGTCGCCCTTTGGTTTCCCGCTCGTTGGATACCCGCCGCCACCACCGCCGCCCCCTTCTCCTCCACCAACGGCGCTGCGATTTCTGTCAACCAAAAACGAGCCGTCACTTCTTCAGGGAAGGCAGATTTAGGCTGCCCTCTCCCGCTCTCGACCATGCTCGGGCCGCAGAGAACGAGACCAATTGACCACAACAGCGTCTACGGCCACTCGCACTCCCGAACCGCCTCCACCAACGCCTTCTCTGCCCAAGGCCACCCACCGCCTCGCATGTCTCTGCATCTGCAATCCCAGCCAGCCCCAAACATGCAGCATTCGCGCCGCTCGCCCTCGGTCAACACCTTTAGCACAGTCTCGACCATCCCGCCCCCCGCCGCCTACCGTACCTCGTCGACGACGGACCTTCGTCGCTCCATCTCCAGCCGCTCGGGGGGGACCACGACGCAGCCGAGCAGCTATGTGGCCCTCCTGCGCAAGCAAAAGGCGACCGTCTGGTGCGACCGCGCTCAATACGAGGACCCTCGCGTAGCCGCCCAGCAGCGTGCCGCCAAGGCGCGCGCCAACCTCGAGGTCGTCGGAGGCGGCCGCAACAACACGGTCAGCCGCACGAGCACTGGGATCAGCGCAACCGGCAAGGTCGCGGCCAAGATTCGGCATCACGGAAAGACGCCCGTGGTGGGATACGCCCCCGGCGAGAACCACGTGGGTGTGGGAGGCGTGCCCCTGCGACTGAGCGCCACCGAGGTCGAAGGTGAAAGCAGCGACGAGGAGGATGCGCAGGCTGCCGCTCGTCTGCACCACCGTAGGACGGGGAGCAGCGGACGAAGCAGCACCGCTAGCGGCCGACGCGGCCTGGCATACCGCTCGTCGGGTGGCCCGGGTCCTCAGGGCGGCCAACGCTGGAGCCCGGGCGATACGCCAGAGCGCACCGAGAGCCTGGTGGAGCAGCAACCAGAAGACGCACCCAAGCTCATGGACGACGCGGCTAGTGGCAAGGCCCACAGCTCGGGGAGCGGCAGCAGTGGCGAGCGCGCCGACAACGTGGCCGAACTGGGCGGCGGACCGAGACTTGCCAGCAACTCTCTCATGCACTCGACCCTCACCCGGGAAAAGAGCGTCAAGAGCGCCGAAGAACTGAAGAGGCGAGGCAGCGTGGATGAACGGACAGCAACCCTCACCTCGGGCCGCTTGTTCATCGCCAACCCGGATTGATGGGTCGTCCCTACGTCATGAGCGCAGCGCGCTACACGTTTGTTTGCCACAGGAAGCACCTGCTCGCGCAGCAGCTGGCCGCCCGCTTCTTCCCTGGACCAAGCCTGACACGCTCTCGCCCACTGGGAATTGGATTTGCATCGACAAGGCGTTTGGGTACGGATGATATCGCGCGTGACAAGCACGGTTGCTCTTGGGGGACTCGATACCATGAATGTTGGCTGCTGATTTACTGCACGCCTGACGTGCCATCGTTCGCTCCGTGTCTGTCGCTTGAGGGGTTACCAGTACAAGGCGGGGGCCACCGGATATGTTTTCAATAAGCACTCGAGAGACAAGCAGCGATTAATGAAGCCTTTGATACGGCGGCGCCAGTGGCCCCGAGGTAGATACAAATACAAGACAGCAGTATCCGTCCGAGCTCAATGCTTTGGCCCATGTAGATGTTGGAATGGAGTGTATCCCGTTCTTGATAGGTGATAGGTAGTGATGACCAATGGTTGTGCTTGCGTCGGCCTTAGCGAGCGGCAAGCTTCGAGGTCCCAAAGTGACGTTACTTTTTTTTGACAATGAGTGAGACCTAGACTCGGGTCCGACCAATGCCGTGCGGGGCGAGAGGTCACGTCCCTGGCATTAGCGCGCATGCTCAGAGTCCTATGATGATGGACGAGGTACTCCGTAGCCAGCGGATGGATGCACGTAGTCGGAGGGCGTTCCTGGGGAGATGGGTAAATGTTGACGGTGGTGAGGTGCATCAGGGCCTCGTGGCAGTGCCGACCGAGGCCAACCCGCTAGGTAGCCCGCCAACCCGCTACAGCGCGGGGCAGAGCCACTGTGGCGGTGCGGCTGGATCTGCAGCACAGGGGTGGCATTGTGCCTGCCTGGATTGAGAGGCTCCGGGCTTTAGCCGACAGCGACGCGAGCCGCAGCCCAGCACCCAGGCAACGCGTCGAGTAAAGTAATTTAGACGCCAGATTTACGCGGGGGCGCGCTTGGTCCCCTGCCTTGGCCACCATCATCCCCAATGGCCCCGTCATTTGCCTCGCTGTCGTGAGCGTGCAACGCAGAGCTCACTGAGCGCGAGCCCTTCGCTGCGTTCTCGTTGCGCGCAAGGAGCGTGAAAGCCCTTTCTCTTTCCCTTTACGCCCTATTCATCGGTGTATTGAGGCGTCTCTGAATATCCATTGTCTCGCGCCTTTCGCCTCAACCTTAACCCTAACTGCCTGTCTCCCCGCCTGTCTGCCCGCCTGACTGCCCGCCTGACTGCCTATATAATATCGAGAAAAAAACGCCCTCCTTCCATGGTCACGAACATTCTCTTCCTCCCAACCACCTCCACCGTGACTTCGCATCACCCGCATCTCTGATGCCGCTGTTCCAGATGGAGCCGAATACCCAGGAGATGGAGCCCGCTGGGCGGAAGCGGAGTCACAATGAATTCTCGGACGACCTGGTCAAGGCAGACATAGACACAAACAAGAGGCCGGCTGCTCCAGGTAACGTTCTTCTGCCCAAGGCCTACCATCATCAACCACTTACTCCCCGCCCTTCACCTGTCGTCAATGCTAACCTGGCAGTGCTCCCTCCTGTCTCGCAAGACCGCGCAGAATCACCTCCCAACGGCTCCCCGGCCCTTACCGATGCGGGACGCAGCACGTCGACACCCCAATCCCGCTCTCCTCAAACCCCTTCAAAGGCTGTACCCACAAAGGAGCCGCAGGATGGCACCCGGTTCGCCTCACCCGACACCTCCGTCTCCCAGACTGCCTCGGCTTCGAAACCAGTAGTCAAGCGCAAGCGACTCACTCCCCAAGAAAAGGAGGCCCGCGACAAGGACATCGCCGAAAAGAAGAGGGAGAGGGAGGCACAGGCTGCGCTTCGGGCGGCGGAAAAGGCCAAACAGGAGGAAGAAAAGGCCGCCCGGGCCAAAGAGCGGGATGAGAAGCGCAAGAAGAAGGAAGAGGAAGATCGAGTCAAGGCGGAGAAGAAGCGCAAGCGGGAAGAGGAGCAACAACGCGTCCAAGCAGAAAAGGATAAGAAGGCACGAACGCAGACGAATCTTAAAAACTTCTTCAACACGCCACGCACCCCCAACAGAACGACGGCCGACTCCGACTCCAACTCGGGCAGCCCGAGCAAGACCGATTCCGCGGCTCCAGAGTCCAAACCGCGGCCTTCGGTGTACCAGCAGCTGTTCAAGCCCTTTTTCGTCAAGACAGACACGCGATGGATTGAGTCGACGGTCAAAATGAACCAAGAAACGCGGGAGGCCAAGTCTCAGGTCCTCGACGATTTCATTAGTGGGCGGCGGGAGCTTGAGGACACGTCAATGTCTTTCGACGCAAAGGAGTTGCTTTGCCTGCCGTGCAAGATGCCCAAGAAAGGTCGATTACACCACCCGGTCAGGCACATCATGGAGACTGCTTGTAGAGAAGCCGGCAAGCTGGAGAGCGCGGGAGGAGTAGCGCCCAACGACGTGCTCGAGGGTACCCACAGGAAGCTCGCCAAGGTCCCCATGAAGGTGATTACCTTTTCGCAGGATGTCAGACCACCATACTACGGCACCCTCACCCTGAAGCCCTTTGCTCTGGGGCTAGGCAACATGTCCAGACAGGCACGCAGATCGAGCCATCGACGGCTGCCCCTCGACTACGATTACGACTCGGAAGCCGAATGGCAGGACGAAGAAGGCGAGGATGTCGACATTGACGACGACGACGACGAGCAGGAGGATGAGGATGACATGGAAGGGTTTCTCGACGACTCCGAGGATGCGGGACTCGCGAGGCGGGTGTTTGCAAACACAATGGAGCCCTCAAGCTCCGGGATCCGGTTTGAAAACCAACCTGGTGGCTCAGACAGGCTGCTCGACGAGTACAAGATGGAGTTTATGCATGGTGAGCCGCCCCTGATCTTGTTTCGTTGACATTTTGACGCTCACTAACTGCTTTCACAGGACCCTCTTGCGGCATTGATCCGTGGTCGGCACAGTATTGGGAGCCAGAGCCCAAGAAGAAGACGGTCAAGAGCGAAGAAGGATCGAAGATGGCGCCTCCCCCAACTCCTGCCAACGTGTTTGGAGCCATCAGGAATGCTGCAGAAACCGAGGCGCCCAAGCTGGTCAAGACGGAACTTTGGGGTGACATGAAGAGGGTGATTCTCAACAACAAGGCACTGTCCAAGGGCAGCATCATCGATATCATCTTTCACCAATTCCGAGACGGCGTCTCGCGCGCCGAAGTGAAGAACACGATCGAGCTGATTGCAGAGAAGAAGGGGTCGGGTCGAAGCAAGGAGTGGGACATTAAGCCCAAGTACAAGATTGAGCCCTGAGCTTGCACTGAAGGCAGAGGATAGCGGCGATGGAGGCTAGCTAGAGTTTGGGCACGAGGGATGAAGGCTCACGGGGATTTACTGGGCTTTGATGAAACGATGGTCCACTCTGCACATGTTGCTCGGCGCGATTTGGACCCCAGAGGCGAGGAGAGGCATGGTGTATATGCTAGCTACAGGAACACGGAAACGAATTTTACGTGTCCAAGTTGATCGTCAAAGACTGTATTCGTAGTTGGGGGGCAGCGGGAGAGACCCGGTGCTGGGCCGGACGGATCGGCATGCCGGCGGGTTCCGTCTCCAGCTCAATCTTACACTCTAACACCATTGTTGTCCTCTTGCAAAACCAACGACCCTTTTCTGGCGAACCGAACGGAAAGCCATCCCTTTCGTGCCGAGCATACCTGAGACAGGCGGCAGCAGGCATTCTCCGCTCGTCACGGCACCCCCGCAAGCACGACGCGCGACAGCAGCAGCGCCATCGTCGTCGACCGAGGAGCCAACATACACATAAAAAAAGGGAGAGAAGCCCCGACACGGACGGCTGGGCGCGCGCGCGTGCGATAAACTCGACAACTGCAGACCCCAGCACGATGCGACAACCGACGCTGTGATACTGCATCTCTCTCTGTCTCGGTGTGCGCGCGAGGAGAGGGCTCGGAGGCTGGCCGCTTGCTCCTTGTCCCCTCGGCGAACCTCCCCCGACATGAACCGTGGCCCGGCATGGAGGATCCTTGGGGCGACCCGTGGGCGGCGCCCGTGACGATTGAGCTGCCCCCCGCTGCGACGGTGGTGGCGCCGCCGCCGAGGGAGGCGTTTATGGAGGCGCCCGACGGCTCCCTGGGGAGGCGGCCGGACGCGGCTGCATCCCCGTGGGGCGACGATGACGATGCCTGGGGGGACGCTGGGGCGAATACCGGGAGGGATGCAGGCTCTGGGTGGGGGATGAGCTCGAGACAGGAGCCGTTGGCCGGTGTGTTTGCCGAACAGCCATTGCCGGATCCTTGGGCCACGGCACCAGCACCGGCAGCGGTGGCGTTGGACGCGGATTCCGAGACGGACGCCCGAGTGGATATGCAGAAGCCGGATGAGGCGACGACGGAAGACGACAAGACGGGGACCGTCAGTCTCGAAGCGCGTGGCTTCTCACAGAACGACGCCACCTCGATCCATCATCCGCTGGCTGATGCTCTCGACACAAATGCGCAGGACATCTGGGCCGCCCAAGAACCAGCCGTAGTCGCAGACCGCGGAAGGACGCCCGAGCCGGCCGACGAGGAGCCGCCGCCGTCCCCCGGATCCCCCGACGCCCCTACTCGACATGCCATTGGAGCCGAGGACAGGCAAGAGGCGGGCCGGCAGGCTTCCAGGGTGCAGGGGCTCGTGGAGATGTTTGACGGCATAGCGAAGCGCAACATGTCGCCGGCGCCTGCAACGGTGGGCAAGAAGACTGTCGCGCACGAGGACTCTGGTCCAGAGTCGGCGCGCGGCCCGGAGAATGAGCCGCAGACGACACGCACAGAGTATTTTACTGAGACCTCTACGGACTGGTCAGCGCATGTATCGACAGAGGAGGCACGAAACGAGAGACCCCGATCAGAAGATGGGCTGGAGACGACGGCCGGCTCAGGGGACTGGCAAGACCAGATCCCCCAAGGGAAAAAAGGGACACAGCACATCGTCTACCCCATCGACATGACCCGCCTAGACGATATATTCCCAGACGCTTCGGCGCAGCTGCCGGAGCCGGAGCGCGGCCCTGCAACCCTTACCGACGACTTCTTCACGACCGTATCGGAGCGCAAGGCGTGGTACCGAATATCGCGCTTCGGCTCCATGCGATGCCACGATCAGGGCGACCCGGACGACTACATGCGCGTCGGCTGGGCGACGTCACGCGTGCGCGAGCGCACCATGGAGCTGGTGCGGCGGTGGATGGAGCAGGACTCGCAGGGCGGGCGTGTCGTCCTGGGCCGCCGCGTCGGGCTAGTCGGGGGCAGCATGTTCAACTGGGATTCGGCGGCTGCGCCTGTCGAGATTGCCGAGTTGCTGCGCAACAGGGGTGAGAGGAAGACGCCCGAGGCACACTGGCGACGGGCGTCTGCTGCCATGAGTGAAGCGTCCACGACGGCGGCGCGTGGCAACTTGCCGGCGGCTGCCCCGTGGCCGGCGTCTTTTGGCGCGGAGCCGGTCAAGGATTCTCCGGTCCAGGGGCAGGATGATTCATTGGCGGTGCCGCTTGCGATTCCGCCGAATGCCTTTTCTACGACGCCAACACTGCCAGCGGAGACTTCTATTGGAGCACCTGCGGCATTCGAGCAGCCAGGAGGGGGTGTGACGGAAGATGACGCCGACGACGACGACTGGGGAGACATGGTTTCCCCGACTGTCATGGAGCCCAAGGGTCCGTTTTCGGTGCCGTTCTTGGATGCTGGTGCTGTTGTGAATGGAAGCTTGCCCACTCGTGAATTGGCCCAACCTAGATTGGGGGGCGTAAGTCGAAATGGAACAGAAGGTATGGACAGGAAACATGAGGACATGGGCAAGATGAACCGGGCAGCATCACCGGGCGACGATTCCAGCCTGGGTTGGGCATGGGGCACCGACTTGGCTCCCGAGGTGATCAAGCCCACGCCCACACAAGCAACACAAGATGCGGAACCTCTGGCGCGACGCAAGCCAATCCAGCACCCCAATCCCGGCGCGGATCACGCACCATTACTCCTCTCCATATCTGGCACAAGTACAGACGATATGATGGCTGCCCTGGACGCCACGTCAGCAGGAGAGGGTGCCGGGAGTGACCAGGTGGTGGCTCGCATACTGAGAAGTCTGCCTGACCTGACGTACATGCTTCGCTAGCAGATACTGACCTTTCTCGGGGGGGTGACTGGAGACGTCACTTCGAGGAGGACAGTTCATGATGCTAGAAAAGGGGGGAGAAATGATATTTTCTCAGTAGAAAAAGATGGGATGACACGACACGGCCGGCCACGGCTCATTACGTTTGAAAAAGAGGGCAAGTTTCTGGATGATAAGAGGGGTCTGCTGTATATCACTCGTGGCGTTTACAAGGGCATTTCCCCCTGGAATCTTTCTCTCCCGGCTCCATTGCTGCCATGGCCGGAATTTGTGCACGAGGTCTCTGGCTCACGCTTCCCTGACTCCCTCTTGGGCGTGATGCATGGGGTTACACATCACTGTTTTGCACGACTGTGAGTTGATTTAATATTTTTCAGGTTCCTATTTTCAAACGTTGATGCAGCTGAGCTTGTCCAACTAACATGCCCCGGGTCGAAATCAGAGCCTCTGTTACACGGTTTTAGGTGGGATGAATGTCGAGCCCCCCTTTTCCGAGAGAGGCTGTCTCCAACCATGCATCCTACCCGGACGGCGTACCGACCCTCGATTCTTCCGTGACAATCCGGTGAAAGGAAACAAAGTGAATCATTATCAAGACGAAAAAGAAAGAAAAAGGAGCTCCTTTTGCTTAGGAGCCGGCAACCCCTCTTGCCACTCTCCCCAGCTCACGTCAGGCGCTTGTCCGTCGGGTAGGTTATCCGCAACCGTTTCTGGTTCTCATCCTCACATAATTCACAGAAAAAGCCGGGGGTGGCATCAATTGCCACGTCGATTTGCCGGATGGGCCGGCCGCAGCTGCTGACTTCGCCGCGGAACGAAGCGGCACAGCAGAGACCCTCTTCGTGATAAAGGCGCATTCCAAGGTCGCACCCGGCGCACCTTTTCCAATAAACGGTGCGTTGACACATTGCGCCTCTTTCGCTTGACTCGGTCGTCTTTGCCGAAGGTTCGAGGCCATGGAGTTGGCGGGGCGGAGAGGGTGTGCCTGTCTTTGTGTCCGCGGAGTGCTGGGATGGATCAATGCCACCGAGAGGATGGATTGGTAGGACGTGAAAGAAGAACTGGGAAGAATAAGGGCATGAGAATGGATGGTTGCTTGTTTGGGATGCGGCGAGGAGGGAGAAGGACAGGAAACCACTGGATTCTTATAGAAACCTGGACACGGCGTTGTCTGGTGCATTTCGATGTATGAATTGAGCTTCTTCTGAGCAGAAGAAGCACAGCTCCGCATCTGTTCTGGGCAAGTCTTCCGTATACAAAGAGCTTCTTGTGGCACAGCCAACGTCCTCATGGTTCTCCTTGTTTGCCCCCTAGCTGTGGGCGAAGCCGCAACTCCAAGAGACCTCCAGAAGATTTAGCTCTGCATGTGGCGCGAATGGGCACGTTTTCGAGCCCCCACCCAACAACCGAACAGCCACAAAACCGACACGAGTTCAGCACCTATTCCCTCTCCCTTCCCTCCGGCTCCATGAACTCGCTACGCCGGCGGCGGGTGGGAGGCTCTCCATTGGCACTCCCAGCAGACATCCCTGACACGCGGCCGCCCTTGGCTATCGAGGGCCCCGTTGGGCCGCTCGGTGAACTGGACGTCGATGTTGTCGCAATGTCCGCCGTGCCCTGAGGCACGGCGGCACGGCCGGCCCCAGAAGGAGCACAGCATGAATTCCCGGCCGCAGCGGGCGCACTTGGTGGAAACGTGCCAGATGACGCACATGGGGGACAGGTGGGGAAGTGGACGGTGGCTTTGGATGGGTAGAGTGTGTTTTCGAGCAAAGATGAAGGATGGGACGAAGCTACTCGGCAGAGGGAGCGTGTATGGGGCGGGCGGCTCGTCTGGCCTCTTTTATATTCGCCGCTCCGTGGACTTTCTCTATTCACGCCTGAAGCTGGGCAAGTATCTCAACACGGAGCTCAGTCCTGGGCCCCTGTTCGTGAGGCAGCAACTCCAACAGCCCCCCCTGATGGCCCATCCGTCGCACCGACTCGACGTCACCTCCCTCTCGTCACGGAAACATGGTCCCGTCCCTATCTGTGAGGGAGCAACTTGAACAGACACCCCCCCTAGGGCTCGACAGTCGTACCGACACCACCTCACCCCTCCCGCCTCTCCTCACCGATTCCGTTCAAGCTGCCCCTGATGCGGGCTCATCAGAAGCCCTACACAGCAGGCAGACATGGCCGGGAAGATTTGCCGGGACGTATTCGATTGTCAGTTGGTCGTCGCATTTGACACGTTGCTGGTCCTGGTTCAGACTGGACTTCTCGCAAAACTTGGCTTGAGTGGTTTGCGAGAAGCGGACAAGACTTCCGCAGACGACGCAGGTGGCTGCTTGCATGACGAGTGAGCACATGTTGAGCGACAGACCGGTCTTGTCAGAAATATATGGAGGGAATTGAGTGAAGAGTTGTGGTTGATTCTGGTAACTGGAGTTTAGAGCGCGGGAAAAGGTTTTAGAGCAGAACGGCCACCCGCAGGACAGGCGGTTCCTTGGGCTCTTTTATATTCTCTAGTCTATCATGTCGTCCTTCCGTCTCACAAGCCTTGGACTTGGTCCGTTCTCTCTGATATACCGTCCTCCAACTCGAACAGCTCCCCGTCGGTGGACGAACAGCCACTGACTGGCACGGTCTCCGCTTTCTTGCATCATGGAAACATGGTTCTCTCCTAGTTCGCACGGCAGCAACTCGACGAGGAACCCCCTGATGGCTGAACCGGCACGCCTTTACTTCTTGCCCTGCTCCTTTTCATTCGCCCTTTGCTCCCGCCAATAACACCTGTTGCAGAGCGTATAGCCATCGTTTTCTACCACGAGTCTAACGCAGACCATGCCATCGTGACAGTATCCAGCTTGCGGTCTTGGGCTCCTGAGAGCCATATCGCAAAGGTTGATTCGCTCGCTCATCGTATCGACCTCCGCGCCGCATGTAAGGCAATGGGAGAAAATGGCATTCTTAAAGCACATGCTGACGGAAAGGTGCGGCCGGTAGGAAGTGGATGGCGAGAGGTCTTGGTAGACTTGGGGAGCCGGAGCTTCGGGCCTGGTAGAAGGGCGGAAAGACGTTCCGGAAGATGCTGGTTTGGGAGAGTTGAGCGAAGAACTTGTAAAACGGAGATGAGATGGCGTTGTTGAGTGAATTACAAGATCAACCCGGACAGGCGGTTCATTGAGCCCTTTTGTATTCTCTGGTCTATCATGTCGCCCACCTGTGGCCTAAGTCTTTCACCCGACCTATTCTCTCTGATATACCATCCTCTTCCTACTCACAAGGCGTTCACAAGGCGTTCACTCGAACCCGATCTGTTCTTTCCCACACATTTTCCTTTTCATGGCCCCGAGGCGTTCGGACAAAGTCCCCCCTGATGGCTGAACAGTCGCAGCCTGGCACGACTTCACCTCTTTCACCGCCGCCCCTCCCCGACCTGTCGTAGCTGTTCCTCAATGCTGTCCATTTGAGCAGCATCAGCTTCGCAAGCCGGACAGATCCTGCCCTCGGGGTTTTCTTCCGTGACCCACCCGAAGGCCACGCCGTTGTCGCACTGGCCGACTCTCGGGTTCGTTTTCTCTTTTGCGTTGTCGCAGAGTTCTAATCTGCAAATGTGCACAAAGATGAGTGCTGCGCAGGCGGCGCATTCGATGTAGACGTCAGTGCTGTGGCACATGGTGGGGAGTGTGGGCGTCTCGTAAGAAATGGCTCGTGAGAGAGGTGAGCAGGCAGCTTGGTTGACTTGGGTGAACCGAGGTTGGAGTATACGAAGAGGTGTCCCGTGGGAGATTTAGATTGGAGGAGTTGATGGTGTTTTTAACAAGACTACGAAAGAGCAACTCGGACAGGCGGTTTCTTTAGTCCTCTTATACTCGCCAGTTTATTATATCATCCGAAGTCTGTCTCTGATGTGCTGTTCTCTCCCTGTCCATGAAGCAGCAACCCGTACCGCCCCTGTTCTGATGGCCAAACAGTTGCAGACCGGCACACGTTCACCTCCCCCCCCCTTACACTCCGCCCGGCCTCAGTACAGCTCGAAAGTGGCGCTGGTAATTCGCAGCAGCCGCACACTGCGAGCAGATCTTGTCAAGCTTTTCGTCCTTGACCCTCGTCACCTTCAGGCCGGTCGGGCACTGGCCAGTCTGCGGGTTTTCCATCTTGATGGCGTCCCAGCACGCCAAGTAGTGGCTGAAGTAGGTAAAGATTTCTCGTCCGCAGAGAGCGCAACTGAGGTAAGCTTCTGTCATGGTGCACATGCTGACGGATCGGGTGCGTGCGTCTCGGAAGAGACGGATGGGAGGCGGCGAGTGAAGAGCTTGGTGGGTGACCCTGGTTGTCGAGTGTCGTAGAAGGAAGCTACAAGGCAGCAAGACGTGTCATGACAGGCTGAAGGAGAGCGGCGGGTGCAAATCTTCCTAGACTTGAGTGGCCGGAGCGTTCGAGTCTAGTAGACGAAGCAGCAGGACTAAAGGACCAATTCAAGGACAACCAGTGGCTAGTATATTTGACGTCTTCAAGTCTGCACTGCCCCTTGATGCTTCTTTTCACATTGTACAAACAAATTTAGGTCTGTCACAAGGAAACAGCCGTCCTAACGCCGCACCATGCCTGTGTACGAACATCGCCGCATGGCGGCTGCTCTGTCTCTGTGTACAACAATCAAAGACTCTGGCCTTCGTCGAGCTATGAATATCAACGCTTTCAGCAGGGGCCTGGGCGGCATTCGCCTCGACGAGGACCTTTGTTCGCATTGCTGTACGCGGCGACGTAGTGAAAAAGACCTGTACAGCCCTTGAAAGAAAACAGGTTCTCAACGAGTTTCTCCTCTACGTGTAGCTACCGAGTTGAGAACAGAAGGGGAAACGGCTTCGAACTGTCAAGAAAAGTATTGGAGCGCTGCTTGGAACGGGAGATACAAGCGCCCGCCATCGCCCTGCTTCCTCGAGGCCTGCTTTATACGACTTGGTGTGCTTGAATCAAGCGTCTCGTAGTGTCAACAACTCCTCAGGACAAAGGGTAAGGGCAGAGCCTGGGGGACTCATGACCCTGGGACTCTGAAAGGAAACTTCTAGCTGCGACACGGCCGTTGAAGCTGATTGCTGCTCACTGCTCACTGCTGATGGGACGCTTTGGACCAACACGCAAGAACATCGACTGGTTCAGTAACCTTCTCAATGCGCATGACTTTTCCTCACGGGGAAGCTGTATCAAGTGCACTACTCTCCCGATGATGTCGAGGAACAAGCGTGGAGAAACAAGGGGGAGAAGGTGAGTTTGATTACCGTCTCGAGGACTCATTTGAGTAACAAGGCCACGCAACTCCTGACCGTGCTTATACACGGCTTGCTAACGTCCACGACCGAGAAACCGCATCACATCCACTAGTCTGGCATTTGAGCCGTTATGGGAAAGATGGGGAATCAAATCTAATGTGCGTCCCTGCTGCGTCCTCGAGCTCGAGTCGAGCTACGTGGAGAGGGAGACGGCCCAACGAGCGTCAGATTGATGTAAATACTAAACGGGATCCCGCCTCAGTCGAGTCCGTTCCAGTGGCCTTCTGCGCTATGCAAGTACGCCCAGTATCATGCCCATCTCATTATTCAATGCTCGCTTTTGACAATGCCCCCTTCCACCACACCGCCAGCCGTTGCATCAGAAGAAGTTCGGTACTGCAACACTCTTACGCTTCTGCGCCGTTGCGTCAACTGACGGCACGCCGTTGTAGATGATGCCGCTGGCCACGCTCTTCCGCCTCGTCGCCGGGTCAGCATGGGCCGGCGCGCAGGATGCTGCTCCGTCTCCTGGTCAGCACCACACACCATTATACACACATACACGCAAACGCAGGTGTTCTCCCGGCTTACCTTCGTGGGCGGCATAGGCCGCGCGGACCAAGTCATCAAACAGCTTCGACTGGGTCCTCTGGCGCGGCGTGGTAGCACACGGCGCAAGCCCGCCCTCGGCCTTGTTGAGGACTGCGGGCGCCGGCGTGGAAGCCCGATTTTCTTTTCTGCGGCGGAAGTAGGATACGACGGCGAAGGCAAGGATTAAGCACCCGAGGACTGGAGGGGCGTTCGTGTTAGCCCGTGTATCCACGCACAAGAACGAGGGAACTCGGGACTTGCCTCCTGCGGAGACGATGATGCCCAAGTCGGCGAAGCGAGGGACGCCGGTGGCTTCGCTGCCGGAGATGGAGATGGCTTCGGCTTCAGTTTCTGCTTTGACTTCGTCTGCGCGTTCGCTCAGGGGCATCCTCGGGAGCAGCAGTGGTACGGCAAAGGCGTGCTGGACTAGACAAGCGACGAGAATCGCGAGGCTCGACATGGCTGTGCTTGGCAACTTCAAAGAGTGTGGGGATTTTCAGTTATTGCAGAGAACGTGGTTCGAGACGGTTCGAGACGGCCCAAGACGAGGCCCAAGACGAGGGAGGTGGGTGGGGGGCCGGGGGGGGAGGGAGGGGGGCGGGAGAGAGCTGCTCTTATTGAGTATGTCTCTCACTTTCATAGACGACTCGCGTAGACGACGCATAAGCTCATTACTCGATCGCATGCTGGTCCGGATCATAGTCAAACTCTCTTTTGCATTGCCCAAAGCGGGAGAAAGGGCAACGCCAGCGTCTCGAAACCTGCGCTAGTCCATGGCTGCCTCCATGTTTCACAATGGAAAACAAGACCCCCTTTCCTTTAAGCTTTTGGTCTCATGTCGATGCTTTGATTCCCTGACTCTCTTTCGACATCAGACGCCGCCACCGTCGCCATTCAGTCACCAAGCCGGCCTATAGGGAGGCACGGTTCCGGCCCCCGGTATTTGCGAAACAGGTTGCCGTTGATCAACAAAACCACCCAGGCCTTGGAGCTGGCCGTCCATAGACGCCACGTCTGTATTTCGCCAGGGATGGTGGAAGCCCGGCCTGTGCGCGCCCGTGTTTCGTTTCATGTCAGGCCTTTATGGAAGCTGTCTCCAAGGGAAGTTCGACCGCAGAGTAACAGGGAAGCGTCACCTACCATCTCCGAAGCCTTTCCGGCTGACGCAAATCTTGGGGCGAGAGAACTTATGGATAAAAAAACACCGTAATTTCCACCGCACGAAGCGCCTGGGCCATGCACAATCTGGCCACCAACGGCCCTGCCGCCACGTGGATCTCTCTTCGACATCTCCCCCGAGAGCCCTGGCACGCCCGCTGGTTGGGATTAACAGTTTCCTCGGCCGTGGCCTGTTTATCCCTGGCTTCGTAGTGTCCCGTAGCTTCCGTACGGAAATCGCCGTGAGGGAGAGCGGGGAGTCTAAGCGCCCTGAGTTGCAGATGGTTTCCGAGAACCGCACAGAGGTGCTCACCCACCGGGCACACGGCGCAAGACATGAATTTCTGTTGCGGAGTTGGCGGCGGGGCTGGAAACCTCATCTTCATCTGACTGACTCAAACCATGATCTGTATACAGCTTCGCCCCTGGCGGTTCAACGAAGAGCAAGGCGACGAGGGAAGCGGCGCAAAGCAGAGCAACGTAGAACCAAGGTAGTCCCGTCCACACGCCCTTTCTCTGTAGGCCGAAGTCGAAAAGCCGGGCCAAGGCCGGACCGCCGAAGAAAGACCCCAGGACCTCCACCATGCCAATCAGAGCATAGAGCCTCGTCGTATGCTCGGCATCGACATGATGAGACACGGTCGCGCGAGCTAAGGGGCTGTCGGCAGATCCAAACGTACCGATGAACAGGCCCATGATAAAGACAGAGGCATTGGAGCTGAGCCCTTGTACGAGAGCACCTACGAGGTTGAGGAGCGTGGAGGCCTGCGTCAGGAAAAGGTCCGTGCCAAAAACCGTGGAGCGAAAGCGCCGCGACATGAGCACCTGGGATGCCCTGGGCAGAGCGGCTAGAACGGCGAGATTGAGTATGCCGAGCGGGGAGAGCAAGATGCTTGTCTCGGAAAACTTCCACCCAAAATTTTTGCTGATGTATTGTGTCAGCGTCGACGTATACGCCGTGAACCTGGCGTTTTGGAACAGAAACAAGACGAGAACGAGCAGGATGTTTGTGTTCTTGACCAATTCCAAAGAGCGACCCAAGTCACGCAGTCCGCTGCCGACAAGTTCCTTGATGTCGACGAGCTGGGCCTTGCTCGGGGTCCCGGGCCTGGCGACCAAGGTTTCCGGGATGAAGAAGAAGATGCAGAGGATTGCAGGGGTGACTGCCAGGACGACGTAGACGGGGATCCATGGCCCGTACTTTTCCATGAGAAGGCCGGCCAGCATGGGGCCAATGAGGGCGCCGGCGGTGGAGCCAAAGCTCAGGTAAAGAAAGCTCGCGGCTCTGTGCGTGGCGGAGTCAGCGCTGGTCAAGATTCGTGAGAGGTCTTGCCACTGTGTGCCTCACGTTTCCTGCTCGGAACTCACATCCGCCGCCATGGCGTACACTGTGGCCAGTAAAGTGGGAACGCCGCCACCGAGCAGCAGGAAGAGCGAGCCGATCATGAGCAAGTAGGGGTTGTTGCGGACACTGGCCTGCATCTTGCCGAGCATAAAGGGGGCAAAGCAAAAGGAGAGGGCGGTGCCGCCGTAGGCCATGAGGGCGGTTGGCTTGCGACCGATGCGGTCAGCGAGCAGGGCAAAGGGGAAAGAGACGAGCAGAGCTGAAACCGTTGGTCAGCGGAGAGATGGTGGACGGAGGACGAGGAGACTCGTACTCATGATGGAGTTGAAGAGGCCGAACCAGCCCAGCACGTAGGCCAGACGCGACTGCACCTCGTCGCCCTTGCACTGCATCTCATCGATGATGGTGTGAGAGCTGTCGGCGTAGTGGGCGTGGCAGAGGGCGTCCTCGATGAGGCGGTAGAGGGGAATGAGCATGAGCATGCCGCTCGACGTGACGCAGAACATGACGGCCGCGGCGAGCAGCACAATGGAGCCGGGCGTCTTGGCCTGCCACGACCTCGCCCTGATGCGCGGCCAGGTGGGCAGCGGCTCGTCGTGTCGCTCATCGTCGTCGAGCAGCGGAGCGTCCTCGGGAGCGTCCTCATCAACATGAGACGGCATGGGACTGCGGCGAGAAGTCGATGAGGGGAGAGGGGCGGGAGGCGAAAGTGGGAGATGGGGAGAAAGGCGGTGGAGGAGTCGGAGCTCAGGTGGAGGTCCGAAGTATCGAAATATCCAAGGCGGGAAGGAAGGCTCGAGCCGGGCTCAGCCGCAGCCCCTTTGTTGGTGTCAAGACAGTGCCGATCAGCGGAGTCTCCGTCTGACGGGCGACATTGAATCTGACTGCTGCCTGGACGCATCGTTTTTCCTCAAAGCAGGCTTCATCTTTTGCTGAATCAATTCGTCGTCAGACTATTACCAAGTCGTCTACCGGTAGTCATGCCATGTGGACTTGACTGCCCACCTGTCAAGACAACAATGCCCCGGAGATCATCAGTGATGACACGCGCTGAATCTATGCGCATTGGCGGTGGCTAGTCAGTGGTCGTGGGTGGATTGCCGCCGTCGTGTAGAATTGCCGTCGGCTTTGACTCCCAATTATTTGGTAAGCAACTCCTCAGTGTGTGGAGAGAGAGAGAGAGAGATGCCAAGTCGTCTCCAACGCTTGTTTCTGCCTCATCCCAGAGCCTAATTGTACGTCTCTTCTTCGACATCCCCGGCATGGCTCTGCGCATCGGCTTCGTGCCCGAACACTTCTCGACCCCGCTCTACTTTGCGCAGAAACACTACGGCCTCGATGCCGCCCTGATCCCCTTCCCCTCGGGCACCGGCCACATGGTCACGGCGCTCCGGGCCGGTGAGATCGACGTCGGCATCGGCCTGACCGAGGGCTGGATCGCCGGCCTCGGCAAGGAGGGCGTCGACGGCGACGGCGGATATCGCCTCGTCGGCACCTACGTCGACACACCGCTCTGTACGTGAAGTCTTGATTGCCAAGAGTCTTTGACCACCAACCAACACCCGCACGACAGGCTGGGCCATCTCGACGGGCGCCCGTCGCCCCGACATCACGTCCGTCGACTCCCTCATCGGCCGCAAGATTGGCGTCTCCCGCATCGGCTCCGGTAGCTACGTCATGGGCTACGTCCTCGCCGACCAGCAAGGCTGGCTGCAGCCGTCGACGCAGCCCTTTTCCGACACGGTCGTGCTAAACACGTTTGACAAGCTGCGCGAGGCCGTCAACTCGGGCGAGGCCGACTTCTTCATGTGGGAGCACTTTACCTCCAAGAAACACCACGACGCCGGCGAGATACGCCGCGTCGGCCACATCTACACGCCCTGGAGCAGCTGGAAAATCGTCGCCTCGACCAAGCTGGCGCCGCTCCACGGCGGCGTCGATGCTCGCGTCAAGACCCTGTTTGAGAAGCTGGACCGGGGCGTTCAGCACTTCAACGACAACCAGGACGAGGCTGTCGGCTACATCTCCGCCAGCTTGGGATACACGGAGCCCGATGCGAGGGAGTGGCTCAAGACGGTCCGGTTTCCGTCCCGGACCGAGGGCGTCAAGCCAGAGGTCGTGTCTGACTGCGTGGCCATTCTGAGGAAGGCGGGTGTCTTGGTTCAAGGCAAGGGGATGGACCCCGAAGCCATGATGGTGAACCCGTGAGCCAACTGTTAGCCAGGTCTCTCGACAATGGTCATGGGGAAGCCTGTTAGATGGCTCGTCTCGTTGCGACGTCCGCCCGACATTCCGTCCTGATTCCGGACTGCCGTTGCGTTAGCCCAACTGCATTGGTGCCGGCGTGCCGTGGCTCAATGAAGCAAATGGGCAAAAAAGGGAGACAGTCATCATTCGTAATCATCCGCTGTGGTCAGCTTGACCACATACTCGACGACGTCGCTCTGTGCTCATTGGATGGATGGCTTACAGCTACATCTCAGTTATGGCGGTACAGAACACTGCGCAAGTCTCCGGCCACATGGAGTTGTGGACAATTGTTTGTATTCACAAGGGCATAGTGACTGCCATGCTCTGGATGTGGTTACGTCGGCTTGGGCCTGGGGCGGAATATTCTATTCCACGGTAGTTGGTGTCCACTCCAGGCTCACTACTGTTAGCTTCAAGTACGCCCGAGTTTAATGGAGCAACTGTAAACGGGAACTGGACAATTGTGATTGAGGAGCTTGCGTGATTCTGAAAGAAGACGATGGCAAGGGGCCAAGACATGTACGACTCGTGCTCGCCGAATCGACGCATCATGCGCCAAGCCGGCATTCATGTTAGCCGCTTCATATCTCATCCTGATTGCCCGATTACTTACTCTCTTCACTGAAGCCCTCTATGCCATTCGAGTTGGTTGCTTGCCCGTTTGCCTCATCTAGCCCCTAGTCACTAACATTGCTTGCTTCTTTGTCACTGCCACAGGGATCGCTCTGCCATCCTGGTCGCAACCCTCATCAGGATTGGCCGGGAGGAGCAAAATGGATGCTTTTTTTTGGCATCGTTTTGCTATTTCTGCTGGGAAGGTTCTTGTCGTTAACAGGGAAGCTATGCACATATCTTTAGTCTCTCGACGCGTCTTTCGGGTATTTATTGATAGTGGTTTTAGTACCAACTTTTGTGAGGTCGATGGTTGCTTGCCGCGCCCCAGAAGCAATGACGCAACGTGACCAATAAGAAGAGCACGAGCTTCCGAGGCACGGTTTCTGGCTTTCTGCAACCCCTTCCTACTCTACTACGTACAGTACAGACAGTGCAGAGAATGCCTGGCTCACCCAGCCGCGCGACGCACACACTAGTTAGCGAGGCTCACCCGGCTCTCCCGGCTCACCCGCCCGCGGTTGCGCGATTGGCCGGAGCGGGGGAGCCAGCAGCGGCCCTGTCATGCACAGAGGCTGGCCCACCGTGAACCTCGTAACCTCGTAACCTCGTAAAGCCCATCACGGCACAGAGCCTTCTGTCGCCGCCATCGCCCTCTCGTCCACCCCTCGCTCATTGAGTGCCCTTTCGCCGACCGTCGACTCCCCTGCCCCATCGTGCCGGCCCGGATACCGAATGCAAACGCGATCCGCTGCCCGGATGCCCAGCCCCGACTCCGCCTCGTCTAGCACCGCGGGACACAGCCCGTCGACAGGCGATCCGTGATGCCCTCGCCGCCTCCGCCCGGGTCGGACTCGGAGCCCATACTGCCCAGCGATGCTGTTGCCGGCCTCGGCCTGGAGCACCGGAGGATGTCGTCCACGGCCGCCTCAACGGGCTTGTCCCTGCGGGAGTCGTACTCGTCTCCTGAAAAGGGGGGTCTGCGGGCGCGAATGGGCTTGGCTGGCGTTGCCAGGCGCACGCTCGGCATCTCCCTCTTGCTTGTGACCGTCTTTCTATGGACCGTATCAAACTTCCTGGCCAGTGTAGGCACCCTCTCCCGACGCCCAACGAACCCGGGTAAGACGGATCCCACGGCGCTGACACTCCATCATGCAGTTCATCTTCTCCGACCACACCTACAACAAGCCCTTTTTCCTCGTCTACATCAACTCGTCAGTTTTTGCCGCGTCGGTGATGCCCATGTTTGCAAGGTACATGCTCAAGAGTGGGATCCGGGGCTTGCGCAACGACGCGGTGCGCATGTGGCACGAGCACAGACAGTCGCGCTCGGCCACCAAACTGCGGGCGGCGGGCGGCGACGACGACGAAACAACGGGCGAGCGCTTGCTGGTGGATGACGAGGGGGTGCTCGAAGCTTTCGCCCCGGGCGACGGCCAGCTCGGCTTCCGAGAGACGGCCGTGTTGAGCCTCGAGTTTTGCATGCTGTGGTTCTCAGCCAACTACTTCGCGTCGGCATGTCTCGAATACACGAGCGTGGCAAGCGTGACGATTTTGACATCGACGAGCAGCATGTGGACCCTAGTCTTTTGCTCCGTCTATGGCGTCGAGTCCTTTTCTGTCCGCAAGCTGGTGGGCGTCATGGCCTCGCTCGTCGGCGTCGGCCTCATCTCGACGGTGGACCTGTCGGGCGAAAGCGACGAGAACCGGGGGTCATTTCCCCACAAGACGCCGGGGCAGGTTGCCATTGGCGACTCAATGGCCTTGTTCAGCGCCGTCGTCTACGGCCTGTACGTGACGGTGATGAAGCGGCGGGTCGGCGACGAGGACAAGGTCGACATGCGCCTGTTCTTTGGCCTGGTCGGAGTCTTTAGCCTGGCCCTGCTGTGGCCGCTGTTTTTCATCTTACACTGGACCAACATTGAACCGGTATGCTTATGCTTGGCCATGACGGAAGCCGCCCGAGATGAGGGAGACTGACTCGACTCCTCTGTCCAGTTTGAGATGCCTCCGACGGGCAAAGTTTGGGCAGTCATCGTCGTACGTCTTGGCAACCCCCCTCCCCCGTTTATCCCTGAGTTTATCAGCTTTGCTTCTCTATGCATCGTGAGTGGAGACGCAGTTCTGACGGAAGCGCCGCGCAGGCCAACTCGCTATCGTCGTTCGTGAGCGACATATCGTGGGCGTTCGCCATGCTCCTGACGACGCCGCTCGTGGTGACGGTGGGACTGTCGTTAACGATCCCCCTGTCGCTGATCGGGGAGATGATACAGTACGGGCAGTACTCGAGCTTCATCTACTGGATCGGGGCCGCCGTGGTGTTTATCTCCTTTCTCTTTATCAACAACGAGAGCCAGGAAGAGGGCGGGGCCAGGGCGCCGAGCGAGGGCAGCGGTCTTGTCGGCACTCGATTGACTGATTCTCCGCCTCTGCCTCCTCCTCAACATGCGGAACCTCGGACGGCGAGCGCATAGACGAGAGGCTCGTATGCATGCATGTATAAGACCAGGCCTTCTCCGGAGAATGTGCAGCGACTTGGTTAGACTTTTGGGCAGCAGCTGCGACCGTGTACAGTGGCAGCCGGCGGACATGTCTGCTCTCGGACACTGACAGGCAAAGGTGAAGTTATCTCGGGCTCCACAGCCGTCGACGGTAGCCAAAGACAACGATAGCCGGGGCAGGGTCTCGGCTGCAGCTTTACCCATCCTGTACATGTCTGCACGCAGCCTCGATATTGAAGCTCGGCCATCCGTTGTTTGGGCGCACGTCGTGCTGTGAGAGGGCAGACAGGCCCGGCATTGAAGCTCAGCCATCTGTGGCCTCGCGGCGCCCGTGCTGTGAGAGGGCGCAAGGGGCTCGGATCGACGAGGGAGCACGCTTATTGGCCGAGAAGATGGGCGTACGTGTTCCGGACAGCGCGGCGTGGGGTCACAAGTGTGGGCGAGGACGCGTGCCGGGTCGGCGAGCACCGCGCCTCGGCCGGAGGGCAGGAGGAAATAGCGCGTGGTACAAGACTCGGGACGGCAGGCAATGGGTGGTGACAGGGCGCATAGTGTCATGGCACGGCGGCGTCGGTCGTCGGGACGAGTGCATGTTGACTCGTCAGGTGACACCGAGAGAGCAGGAATGAGTCGAATGACCAGATCCAACCCGACATGCATCCAGTAGAGATTTGGATGCGTCGGGATACGTGTGCGGCACGGAGAGGGTATTTGGAGATGTCATTGCTCAAGATGGGTGTAAAGTGGCGTGTTTGTTACGTCCCACAGAGGGGCAATTATCCCATTCCCAACTCTAATCATGAGAGGAAAAGGCCGAAGATTCCAGGCACGTGTGAACTGAGGTCTCATCTAATCAATCAGTTCATCCGGTGGGGAAGCAGGCCAAAAGCGCCGGGTCGGTTCGCGGGTGGGGGAGATTGATAACTTTAACCTTCTCAGAGTAGTTCCTTGTTTGCCCATCTGTCCGAGAGACGCGTCGGGTTGGACCGCCTTGTCAACTTTGGGAAGCGGGCTCGGCTCATACATACAACACACATATATTTGGCAGACGATATGCTGTAGTAGGCCATTGACAGACGGCACTTGTGCCACACCCAAAGTTCATATAGATTATAGGCTGAGGAAACAGACTGGGAACCTCGGGCGTCGGCGAGGAGGCGGGAGACGACCGATGGGTCTCCAAAGCATCGATGGCGGGTATGACCGCCGTTTGCCGGGGCTAGACAAGTTCCACCAATGCGTCTCTCTCTCGCATAAATACCAACTAAAAAATCTTCCAGGGATATGACTGTACATGGTTTTCCGGTGCATGCACGTCGGGTGCCGTCATATGCAAGCTCCACGCGCGTCAGTAACGCGTTGGGGTCTCGTGCAACGGCCATGTTCTATACCTAAACTTTAGTAGGGAGTCGGAAACGACAAGGGCAACAAAGAAGAGCAGTGTTGAAGTGCCTTGGTGTTGCACGCGGCAGAAAAAGGCCCCGACGCTGTGCTCAGCTCGTCGACTCTGACAGAGTATATAGACAGAGTATTAATTATATACAGGACCGTGATTGCATCAGCCAGTAACGATTTGACATCGATGAAGAAGGAGTCCAGACTCTGTCCCCTGTCAATGCCCCGCGTGCGCGAGAGCCGCACCAATGTAACTCCGACAGGGTTTACGGCTCTTTTCCCTCTTCAGACCAAGAGCGCTCCCAGGATTCGGTCATTGTCTAGGTTAACCAACCCATCGCCAAAGGGACATGCCGCGTGGTGTATTGGAGGCTTCCACGCTCCCGGCCGAGCTACAGCACCACTACCTGCTAGCCTCCGTTGATCCACCCAGCCCTCGCTACCCGGCTTGTTCCTTGCATGTACCCTGTCGGTCAAGCCATCGTCCAACAACCTCCATCTCTCTTGTAAACCGCTCCTGCCCGTGCATACTTGCCGGCCCTCTTGCCTCCATTTCGACCCAGTTCTTCCTTCCTTCCAAAGACACCTCACCGCCCTCGCACACCCCGTGCCTACCTTGCACTTCCTTGCCAGCAACCCTCGACCTCTACATGCCTCTCCCTCTACACGCCTCTCCCCCTCTCTCTTCGTCTCTCACGACTCATCTTGCCGTCCCATCTCGTCCTCTTTCTCTCCTTCACTCTCCTCATTGATACATACCTATCCTTTATACATCTCCTAAGTTAGATCCTCTCTAATCGACCTCGCGGCTCACTGCCCCCCTCGCAACCTCCTCCCGGAGTTGGGGGATGCCCCCGTCGACAACCTAATCACCATGTCGGCCAACTCCCTCGATTCCCCAACCCAAAAAGGCACACTGGCAGATGCCATAAACGCCGCCACGCGCGCTCAGCACACCAAGCTCAACAGGCTGATTCTCGCCCGCATGCCCCTGGCCCTGCCTCCTCATGCTGTCGACCCTACCATCTACCTCTCGGGCCTGCTCCACATTGCGCCCATTTACATGGCATTTGAAGGGCTATGGCGCGACATTGTCGAGCACCGTGTCCCGGCCTCGGACGAGAGCTTCCCCGGCCGCGTTGATGTCCAGGGCAACGTCGCGGCCCCCCCGGTCAGCGATCGCATCCACTCCATACTCGCCTCCTTATACATCCCCGGCCTGGTGCGGTCCGACAGAATGCTCGCCGATATAGCCTCTCTAACCGGATCCTCTCCCCAGGACGTCGAGGAGCGCCTGCTGTCCGTCAGTCGCACCGGACACCTCGCCGCCTTCGTCGACCACATCAGGCGTATCATTTCCCGCAAGCCCCACGTCCTCGTCGCCTACACCTACATCCTCTTCATGGCCCTCTTCGCCGGCGGCCGCTATATCAGGGCGACCTTCGAAAAGCCTGGCCTTCTCTTTTGGGGGTCCCTGTCGGACATGGGCAAGCTATCGCTGCTGGCCCCTGAACTCGGCGCAATACCCCGCGCCCCGACAGAGCATCACCATCAAGCTCACCACCACCGCCATCACCTTCACCACCACCATAACCAAGAGAGCACTTCAGATGAAACCCCGGGCTCCGACTCGGAGTCCCGCACGCTGCCCGTCATGCCCGTGCGATTCCTCCATTTCAACACGCCAGCGGACGGCGAGGACTTGAAGTGCGAGTACAAGCAGAAGCTGTCGGAATCGGAGGCGTTGCTCACTCGTGACGAAAAGGAAGACATCGTGCAAGAGGGCATCTGCATCTTTGAAAACATGATCTTGGTTATTCACCAGCTCGATGCAGTCTGCGCCGCACAGGACCCTGCCGCCGCGGAGCGATGGTCGCTGGTCGGCCTCATGAAGAATGCTCATGTTGTGGGGGACCGCTTCAGGGACAGCATCGCCGTCACGAGGCAGCGCTGGGAGAAGAGCTCGGCTCAGGAGTCCGTTTCCGATGACGACGAGGCCGGACCCGATGTCGCCAAGGCCGGTTTTCACCCGACAAAGGGGAGCGGCGCTCCCGGCCTCAGTCCCGCCGCCTCCAAGTCTGTGAGGTTCGATGGAGCATCGCCCCATCCCGCCCGCTGCTTGCGGGGCGCCCCGAGGCAGATGCAGGACGCCCATGTGGCCAAGTGGCTACTGGCCACGGTGCTCGGCATCCTCGGCCTTGGCCTCTTTTTCACCGGCCGACGAAGCCTTTTAGACTGGTTGCGCGTCTGACGGCGCAAATACCTGACGGCGACGTTGGGGAAATGGCAGGGTATAATACAAGGGGAAGTGGTGCGGTAGAGTGTTACGGTAGGCACCATTTGCATCTCTCCCAGCACATTGGCGTTCATCATTCGACGAGCACCCAGGTTGCTTAATATTCTCGTGGGGCGAGGAGAGAGGCAGAAGCCCCTATTCCGTGTTCCGCCAAGCGTGACTCGGCGAGCGTAGCATGAAGCACGCACCTAGCAGCTAGAGTTGAATACAGCATCCTGAGCATTACCATGCTATTGTGTTCGTGTATTCTGTCATCTAGGGTATGTGTGTAGGGGCCCGGACAGGCCATGCAAAACAGTGTGTACACAGCGCTCTCTCTCATGGCCGCGAGTAACGCCAGGTTGTCCTACCGTGCTGCCTCATCCCACCGCCCCTTTCTTTGCCGGGCCTCATCCAACATGCAATCGTCATGAACCAAGTTTTACCCTAATGTCGGACGCCAGCCAATGCCTCGGGGCACCCGCGCCCAAGGCAAAGAGAGACGGAAATGCAGTTCAACAGGACATGCAGAAAGCGCATACGCACTCAACAGCGGCTGCAACCACTCGAGTGGAAAAAGGAGGGGTTCTTTGGTCAGCCCTCCTCGCAGTCCCAGTCGTCGCCGACGTCGGCCCAGCCGGCCTGGTGCCTCTCGCCGCCAAACTCGCCCACCTGACGCAGGTGGCGGGCGCGGGGCCCGCCCTGCTGCCAGTGGCGGACGTGGTAGTCGTCCGAGGCGGTGACGAGCTTGCCGTCGCGGGACCAGGACAGCGTGGTGACTTCGCGGGCGTGGCCGCGGATGAGGGGCGTGCCGGCGCGGAGGATGGGCAGGGGGGACGACGACGACGACGAGAGCCATGACGGCGTGGAGCCCGGGGGGGTCAGCGGAGAGGGCAGGAAGGGCGATGAAACGGTCTGGCCCCCCATGCCGCCGCCAGAGGGTGGTAGCATGTGCTCGCGGCGGGCCCAGGCGGCACGCATGTAGCGCTCGTCGGTGGGGAACAGGACGGCGCAGGCGTCGGAGCTGCCGACGGCGAGGAGCTCGGCCCCACCGCCTCCGTGAGCGGCGGGCCGGACGGCGCACTTGACGTAAAAGGAGGCGACGCGGAACGAGTCGTGGCGGAGGCCGTAGAGCGGCCCAAGTCCCCGGGCGGCAGCGGGGCGCCGCTTGGCAGCGCCGTCGAGCAGCTCGGGGGCGTGGCCGAGGACGAGGTGGTTTGTCGAGTAGGCGTAGACGGTGCTGTCCTTGCAGACGGCGTAGAGGCGGGCGGCGTCGGTGCCGAGGGCCATCGACGTGATGCCGTAGGAGCGCCACGTGTGCGTCACGGGCTCGGGCGTCACGGCCAGGGGTGTTTCGGCCGTGTGCCGCCGCGGCTTCATGTAGCGCGTGTCCCACAGCTTGATGGACGCGTTGGCCTCGGACGCCGTCAGAAGCAGGTGCTCGCGGCCCGCCGGCAGCCACTGCAGCGCCGTCACCGACGCCGACGACGTGCTGCCCTGCACGGTGCGCTCGTGCGCGTTGTCGATGGTGTTGACTGTCCGCGCGGGTGCCACATCCAGCCGCTGGTCCCGCAGCCGGCCGCCGCCTCGTCCAGTTCCTCCTCCGGTAGAGCCGGCCGAGAAGCACTGCGCCGGCAGAGGGGAGCACCGCAGGTCCCAGATCTGTACGCGGCTGGCCCTGTCCGACGTGGCGAGCACATTGCCGTTGCCCTCGCCAGGCTGAAAAGTCACTTGTCGCAGCGAGTCCCAGTGGCCGCCGCCCAGCTCGACGGCGACCGTCTGCGTTTGCGTGTCGAGGACGCGCCCGGAGCGGTCGCCGCATGCGCTGGCCAGCCGGGAGTCATCGTGCGAAAAGTCTAGGTCCATGATGGCGTTGTCGTGGACCTTGACGATGCTCGTCACCTTGTTGCCGGGCGCGGAGAGCTTCGCGGTGGACAAGAAGCGGACGTTGCCCTGCTCGTCGCCAATGGCCGTGACCGAGGCGCCGTGGCAGCTGGCGAGGCTAAAGGGGATGCTGGTTCCCGACTGATCGAGAGGCGTGCAGTGGTAGGCATCGGAGCTGGAGCTGTAGAAGGAAGCTGTTTCTGCCCTGGGATCGGACGTTGGGTAGGCGAGATAGTCCTTGCCGGGATGAGAGGAGAAGCCGTGCTCGCGGTCGAGCAAATGGGCTGCAAGGCCACGGTTACGAAACTTGCGAACGGGCTGGGGTTGGTAGTTTCGGAGCGGCTATGCAGAGATGGCGGGTCAGAGAGCGGTGGGAGCGAGACGGGGAGCCGAAAGAGGCGTCAAACTTACCAAGGGCGAGTCGATATCGGCCGGAGCGATTTGCTGAGTGGAGATGGACTTTTCGCTCAAGTTCTGGACGCCTCTGCGACTGGCTTTGAAGAATTGGCCCTGAGGCAGGTCAGACAAACATGTCGAGTGCAAAGCAGGACGTGTCCGGCCAAGGCTCACCAGATTGGCCCTGCGTCTCTCGCTCAGAGTTGCCCTTCCGTTAGTGCCGTCGCCGAGCAAGTCCGTATTCCCAAGGCCCGTGTATGGACGGGTCAGGAGCCGGGGCATATCGTCCAGAGGCATGCCTCTGCGTCGTTTTGCGGGCGGCTCCAGCTGCATCTCGTCCTTCGCCCCGTGCTGGTCGTCATCGTAAGCTCTCCCTAGGCGATCCGTGGGCGAGGAAGGGCATATCGGGTCGGAGCTGAGGGAGTCTCCAGCCAGGGACTGCGGCGACACCATCTGGCGATTAACAGCGGCGGAACTCAATATTCCCAGCGTCAACCGAGTGGCCTGGGGCTGGAACGACCGCGGAGCAAAGAACCTCCGGAACCTTCTAGGCGTCACGGATGGGACACGCTTCTCCTTCCGCTGGCTCGAGCTTGTGGGGGAGAGGAAGGGGTTTGCGGGCGAGGACGCCGCGGCGGGCGGGCTCGAGGGGACTCCATCGGCGGCGGCGGAAGAAGAATCGTCGTGAGGGTGCATCGTGTGTCTCGCCCCGAGCATGGAGTGGTGGGACGTGGACGCGGGACGATGAGGGTCAGAAAGGATGGTGGTGGTCGGGGCGAAGGTGGTTGAGTTGCTATGGGATATGGGCGGGCACTAGAGTTCCATGGTGACAAGTCGATGTGGGTTGGGAGAGGTTTGAGCGCACGAAGCTCGACAAGGAGCAGAAAAATGGGCGGAGCTGGCCGGGGCTGGTTGGGCCAAGCCGATGATGCGGTCGCGGACGACGCGGTCGTGTCCTTGACGCGTAAATGAGAGCATCGTAGCGTGTTTTCAGCCACGACAGGTGGTACCTACAGTACCTACAGAGGTGTGTCAGCGACGTCAGCAGGGCGTGGCCGCGGTCCAGACCAGGCGGCTGCAGCGCGCTGAGACGCGCTAAAGGGCGCCATCCCGTCCACTGGACACCGCTGAAGGCAGCCAGTATCCGTGCTTGGTTCCATAGAAATACAGGGCTGGACTTGCAGGTTGGCCTCGCCCACGTTTCATTGCAGACCACCTCTGCTAAACTCTAACGGCCCTAGCTACTCCGTATAGGATCCTATAGAGGATCCTGCATCATTACCTGCCAGCTACCTCGTGCTGCATCCACCGCCTCTCACCCTCCTCGTCTTCTTCTTCATCGTCGTCGACCTGGGAGAGACACAGAGCGTCCGCCCGGCGTCTGGCGCGCACCGGCCAACCAATGACGCAAGCGCCTCGACTTTTGGTTGAGCAATCCAGACCAAGAATGGTGTCATTTTCGAACAAAGCACCAACCACACCGCTCGACTTTCCGCCGCTGCGAACAACCTGCTGCATGCCTCCGTCTCGCCAATCCTCGTTGCCGTCCGTCTCTCGATAGACTCCATCTTGCGCAGCCATGTGCCGCTTCCTGGTTCGTCGTCTGCCTCCCGCGGCTCCTTTCTTGCATGCTCACCGTTTGTTCAGGTCTACAAGGGCAGCGATGAGATCCTACTCTCCAAACTCATCCTCGATCCCACCCACTCCATCCTAAAGCAGTCCTTTGACTCACGGCTGCGGCTCGTAAGCGCACCCTTTCTTGCCGGTGCCGGTCCAGCGCTGACGACCTGGCTCAGGATACTCGCCGCGGCCAGAACAACGCCGATGGCTTCGGTATAGGCTTCTACACCGACCCCAAGCTCGGCTCGGCCCCCTGCCTCTTCACCTCGACCATTCCCGCTTGGAACTGCACCAACCTCCAGCGCATCGCGTCAAAGACGGCGTCCCGCCTCATCTTTGGCCACGTCCGCGCCACCACCGAGGGCTCCCTCAGTGAAGACAACTGCCATCCCTTTACCCACGGCAGCCTCATGTGGATGCACAACGGCAATCTCGGCGGATGGAAGCACATCAAGAGGAGGCTGGGCGACCGCCTCGCCGACAAATGGTACTTGGGCGTCAAGGGCGGCACTGACAGCGAGTGGGCCTTTGCCCTCTTCCTCGACACCCTCGAACGCCTGGGCCACGACCCGAGCGCCTGCCCCGAGACGGGCTTCGGGCCTACGGTGTTGCGCAAGGCCATGGACTCCACCATCGGCCAGATCAACGAGCTGACCGACTCGATACCGCAAAACATTGTCCAGAGCGAGGACGTCGACACGAGGAGTCTCCTCAACTTTGCCGTGACCGATGGCCACAGCGTCATCTGCACCCGATACGTCAGCAGCTCCAAGGACGAGGCCGCCAGTCTTTACTACTCCTCGGGCACGCAGTGGGTGACGCGGACGACGGACCCCAACGACCGGCGGTACCAGATGGAGCGCAAGGACAAGGGCGCCGACATTGTCCTAGTTGCCAGCGAACCGCTGACGTTTGAGAGGGGTGAGGCTCCCCGCTCCCCTGGCCGCATTTCTCGAGTACGCCGGCGAGCATGTTGAATGTGGCTAACTTTGCATAGAAAACTGGGTCAACGTGCCGACCAACTCAATCTTGACGATTCATAGACAGACCGTCATGGTGCATCCGATCCTGGATCGATACTATGAACGAGACCCCTGTCACGTTCGATCCAGCGCCTTTGTCCAAGCCAAGGGCCTGGTGTGCAACGAGAAGGCGCCGAGCCCGGCCCACGAGCCTCCGCAGTCGGGCTTCGAGGGCTACAGGAGATTGGCGGCGCAGTCGATTGGTTCCGGCAGCCGCAGCCCGGACCTCACCCGGAGGTCGTCGACGCCGGTGTCCGCGCGAGAGGGCAACGCGCCGCCTCGCTAAAGAAAGTCGGCGTGCGTGCTTGGCAGGCCACGCGGGTCTGCGATGATACGACTCAGCAGAGGCGCATAGCGCAGGCCTAACGATAGCCTCGCGAGTTGCGCATGACACGACAGCTTCCGCGCGCCACGGGGCTGTGGCTGTCAAACACCTTGGGGGCATGGGCCATTCGTGGAGTATACCAAAGATAGACTTTAGAGTTAATCGCAGTCCAGACAATTTTGACACGGGAGCCCGTCGTCTCCTGAGGCCCTCGTGATGATCTGCGGCCTTTACGAGCTACATTGTCGGCTGCCGCTGCGGCTTGGTTTAAGGGCGAAGCAAATCGACAAACTGCCTTGCACGACAGCCGATACAGGCGCACCCGTCGACCAACGGGCAACGATGTCGGGGCAAGCAGGCCAGTCCTGAGGGAGGCGCGGCGAGAACAAGGTTGAGTTTCACCGGGCATCATCAAGGTCGGTGGCTGCTTCTCGACGGCGCCGCCCGCATCATGCACCGTCGTCGCTTCAGTCCACCGGCTCGCCAACAACGGGGAAGTCGGAGGGGGCGGGATTTCCCAGCAGACTCGTCCCTGATCCAAGCCTTCCCGCGTCCAGCTCGACGTGCGACCACACGAGCAGCTCACCCGCCAGATCTGGAACTTGACCACAAGCCGCTTCTTGACACTGAACCACATTCGACGGTGGTCGTCAACCGGGCATCTTATAATCGTTTACAGATTTTACTTTTTTCCCCACCGTTCCCCTTTATTTGGTCGGGTCTTTACGGCCAGCTCTCCTAGGCCTCGGATCAACAGAGCCAAAGAGCGAAACAGCAACGAGAATGCCATGCTGTATCGGCATCATCGACTACGCGCAGTGCAGACACAGCACGCTCTACAAGCTCGGATGCACGGCCGGGTGCGAGGAGCTGTGCGCGCCGGCGCAGCAGGAGGTGCTGCTGCGGACGAGGTTCCGGTGGCGATGCGAGGAATGCCACGCGCTGCGGTATGCGACCGACGCCGACGCCCGGACGGAGCGGTGGAACGACCAGGCGCGGCGCATCATCGATAAGGACAAGGGCGGCTGCGGTGGTGGTGGTGACGACGGCTGCAACGACAACGAGAATGACAAGGACGAAAAGGGCAAAATGAACGAGGGGAGAGCGCAGAGGGACGGCGCGAGAGATGCGCGAGAGATGCGGGTGCTGGCACTGCGGGATCGCGAGGAGTTTGAGGAGCAGCTGCAGGAGGAGCGGCGGGTGGCGCAGGTGGAGGAGATCCAGTACGCCGAGGAGTGGACGAACCAGTATGGGCGGGCGGTGTTTGCGATGCGCTACGGGCCAAGGGGCCGGCGCCGGCGCCGGCTGCGGCAGTGGTGGCTGCGACAAGAGGAGGAGCAGAGGTCAGAGGAGGAGGACGATGAGGCCGACGGTCCAGTCGAGGCGGAGAGGCGGCCGCGCGCAGAGGATACGCCCGAGGACGACGATCACCTCCACCTCCACCACCACCACCACCATGAGCAACAGCAGCAGCAGCAGCAGCAGCTGGAGGACATCGACGACAACGAGCAACAGGAGGCGGCAAGGCGGCAAATCGAGAAGCTCCGGTCGGTGCAGCAGTGGGACCTAGTCATCCTCCGCGACGCGCTCAGGAGCGATAAGGAGCTGCGGGAGCTGCGCGACGAGGCCCAGCGGCTGGGACGGGGTGGGCGCGACGACCTCGGGCATTGCGGCATCGGCTTTGGCTTTGGCTCGCGCGCGTTGCCGGCGGCGGAAGGGTGGCCGACGATGTCGGGGCGTGAATAAGGGGGGGGGGGAGCGACCCGGTTGATGGACCCCGGAGAGGGGAGTGAAGGTGAAGGTGAAGGTCGGATACTTTCCCCGAGCTGTGAGGAAGGAATAACACGGAGAGTTGGTTGCGTTTGTCACTGTCACTGTGAGGCTTTGATGCGCCGGTGTCTTGGGATGGATGCCTCGGTTGGCCCCCGCCCAGCGTCGTTGGAGAGGTCCCGACTATGACCACCGATGCCGTGTCGTCCAGAGTCGCACCAAGCTGGCTGCCACTGCCACCGAGACCTGGTCGACCCGTCGACCACCTCGCCCTTCAATCGTCTTGCTCGGTGAATTAACGCAAAGTTTGCCTTTCCACCCGCCGGCCACGTCTAATCGACCCCTAGCGCGGCACAGTGCAAATGCCGTAATAGTCAAGGCTTGTTTGTTCTCTCACGTTAAACCCGATCCTTGATCATCCAGTCCGTCTCACGTTGGGCGGGTGCTTATTCTCCTCGGCTCGTTTTGATAAACGCCGGCGCTAGATCCCCGGGTCAGTGCCCGTCACATCCCCCGATGTCTCCCCCCCCGGGCCTGATGTGCCGGGCCGAGGCTTTGCCCTCGGTCTGTTGCCGATGCTGATCAAGTGCCGGCCGGATCTGGCTGCTCTGTGCCTTGGATGTAACTTGGGGGCAACAACCGGACCATTGGATGGCAGCCCATCTCCGGCAAACCACCCCTTTTTCTGTCAACATTCGCCCGGGAAGTCCCAACATCAGAGCACGAGGAGGAGAAGGCTCGTGACCGTCGGCCCCAGTCAATTTCAACTCTAATCACGCAATCGTCATTGGCCGACTTACACACAGCAGACCCTTTGTTCCAAAAACTAACCTAACGCGCCACGCGCCGCCTCTTCTCTAGACCGCCCAATCGCCAGGCCCCCTCCTCCCATTTCCACTCTGGTGGCTGATGGAGGGGACTCTGGAGCTAAAAAAGAAGCTTCTGTCTTGGGCTCCAAACATTGGCCGGGTCCGTTATCTTACTACCGAGTAAATGCGTGGTCTCTTCGGGCGGATACGGATACCGTGTGGGCAGCAATACTATACACACACATTGCGTGCATGCCCGCCGATACACGACGTGTGCCGCCGCCATATGAGCCATGCGTACTCCGTAGACATACATCCATTCTCTCTCTCTCATCGTATATGACCCAACTCTTGTTTGAACCCCCCCATCAAGGGCGAGCAAACCACCCCCGTTAGGGCATGCACAAAGTACAGCATGATGCCTCCTCCTCGAGCCCGCATCATCGCCTGCCTTGCTCCAGCTTTCTTGGCACGCGTCTTTGATTCAGCGGTAAGCGAGAGAACGGCAGAAACAAAGATACCGGTAGAGCCCATCCTTGGTCCAGTGGCGTCTCCCCCTCGTCCTCGGAGTCGCCCGACCCAAGCTCTCTTGTCCTGTCTGCCTGTTACAGACGGTAGGACAACAAGGGGTCCAACCATGGAAGCCTTCGTCAATGGAAACCAGAAAAGAAAACAAGGCGGCGGCGGCCTTCGACCAACCTAAAACACCACTTGTCATAACCTCTCGAGAGGCCATCATGCACTGCCTGTCACTTAGCTCGTTCCTCCCCCTTTTACTTGCAACCAGTGACACGCAAGAAACAAAGGAGATGGGCTCTTCGACGTCGCCGCGCCACCAAGCTAGCACGCCATCGTCCTCTCTCCATTACATCTTCTGCTCCCGGCATGCGAGTGGACAATCCAATCCCATCAGCCATTGAATGCGCAGACCTTGGCAACTTCGATCCATGTGAGCATGATGGACGCACCCCCTTCCCCCACCCCCTTTCTTCCGCATCTCCACAAATACTCTTTACCGCTCTACCAAGTCCTGCCCTCCCCGTAGCTTGTGCCGGGAGAGGCTCCCAGGAATACGGGTGAGAACCTTGGCAGAAACGGCCCAGGGGCCCCGGCACTCTGCAACGGAGCCGCCCCGTTCCCCGGTCCATCGAACCCAGGCTCCGCCGCACGACTGGGGGAAACGGCGACAAGTCACTTCGCCGACGATCCCGGCTCTGCTGAGTCCCTCTGCCTTGCCTTCGGACGACGCGCTTCATCATTGCTTGCAACGTATATACTAGCTCATGTACTGTCTGCGCTTGTCATGTACACCATCCGTTGCATATATACATGTCCAATGCCAGAAGACGTCCTCGACAACACGAGGCCCATGCAACCTTGCCGCTCTCGCCCATTGCCACTTGATGCTTGCCGTCGACCCAATGCTGAATGAACATGTTGAAATCTTAATGCCCGGTTCCGTGGGTTCCCCCTCTCCCTCTTCCCCCTTCTGCCCGATGAAAGAATGCCCAAAACCTGGAAATTTAGCATGAAAAAGTAAAGTGTAATGGCCCACTGTCGACATCATTCTGTTGGCCTCGCCCTGCATCATATTCGCCACATCCATCGTCCCATGTTCCCCAAGTCGTTAGCCAGCCATTTGCAGATCCACGCAGCCAGGTAGTCCGTCCCTGAGCCATCCTCATTTCTGTCCGTCTTCGTTTCGCATGTCATTATGGCGAGAGGCCAGGTCTCAGTGCCCGTCTGTACTCGTACCGTGTTCGCACGGTTAAGCGTGTTTTTCCTGGCTGCCAAAGAAAGAAAAAAAGAAAGAACAGACAGCAGCAGCGCCGAGATCAAAACATGATCCACTCGGCCTCGACCCCGGGTCCCCCAAAGCACTTGGCCCAGTTGAATGGTGCCCGATGACCTGTCGTCTTGCCTCCTTGCTGCTGACCCTGAGTCTCGAGCCTGTCTTGCAAGTCGCCAGCCCAGAGCTTCTCCAAGACACTCAACGCAGAAAGGTTATTCATGTAACCTGACCGGCTCATGATATCTCGGCACTTGGTTCGAACGATGTTCTGCTGCAGCTCGTTGACGCACTCGGACCCGGCAACAAACAGCGGCCACAGAAGAAACTTCTCGGCGGCACTTCCCGCTTCAAGGCTCGTCGCGTAGTAAACCACCTGGCTCACCAGGTTTTGGAAGTTGGTGTGACTCGAGGGCATGTTCGGGCCCGCCAGCCGCTCCGTGTACAGCAACGCGGCGTACCGGAAAGCTTCCGACAAGGATCCCAGGTCACGTACCTGCCCGGGACTCGGCGACCCTGGCAACGACCCTGCCACGGCTGCGGCGTCGAACTGCCAATTTTGCAGGGCCAGTCGAGCCTCCTTCCATTCTCGCCAGAACAGGGCCCGGCGATCATCCAAGGCTGTCGACGTGCACATGGCTGATGCTAGAATCTCATCGTCGTCCAACGTCGTCCTGAATCCGTTGCCGTCAAACCGATGGCTGGGAGCCTGGTAAATGTCTCCCGGCCCCAGGCTGTGCATTCTGCCATCACCGAGTGGGTCGAACGGCGATCCGGGGTTACCGCCTGAGGGAGCTTCAGGGCTACGGCGAGCGGATGCAGTCATGTTCTGTACAGGCCGATGCTGGGACAAGAGATTTAGCCGGCCGAGCTTTCTCATCGTTCGGAAGAGTCCTCTTTCGCAGCCGACCATGTTCTCGGCACCGGGCGGGAGAGCAGCGTGATCTTCGGGCTCCGGGGTTAACTGGGCTTCTCGATCGTTGATGCTGGCCGAAATGGCATCAAAGTAGGTAAAGAGCGTCTCGATCCAAGCCGAGTCTCTCGAAGGACCGAAGCGTTCGGACCGCATGGAGAGAATCTTCTTGACGCCTGCGAATTGGGTATGGAACTTGGCAACTCCCGACTCCACCATGCGATAATGACACAAGAGAAGAATCGTAGCCAGAACTGAATCATGCATGGATTTCTCAGCATCGTTCAGCTGCTCGTTGAGGAGTTGGACGGCTAGGTTCCGGTGATGGAATTCTTCAGCCAGTGAAGGGTCGTCTGGTTCACAATCACCCGAGCCATCGGCGGTGAGCTTCTCCCACAGCTCTTGTGGATCTTGACCGAGACTGAGCTTGCGTTTCATACGAAGATTGCAAGCTGAAAGAGCGCAAATTGCATGTTGTAGGCTCTGGCTGTTGACGGCGAGCCCGAGCACGTGGCCCCGAAAGGGGTTGTGTGGCCCGTCGATGTAGACCAAAGAAGGAGCCATGGTGTTCCTGTAGTAATCCATGAAGAAGGGCATCCTGGCTATGATGTCTTGACTGCCGCGCAGAGACTCGGGCCCACGAAAAGCAGCCCACTGGGCCGGTGCGTGCTGTCCAGCCCGCGGTGACGGTAGCTCGTCCTCCCGACCACTCGGCGACGGCGTCCATATCTGGCCAGCAGGTTTAGAGCAAGGGCCGTATGCGTCAACCTGAGGGACACCTGCTGCCTCATTAGAATGGAAAGGCCGGACAGGGCGCCAAGTGATGCTCACTGAGGCCGTCACAATCCCGCATCAGTCTATGGCCCAGGTGAGGTTCAAAATGGTCCAGGTGAGACGTCAGGCTTGAACTCGGCTCAGAGGGGGCATAGATGAGACCCGGACACGACGTTTGTGCGCGGCTATAGTCGAGCACGAGAGCCGAAGGAGGACTTTGCGGGGCAGGGGAGCTCTGACCGGCCGGATAGCCGTCATACATGACTGTCGGATTGCCGCCACCAAACGGCATCTCCTCGCGCGGGTAGGATTGGCTCAGGGGCGAGAGGTAGTCGACGTCGCTGACCGAGTCCACAGACGAGGAGAGACTGTCCGTCATTAGAGGCACCGGAAACTTGGAGTACTTGGGAGTTTCGCCCGGCGAGTGCATCATGTCTGATGAGTACTGGACATGGCCCCAGTGGCCCTGCGGTAGGGAGGCGGAAGTCTCCGGATGTGACATAGACAAGTAATCATAGCCCGGTCCTGGATAGGGGGATGAGGTTGCCAAAGCGGCCACATGAGAGGCGGTTGGGATATCGATTGGGCCGCAGTGCGAGCCTCGCAACTCTTCGTGCTCGGTCCAGTGGCCGGACATGACGGGGACGGTCGAGTGAGCCCGGGCTCGACCGGTGGGGGTCTTTTTAGGCTCGCGAGAGACTGGGGGAGACTTTGCGATAGGCAAAGACAGGCCACGAAGTTTGCCCCGGCTTGCAACACCAACACCCCACGTGAGCTGAGTCTTGTAACCGGAGCACTCGTTGCCAATCTCGAGACATTGGGAGCAGTACGGCCGCCGGCGGTCGCACTTGATATTTCGCTTGGAGCAGGTGAAGCAGTCGTCGGAGGCGCCACCGGCGGGTGTACGTCTCCTACGCTTGCGAGCGGCAGTGACGTCCTTGACGGACACCGTCTGTTGGGCGATGGGAGCGGTCATGACCACGGAGAGGCGGCCAAGGTGTCCGAGCCGGCGCAAAGGGGAACCGTCAAGGCTCTGATAGTACAGAGCGATGGAGAGAAGACAAGACAAGTTGTGAAACACGAGTGCAGAATCTCGATGCGACGTCCGAGTAACTAAGAAGGTATGCAGAAGAGTAGAGAAGAGGGGGTATGATGGTGGAATGAAAGGACGAGGGAAGACGGAACGGGATGCGAGGGGTTATGAAGACAGGAGAAGGGAAGACGAATCGTCTTCTGGAGATGTCGTCTGCAGCAGGGAACCGGACACACAGACGATAATGTATAAGACATGGGGCACGCAGAGGGCCGGCTCCGTCTGACAGGGACGGACAGTGTACAAAGTGGGTTGGTTCAGTCGAAGGCGTTTGCGCCATAGGAGCCGACCGGGGGCGTCTTCCTCCATGCTTCATGCTTGTCGAGCGCGGAGCACGTCCTGCGAGTCTGTACATGCACGACGCCCGCTACCCGGTGGTGTGGTAAGGGTATGGCCGTGAGTGGACGGTACCATGCGCGTACCGTCACAGGGACGGTGAGCTATCTGGAGAAGGGTGGAAAGGGGGGTGAGGGTTGCCAGCGGCTGCCAAGGAGTCGACCGAGTGAGCCGTGAGGAGATTGGCGGGGAGGCTTGAGCATGGAGGGTCTGATGGCGCTTTGCTTGAGAAAGACCCCTGTGCCTAGCTCCACGAGCGGGTGTGCTCGCTCTTGACGGGTGAGGCGTATTAAACTGAACGGCCCGGTTTTTGCCTATGGTTTCGAGCCCGGAAATGACTGTGTGATGCAGCACATGCGGGTGCCAGCCCCGGCCAGCAGACAAGCATCGGCCGCCGGCCTGGTTACCGGGAGGGGGCGGAGGGGCTCGAGCACAGCTTTTTTGCTCGTCGTGCGCACGCAGGGCAGGATGACATGCAGTATGAGGTCGACGAGGACGGGGAGGGGCGTGTGTCTTGGAGGCAGACCCAGACTGCGAGAACTGTCCTGGGCAAGCAGGGATGTCGAGGAGATGAGGCGAGCGGAGGAGGGTGCGCCGTCGACCTTGAGGGGCGTGCCGGGATGAAAAATTGGAGGCTTTGCCAAAGAAAAAAGTTGGAGTTGAAAGCTCGACGCTTTGGAGGGGTAAAAAGGGGCGCGGCAACCGCAAATCCTGGCCCACTGATCAAGCCTCCTTGACCCCAGGAACCCTGCCGTGGAGGAGAATTCCCTGTCAATCTTTGCTCCGGCCCTAGCGTGCAGAGTATTCGTACACCCGTGCCGTACACACCTCCAGCAGAGCATGTCGCCAATATCAGCAGACATGGAGGTGAGACCCGTGGAGGCGGGCCGGCCTCTCATGCTCATTCTCAGCCAACAAAGCACATGCGTTTCAAAGACCGGGAGAGAGGAAACGCGGGATAATGCAAACATTCCTCTCGGTAAGTGCGCGCGTGCGCCCTTGGGTGGAAAGGTGTGTGTGGCAGTGTGAGTGAGTGCGAGGTTGTGTAGGTTTGTTCAATGCGCTGGAGCTTGGTATCATGGACCATGTCACGCGGGGGCTTTATCGGGAGCGGCATCGGGGGAACGTTTCTTTTTCGTCGGCCTGTGACAGACACGGGGGCAGCCGAGTGACTTGACTGGTGACGAGACAGGCCGAGAGGGTGAATGGCGGCGGCGGAAAATGTCTCGATGGCCAGTAATGTCTTGTTGTTGCTTCTCTGTCCTGGTCTCTCTTTTCTCCCCTTCTCGCATCAGCCTTGTCCGGCTTCTTGTCTGGTCACCTGCTTGCACCCACAAGCTCACGGGTCGTCGGTCCTGGTTCATCTCCCTCGCCTACCGCGAGGATCCCACCCGAAGACTGTCGCGCGAGCTGCCGGCGAGCCAAGCAAGAAAGAACAGAAGGGAACGGCAAAAGAAGATGACGATCGGCTCCAAGGGCCTGCTGCGCTCCTCTTGGCCACTCGTCCCTTGGTGGCCGCACTAGCAAAGGCGAATAAGAGGTGCACCGGCAGGACTGCCATTCGGCGTCTAGCGCGGCCGGCTGTGGATGTTGATGTAGACGTACAGGGCTCCGGGTCCTTTTGCAAAGCCCACCGGGCAAGAAACCCACTTCGAACGGACGTCTCTGGGGGGCGCTAACTTGAGAACTTGAACCAAGCATGGGGCCCCGTGGGTATGGCTTGGCGATGGGATGGCGTATTTACCGCCGCTTTCCCCGTCAATTCCATCTGCTTTTTTCAAGGTCGGGCCGCGTCGCTGTGCTTGACGCCGCCAATCTCACCGGCACTGCTAGAAGGGAGATGGATGGCCCCCAACAAGGCGCTTGACGGGCTGTGTCACGGGACACTGTGATCAATGCCATGTCCACTGACTGACTGGACGAGCGCGCGACAAGGCTGTGCCGAATGATGCGCCCTCGGGCGTTATCACCACGAGCCGGGGGCTGGTATTTCTCATGACCTCCTCGATGCAGGGCGATATGCACACGAGGCCCAAGATATCGCCCGCAGGGTTGGTTGGCCTGTCACGAGTCCACTCCGGCGTTATCGGCAGTGGGTGAGAATCAAGGCAAGGTCGAGGCTCGGCCGTATCCAAGGTAGATGTCATCGCCGCCAGCGGCCCAAGGTTTCCTCGCTGCTGCACGGACACACGGCCGAGCCGTCGCCGGGCAAACACGAGCAGCCCCGTCCGTAGGGCCGTTGAGCTAGGCAAGCTAGCGTGGCGGGCCGGTTTGAGACGCGCATGTTGGACGCATAGGAATGAAAGCCGCCCGGTTTGCTTTTGTCCAAGAGGCTCGGGGGCTCTCATGGTCGCGGATCGTGGCGTGGCTCGACTGCATATCTCGGTTGGGCCTTGGCAGTCTCGCGTCATGCCTCGTGCATCTGGAGATTGTGCAGTGTGCAGGCAGTGGCACCGGCCTCGTGCCTAAGCGGTGCAGATGAGCAAGGACTTGTCGATGCCTCGTTTTTCGAGAGTGTCCGTGCTCACCCACATGCTGCAGGAAACATGGGGAAATCTGATAGGGCCGCGCATCATTCATCCCCACGCGCATGCTGGGCCGGGTACTGAGGTGATGCAGACGTGGGGTTCGAGAAGCCGGGTACCGAGGAATATCGGCGACACTGGCGCTTCGCATCACAACAACAGCTGTGATGCCTCGATGACATTTCCCTTTTTTCTTTTTCTTTGGTGGGCGTGGCCTCTGCTGAGAAGGCAAGTACTTCGCTTGGTCATCCAAGCCAAGATGCAGGCAGGAGATACAGGATACAGTTCTTGCTTGCGCTTAGGTGTAGTTTTTACCGCCATGTACCTAGGTACAGTACCTACCTACCTATGTAGCATGTCGCCCGTGCTTCCGCCTCGGGCCGCCACTTTGGCCGGCCAAGGACCCCTATCCTCTTGGGTCGACCATTTCAGCATCACGGAGTTTTGCACCCGCGTCATCAGCGGCGATGCAGCTACAGCGGATGCTGCGCATGCACGTGAGATACCGGCCAGCAACGAGCACACACCCCTGCTGCACGTTGTCTGGGGAGCAACGGCTGCGCGCCATTGGTCACAATGCATTGTTCAGCGCAGGGCCCACGACCATCTTATCGGCATCACCAGTCGACGAATGCATATTCCGGGCCACAGCCGTCAGCAGCACGGCTGACCGTCACTCCGGCGCAGGCTGACGGCATTCGAGATGGCCGTTCCTACTCGAGCTCCACGCCAACAGCCGATGCCATGGCGGCCTGGAGCTGAACTCGGGAGCAAACCAGCCGCAAGGGGACAAGGAGCCCACCAGGGAGCGAGGCGGTCCCGGGAAATGCACAAGGCGTCCTCCGTCTGTGCCAGCCTGGGCCGGGACCAACCGCCCTGTAGCGTCCCGTGTCCAGCGGCGCCACAGCAGGCGGCATGCGTGTCTCACAGGTCACCCCGTGATCGTCATTCTTCCAGAAGCTTGCCTAAACGACGTGCCATGATACTCGGTCGCCAAGGCAAGAAACGCAGCCCACCGCTTGCCTGGTGTCCATGGGCTGCTGCAAAGTCTCGCAGACGCCTCTCTGGGTCAACACCAAGCATCTCTCTCTCTCATTCTCTTGCGTCAGGCTGCTTGTCCAAGTTGAGGACGTATACCAAGCACAGACCTTGGCGCCAAGGCCATCCGACCGGCGGAGGATATCTACTTCGTATCTGTGCATTCACTGCAGGGGCTCCTCCAAATCTGAACAAGATACGGAACCGCAGCCGAAACCCGGCTCTTGCTATACAGGATGTTCTTCCTAGGCGCCTTCTTCGGGGGGTGTTTGTCGATGGGCGAGGTCCTGGCTAAGTAAAACATCTCGAGCCGTCCATCCGGCAAAGGGAGGGGGAGTCATGGCCTCCGAGAGTTTCTACGACGCAGCGGTCCCTTGCTGGGATGCGAGATGCTGGCACGCCGCCATGACCCGCCGGGACTCACTTCGCAACACGGGTCGGACCTTCACACCCTAAGGCCGGGGTCCAGAACAGGAATTTTCTTTGATCCAAGTGGATCTGGCAGCCGATCAAGCCCATCCTGACTTTATGGGAGACATCTCAATTGTTTGGAGTCTCGGGCTCGAATCAAGGCGCGCTGCCTTATCCCGGGACCTCCGTCGACGTCCACCAAAAAGTCCTCCGCCACATGCAGGGGGAGATGCGGGACGGGGCGGACGGCAAATTACAGGATGCAGCGCTTGGAGCACAGCTGGACGCCGAGCCAGAATGCCCATCTCATCCCCCTCTCCTCAAAAGGAATGCTCCTATTCGCGAAACGAGCTCTGCTTGATGGGCCCGATTGGTGCCTTACACACTCCTATGGGTTATATTGCCACGCCCTTGAGCTACCATTATGTCTTGGCTTCCGCGTCCCGCTCGATGCGCCGATGCCCACGCGGCAAACGTGCACCTACTTATGCGATGGAGCCTGGAAGTCTCTCTCACCTCCACTCTGTTCATTCGAGACACCGACGCGCTGGTGCCGTCGCTGACAAGTTGATG